TACCGATTTAAAATTAAATAAAATATTTATTTTTAATTTTTTTAATATATAAAAAAATATATTAATTTATTTATTAAATTTAATTAATAAAAATTCATTAATTAAATTAACGTGCTTTCCGTAATAAATAATTTAATTAATTAAGTTTTAATAACATGCATTTATTAATATATATATATTTAAAATAATTGTTTTTAATAATAAAATATTTCTTACATTTATAATAAATAAGTTAAGTATTTAATATATTATAAATATTTAAATGTTTAAAGTAATTATATTTATTAAATTCGTTTTTAATTTTAAACTTTTTATATTTTTTTATTAAAAAATATTTTTTTTCGTTTAATCTTTTTATAAGTATTATAATTTATTTTATATCTTATTAAATCCATTAAATATATTTTATTATTAAATTATTTATTATTTTTAACCTAAAGTTTAAATTAATTATAAAGTTAACTATTAAATTAATATTTATTATAACTTTTATATTAATAAATTTATTTATTATATTTATTTTTATAATAACTTCGTAACTTTTTATATCCCCGGCGTTTATTATTACGTTAATATTTATTTTATCCACGTTAATTATTTTAATTATTTTAACCATTTTAATTATAATTTTAATTATTATTATAATTATATTATAAATAATATTAATTATTTCCGTTATTACCGTTTAATTTAAGTTACTTTCCATAATATATATTAAAAACATCGAAACTTTCATTTATATCCTTAGCATTATTCGTAATTTTTATTAATAATTTATTATTTAATAAAAATCCTTTAATTAAATATTTTTATAATATTAATCCTTTTATTCTTAAATTTTTTTTTATAATAAATAATTAATTCCGTTAAACTTTTTATTAATTACTTAAATATTTAAAATATTTTTTTAATAATATATTTCTTATTAATTACGTTATTAAAACGCGGAAATTATTATTAAAAACATTATAAATAATTAACAAATATTAAGTTAATAAATTCATTTATAATATTTAATAATTTCGTATTACTTTTAAAACTTATTCTTTCATTAATTTATTATATAAATAATTTTCCCTAATAAAATAATTTTTTATAAAAATTTTAATTCATTTACTTTATTAATTTTATAATATTTAAATAATTATTAAAAAATATATTTAATATTTTTAATTATTTAAACTTAATTCACTTATAATGATAATATCATTTATTATTATTACGTTAAACGTTTAAAAAATTAAGAAAACTTTTATATAATAACCTTTTCTTTTATTTTAATTATTTATATTATTTTTATAAAATTAATAAATAAATAAATATTTTTTATATAATATTTTTTTTATTATTATATAATTTTTAAACTTAAATAATACCGGTAAATTTAATTAAAAAAAACCGATGTCGTGTATATTTTATTTATTTTAATTATGTAGGTTTTAATTATTAAGGAATTTTTTTAATAAATTTACTATTTATATTATATTATTAATTTAGTATTTACCGTGTGCGGGTAAGTTAATTTTTTTTCCATTGTCCGATATATTATTATTATTTATTTATATATTTTTCGACGGTATTATATTAAATTATATATTATTATTAATTGTTTAAATCGTTATAAATTACGTATTATAATTAATTATTTAAATTATTATAAATTATATATTATTATTAATTATTTAAGTTTTTTTCGAAAAAATCTTAACGTTAATTTAATAAACTTATAATAATAAAACTAATAATTTTCTATATAAGCCCGGGTTAATAAATTATAAAAGATTTTCCGGTAAATATTATTATACGTTAATATTTAAAAAAAAATTCGCTTTAAAATATATTAAATATTTCGTAAATTAATAAAAAATCGAAGCTAATAATAATATTATAAATACATTTTATTTAAGTTATTTAAAATATAATAAAGTAAGTAATAATAATTTTTATATATATTATTAAAGTATTATAAGGTTTAAAATCATTATCCGATTATTTATTATTAAAAAATCGAACGTTAAAAAACAGGGTTAAAAAAAAAATTAATAGTTTTTAATTATTTTTTAATTATTAATTAATTAATTAAGATTATGTAAAAAAACTAATTAATTAATTTAGTTTTAATTAAGGTCTTAACTAATTAAGCTTAGTTTTAATTAAAGCATTAATTAATTAAAATTAAGCTTAGTTAATTAGTTAATAATTAAGAAAAAATTAAAAATTAAAAGTTTTTATCCCACTATTTTTAAAAATTCTTAACTTTATAAATATTCATCCTAAAAATAAATAAAAACTAATTTTATAAATTTAAAGTTAAATTGAATAAGATTATATAAAAGATTATATTTTTATTTATTTATTTTAATTTTTAATTTAACTTAGAAAATTATTTTATAAAAAGTTAAATTAATTTATTTCGAAATTATTCTTTAATTTTAAATTATAAATTTAAAATAATTGGTAAAATTCTACTTCCTTTAAATTCTAATAATGTTTAATTTTAAATTTAAGGTTTATTAGATTATATAATTATAGGATTAAAAATGGGCTTTAAAATAATTCTTAAAAGTGGAAGGGCTTGTTAAGGAACCGACTTTTTACAATTAAATATTTTATTTTAGAAAAATTTTCCAAATCTTAAAAATTTTATTTTATAATTTAATATTATTATAAATAATTAATTAATTAAATTAGTTATAAATTTATATTATATATGTATTAAATTAATGAGTTTAATTAAATTAAATAATTATGGTTATATAATTATATTTAATTTATTTATTTAGTTATTAATTATTTTAAATGTGTTGTAAGGTGGGGCAAATAGGCCTTGGCACTTTAAAATCTTGAATTTTCTTTTATTAAAATCTTTTTATTATTTTAAACCTTAATAAATAATTTAATTTAATTCTTAAAAATTAAATTCCTTCGATTACTTATAAAGTTTAACTTTAAATTTAAGTAAATATAATTAGTTTTATTATAGGTTTATTATTTAAAAAGAAAATAATTTTTAAAAACTTAATATATATAAAACTTAAAATTTGAATTTAACTTTTAATTATAATTTGGATTTAAATCTAAAAAATCCCATTTTATTAAATTTAAATGATATTTAATTTTATATTAATAAAATAGGTTTTAAATCATTTTTATGATTTTTATTTAATATGTTAGAAATTTTTAAAAAAAAGTGGAATAAAAACCTTAGTTTTTAATTTTTTTTAATTATTAATTAATTAAGCTTAATTAGTTTTAATTAAAGCCTTAATTAATTAACTTAGTTTTAATTAAGGTATTAATTAATTAAGCTTAATTTTAATTAAGTTTCGAATTAATTAATTTAATTTTAATTAAAGCTTTAATTAATTATTAATAATTAAATTTTAATCTTAATAAAATATAATTATTATAAAGTATAAAATTATTAAAAATATAATTAAAATATAATTAAAATATTAAAAAACATAACATTTAAATTATTAAATTTTAATGTTTTAAAAATGTTATAATTATTAAAAAATATTAAATTCGGATATAAAATAATACCGTAAATAATTAATAAATAATTTTAAAAAAATAATTTAATATAATTTATATAAAAAAAATTACATTTAAATTTTAAATAAAAGTTTAAAAATAATAAAAAAACAAAATATAAATAATTTAATAAATATTAATAAAATATAAAAAATAATTAAACGCGGTAAATAATAAATTAAATAAAATATTATAAAAAAAATGAAATAAATTTTAACATAATAAAAAAATAAAAATATTTTTAACCGTATAACATTAATAAAAAAACAACCATAATAATAAAAATATTATTTTTTTTCGTTTATAAAAAATAAATATTAAAATTAAAATAAAATTAATTATAATAAAAATAAAAAATAATTAATTTAATAAGTTTAATTAATTTAATATATAATAATTTTTCGTAATTTTATAAATTTTAAAAATTTTAATTTAATATAATAATAATTATAACTTTAATTTTTATAAATAAATTATTATAAATATATTATTTATTATTTTATTTTATAAATTTCGTAATATTATAAATAATGAAATTAATTAATTATATATAAAAAATTTTTATTATTATATTTATATTTTATATTTTTTTTTATAAAAATAAAATATATAAAATTAAATAATAAATAATATATTTATAATTAATTAAAATTAAAATTTAAAAATTTAAAAAAAAATTATTTTTAAACGTTAATATTAATATTTTATTTAATTTTTATATATAATATATATATTTTTATATAATTATTATTTTTAATGTTTATTATATAATAATTTTATAATATATTTTAAAAAAAAATATTTTTATTATAAAAGATTTTTATTTTTATAATAATATTATTATAAAAATAAAATAAATAAAATTAAATAATAAATAATAAATTTATAATTTATTAAAATTAAAGTTTTATAACGGTCCGCACTTTTTTAATGTAATTTAATTTATAAGTGTAACTTAATTTTTATAAAATTATATTTTTAATAATTAATAAAAATAACCCGTGTTTTTTATTTAAAGTTATTTTAATTTTTACGGTGCCACGTATTTTTTTATAAATTTTTTCTTTTTTAAATTTAAATAATTTAATAATTAATTTAAAACGTTTTAAATTAAATTTTATAATATATAATTAATTAAATTATTATAAGTTTAAAAATTTAAAAAAAAAATATTTTTAAACGTTAATTTTAATATTTTATTTAATTTTTCGTATATAATATATATATTTTTTATATAACCGTTATTTTTATCGTTTATTATATAATAATTTTATTATATATTTTTAAAAAAAATAAACTTTTTATTAAATTTTTTTTTTAATTTATAAATTTTTAAATTTTATTATTATATATTATTTAAATAAATTAATATTATTTTAATATTATTACGTATAAAAAATAAATAATTTTATATTAATAATAAAATTTTATTAATTTTTAAAATATTTTTATTTTTCCATACCCCGTTATATGTATAACCCCCGTTATCGATATTCTTTTTATATATAAATAATTATGCGTTCCCGTTTTTCACGTGAATGCAATCCACTGTGCAACATGTTAATAATTCCCGTGCTTGAATGGCATGTTAGGTCCCGTCTTAACCCCTCAAGATAAAGTTGTCAGCTGCAATCCCAACAGTCAGTGACCAACCCCCTCTAGCCCCTCCAAAGTCTTGACCGCCAGATAATGCCCCTCCCACCCCATGTGAACTAGAGAAAATATTTTCTGCTATTGGAGGTCGAACAATTGTACCTAGTCACTTTCACCTGCCTATTACTCAACCTATCGTATCTTTTTTTCTTCCTTTTTTTCCCTTCCACTTTTTCATGTCATGCATGCATCGACGGAATGAATGATTGAACGATTGATACCTTTTCTCTCAATTCTGTTATTTGATTGAATCATAATACCCAACAAACCACGCAGCATTTAATACAACTGAACGCTGCTCCTCAACCGTACCCCGTTTATATCAAAATTCGTCCTCGGCATCAATCCATAACCAGATCAGTGCCCGCCTCGGTTTTCATTTGCGACGCCATGGGTAACGTACTCTCCGCCTTTTCCAGCGCCCCTGTGCTCGGCAAAGAAGAGAGGGAGGCCATAGAAAAGAAGATATCCGAGAGAGATGACAATATCAACACCCTCGAGAAGGATCTAGCCACGAAGGAAGAGGAGCTCGCTGATGCCAAGAAAGAGCTCACCAAGACCTCCGAAGAAGCCGATGCCCTGCGAAAGAAGATTGACGAATTGGAAGCACAAGCAACTAAACTTAAGGACGAGCTCCAGGATCAAGTTGACAAGCTCCAGGGTGAATTGAAACAGGCCACCGACAATTCTTCTGAGCAGCATCGTACCCTTGTGGAAACTGCCTCTGCCCGGACTCAAGAGCTGGAGCAGGCACGTGCTGAGCTGGCCCAATTGGAGGAGAAGCTGAATACCTTGCAGCAAGACAAGAATTCGTTGAGTGAGGAGCTATCATCGGTCAAGCGAGAATTAGCCGATGCAGTCGAGCAGCGGAATTCTCTGGAGGCCTCTTTGAAAGAGGAATTGGCATCCGTGAAGGAGGAACTGCTTGCTTCGAGCAAGAAGCACGACGTGCTACAGAGCGAACACACCAAGCTCTCGGAAGAGCTCGCCTCTGCGAAGGCCCGTGAAGATGATCAAGAGGGCACCCTTGTCAAATTACAGAGCGAGTACAAGGCTTTGGAGGAGGCACATGATCAGCTTAAGACATCCTTGGAAGACGAGATTTCTTCGGCCAAGCAAAGCTTAACCGACGCCCAACAGAAGTACGCTGAACTGGAACAAACACTCAAGCAGACGATCGCGGAATCCAAAGAGAAGATCGACGCGGCAGAAAAAGATGCGGCCGAATGGAAAGCAAAGCACGAATCTTTACAAAGCGACCATGACAGCATCAACAAAGAACTGGCTGCTGCGAAGGAAGAGGTTACCGCTGGCGAAGACAAGACGAAAGCGCTCGAGCAGGCGCACGAGGCTGAGCTGCAGAAGTCCCGCGCCGACGTAGAGAAGTTACAGCAGAATGTGACAGATCTGGAAGAGAGCCAAGAAAAGCTGAAGGCCGACCACGCAGCTGAGCTCGAGAGTGCCAAGCAGGTAGCAGCCCAGCTACAAGAGAAGCTAAAGTCCGCACAAGACGAGCGTGAGGCGTTACAGCAGCAGCACGAGGCTCAAGCGGAGGAACTCGAGAAGGCAAAACAAGAAGCATCCGAGCTTCAGGGCAAGCTCAAGTCCGCTGAGGATGAACAGGAGAAGTCGCAGAAGCAGCACGATGAACAAGCAAGTCAGATTTCCATTCTTCAAGGTCAAGCCGAGGAGGCGAATGCCAAAGCAGAGAAGGCCGAGAGTAGCCTCGACGCTGCGCAGACTGTAAGTTATCATTACGATGTTGTCGACTTACCTCTTTCCCAATGATACTAACTATATTCGTAGGAGAAGACGGCCCTGGAGGGTAAGCTCAGCGAGCTAGAGTCCGAGAAGAACGACCTTGCGGAGAAAGCGGAGGCCCTCGAGAAACAGGTTAAGCAGCTCAAGGCAGAGGCGTCGGCACCCCAGGTTAACGGCACAAATGGTACAATGGAGGGTAAGGGAGCTGAGGAGGTTGCCGCATAATCTTAACGATCATTCAACTGCCGCTAATTTCGCGTAATCATCGAACCACCGAGACAGGGATAACACCATTAATGACGTCTATTACGGCAAGGAACCCTAATGTTAATACTAGACAGAATGCTTTGTAACGTTATGCCAATCGTTCGATAGGAAGCAGGGGCTGCTGGATTCGAAGGCTGGGCTTACTCGCGCTAGCTTCAGATGTGAATAACAAGAGGGATTGTTTTCGGAATTATCGCCCTGCAAACACTTCAGGAGAGGGGTGAGGTCGAGGTTGGTGGGAATGAGTTGATGGGAACCTTGACGGAAATCTAGTCTTCCATCTCGGCACTCCCAATGTCCTCACTAGCTAAACTTGGTCGTACAGTAGTGATCGGTTGAGATAAAGCAATACCAATGGAAATAGTCAACGTTCATTTACAAATACGTTTTGCTAGACCTACTTGTAGTCGTCGATATTCCTTTTCCGGCTCAGGGTGTTACCCACAGATAGGCTCGTCTGCAGCGGGAGTGGTAACTTGTTGGCTTGAACGCCCGCCATAGGCTCCGCCGTCGAGGATGACGGCCTCATTATTGTCTAGGTCATCCTGAACTCTCCTCCACCGGATAACTTTGGGGTCACGGCCTTCCAATAAAGGCCCCTTATCTTTGACATCAAGGACTGGCCTTATCAGTGGGCCTAATAAGGGATTCCTGCTGAAAGCACCGCCAGTGCCGCCTTCTCGGCCAACACTTGTCTCTGCTATAATGTCGTTAACCTCTGTCTTATCTTCGGGGCTCTCTGGTCGTTCGATCGCAGCCATCTTCCTGACTACCTTGCCACCAAGTAGATCAATGCTAACGACCTGTCGTCGTTTCTCATAGTCTGGTCGAGCATTCCATTCCATCTCTCTTAGAATCTTCTGCTGACGTTTTAATTCTCGAGCCCTTTCCTCGGGAGTGGCCCATATGTTGCTGCCGGCTCCGCCAACATCGAAATCGGCGGCCTCGTCTCTCACAGTGGTCCGGCGCGCATTCTGAGCCTGAAAGCCTAAGAGACGGTCTCTATTCTCTAAGGCTTTCGCTTGTGCCTCACCGATTTCACTAGAGACATCTCTAGGCTTGGAGAAAGGAGCGGGTTTTTTCGATACTTCGGCTCTCTTGTGAACTTCCCTATCGGCAGCCATTTTCTCCCGTCCTCGCTCGTCTCGTAGTTCCCGGATCATCAACTGAACTTCCGCAGGGGTTAGAATTGGGGTTCCGCAAAATGTACAAGGGCCCAGTCCCTCCTTCACGCAGATGACTTTGCCGCAGCTTAGGCAATTGGGGGCAGCAGCTAGGAGAGGGTGTCTGGAAGCTACACAATTACAACGTCTGTTGACGTTGTCTATTCCCTGACTAGGATTGGTGGTCATCTCTAGGGCGCGGATGGCATCGTCCAGGTCTGTTAGCGCGGTGGATGCGCCATGCATAGCAGTACCTCCGGAGATGTGGACTTTAGTTTTGGGAGCGGGAGTTGAGGAACGTGAGGTAGGTGTCGATCTTGGTTTCGGCCTTGGGACATCAGATATCAGATGACCTCCGGCCGAGGGAGGTAGTTTCGGTGGTAGAGAAGCTGTAGGCTGCTGAAATGACTGAGATGAATACTTCTTTGGAGTACCGGATCCTCCTGGCGTTGCAGCTGGACTAGGGCGCCTAGCGACATAATCGCTTTCAACGTCCTTGTTATAAGCTGTGCCGGGGGCAGGGCCTTGGTTGGTGATTTGCCGTGCGGCGGGAGTGTGCAACTGAGCTTTTTGCTTCTTGGTTGCCCTCACAGGCCTCGGCACTGGTTCAACGTCTGACGAGGATACGTTAGATATTGTCGCAGAGGATCTAGGGCCTTGTCTTTTCGAATTGAAGCTGGCTATGAAGTCGACAGCCTCTGGGGACTCGCCGAGAAGGTTGCGGAAGTGCTCGGCAGCCTCTGGCTTGGATAGTGTAGCCGCATAGGCCAAGACTTGCTTTAGCTCGTCATCGGGCAGAGGCAGCAATCTATAGAGCTGAGACACAGACATGGTCATTTAGCAGCACTGAACGTGAGCGTGGAGTATATAAAGAATAGTCTAGCTTTTGGGATAGGTAATAATCGAAAACCTGTAATGAAATCATTTGCGTTGATGAAGACAGTGGTGTTTTGACAACAGGGTGTGAAGACGGTATGACTCAAGTCAGTGTTTAGATATTTCACTAATATATTTAGAGCCTTAGAAGGTAAGGCATTAAATACATATTATAAGGTTTACATATGTAGGTACCCGATATAGGTGTGGATTTATAACCGATGCTTTCCTTATGCATGTAAGGCAAGACAGGTGGGGGTCAATTTCTAGCTGCATACACATGATATATGTTACCTACTAACATTCTTATCTATGTAAGTAGGTACATATATGTATATATCTAGGTTCTTTGAAATGCAAGCAAAGGAGGAAAGGGCGTATATATATTATATCACCGGACCTTACAGAAGGTTGGACTCGATAAGGTACATTGTATCATATATATCGGGTTGGAACTAGTTAAATCAGTGTAACGTCTTTCTGATCATATCCCCATGAGCGATCAATCTAGACATCGTCTTTTTTTCATTGACAAAGTCATTTCGCACCTAGTTAGGCAATCAAATTCTTAGCTATCTTTCCCCGTAAAAAACACACTGTATTATGTGGAGAGGTTGTTCTCCTGACCTTTGGCGCGTGATTATGTTCAATGTTGTCTCAGATCTCATGCATACCTACTACTAGATACATGGTCTCCTTCCTAAAACATGCATCGAATTGCAAGCTAAATAGGTACATAAAGGTGATGTTATTTTGATTGTTCTCGCTGTCTTGTTAAACAGATTTTAAATCGAAGGTGAAGAGAAAAGACAGCCCTGATTTATCCATTCTAATTTGGGTACTGCCTGCCCCATGATAGCTGAGTTCTATTACTGATTAAGGTTCCTCCCCCATTCCGTTCCCCGCACGTTTAAGGTTAAAGTTACCGCTGCCTGCGCTGCCGTAGGGGAGGTTGGTAACGTGGGGCACGGGTTCTAACCCCTGGCGCTAGCTTCCAGTGACGTCGCCTATCGTTCCGCAAAGGTTGCCTTACCATTGACACCATCTGCAGTCTTCCAGTCTAGGTACTATGCAATCAGTATGTACACAGGCATATATACCTATCTAGTCTGCCAGTATATAACGTTCGTTCCATCTAGGCCCTTCCAATTGGATACCCGTCAATTCATGCAAATATTCATGCACACCTACTAGGTTCCACCACAGGAGGTAACTCGCTACTCTATTTAGGCCCCTACTAGGGGTCATACCTCTGTTTATGACATGGCGCGAATTTCCTACAATACCTTCGATTCCCTTTCTAAGGCCGATCTGAAAGATTCAAATAAACCCGATGGTAGAGTTGACTCGTTGCTTCTGCGTTCTAGTAAAGGGGATGTTGCGGGGGGAAAACGTAATGGTCGACCTTCCGACGATGATTACCTTCTACTTAAAGTTACCGCTTTCGTCTCTGCCGTTGGAATTTTATGGGTGTTCGCATACACTATCCTTACACACCGGGTACTTCCCCAGCCAAAGAATGGAGGTGTTGAGGGCACTTCGTTCTTGGACCACGAAAAGCCTATTAGCACATTTGCAGGCAAATCATTTCTGAGACATAATATTCCATTCATCGATATTCCCGATCCGCTCATCCAAGATGTTTACTATTACAGGTGGACATCTATGCAGCGGAATCTCCGGTACATCAGAGCCGGAACAGGTTATATGTGTACTGAATTTGTCCAACCGGTTGGCTACGCCCAAGCTTTCGGATCCATTGATGCTGCCGCGGGTCATCAGATCGACGAGTCAAGATGGTTGAGAGATACTTCTTATGGCGATGATTACATCCAGCTCTATACCCGTGGACCGGCTGACGCATTGCAATATACGCAATGGATCCTCGACGCGATGAGTCGTCGGGCTATGGTGACCGGGGATTCTTCTTTCCTTGCGGCACAACTTAGCGACATGATTCGTTTGTGGCATGAGTGGGATCAGGTTTTCGATGCTGATGCCGGCTTATATTACTACCAGCCGGTGTGGGATGCGCAAGAATTGTCTTTACCTGGCTTTGTTGCCGACCCTAATGGCACCGATTGGACCTTGAGGAAGGATGGCCCCGACACCTTCAGGCCTAGCCATAATGCATATATGGTGGCAAACGCGAGAGCTATATCTAGGGCCGCCAAGTTCGCTCGTGATGGATTTAATGAGGTTTTATTTTCTAAGTTGGCAGATGACCTGGAGACAGCCATGTATAAGCGAATGTGGGCCCCTGAGCAGCAGTTTTTCATGGATATTATTCGACCTAATAACCCAAATTTAACGCGACTTACTGGCAGAGAACAAGTAGGATTGTTCCCGTATCGCTTTGGTATCGGTTTGAAAGGATCATATGCCCAATCGGCCGTCGATTCTATGTTTGACGTAGAGGGTTTTTCTGCCCCATATGGCCCGACAACATTGGAGATACGAGATCCATGGTTTATGGCAGTTAGACCAGATGATTATTGTACGGAAGAGCCTCTTGATGCTCTCTCTTTTTTGGTCTACTTTTCACTAACTACATCCATAGGTTGTTATTGGAATGGCATGTCTTGGCCGTATTCAACAAGCCATACTCTTAAGTCGCTTGCAGAAATATACCGCTCTGGAACTACTAATGTGACCGAGGAACAGTACTTCCAATATCTCCAGATGTATGCAAAGACCCAACAAAAAGATGGTCGACCATACATTGCAGAGTCTCATTACCCCTTCTTGAATGCGTGGAGTGCTGATAGTTGGAATCACTCCGAGCACTATGATCACTCAACCAATAACGACGATGTCATAACCGGCTTGCTGGGAATCATCCCACAACAGGGGAACACATTGAAAATTTCCCCCATTGTCCCAAGAAACTGGACTTATTTTGCTCTCGAAAATTTGCCATATCACGGTCACTTAGTGACTGTATTGTATGATAGACATGGATCAAGATATAAATCCGGGCGTGGATTAACCGTCTTCATTGACGGTAAGAGAGTGTATAATGGCCTCCAAACGAGTGCTTCGATACCTATCCCTCCTCCGATATTACCATGCGAGGCTTTGATCAACATTGCAGGTTGGTTATAATTGTCCTAACATACACCTACTTCCCCCCACTCTACCTTTAGGCTGACTGTCTCGGATACTTTTCTTTTCGGAACCTAAATCCGTAGACAGTTCTTCATTGTTCAATTCGATAATTTCTCTGACATGAATGCGAAACAACGATTGTGGACGGAATAGTCGCTAATGTGTTATACTTATGTAGCGAACCCTGCCGGCCCTGGCCAGTATCCGACAGCTGAGGCTACCTTCACCAACTCGGGAGATTTCCAGTACAAAGCCATCGATGGTGTTTTATTTTACGATTCAATACCTGACAACAGGTGGACAAATTATGGTTCCCCCAATGAAAATGATACGTTAACAATCTCCTTTGCTCGACCGAGAAATATAACCTCCATTACACTCGCGTTGTATTCGGACGTTGCAAGGGGCGGAGGGATAGATGTCCCGGCCCGTATAGAGATATATGGATCGAATGGCCTGTTGTTTACGCTCGACGACCCTTCTAGCTTACTGCCAAATGATCGCAACGAATTGAGCTTCGACCTGGTCGAGACTCAATTCGTAGCTGTCAACATGTACCGCAAGTCTTCTAACCTCTGGGTTGGTATCTGCGAACTCGAGGTCTGGACGCCACCGACCCTTGGTCCCATCAACTATGCAGCTGATGCCTATCTGACCGGAGAAGAGACGAGGGTGGTCTTCGACAACACCTCGACTGCTACATCTAATGGGGCTGTTGTTGGGGGGTTGAAGTCAGACAGCAATGTGGCATTTTCTGGTATTGCGTCCAACGGCGGCTGGAATACTGTGGTATTAAGCTACTCCAATGCTGGCAATGCAACAGCAGAGATGGGTATCGAAGTCAATCAAGTACCGCAGAAGCGATTATATTTGGTTCCAAGCAAGGGAAAATACGTGGACGTTACAACCAGGATTGTACTAGCTTCTGGGAAGAACTATGTTAGTATAAGAGGGGGTTCGGATTTTGTAGACGTGAAGCTGGAGTCATTGGTCGTGCTTTGAAGTTATCGTCCGCCGTCGTTTGATCGAATGTTGATTACTTGGATGCAAACCTCTAGGTACGTATGTGTTTTAATACATACTCCAGTACTTACATAATTTAAAAATAGATGTACTAGTAGATTAAGTGTAACTAGGGTTTATTGAAATAAGTTATGCATTCTCCACCTATAGTTGTGCACGCCCCATTCACGGATGTGTGTAACACAGGTTGCCTTGTAAGTATCTAGGTACCGACGCTAGTAAGTCAATTAGCTACACGTCACTGCGAAAATCGAAAATCGAAACTCGAAACTTTAGACAACCTTAGAACCTCGAAACTCAGCTTCGTTTCCTTCACATCCACATTTACACACAACTCCTCTAGACACATCAACTCTTGATAAATCTGACCGGTCCTCTCTACCGGATCACACAAATCGTAATTGGAAAATAGGAGATGATGACCGACTAAAAGTTCCATGGTTATGTTATAATGGCTCTCGTCGATAGCCCTCAGATCAAGAGCGCCGAGCTTCTCTCTCCGCTGCCTGTCTACCTTCATGCATACGTCGCCCCTTTTACTATAATATGGCCCATATTTGCGCGATACTTTTATACGCCCGAGTTGTACGACAAACACATCGGATCGTCTGAATGGACTTTTGTCTGGTGCGGTACCATCATCACTCTGCAGAGCTTGGCTTGGCTCTGCACGAACTGGAGTGTCAACCTCAAGGCTATCTTCACCGCTAGGAAAGCGAAGAAGGTTGAAGATGCTCAGTTGATAAAGGTCATCCCAATCGCCAATGCCGGCTCAGCCGATATCTGCGAGATCATTCGCGAAAAGGTACTTATTATTCCAAATCTTGATTTTTCTTCCTGTTTATGGCTGTCTCTTGTCACATCTCCGTTCTCTTTCTACGTTCTATATCTTGTTCTCTCCATCATTTTAAATCTGATATATCTGGTTATTGTGCTGACATATTGCCCTCTTTTTTACCTCGTATTCTAGGTTGGCGATAAGATAAATCTGTCCTTTTTGTTCCAAAAACGTCGTTTCCTCTATGATCTGGCAACGCAATCCTTCAGTCCCTTGACCTATGAGATCGATGCCGAGCCGAAGCCCAAGATCGAGAAATTCCAGTACTCGAGAGGAATCTCTTCTCAAGCTGAGCTTACGAGACTCGAGCAGTATTATGGCACAAACACTTTCGATATCCCGGTTCCTACCTTTACCGAACTATTTCGAGAACATGCCGTTGCTCCTTTCTTCGTCTTTCAGGTGTTCTGCGTCGGCCTCTGGATGCTGGATGAGTATTGGTACTATTCGCTGTTTACCCTTTTCATGCTTGTCGCCTTCGAGAGCACCGTGGTCTGGCAAAGGCAGCGAACACTAACCGAATTCCGGGGCATGAGTATCAAGCCTTACGATATGTGGGTGTACCGGTTGGGCAAGTGGACGGAGATTCAAAGCGACAAGCTTTTGCCGGGCGATCTTGTCTCTGTTGGGAGGACTAAAGAAGACAGTGGTGTTGCGTGCGACATGCTTCTGGTGGAGGGAACTGCTATCGTTAACGAAGCTATGCTTTCGGGTGAAAGCACGCCCTTGCTCAAAGATTCCATACAACTGAGACCCGCCGACGCCTCCATCGACACCGAAGGTCTTGACAAGAACGCTTTTCTCTGGGGCGGAACCAAGGTTTTGCAGGTTACGCATGGCAACCCTGACGAGGAGAGACCGAAGCTTGCTTCCGGTGTTCCCGCGCCTCCCGATAATGGTGCTATGGCCATTGTGATGAAGACCGGGTTCGAGACATCTCAGGGTAGCCTGGTCCGAACAATGATTTACTCGACGGAGCGTGTCTCGGCCAACAATGTTGAGGCCTTACTTTTCATCCTCTTCCTACTTATCTTCGCGTTGGCCGCTTCCTGGTATGTATGGGATGAGGGCGTCAAGAAAGATCGCAAGAGATCGAAGCTGCTGCTCGACTGTGTCTTGATTGTTACTAGTGTTGTACCTCCGGAGCTTCCGATGGAGCTCAGCTTGGCTGTTAATACTAGTTTGGCAGCGCTGGCTAAATTCGCCATTTTCTGTACCGAACCTTTCCGCATCCCTTTCGCCGGTCGTATCGACGTGGCTTGCTTTGACAAAACTGGTACACTAACAGGCGAGGACCTGGTCGTGGAAGGTATCGCGGGACTTGGGCTTGGTCACTCCGGCACGAACACCCCTCGCGAGTTCGATGGTGCACATAGCCATCTTACATCCGTTAAGGAGGCCGGGATGGAGACGACTCTCGTGTTGGCTAGTGCCCATGCCCTTGTTAAGCTTGAGGACGGCGAGATTGTCGGTGACCCTATGGAGAAGGCTACGCTTGCAGCTCTCGGATGGGCGCTGGGAAGAAACGACACGCTCGCGGCAAAGCCTTCTGTTACAGCCGCTGGTGGAACTTCTGGTACGGTTCAGGTCAAACGACGCTTCCAATTTTCGTCCGCTCTAAAACGCCAGAGCTCCGTCGCCACGGTACATGCTGTTGATCCAAAGACGGGGAATAGGATACGTGGTACGTTCGTTGGCGTCAAGGGTGCACCAGAAACGATAATGAAGATGCTTGTCACTGTCCCCAAGGATTATGAGGAGACCTTCAAATATTTCACTCGTCGCGGTTCTCGCGTGCTCGCCCTCGCCTATAAACAGTTGACTACTGATAACGAACTCGGTTCCGGCAAAATCAATGATCTGAAGCGCGAGAAAGTCGAGGCTGACCTGATCTTTGCTGGTTTCCTGGTCCTTCAGTGCCCCTTAAAGGATGACGCGAAGCAGGCGGTACAGATGCTCAACGAGAGCAGCCACCGCGTCGTCATGATCACCGGAGACAACCCACTCACGGCTGTGCATGTGGCAAGGGAGGTCGAGATTGTTGACCGTGATGTGCTCATCCTTGATGCACCGGAACATAATGATGGAGGAGAAAGGCTAGTCTGGCGTAGTGTCGATGATAGGACCAACATCGAGGTGGACGCATCGAAGCCTATCGACCCCCAAATCATCAAGTCGAAAGACATATGTATGACTGGATATGCACTGGCCAAGTTTAAGGATAACGTTAACGGTTGGCGATCACTCCTGCGCCATACATTGGTGTATGCTCGTGTGTCCCCGAAGCAAAAGGAGGAAATCCTTCTAGGTCTTAAGGACATGGGGTACTATACACTGATGGCTGGAGATGGTACAAATGACGTCGGCGCCTTGAAGCAGGCGCACATCGGTATAGCTCTTCTGAATGGCACTCAGGAAGATTTGACAAGAATCGCGGAGCATTCTCGCAACGCCAAGATGAGAGAGCTCTATCAGAAGCAGGTCGACCTTATGAAAAGGTTCAACCAACCAGCTCCTCCTGTGCCCGCTGTGATTGCCCATCTTTACCCTCCGGGCCCATCTAATCCTCACTATGAGAAGGCACTGGAGCGCGAAGCACAGAAGCGAGGCATCACCACTGAAGAACTTGCGAAGATAAACGGTACCAACATCGAGACTGTAACCAGCCCAGCAGCCCAGCAATTGATGAATCACGACCCGAGAACGGCTAAGCAGCGGGAAGCAGCTAACAAGGCAGCTGGCTTCGCTGACAAGATGACCAGCGCCATGATGGAACAGGAATTAGGCGACGACGAACCACCGACACTTAAGCTTGGCGACGCCTCGGTTGCCGCGCCATTTACTAGCAAGCTCCGGAACGTTATTGCCGTCCCCAACATTATTCGGCAAGGCCGTTGTACCCTGGTAGCCACGATCCAGATGTACAAGATTCTAGCTTTAAACTGCTTGATAAGCGCCTACAGCCTTAGTGTTCTCTACCTCGAAGGCATCAAGTTCGGCGATGGGCAGATCACGATTAGCGGCATGCTTATGAGTGTATGTTTCCTTTCGATATCCCGCGCCAGATCAGTCGAAGGCTTGTCGAAGGAAAGGCCACAACCGAACATCTTCAACTTTTACATCATCGGTTCTATCCTTGGTCAATTCGCGGTTCACATTGCAACGCTCATCTACATTGCCCGATTCTGTGATAAACTGGAGCCGTAAGTTGATACGTATTGTTCATCTCTTGACGTGTTGCTAATTTTGTCGCAGACGGTCCGAGATGGTTGACCTGGAGGCCGAATTCACGCCGTCTCTGCTGAACAGTGCCGTGTATCTCCTGCAGCTAATCCAGCAGATCTCCACCTTCGCAGTCAATTACCAAGGTCGACCATTCAGGGAATCCCTGTCCGAGAACCGAGGCATGTTCTGGGGTATCATCTCGGTCACTGCTATTGCCTTCTCCTGCTCGACCGAATTTATCCCGGAACTCAATGAACAGATGAAGCTAGTGAAATTCACGGATGAGTTTAAGACGACCATGACGACGATCATGATCTTGGATTACGCCGGCTGCTGGCTGATCGAGATAGTGCTCAAGCGGCTCTTCAGTGACTTCCGTCCTCGTGACATCGCAGTACGACGACCTGAGCAGAATGAGCGCGAGAGATTGAGGAAGGAAGCAGAGAAGGCTGTGAAAGACGCCGAGGAGGAGAAGAAGCGGCTGGAGAAGGTGGAGGAGTTTGAGCGTAAAGTGGAGGAACGAAGGCGGAAGATTCGAGAATGGAGCCAAGGTGCTCGTGCTCAGACAGAAGGCCTCGCTCAGCCGGCGAGGTAAAACTTGTGTCATTTCTCGCTGTTCTAGTCTATGTTCCGTATAGGAGATGGGCGGAATATCACTCCATAGACCCAGCATTATAGACATAGAGAACCGAGTTCTATAGACGAAATCACCAATCATTGTTTTCTTCCCTTTATTCTGTTCTCCTTTCTTCTGCTAAGGGACAACATATCTATCGAGTAAGTCTAATAATCTCTAATTTGTAACCTTGGTATATTTTAATATATATACACCTGTATAAGTGACTATGATCGGCCGAACTTCGGAAGGAATAGAATCGTCCCGATTGTCGTATTCAATAGATAGCCTTTAGCAAATGTCAAAGGTGTCTTGTTCAACCCCGAGCTTACATTATACTTAATCAGGACATTCCGACCGCTTATATTCAGGACGTCTCGAACGGCTAGGTTCTGGCTCAAGACTTAAGTAGTAACTGAGAATAGTAGATCCACCTTCACCATGGATACGCCACGACCAAGAGGCATCGTGGTTTTTGGGGGCGGAACGGCAACTAACAACCTAGTTGACGTATTCGAGGACATTAGAGAGAGCCGTAACTGCTCGCTCAGCTACGTAATACCCATTAGCGACAATGGAGGAAGCTCGTCGGAGTTGATTCGTGTGTTCGGTGGTCCCGGTATGAGCTCTTGTCTCTCTCGTCTTTGTCTGCATGGCTGACGGTCTATATGCGATAATGGATAGGTATCGGTGATGTCCGGAGTAAGTCCTGGTCGGCTCAAACCCTTTGGCCTTGGTGGGTGGGAAAGGGGGTTTCTCTAGACGAGATTCCTTGCTGATGTTCGCTACGCTCGCCGTTAGGTCGGTTAGTGCGTCTCATCCCCGGCTCAGACACGGATGCCGAACGGGCATCTATCAAGGGGCTATTCAACCACAGACTGTCGCCAGATCCGCTACAGGCGCGGTTGCAGTGGCTTGATATTGTCGAGGGGAGAGACGAGCTCTGGACTAACATCTCAAGTGAGAAACGCGAGCTTATCCGCTCCGTCTTCAACCACGTCAATCTAGAAATAGTCAAGAGAGCCCGGCCCAGTTCAGTCTTCAGCTTTGCTAAGGCTAGTATCGGCAACCTATTCTTGACTGGGTACGTGTGCCACTACTTTGCTTGCACTTGTCGATATCACACGTTAACATGTCTACCTGTTTGCCCCCTTTTCCAGGGCAAGAGTCTTCACGGGCTCTCTCGAATCAGCTATCTACCTTCTTTCGACCATCTGCTGCATTTCGCCGACAGTTTCGGCTCTACCGGCCATCAACACCAATTTCACCCATCACATCTCGGCGGGCCTCGCCAACGGCGTCCAGATCACGGGGCAGAACTCTATATCGCACCCATCGGCGCCCACGTCGCTGCCGCCCGATGATGATCTTCTCGGCAGCGGCAACGTCGGCACCTCGTCGATGCAGCAGCATCTGCGGGAATTGGAAGAGCACGACCGGATCGAGGATGCGACACTGCCGGGGTCGCTGCCGACGTTGCGCAAGCGGTACATCGACTTCAGCAAGGCCGATGAGGAAGACCTGCCGGCGCGTATCGAGCGGATCTGGTACATCAACCCGTACGGGCACGAGATATGGCCGCTCGCGAATCCCAAGGTGCTCGAGGCCATCGGCCGCGCCGGCGCCGTCATCTACAGCATCGGCAGCTTGTACACGTCCATCGTGCCGAGCCTCGTGCTTCGTGGGGTCGGCGAGGCCCTCGCCAAATCTGGCGCGAGGTACAAGGTGCTGATCTTGAACTCGACGGTCGATCGCGAGACGGGGCCGAGCTCTTCGCCGCTGACGGCGACCGACTTCGTCAAGGCGATCGCGCGGGCGGCCGCCGAGAGCCAGGGCGACTTTGCCGTCGACGAGCGACGCAAGGGCGAGGCGAGGAAGTATGTTACGCACCTGATCTACCTCGAGGGCGAAGGGGCGCCCAAGGTGAACAAGGACGAACTCGCGGCGCTAGGTGTAGACTGCATCAGGGCTTACGGACGGCGAGTAGAGGGCATGCTGAGGTACGACGAAGCTGGCTTAACAAGGGCCCTGGAGGCGGTTATTGGCAAGGCGGAGATGCTGAGAAGTCGCAGAAATACCAGTGGTCAATGAAGCTGCCTATGTATTATTATAAGGTGTCGGGATTAACTTGGGACGATAGCCGTAATATATATAAACTAAAGTCGGCCACAACATGAATCTCTTGCAGATGGGTGAGTTGCTTTTCATACTAGACCAATTAATACGGCTTAATGAGTATAATTAGGGGTATATAGTAATAGGAGGAGGGAAGTGTCATCAGATCATATCTTTCTTTTCTTTCTTTTGAAATTTAATATCGTACAGCTCTCGAGGTACCAAAGCATATCACGTCTTCCCACGAGATAACCCGTGGAAGCTTCAGCCCTCTCTAGGGTTTGTATGACTAAATGTAGCCTGTATCATCTGAACCGGCAAAAATGACTTTTCCTCGCTTCAGAGATTCTTTATGTAGGTACCTTACTATCGCCAAAGCCTAGATTTAGACGGCTTATTTGGGTGGGTTCGCGGCAACAAAGGCGACACCCTTCTCAATGTTCTTCTTCAAGTCACCAAGGCACGCCTCCAAAAGTGCCTGCTCGTTGCTGTCGACCTCACCGACGGGAAGGATCTTCTCGACTCCATTAGGACCTAACTCGACCTTGGAGGCAAAGAATTCGATGCCTTGATCCTTGTAAAGAGGGCTGTCCACGAAGGTAGGCTCGATGACACCCTTCTCACCCTGGGCGGCGCGGAGAAGCGATTCGGCCATGCGGGCACCGGCCATGGCCATGGACAAAGTAGCAGAGCCAGCGCCATCCTTAGCCTTGACGACCTCGTCGCCGCCGAACTGGACGCGTTTCACGAGTTCGGCGTTAGACGTCAGGTCGGGGTGACCGCTCTGGCTGAAGAGGGGAACGATAGTGACGCCGGAGTGACCACCGACAACGGTGATCTTCTCGTCCTTAGGGTCGGTACCCTTGATCTCGCTAACGAACCGGCTAGCGCGGACAACATCGAGGGTGGTGACACCGAAGAGACGCTTAGGGTTGTAGACGCCACGTGCCTTGAAGACCTCGGCTACGATGGGGACAGTGGAGTTGACAGGGTTGGAGATGATGAGGAGGTTGGCTTCCGGGCATGTTTCGGCGGCGGCCTTGGCGAGGTCACGGACGATGGAGGCGTTGGTGTTGAAGAGATCGTCACGGGTCATGCCAGGCTTTCGGGGAACACCAGCAGGAATGAGAACAATGTCGCTGCCCTTCAAGCTGTTGGCTAGACCGGTGGGTGTGGGGTCGAAGCCCTTGACTGTGCTCTTAGTGTTGATGTGGGAGATATCAGCAGCAACACCTAGTTATGCGTCAATTACATGTCAGCCCATACAAAATCTCAGCTGGACGACCCGCCAACGTGACGATTGGAGGTGCAAGACATACCAGGACCACCACGGATATCGTATAGAGCAAGCTCGGTTACTCTGGGGTTGAGCTTGAGAAGGAGGGACAATGGCTGGCCAATGCCGCCAGCGGCGCCAAGGACTGTGACCTTGGAGAGCTAAAAATGACGAATATGCATATGTTAGCTTATGTTAGCAATTGAGCTCTGAGCTCTGAGCTCTCGTCGAATTTGACGCAAGTAATTCAAATAGTTGCTGCTCCATCAATGCCTCAAGAATTATGGGTTTCTTACATTTCGCGCCGAGGCCGAGAACGCTCGGCGCTGGATGCCACCGAAAACTGCTCGTGCAAGAACCATCTTTTTTAATTTATTTATTCCTCTAATTGTATGAATTGGGATGCCGTGTTATAGTAATGTCACAATAGAGACTGGATGCCGATAGAAAGAGAGGAGGGATGGCGAGAAAGACTATGAGACGTCAAATGCAAAGTAGAGAGTAGAGGGGAAATATTTGTAGTCAAGAAGAAAGATGAGGTAAAATTGTTGGCGATGTTAAAAAACAATCCAATGTTAAAAACTAGTACCTGCGAAACATGATGAGCCGGGCAATGCCGGAGTTACACCTACATGGTAGGTATAGGTACATACCTACCTACATAGTAATCCTTTATCGGTTATCGGATCGATGGAGGGGATTACCGTCCAAAGATCCGCAGGGAACAATTAACCGTTAATTAACAGTTAATTTATGGTTTGAAGAAAATAAACGTTTGAGAAAAACAAACCACTGAGTAACCATATTTTTATATAAACGTTTATATGCATTTTAATATTTGAAGAAACCTAAAACGTTTGAATATTCAATCGTTTATTTAAAGCTCTAGATGTACCTAGACGGAGAGGCCACGGGAGCTAACGGGAGTAACGGGAGTAGGTGTAACGTTGGGACCAACAGGTAAACAGGTCAGGTCAGGTTAGGTTAAAGCTATTCAGGCTAAGGAGGCCTTCTACATCTACAAAATCTACAATTACAGTATTAACTGTAACTACAATACCTACCTAGCCACGCAGTTGAGTAAGTGAGCACTGCTAGCAAGTCCGTCTTGGATATCCTGGCGTTCCTGGAGACGATCCTGGTGGGTCCTAGGTAGGTAGGTAGGTAGGTCTTTAAAGACTTCTTCAAAGACTTTGAACCTTAGAGCACTTAAAGTTTAGAAGAAGAAGAAAAAGGCGTGTAAATAGGTAGGTGGGAGCAAAGTTTTATATAGACTCTAAGGCAAGTAACACAACAAGATTAAAACAGTTAAACTAGAACGATTGGAATGGCTTCACACACCTTAGGATCAAAGGTCCAAAGTATCGAAATAGCTACACATACTTAGATTAGGAGGTAGACCAGGATAGCTAGAATACCAGGACAGTTACACACACCTATTGAAGCTATCGTCAACTAGAAACGGTCGTTAAAACTCGAACGTTTAGAAATATTTAACAATAAAATGCAAGCAATCGTTTAATTTTATAAACGCTCGGATAAGTAAACGTCAAATTAAAATAAACCATATATTTATGGTTTAAATAAATAAACCATAAATTAACGGTTAATTGTTTCCTGCAGGTCTTTGCCAAGTATTAGGTAGTACCGTATAGAGACTCTATCGGTGAAAGCTCGGATTTTATTTACCAAGGTATTCTACGAGTGGCTGATTCAGCACCACCGACGCCGTGGCCAGTGAGGGGCAGTGGGCATTCCTGCACACATCTTCAAGTGTTTATGTAAGTGAATTTCTACATGGAAGTTACTTCCCTTGATAGATACCTACTAGGTAGCTATAGGGAGAGTGCATCCGAGGTCTCAGCATGTTCCTAAAGCGCAAGAGGTTCTGGAAGTATAGTACTTTTTTTTTCACTCTTTCAAATTTCACTCTTTCACTCTCTTTATTCTGCCCTCAAACAAGATTTGAACGATTGGTCGATTGAATATTGACGCGATCAATGCAACGTCAATACCCGGACAGCTACTTTCTAACCCTGCAAACGATCATCTTTCATCTACCCGTAACCTACTACTTTTAGTACCTAGTATTTATGATCAGGGCGGGCCATAGTTGTAAATTCTCTAATTGAGCAACCAAATTTCTAGGTGACATCTACGGATACAAAATGATGATCATACCTGTAAGTATGAATTCGTATCTACCTAGATACAAATCACTGCTCAGCTGAACTATCATCACCCTTTTTCCGTGGTTAAACCCCGAAATGCTATCTAATACAACTGCTTCATCAAATGGGCCCGTCTCACTTCAGAGGTCGCCAGACTCAGACTTGGACTCAGTCTCGGACTCGGATTCTCTATTCGGGGACAGTTCCAAATCAGTCACGCTTGAGGATCATTCGAAGCCTGCGACTCCAATTTCTACAGAAGCTGTTGATCACCAGGACGACCCAGTACACGGACTTCAGTGGACTTGTAAGAACGATGTCTTTTCACTTACGCCTCAATGGACCGTCGAACCAACAATCGGTGCCATCGTCATGACGCTGCAGAAAGCCATAGATCCCCACAAGCAGTATAACGTTGAGCACCTTTGGGACGGAACATACAACAAGATATATTCAGTTTCGTACGACCAAACCGACTTTGTCATGCGTGTGTCTCTGCCTGTATGTCCGAGAACCAAGATAGAAAGTGAGGCCGCAACATTACAATGGGTCTGTGAAAATACCAACCTACCAGTCCCCAGGGTTCGGTCTTATGACTCTTCACGCAACAACCCCATAGGCTTCGAATGGATATTAATGGATCGCATTGATGGAGTACCTCTTTCTCAATGCTGGAGCTCTACTACTCAGGATGCCAAGGAGCGCATCGTGAAACAGGTCGCCGGATATGCCGCGACCGCCTTTTGGGCGCAATTTAAAGGCGTCGGCAATTTATATCCTCCACAGTCGCATTCGCCAACTTCTCGGCCTCGGGTAGGTGAGATAGTAGCACCGGTGTTCTTCTAGGGTGAGCGCGCCAGTCTACGCCACTATGGGATCCCTTTTCGCACCGCATTCAAGTGGACGAAGCGTCGCCTCCGACTTATTTCAGCCGACCTTCGCTTGAAAACACAGGAGATATCCGACAAACACCATCGCGCCATTGCCGCTAGAATGTTGGTACTTGTCGACCGTCTTCGAAATATAGAAGACATGTTTTTCCCAACTCCTGAAATTTGTTCCGACAAGAACCTAGCTCTTGATGATAATGAGTCAACTGACGAGGGTGAGGATATCGCTGACAAGGAGGGATGGCCTTATGAGCCCACTATGCTTTGGCATGATGATATTTCTCTCGATAATATTCTAGTAGATAAGAGCGGAATTCTCTGTGGCATCATTGGCTGGGAATGTGTTTCTTGTCTCCCTCTTTACGAAGCCTGTCAATTTCCTGCTTTTCTTCAACAATCGCAAGACCGCCCTGTCGAGCCATTGACTCCCTACGGAATCACACAAAAACAACTAGACAATAATCAACACATTGCAAATTACGATAGGAATTTGAGACAGCACCATACTACCCTGTTGCGACGGCTGTTTATTACGGAGATGATGGATAAGTGTCCTGAATGGGTCACCATTTTTGACAGCCGGAAATACTTGAGGGACTACGAGGCCGCGGTACAGAATTGCGACAACGAGTTCGCCTACGAGATCGTTGAGACGTGGGTAGATGCCGTAGAGAAGGCGGAAAGCCCCGACAAGACCCCTTGGCATCTTCACGAGCGTCTCATGGGGTAATACGAACCAGCATGGGCATCTTTAGTGTCAAGATATCGGGGTGTGCTGAGGATGCCTCGGCCTGGAAATGTCACCGATGCTGATAATTTCATTATTAAAAATCAAACTCAGTAAAACTCAGATAATTAATGTTAGGTATGCATAAACTCTACAAAGGCTACCTATCAGTAACCAATCCCAGGCTTTTACTCAATCCCAAAAACCACCTATTTACGGGTATACAAGCTGAAGCACGACCAGAGCATTCCCAGTGCTGTTTTCTGTCTCTCAGGCCCATTGACCCCACGCTCCCTAGTTTCTATTAGGAAGTCGATCATATCATCCGTCATACCCATTCCATCGAATCTGTCCTGCACCGGGCTGAACGCGTTGTGATGCTCCTCCCTTGCCGTTCCATGAATCTTGTTAACGTGCTCTGCCATGTCGTTACTTACCTCTGCGCAGTCTAAGTTGCCGTAGGGGGTGTGTCCAATGTTTTTCTGAGAGTCAATCCGCAAATTGCGTTCGATACTGGTCTTACCTTCGTATTCTCCGTAGCTCTCCAAGTTCTTATTAATGTCGACATCCTCATAGATGTCGTAATCATCGTCAAGCTCAACATCCACAAATTCAATCTCATTTTCCTCGTCACCTACCGTGAACAGCTCAGTCTCGACATTGCAGTCCTTACGGATATTACTGTCCTCCCCCTGCTCATCTTGCAGACTAGAACCTACCTTCATGTCTCCGTCACTGTGGTGGGCTTCATCATTGGCTTCGCTATACTCCCGTGACGCTTGCTCGACTTCTTCGAGGTTGACTTCCTTTGTAGCGATGTCCAGACTAGAGGGGGGTGCTTCTTGTGAAGGAGAATCAGCGGATTTCACATCGTGCCTTCGCCGATAATGGCTATAAAACTCTCCTTCTGGAGTCAGCGGCCCGGTCCAGGGAGTTACCAAGGCGGTGATGTCATCCTTGGTACACTCTGGGAGGACTACGATGTTTTCAAGTTTGTCTGCCGTGTCTACTTCTCTGACGAATTCCTTTTTTGCCTTGTCTTCAATTTTACACGCTTCAGACCGCCCCTGCTTTGATCCACAAGCGAATGGCAGATTGGCAACGACTAAAGTTGACGCTTCGTGTTGGCAGTCAGGTTTGTTGCAAAAGTAGGTCAGATTGTTATCCGACTTGCAGCCGCAAGTGTGATAGAGCACAATGGCTCGACAGGCAGTCATCATATCAGGGGTTGGCGGTGGTACAGTCGACATTTTCTCTTCCCTTTTTTCCTTTCTCTTCACTTGGCAAGCCTGCTTGCTCTATAATCTATACCAACTTGAGAGATATAGATGACCTGACCTGCTTGATCGAGTTTTTGTTTTGGCAATAAGACGACTTAAAAAAGTTGGGGCTTTGATTCTTGACTCAAGACAAATTACACCGAGCCTGATGAAGATGGCTGGAACGCACATTTTATCTTCGCACGCTGGCCTTTTTCAATGGGATTGTTCTGAGATAAATACAATATTCATTGTTAGAAAAACAAAGCTAATTCACTGGCTTCCGCTGGGCCGAAACCCCCTTTATTGTGTTCTTTGATACTGGGCCATCGGCTTTCTACCGCGTGATTATGTTGCTAATGTCTTCCAAAGTTACCCCTATTTATTATTTTCATTGTAAGACGATCTAACCTTGACAGAATTCTCGTTAACCGGTTTAAGTCAAATAGAGAGACCGATTCTTGCAAGCATTGGTGCCATGTACATCTTTGTGATTTGGTTTACCCCTGCCCTAGTACGTGCAATAGGAACCTAATCATACAGAGGTGGGACACATGAAATTGCAACGCTAGCCTACTCATGCTTTCCTTCTCTTCGATACGCTGTTATATACAAGAGTAACATCAAAACCTCGCTAAGTTCGTAATGGTTCCACTAATACCCAGTTCTGCAGACGAAGCCAAGTTGCCGGGGAGGTTTTCATAGTGGTATATCTCCCTAAGTCGTTGTATTTCTCTCCGGAAGTTGGGCAACGTAATCATCCCAGAAGGATATGTCATCTTCTAGGTCCAATATTGTGAGCATCCATCTCCAACTGTCCAGCCATGGGTCCGCCGTCTCTCTCTGGAAAGTTCGATCTCGTAAGTGTTGTTTCCATTTTGATTTCATGAGTCTATACTCAAAGGCGATTAGCTGGAGCTTTTCTTTGTACTCGGATACCGGCTTCGAGGCAGTTCGAACAAAGGCTGCTGCGATCCGAACCCACTTCCAAGCGAGGTTCGCGTCCATCGTACTCTGAAAATGACGAAACTCGACAGTGCTTTGATCATTCTCTCGGTTATAGATAGCTAGAGCCAGCCGTCTGTTCATTAGGTTTACATTAGTACCAGATAATAATTCTGCGAGTTCACCCATGTCTCTTGCTCCAAAAATGGCTGAAATCCAAGTCTTCTCCTTGGCAGAAAACTCCTTTGGAAGGCCGTCGGGGGTGTCTTCTTCTTGGTCTGGGATTGTCGGTTCGACCTTATCCTCCGAAGGATTATTTGCGTCGCTAGGCTCCGTAGTGACTGGGCCCTCGCAAGATGGTGCGGATTTATCCTGGGTTGGTTCAAGTGTTATACTGTCTTCGCCTGGCGGAATATCTTCGTTGGAAACACTCTCTTTCTCATGCGTGGGCTGGATATCTTGGGGCTGCTCATTCTTCGTATCATCCTTCTCTTGGGCGACCCCTACACCCTGGTCCTCTGGGGTCTCTATGTTATTTTCCGTGGTAACGTTTATGTTCTTTTCTTCGGGGACCTCACTGTCGCCCGGAGCGTCCTCTATAATGTCGGGTTCTGCAATATCAAACTTTGTCTGAGCTAGGATCGAATACTTTCTGATTGGTGCGTTTGACAATGTCATGCCCCTATCTTCGTTACAAAGAGAGAAGAGACATGGCTCGAGAAGCCATCCCAGGATAGCTGCTTTCTTGGCGGTTTCCAGGTCGAGACCGTTCTCGACACCGATATGAACGTGGAGACCTGCGGTTTGAGTAGGTGAGGGCTCGAATTTATCGGAAATATTGGTGTTTTTCGGAATACCGCCATCTTTGATTGCGGCAAAGGTGGCGTCGAATTCGGGACAGCCTTGATCGTCGAAGTTCAGGGCACGGGTGGAAAGTTCTAGACCGATAGCAATTTTCCCAAGTGTGTCCTTCTGAGCCTTCTCCTTGGTGCCAATAACAACGGAGCTATCTCCGGAGAAGCAGTAGTAGTTTTTCCAGTCTGCCTTATCGAGTAGCATCCCATCTGGGTACCGATGGGCCGTACCTCTATATTTACTCCATTTTCCGTAGATGCAGGCACAAGGCAGTGGATTCGTCAAGTTCCTCAAGAAGAGCTCTGCTATAGCCTGGTACGTTTCCTTATTGTTCATATGTTCCTTGCGAGTAGTAATGACGAATTCCAGCTCTACGCCAAAGGTCAGTGCCGGGTAGGAAGCCATCACGAAAACGAGTGAATGAATAAAGTGCTAGGTATGGTAATGTATCGTAGACAGGATGCTGCAATATATCTACCCGAGAGGGGCGGTTTTAGATGCTGCTATAAGAGCGAAGGACCGAGGTTGGACAAAAGATAAACAGTCAGAAGATATTATCTTTTTCTTTTCTTTTTTTTTTGTTTTGTTTTTGAATATTTGGAACAGTTGAAGCTTGAAGGACATGCAGATTTCACTTTCTCTGTAAATAACCCAGATAAGTTACCCAGGTAGTTACCCAGGTAGTTACCCAGGTAGTTACCTAGGTAGTTACCTAGGTAGTTACCTAGGTATGTACCTGTGTAAGTTATGCATATGTGCCTTCTTGTTGAAGTCTTGACGGCGGACGATTATAATGTTGAATGCCGCTACTACTTTTGAATGCCGATACATATCTGTATGTTCTTTCTTAGAAATGCTACGTACGCTGAGATTTAAGATGGTTAGGAAGGTCCATTGTATTTGCCGAGATACTCTGACGTATGACAACATAAAAAGAAGGTACCACACTGCTAAGTTAGAGAAGTTTCAATGTTGTTGGACTTACCACATAGGTACCTATGTACTTTTAAAGAAACCGCAACTAATGATCTTTCAGATCTTCGTCTAATAAATCGCACAAGGGCCCTCTCCCAAATGGTATCCTATACACTCCAGCATTACAACGGTATAATATAGCTTCCATCTTCCTGCTTATACTCCTTAACACCAAATCTCTTCGAATCCATGAAGAACTTAAAACATCCGGTCTGAAATGTTTCAAACGCTCTGATGAACAGTCGAATATTCTCCCGGACGTTTTCGTCATAGTTGAGTCCCTTAGTCCTAAGAGAGGCGGCGGCAACGTCGAATTTCCTAGCCGACGAGTACATCTGCTCTACTAATTCGTGTACAATAGAGTCTAACGACTTTCCTGTTTCTGCAACCATGATGGGCACCAAGTTGGTCGGCGTGTCTTCTTTCTATCTTCTACTTAGTGTCTTTACAATAAAGGCGTCTGAGGGGGATACCCATACCATTTCCTTTTTTAACGAGTACAAGTCGTTGCAACTGATAACATGGTTCAGAAGATCGAACGTACGGGAAGAAAGACACAGAATACTTACAGGAGAGGCTGGAAGCTAGTTTCTAGCCGCAGAACCCTTACTTCCTCACACCAGGCCAAGCCATCAGGCAAGGTCATGTTATTCACATACTGGTGTAGCGTGCAATAGGGGAATACAGCGCCAACACCATGCCGGTACGTCCAATATTCCTCGACGCTGGGGAGTGACCCTGAGAGTCGGTAGGTTTGCTCCAGGGCGTTGGTGTCGATGAATTCTTGGATGTCAGTGGCAAGCCTGTCAAGATCGACTTGGCCTGGCCCAGCCGCAGTCACCCTCGGCGCGAACGCCTCAAAACTCGCAAACTCCTGCGGTGGGTGGAGCAAGTGCGTTTCCGGGATGGCCTTATCGTTGTGTTGAAAGAGTTTGTGTCGCATGTAAGCAATCGAATCTTGCCTCAGTTTCGTGGCAGCATCGAAGTCAGAAGCGAAGTCTAGTGTCTCGTCATCGATCTCCTTGTCGATCGTATCGTCGAAAATGAAGAATACCATGGACATCAAAGCCATCGTCTTTAGCTGTTCTATCCCTGCACTTGGATAACATCTGGGACATCGAATAATGTTCAACAGGCATTGTTGGTTATCTATGACATGCGTGAAAGCAACAACTTACAATGATGCAAACCAACCAAGATCAATCGCCCTTGTCTTTACCCGGGCTTTCTTGTTTTTGACATAAATGTCTATCTTCTCGTCAATAAACGCCCTTAGCTCCTCGCAGTGAGGGTTGAGTCCAGATGCCCAATTTGCATAGATCGGTCTTAAGTCTGGTACGTGTAGTAGCTTGCCTTGCAAGCCCCTGAGTGCGGCTACGCCCTCGCTTTCGAACATTTTCATCCGATGCTCGGTTGGAAATTTGGAGATGAGAGAACCAGAAGGTTTACCACGATATTCGGTAAGATTGCCTTAAGCGTCACAGGGCCGTATCACTGATGTCTTATATAACTATTTTTTCGAGCGACTCCGCAAATCCTTCTGTGGGTTGCACTAAAATACCCGCTGCGTCCGAGCTGTACTATCTTCGATGAGATTTACCTGGTGTTATTCAAAGCTTTCGGTGGAGTCTTTACCGGCCATGGGCTCTCGGCTCGTCGACGTGGCATTGCATGAACCAATTGGCCAAAAAAAAAAAGGATGGGATTGAGATGACATTCCCAACAGCGAACATGGTTTACGAGCTCAGGTAGAAAGAGGCACGGAATGATATTAGATAAGGAACTAATGGCCGGCCTTTTACGCTTAGAGGTGATCTGGTTACCTGATATGATTCACCTAACCTACCTAGGAACCGAGACACCTAGTCTGTTAATCCCTGCTGCTCTGCAATGTTACCGAATGTCGCTGTCTCCGTATTGTTAGTGTCCCTTCGCCCAATCTCACCTTGGCTTGCTAGCAGATATCAACTTACATGCGATATTATTGTAGAGAGTCCACAAAATTCTTCGAGCTCGAAATAAAGCGTCTCCTTCATCGGCTTACTTAGGTCTCTGTGCATCGGAGAGGAAGAGGGGGTTAAGAGGTACATCTAGAATGGCGTGTAGGATGACGCTTAGAACGATCGCTCTCATATTTATGTACCTATTTATGAATATATGAATCGACCTTACTTTTCTGCCCCTTGTGGTGGAAGCAAGGGATGCTTCTACATTTCCGGTTACGAGTACTCATCGTAACTTGATTCAGTACCGGTAGGTATACGACTCGAATCCTAGTCATATAGATGGTTATTTGCAAGATGCGTATCTAATGGATAAATGAATAAAAATAGGAGAAAAACAGGGAGAGATGGAGGAAACAAGACAGATAGAAAGAGGATGATAAGCTTGTTCAAGATAAAGGCATTGTTTAGGGCAGACAATAATTGCCGGCCTGTTTGTCGTGGAACAGGTTAAGAGTTTATGGAGAATATCTTTATCATGATGGTTATATTAACCAACTAACTGACAAAGTGAACGGGTCAAAGAAAGTGGTAATGCAACCATCAAAGGATATTTTATATCTCCATTCCCCCTTTTCCGAGATAGCGATCGTTAATTGTCAGTCGTCAATCGTCAATCGTAATCGTAATCGTCAATCGCCAATTGTCAATATTGGCATAATTGGCATACAACTAACGATCCAGAGAACGAGAATCTGTCCGGTCAGTTCCCATCAGTTCCCGTCAGTATGTGCGAGTTTCGCGGTATGACGTTCCCATGCGGCTGCGTTACGTGGAAGGGCAGCGAGTACAAGTACTGCTCGAAGCGAGGCAAAGGGTGTAAGACGAAGATCTTTAGGCATTTTGAATGGCAAACTTTCTGTCCAGGCTCCCGTAAGTGTCTCAAGGGGAAGACCAAGTACGAAGAGGGCGCCGTCCTTCCCAAATGCTGCGCTCACCTTGAGAAGTCGACGCTCGGAAGTCTCTGCTTGAAATGCAACTCCATCCCTAACAAGGACAATGAATTCGACCGCCCTTGCGCGTGGCACGTGAAATGCGTATCTGTCATGGTTGACGCAGACGCGGAAAACGAATTCGAAAGGTTTGTGCGGCTCTGGCCGGTCAACTTACGAACTCGATACCTTCGCAGGAAGCTAGATTTGAGAGTGAGAGATGTTGGTTGGTCTCTATGATCTGCTCAGGCGAGCGAAGGTTATACATAGGTAGGTATTCATACATACCTAATATTGTTTGGTGTTTTGTGTTTTCTGTTTAGAATTTGGTCTAGTTAACTCGGTCAGCGAACCGGAGGTACTTAGGTAGTGATAAATTATCATGATTGGAAGAGATTGTTTTACCTATTGTTAGAAATGCTGTGGCTGGGACGATAATATTTCGAAACGTTGTATAAATTGTATCGTATAACATCCGACATAATTGATTGCCCCTATTATATTGCGGAGTTACTACGTATATTAAAATAGCTTGGAACAAGTCGGCGATCGGTGCGTGGGAACGCCGTGATCTCATGTTACTAGCGTGAAGTGGCATCGCGCTATTGGACGAGCGTGAGATGATTTACGTTTTAGGCAAGTCGCTTAAGACCGACTAGGCCGACCAGGCCGACTGGACCGAGAGCGACCTTTCGCTTCTGCGCAGCAACTCGTGAACCCACCAGGCCGGTTACACACCCGTCGCACATGCCTACCGCGCCTATGTAAGGATGAGGTCAACAGACCCACTCTCAGCCGGAAGTTAATTCTACGACTAGCAGACTAGAAATACTTTCGGAAAACTACTCAGATAACATGGATCATCTCTTTTTCTTGATCGTGACTTGGTCACCTTTGGTTAGGCCGATGTTCTATTCCGATGTTCTAGCCTCGGGATGGCGGAAGGACGAGATGACGGGATGACGGGACGACATAAATATTCTGACTCGAGTTACCATGATAATTCTTTGTTCTAGCCATCTCACATCCTGCATCTGGCATTCTTATATTTAATACCTGCCACATATTTCGACCTTGTCTTATTATTGTCAATATTGAAAATATTCCCGTATTTACTTGTTCCCCGACGTCTAATGCCTAATACCCATTGCTAATATCAGAAGGAAAAGGGGAAAACAGAAGAACATGTCGCAGCAGCAACAGCAACAGCATCGAACTGGGCCACCCTACGCCCCGACCACCGCCAGCGTGGGTGGCCTTCCCTCTGTTATCCCAGATGTGCCCATCTCGGCCGTCTTCGTCGCCATGTACGTGGCTTTCGCCGCCTTTAATATGACCATATATCAGATTAATAGTCGGAGAGGACACAAATTCATCCCTTCCGTCGCCTTATTTGGTTTCTGCATGGCCCGCATCATGACCCTCGTTCTCCGGATAGTGTGGTCTACTCGACATACCAATGTCAGTCTCGCTGTCGCCGCCAACATCTTCGTCAACGCTGGTATTCTCATCATCTATGTTCTCAATCTCATATTTGCCCAGCGCATCTTACGGGCAAGGCAACCTGCTATCGGGTGGCACATGTCGCTTCGTATCCTCTACAGAATCCTCTTCGTCGGAATCGCCTGCGCCCTTATCATGGTCATAACAGCATTAGTCTTGTCCGTCTACAGCTTAGACTCTTACACACTACGAGCATGCCGGGACGTCCAGCTAACCTCTGGAACGTACCTCCTCGTCTTCACCACTATACCTGTCTTCCTTATAGCTACCGCTTACCTATTACCATCATCTCCAGCCAAGGAAACGTTTGGGGAGGGTAGTATGAGATCTAAGACTATTATCGTCCTCCTAGTTACTTGCCTCTGTATGATGAATTCCGGTTTTAAAGTTGGAACAGCTTGGTCAGCTCCGCGACCGGCCAATAATCCAGCTTGGTACCACGGCAAAGCTCCTTTCTACGTATTTAATTTCGCCCTCGAGATCATAATACTGTCCATTCTAGCATCCACTAGGATTGACAAGCGATTCTATATCCCAGATGGAAGCAGGGAGCCAGGCCACTACTCGCGCCGTGTCGAGTCGCCCACCGAGAACGTCAGCGACCCTTCTGTCGAGAAGGATGGGAAAAGTGAGGACAGGACTTTGTTCGATGCATAATGAAAGCCGGGTGCTTAGTAGATAGGATGACTCGGCCTTGATGGAGATGTTTATTTTTATATATAGGTGCTGATGATACCCATTTTTAATATAAAAAATATGATTTCGCTGTCTATGTCCTAACATTGTTGATTATGATGGTGACTTATAACCTACTCGACGACATGTTTGTAAACGTCTCATCCAAACCGCCCACTTCCCATTGCTCCATGTTGGCCGCTTCCCACTCGGCCTGCAGATAGCGTAAAATGGCCCAGACTTGGTGGAATTCCGTGTCACTTTCGGATTCCTGGTCATTATCGGGGTCGAATTTGCCGTGTGTCCACTCGCCATCGTTTTCCCAGCTGAAGCAAAGAACACGGACAACAAAGTGTATCGCGTGGTCCAACGCTGTCCAGCCTTCCTTGTTAGATATCGGGGAGCTCGCGTACTTGGGCATAGCGAACGCGTCGGTCGACCTACATAATCTGAATAGTTCGTCGCAGTCTATATCCTCGACCTGCGGGGCCACCTCGAGATAGTCGTGCCGGTACTCCTCGAAGAAAGGCTTGATGAAGTCGCCATCTAAGATTTCCCGCACTAGATGCTTCTCGTCATCGTAAAACCCGAGATAAAAGCAGAGCGTATCGTAGACCCGCTGCAAGGCTGGAATTCGTTCCTGTGGGATGGCTTTGCTAGTCGCCATGTGTGGTTGGGTGTATTTAGCTGATGGCGGTCTATGGAAAGTAAACCGTGAAGATGAGAGAGCACGACGTTCGTGTAGCGTGGTGAGGCGAACTGAGTTATGTAGCGCCTCATCTAGCCACCCTGCTCTATGCTGAATGAGGAGTGACGGAGATCCAAGAAGCACAAAGCTGCATGATCGCGAGGGGCTTAGCATTTGTACCACGTGGGTGAAGCATGACGGATCCAATCATTTCCCTTGCCGAGCTGCACGACGAGATGGCGGTAAACTACAAGTCCTTATAAAGTTGTACATAATGTATATTTCGCATATCAATTTATTCCCTGAGCGACGACTTTCCTCGTCTCGATACCACTACATGCTCGAGAAATATTCTGCGTATCCCGTATAACTATCCAGTCTCAGGACTTTGCTGATCAGGCCCTCTCAGTCTTGGTCTCTAACTTTGAAATTTGCCCCTTGATCTACTAAGCGCCATGTTTTGGTTGTGATCTCCTAATTCAGTCTCTTGATCAACCAAACCTTTTGCATATCAGACCGGGAACATTTATGGTGTATATGGAATCCAACACGTCTTCAAATTAGTATTTCTTCGTTCCTCGGCATAGGTATCTCATAGGATTGGCACTGGGGCTCTCTGTAAATAGTCCTGGGCATTTCCGGTTTGATATACTGAGCAATAACGTGGGTGATGCTGGAGGTAGACTCGCGTTTTCTATCAGGATGTTTCTTTAATGGGTTGCCTTGCCGTTTCCGTAGGTTGCTTAGTTGCAGAGAAGTCTTTTCGCTAGGATCGATGCATCGCAGGTGCTCGAAGCCGGGATTGATAGCAGATCTGCGCCGTCCGTGTATTTTAATACTTTCTAGCGCCGAAGAATGGTCATGGGCTCGAAAACTCTCATTTTCGTCTCCTAGAATTGAGTCCAGCTTGTGGCTTCTCGGTTTGTCGTGTCTATTCCAGCTCCGTCCTTTCGATTTCCTATCTTGCCACCCAGTCGCCTTAGAATGGTCAATACTCGTGCAACTTTTAGGACGCCTATGGCTGGGGCCACTGAGTCTGTGAGGTTTATTGTGGCCGTTCGGGAAGGGCCTTTGAACGCGGCTACCGGTATAACAGGCGTCTTCTGAGATGGGCACCTGCTTCCCTTTGGGGTCAGGATCAATTAGCGACGCCGCCCTATTTGTCGAGTCTCCAGTCAAACTCTTCCAGATCTGTAGGCGAAGGGCTATATCCGTCGTGATTTCCTGTTCGAGGTATCTTAGAAAATCTGAATACTGCTGAGGCTCAATATGAGGATCAGTAGCCAATTGGTAAGATCGCCTGCGCCGTCGTATTGTAGCAGGGGAGCAAGATCGGTGTATTACTGGGTTGTCCCTAGATTCAAGTATTCGTAGAGTCCTTTCTCGTTCGTCAGTCTCGTCAGGTTCCTCAGGCTCCTCGTCTATTCTGGAATGCCATAGGGGCGCATTGCGGGAAATAGCCACGGTAGGGCTCGGATGTGATTTGTTGGATGAACCCATTCGTGAATCATGAATCTCGAGCCGGCGGGACCTTCGCTTATCTGGGAGTGATTTAACGGGGGACTTGGGAACTGAATGTGCCCCCCTATTCACCCCCGGTAGTGTTTCTGTGTCATTCAAACCGTCTATCCTTGCACAGGAAGACGGTGGGAATATAAAGTGCGACGGCGAATAGGACAGGTTACTATTTCTATCTTGGCTATGGCGGTGATTTTTACCGTGGTTGCGTTGAACTGTCGAGGCAGCCAACTGTTTGGAGGCCGAGGCGTTCTGAAATACCAGGTCCGGTTGTCGTGATGCGATGGCGTTTTTGGAAGTGCTTTGTTGGGATATCGGTCTTGCTAACCTTTTCTTTTTTGAAGATGGTTTGTGAGATTTATTGCTTGAAAAAGATTGAGGCCTGAGTCTTGACCGTAGGCGATGGAAGAACGCTCGCATACTATCGGGAGATTTCTGCAGTGACACTATACCTTCAATCCTAACAGATGAAGAAAGACCTTCCCTTTCAGATACGGTTGCGTGCGGGTCGGACATCTTGCACTATAATAGGTCCAAAGATGGTTCTTGGATCAAGATTAGGTACCTATACAGTGGCGTAGGGCGGGAAGGGGAGGGGAGATGTGTATAATATTCTGATAATAAGAATATCCAGGTTAGAAATGCGGAAAGAGAAGCCAGCAGGTTTCGTCGTGGGCGAAGAAATCATAGGGGACTGATGGTAAGGGCCGAAGATCGAATGGGATTTATACCCCTGAAGGGTTCATCATGGCAATAAGATTCGTGCTATAAAACGCCAAAGGATAGAACGCCAACACGGCGCAATTCTCGTGCGCCACAGAATATTTGTGGAATTAGACTTCAATGAACGACATGAGTTAACCAATAGTAAAACCTAATTACTTTCCGTCCTCCTATCGCTGTCGCGAAACTCGAATTCCGGAGGACATCCTGGCCGAGGATGAACGTAAGGCATCCATATTTTTATCATTATTATGAATGACTATGACAGCTTAAGACTTAATGAAAACCACACGAAGAAATGAATAGGGTTAATTGTCTTTATATGAGCGCGGCCAAATTTGCAAATGTAAGTGTAAGTGTAACTAGCTAACGGTTTCTCATAAGCCACTCTCCATCCTCCACACGGATGGATTTCTCAACGTACTACCTGAGGAGCGGGGTTCGTGGATTATTTTATGTTGAAATTTCGCTATGCTAGATATTTTCAGTCATATCTTCTCTCCTTCATTCACCTACGCTTCTTTGGCCTCGTATCGCAACCTCACCCCACTTCCCCCTTTTTTTGTATTAAATTTTTTTTTCTTCATCTGGATGCGTCATCATGCAAGTAGAACACCTTGACGAAGAACATATAGAAAAGATCTTGTCGGAACTAGAAGACTACCAAATCAGCCACGGATCACTTCTTAAGATCCCACGCACTCTGGCTGACTGCGAATCGGTCGTGGCCGTTGCTCGCCCAATTGGCGTTAGCATTGTTCCCACTATATTTCCCCGTCACCTCTTCTATCATGCTCTAGACATTCAAACTCTCTTCAACGAGCTTTATATAAAACTTTCTGAGGATGAGTCTTTCATTCAAAGTATTATCCAGAGGTTGGGAGAGGCGGACGGATTTGCCGCCAAACTATGGTCTATATGGGAACATGTAAGGGAAGAAGGAGAGGTCCAACGGCTGAGGTGCGGAATATTTAGGAGCGATTATATGATTCATCACGACGGTTCGAACAGCCGCGGGAAAGAAGTCACCGCAGAGGATTATATGCTGCAATGTCTGATGGGTTCCGAGCTTAAGCAGGTCGAATTCAATACCTACTCCTGTGCTGGAGCAACTCACGCCAACGTCGTAGCGAATATGCATCGATATCTAGCAGGAAAAGGCATACACAAAGCGCTCCATCTACCTACAAACAACGCGATTAGGTCAATTGTGGAAGCTCTTCAATGCGCACATAGGGAATACGGCTTACCAGCTGACCCGAACAGAGAAACAGCTATACTAATGACGGTCCAGCCAAACAATGTCAATATTTGTGACGAGCGACCTATCGAGTACGCTTTGTCTGAGTGTGAGCCGCCCATTACACTCTACCGGGTTGAGTTTGGCAACGAGATAATGCGCACATGCAGTCTTGCGCCGAATCGCGAATTGCTCTTTCGACCAGATGCCGAAAGCAAAGCTATCGAAATATCGATTGTATATCAGCGGGCCGGATATGAACCCCATGAGTATGATCAACAAGGAATTGACGCGCGATATATGCTTGAACGGTCACGAGCAATCAAATGTCCAACGATATTATCTCACCTAGCCGGGTTGAAAAAGGTGCAGCAGGAACTCGCTTCTCCTGGGGTCCTAGAGCGACTCGTACCTCCTGAGGCGGTCAGCGTCCTGCGTCAGACCTTCGTACCTCAATATCCGTTTGATACATCTCAAGAAGGCATACGAGCTCGAGAAATAGCATCAGACAAACACAAAGCCGAGAATCACGTTCTAAAACCCTCCCTCGAAGGAGGAGGCAACAATATCTATGACCAAGATATACCGGATTTCCTTAGAGCCATTCCAGAGGAGCAATGGAGTAGATTTGTTTTGATGGAGAAAATACATCCCCCATTGACCCATGGTATCCTTATTTCCCCTATAGATACTCACAAAGGACCGGTCATCTGCGAATTAGGCGTCTTAGGGACAGGTCTCTGGAGAAGAAATGAGCAGGGCGGAGAGAAGGTGAGGATTATCGGTAACACCACAGCCGGGTGGACATTCAAAACGAAACCCGAAGATGTTCAGGAGATGAGCGTTGTTAAGGGGTATGGATGCTTCGACTGCCCATCCCTTCTCTAAGCATTTTCCATCACAGGAATTTGCCTATCCTTTCCTCTTAACCTAGCAACCGATCAATGCCTTTGGCCGCGCCTTTGGAATTTCAAAAAAGAAATTCTTTCTCATTGTTTGCGTCACACATGTATCCCTTTATAGGCAACAAAGGAACTAGTAAGTATTCTGGCTGGGAAACAGATAAACACAAAATCGTACCTATTTACGACAACACCGACCCCCTACCCCCTACCCCCTGAATATAAATCCTATACTTTAAGCTTCCCCGCATTACATCACATATGGAGTGTCAACATCATGTATTCTCCAATCTATCTGCAGGTACGCTGTCGGACATGTGATAGCTAATCTCTCATTGGTCCTGGGTCGTAAACCGTAGGTACCGTAGGGATCTCGGCATTGAGGTTACGTTATTATTTTGAGCTCGGGGAAAGCGAACCGTTGCCGGCCACCCCTCTCACCTCTCACGCACATACCAGCACATAGAACCCTCCGTGAACAACTCCTCAGATCTATGTGAAATAATTATCAGATACATATGTGTAGAACATGAAGTTGAACATTTTCGTCGCGACTAGCTCCTTTGGCTGGGCATTGGGCCAATCCTATTTCCCAGTAACCCTCAATAGCACGTTCGATATTGCCGGTCCACGAAACATTCGGATCGACACGGGGAAATACGGACCGGCGGTTGAAGAATATCACTATTTTTACGACCAGTGGCCCATCGGACTTGCGGTGTCCAAGACGGGGAGGGTTTTCACCTGCTACACGCGGGGGACGTATGCGTATACCCTAGGTGAAGTGATCAGTGAGACAGCTGAGATAGCATATCCTAGCCTAGAAGTAAACACTCCTCCTCAAGGGCTTTACAATACTAGCAACGGCGTCACGTTCGGCAGCAATGACGTGAGCCACTTTGTCAGCGTACAAGCACTGTACGTGACACCCGACGATACACTTTGGGTGCTCGACACCGGCCGTCCAACGATCAACCAGTCACAAAGTGTTAGCATGCCGTATGCCGCGCCTGGCGGCCCCAAGCTAGTGGCGATTGACCTGACTGCCAACAGCATCAGCAAGACATATACCCTGCCGCCAACGGTCCATTATCCGGATTCCTATATGAACGACTTGAGATTTGACCTTAGGCCCAATGTCACCGAGTCGGGAGGTGGTATCGCGTATATCGTTGATAGCAGCAATGAAGGAAGAACAGGGTTCATCATGATCGATCTGGCAACAGGAGAGAGTTGGCGGCAGTTGAGCCAACACCCGAGCACTCGGGTTGTGTCCGAAGATGTGCCCAGCTATAACGGAATACCGTTTTATACGCGACAAAAAGGGCACCCGTTGGGATTCCAGGAAGAAGGTCTCGACGGTGCCGAGCTAGATCAATATGGGGAGGTAAGGCAAATAGCGAAGCGAGATACGCCGAAGTGAAACTAACGTCTCATAGGTTATGTACTACTCGGCGCTGACGACGGACTATTTATATTCGATAGAGACGCGATACCTACGCGTGAACCCCGAGGGCGATCCGCTCGCGAATAAGAATGCTTTTGACAATGTCAAGAATTTAGGCCAAAGAGGTGGCAATGCCAATGGATTCACGGGTGACAGTCTCGGCAACGTGTACATGCTCATGCCCGAGCACAATGCTATATACATATACAAGTATGTTCACACAGGCTGATTGATATTCGCAGCTACGCAGATGGTAACCAACAACTAATATCTTTAATGCCCAGTTATTCAACCCACTTGACAACGCCTTATATTAGGGACCCTCGCATGGTCTGGCCGGACAGCGCTAACGTGGGCTGGGATGGATATCTCTATTTCACGATTAACCAGCTACCCTACCAGCCGGACTGGAACAACGGTGTGGATGGGCGAGTATACCCAGGGTTAATACTGAGATCCAAGCTACCTGACGGTGCTAGCAAGAACACGCTTTTGATGTAATTAGTCTCTATTTTCCCAATTACCTGACCCTAAATAATGTCACCCCGGTGTCTTTTTGATCGATTTTCCACATTCAACCTATCCATCCTTAGAGGCCCGTGGCAGGCCTTGGCTCTGGCCGCCGCTAGCATTCGTTTCTTTCAAACCCGCACCATGCTCATGTTCGGGAAGTTCTGCCGTCTTGTCCGCTCGCGCGACGTGAGAGGTCTTGCACTTTAGCGAAACTGTAGAGATAGGGGTAAAAGGGAAGCAGGCTCACCTTTGGCTCGTTGCCAGTGCCGTGGATAATGTTGTGATCAGTCTCGGGAGAGAGATCTTGAGCGTTGTGGGCTCGTCCGCTTCCTTCTCGAGGCATTTTTATTTTCGTTTCGTTTCGTTTCTTTTTCTTTTCTTTTTGAAATTGGGTGTTGGTGATGTTTGGTCTTCGTTCGGAAGTGAGACGCTGTGCGGTAGCCGAAGATATTTATAATTTTAAGTTGAAGACGGATCGATCTCTGACGTCACTAAGAAGCAGAGTATGACAAACCAAGCAAACCGCGTGTGCTTAATGTGTGGCTACCATGTGGTCAGTTTACGTCATGATGAAATGAACCATTCTATTGTCTATGTACATGTATCTAAAGGCAAGAGCCTGTTGTCTCTTTGTTCTTAGGCATGTACGTACTATCCCATTCTCGGCCGGGCTAAGAAAGGGGGAACGGGGAAAGAGGTAATGAAGCTTATACAGACCTACATAGTACTCGACAATAAATAAGTTGTCCGACTTGTTTCGGTGTAAAGTGCCCGATTGCGCCATCGCCCATTCTTGTTTCATCTGCGATTCTCTGCGATTCCGACCCCGCGGATTTATAAGCAGCCCCAATGGAATTTGATGCTTCGTACGCAAGCCGCACGGGCATAAATAAACCCGAAGAAACCATCGATTTCCAGGTACCTACCTGACTGTCGTGAACCCTTCCTTAGAACAACCTCCCCAAGATCTATCTATACCTCTTGATACCATGGCAACGCCCAAGATCAAATTATACACGAACCATGGGTGCCCTTGTGCGTAAACTCCAACCTATTAGTCAAGAAGGAGCGCTGATCCATCAATAGGGGCTCATCGAGCGCATATAGCTCTTGCAGAGCTTCAGCTGCCCTTCGAGGAGGAGATCATTGACTTGGCCGTCCCCCGGACCCCGGAATACTTAAAAATCAACCCTCGGGGTCTAGTTCCGGCCTTGGAATTTAACGGCGAGATTCTCACCGAATCGGCTATAATCTCCAATTTCTTGGCCAATGAGTTCCCCTCGCATCTGCTTCCCGTCTCAAACGCACCCGGAGGAGCATTGCTTCGTGCCAAAATCGATTTCTTCGTCGACACTTTCATCTCCAAGGTGAACAGTAACTTCTTCAAGGCACAATATGCCAAAACGGACGACGAGGTAGAGGGCTTCGTCAAGGAATACGTCGAGGCTGTCGTGAAGGAAATCGAGCCGCTCCTGATTAACGCAACGCCCTTCTTCAATGGCAGTGACAAACTTACACAGGCCGAAGTAAGCACCTCCCCTCTTTCAATTCCTAGCAATCTCGCCTTTCGACCAGACGTCATTAGCTAAACCATGCTAGGTTCTAACGGGCTCATTCATCGTCCGTCTATTCACGCTGCCAAAGTACGGCCTCTTTCCAGAGCACATACTGACCGATCTCTCCACCAAGGCTCCATACTTCTACCGTTGGGGTCAGGCTGTTTCCAAACATCCTAGCGTTCTAGTGATATATGACGAGAAGGTGATGGCGGCAAAAACAAGAGAGAGGCTAGCTAAGCTGCGGGCAGCTTGAGTAACCCAAGTGAAGAGTCAGCCAACCTGATTGTTTGAATGAGATGGGATATAATTCCAATGCTAGCATAGGAACTACCTGTTGCGAGCGGAGAGTAGCGACCTAAGTGGCTAGCATAATAATTGAATGATGCTGGTGTTACAATGTTCGACCCTCTTCGAGTTATCGAAAAATTGATGATGCGAAACGATGTTTTGGAATTAGGCGACGACACGTGCTAGTTTACCGGTCTAACAGGAGCTCCGGCATATAACTAGAAAATGCAGGGGAGTCGGAGTCATCCTTTACATAGCCAAGTTACCTGATTTAGGCAGGTATCTACCTCTCATCCAGTTCGCTCGTCGGTTCGGTCTTCGCATATTGTCATTGTCGATATCTCGTAATGGAAAAGAAGCTTAGCAACAGCCCACTCAATGTCCCAAAGCAAACGTACTCGGTTTGTTACGACATGATTTGCGACACCTGCCTGGGTATGGCCCGAGCCGTGTCTCCCGCTTGGCATGAATCTTGTCAATGACGAACCACTCTTCCAGGGTTTGGATATTCCGGGGTAGTTGGCGGTTATTAATGGGGTTGGTTCACAAAGACGAGCATGCTTTTTTTCGATAATGTTTTTGTGATAACACATACTATGTATTCATCGTGCTTGGAATAAGAAATAAACAATCCTTTCTTTCCACAGTGAACCGGAGTACACGTCGGATTTAATGAAAGGGTCGGAGATTATAGTCGAGAAGAAGCTGTGATTGGCCTACCGCTTTCATGGCTGACTTTAGTGCTCGACTGTTGGGATACGTTGCATTTTATTGCATCACTTCCCTAGACCATAAAGGCAATGTCAGAGCAATCCCTTGTTAGCCACGAGGTCCTCCGACTTTTCCGGGAGTTCGAGATTCCCATGTCGTTTTATATCAGTCAGCCAGCTCAGGTTATCGTGATGTTACATACATTAGGTAGGTATCTGCATATACATACAATACGATGAACTTGTTATGAGAGGTACGGATCCGAGCATACAACGTACCTAGTTGGCTAATTCTATAATTACGCTCTTACATACGAGGAAGTGAAGGGAGAATGGCACTGTGAGATCCATACATCTGTTCTGCGTGTGTATGTCTGTTCCCCGAAGGATCCCTGGAGCCCACTCCCCCCTAAGGCCGCCTCCTAACCACTCACGACCCCTGGCTGACAGCTCCGAACCCTGGAGGCTTAGCAAGATGAAATTAAGCGCGCCAACCCACTCAAAAAGTCCCCTTCCTCCCCACCCTACGCGAATTCTCATCAATCAGACCACTCCACTCCTCTTTTCCCAGACTTACATACCTCTCTTTTCTTGCCCTACACTACCAGCGCTACCTACATAGTACTTACACTCTCACTCAGCGCGCTCATCCCATTCCCGCAGCGCCCTAAGCCCGCCACCCGTTACTCGTCATTGCTGCAGTGCAACTCACAGCCTGGGAGAAAGAAACATTCGCTGAGCCCAGCTCCCCCCCCCGACTCGGGATCATGGGCTCCTTGCTTTCCGACCGCGTGTATATCGGCATACGGTGAAGGTTGGGATACTGACCGGAAACCCATGGGCCTGCACGAGGCGCGAGTAGGGAAGTCGGACGCGATGGGCCGCGATCTCGTCCACTTGATTCGGAACCCTCAATTATCGCCCGATTCTGTGGACTCGATCCTGAGTCCCAGCGAATACAGACAAGAAACCTCCCCGGTACCGTTTGAGGCTGCTCGCGACTACTCGCTATCATGGACCGGCGAGCCACTTGCGCAGACGCCGGACGATGTCGACTCGCCCGGTAGCTCCGTGCAGACGCCGCCAAATAGTTCTAATAAGCGCAGCCATCGTAAGAGGACGCATAGCCCCGATGTCTGGGAAGCGCACAAGGCGGAGATAGCCCGCCTCTATCTAGACGAGAATAAACGTCTCAAGGATGTAATGGAAATCATGGAGAGCCAATGGGGATTTCGCGCATCGTAAGCTCTCTAGTTTCCCTTGCCCTCAGTCTTCTTTTTTTTTTTTTTTTTTTTGGTTGTTTTTTTCACTTCCGCCCGTTAACTAAGCCGACGTTTAAAGCCAAAAGATGTACAAGACGAAGCTCACGCAATGGAAATTCTTCAAGAATAACCGCCAGGCTGACGTAGCAAACTTGCTCTACTTACAGCGTCACCGGCTGGCCATCGGCAAGGAGAGTACTTTTCGTAGGAATGGCAAGCCGATCGATGTGGAGGCGTATATGAGAAGAAGGGGGATCAGTGCCTTCGATCTAGTCGAGGTGGCCGACTCTGGCGATCTGCCACCGACGGTTAGATGTCGTACGCCGCCTTCGGTCCCAAAGATACTAGATCCCCCAGACGACCTTCGTCTCAAGGAGAGGTTCTTCCAGTGGACCTCGCAGAAATTTGTTAAACCTCGGCCGATAGAGTCGGGCTATCTGAAGAGGCTCGACTCACATCACGCGAGCAAGGCGTTGCATTCCGTCCAGCTGCTCACCCATGGATGTTGGCTATTTTCAACTGGTCGTAATCGAGAGGCCGGGGACTTCTGTCGGGGAGCCTTCGCCCTACTTCATCATGTCCTCGAGACGTCCGCTTTCCTTTCCTTCTTCGAGATGATGATGGCGATCCGCAGGTATCCCAACGCAGAAATTATTAAAGAGCTTTGGAGTTATCTGTCGCGGTACGCCGCCGCGATTGATGGGGTGAACCAGCCGCTGCATCGGGTATTGGCTGCCTTTTCCAACTTTTCGCAGCAGCACGGCTTGGTGCACAACATCGATATTTTGGACTGGGCGTTGCAGTGGGCCTCGGGCAGATTTAATAGTTCCTTTGATGGCAAGGCGTTTGACTATACCATGCTCAAGCCGTGGGATCTCGTGCCCGTAGGAAATTCGTATCATCGATATTATCTATGTCTAAACCACTGGGAAGTCGAGTCTATACCCACCGTAACCATACCGAGCCTGGACGTGTACGAAGACCCTTCGAATTTGCGAGCCGACTTGCTACTCATTTTTGGTAACCAGAGTAGCTGGCGCGACGACAGGATCTCGAAGGTCGCGTTGAAAGTGCTCGAGCAGAACAGGTCGTCTCCCAAGCCTTCGGATTATCTCGAATTTGTCTGCCTCTACTCCACGGCCCAGCATAGCAAAGTACGATCCGCCGGTGAAGATCCCACGACAAGCATCGACCACAAGTTAGCTAGAGAATACCTACAGCTGGCCGCGGATCTTCAGAAGCGGGCTTGGCCGCCGGGGAAGAACTATTACGAGACGCTGACGCTCCTCGAGTGCTGGTATCGAGAAGCAGGCGACTATGAGTCCGCAGAGGCTACGCGAACGAAACGTGACCAGGATTGCGTGGACGTATTGAAAACTTTGTCTAAATGAAAAAATACCCCGACCTCAGGGTCATGTGGCGTTTGTAGGGTTATGTTATGAGATAGGCAGCTGTCGTGTTATTGCTTGACGTTAAATTATTCAGTTGGGAATAATGCCCGAGATGGAGGGCAATGCGCAAGGGCTTCATCCGAGGTTTATGATATAGCTGTGTCTTTACTCAATGGCCTTGGTCGTCCCCGATACAATATAGTCGGATATAAGCACTGTAACTAAATAATAAAACATTCAATGCTCATGCTATTTCTTGGATGGCCAGGTGGTTAATTCGTTGTCTCTATAGCAAGCAGATGTTTTTAGGGGTGGGATCTCTCCAATGCAATACCCGGGAAGCTCTCAGCTACGATATGCTGGATATGGTGGATTCCACCCATATCTACCAACATAAGTTATGTGAAAGAGACGGTCAGACTTGGACTTGTACTAGGTATACTCCCTCCTATTGCTTTCCTGAAATCAAGAACACGATGTTGAAAAGCGAACAGTCGTCCGGATTTCTTCGTAGACAACCTCCTTTTCTTTTTACTTGAGCCATATATTCGTCGGCTTTGTTGTCGAGTATGTAGGTAGGAAACTAGTTTCTTGGTCAACATCTATGATGGAGGTTGATTGTAGCGGAGCGACGGCCTATGCGGGCCTTTTATAATTAGCACTGGAGATCGCCCACTTGGGCAAGTATCGGCCTGATCTACCTGATCTAAATGTCTGGGCTGCCAGTAGGCAGCTGGGATAATGAAATTATGATAAATCATAATGGGACTTGTGTGAATACCCATGGTCCTACGATAGACGAGAAAGAGGTACAATCATTCTTCATAACCCTAGTACGGTCTTACAAAGTATATATACGTATAGGTCTGTAATGGGTACGGCTACATCACTTCAACACGGTTTACGGAAATAGGTATGCAATAAGGGGGGGAGGTCCTTGTTATTATATATGTCGTTTCTTCGCAAAGCTTTTAGCAAATAGAACATATTGACGAGCTTGTCCAGCGTAGTAGCGTAGGTGCTGAAGATCGAGCTAGCAATGACACATATACATATTATGCATGCGATGATGGGATGTAAGCCCTATGTATATTCCTTCAACATCGTACCTATGGAAGGTGGCTGTGAGACCCGGCTGGCGGGAACATTTATTGGAGTCTCTAAGATCATACGTGAGAGATCGTCGTCGTGCGCACCGAAATAGAAAACTACTTCTCCGCTAGCCAATATTTTGTCTGGTCGTTCTCTGTATTGGCCTGATTGGTAAATATGTCTCTGAATTGGGCAAATGACGTGCCGATGTTAGGGTACGCGGCGAGATGAAAATGCTGCGCAAAGCGTCAGCATGTGCGATTTTCGCTATTGGCAACTCATCCTTTGTACTTCTATGGAGGAATATATATTTAGAGGCCAGCAATCCTCAACACGGTCAATATCTGTCTAGACTACGAAAGCCTTCATTGATATTCCACCATGGCTTTGTTCTCAATTGCCTGTCTTGCCTTGGTCTCTCTCGCCAGCTCGCTCGAGTTGCCAAAACTCTCCGAGAGAGCTACTGGTTGTGGTAAGACGCCATCCTTTACACCCGGCGATTTTAAGAACTTCACAACCTCGGATGGTCGCGAGTACCGGGCTTGGCTGCCAGCAAGTTACGACTCCAACAAGGCGAGCCCTCTTATTCTGAGTTACCACGGCGCCAACAGGGATATATCCCACCAAATCGCCTTGGACGAATTAACACACCCGCGCTTCAACAAAGACCATATTGTAGTGTATCTACAAGGTTTGGCGGTGAGTATTCCGGAATGTCGGTATCAAGATTTTGCACCGCTCACGCGTAGAAGGCCGATGGAACTACCAAGACGAAGTGGGAGGGAGCTCCGGACTGTAACTCGAACGACATCAAATTTACAGGCGAGGTGCTCGATGCTATAACCGGCAGCCTGTGCGTAGACGAGAAGCGAATCTACGCGACAGGCAAGTCCCAGGGTGGCGGGTTCGTAGGGCGTCTCGCATGCGATTCCGGCCTGTCGAGCCGAATCGCGGCTTTTGCCCCTGTTTCCGGCGCGTATTACATTAAAGAGATCGACAAAAAGTCAGACTGTCATCCGGAAACGGTGAAAGTGCCATGCGACGCCGCTCGTACCAATATCCCGATACTGGCATTCCACGGAGGCGCCGACCACACGATAGAATACCACGGCGATTTCCGATCGAATGCTTGTCTGCCAGACGTCAGCTCCTGGGCTCGACAGTGGGCGCTGAGGGATGGCTTGAGCGGCACACCGGTCAATTCGACGGTGGCCAAGTCAGATAATGGAGTGAATATGAGCTATGGGGGAAATGGCTTGGTCACTCTGGTGTACGATGGTGATAACATCGGACACGATTGGCCATCTACGGTAAAGAACGACGATAACGACGGAGTCAGACTCGCTGCGTTCAACGCCAGCGCGCGTATTATGGATTTCTTCCGAGGCCATGAGTTGTCTTGATCATTCGTGTTCCGTGTTTGGTTAGATATTATATTGATATACTTCTCTTCTTATCTTAGATACCTACTTTTTGGCGGCGATGGTTGTATTTTCTGATCCCTTGAAACGGTCCAAGCCGACCATTGACTCTTCGTATGAGCTGAAGAGATGGGTTTAGTTCGCATAGTAGATAATAGTCATATCGCTTTGGCGATCCAGTTCCGAGTCTGAAGTCCGTGACACATCTCGATATTCACGGCTGAACAGGTTGCGAGGCATCTCAGCCGCGGCGGAGAAGCGGTAACACTTCAACAAACGGCTGAAGCCTTATGAATAATTAGGTAAGATATCCTGATGCTACAGAATGGGAAGGTAAATGAATGAATCCCAGAGACACGGAGTAGATATAGACCAGACTGGCTTCCCCGGTCTGTCCAGACAAGGACTCGGGCTTGGGCGGGACTGTTCCTTTGGCTACACTGTGGAGGTTTCGATTCCTAATGAAAAAAAGTAAGTGAAAAAGGAAGCATATTATTAATTTTGCATGCTTAATTGCTTACGAAATAAAAGTGTGCATAAACATTTGGCGGGGAAAAGAACCTTGAAGTCGCCTTCACCGCTTTCTTGCCCCTTAGGCTGAGCCTAGCCAATTCAGGCTGCTACTATGTTAGGATTAGCTTGAACAACTTACCCAAATGTCAACTTATATGTACACAAGTACATACCTATGTAATGAGAAATGGAAGGTTCAACTGGAATAGTCCCTAATAGTGGGATAAATAAGACACGATAAGCATGAATCGTGCTGGCTCTAATCAATTTGGAACCAATCAGAATGAAAGGATTGAACATCCCTTGTCTGACGGATGTAAAAAGTCAAAGTGAGCACAGTACTCTGTACTTGCATAGCATGCCTTATGCTGGGTGGCAGTGGCGTTGCAACGTCCACTAAAAACCTGGCCAAGCTACCTGGATCCACTTTTTAACTGTCAGATAAGTATCGATTACAGTGGGAGAACCCTGTAAATTCGAACCCCTCCCCCTCGGCAGCCCACCCTATCAATTTTGCCCCTCGTTGGATTAGAAGGGTCTAAGAGGGCCAAAAAAAAAGTTTTCGTCTGTAGAATTTTTTTTTCTTTCCCCAAGATTGTGTATCTCCCATAAAATCTTAACCACTGCCTCCTCTTCTCTCAACACAAATTTCTACCCAATCTTCCCTTTTCCTTTCTTTTACTCAGTAAAACTCCTCCCTTCTTTCAATTCATTTTTTTCACTTTCTCTTTTCTCGTGAAGAGAGTTATTATCTGGGTTTATTCGACTCAGATTCTACCTCTTCTCGTGCGAATTTGAAAGAGATCTTAGTTCTTTGCCACGGTTCGGCCTAGACTAAAATAGACAAGACGAGTCACGATAGAGTAGATTTCTGATCTCATCGTCAGCAAACCTACGGGCTCCGGTGTGATACAGGACGTGTTTCTACGTAGATTTCAGCATCCGTCTCCTCCAAACCTTCCGATTCCTACGATCGAATACGCCGACCGACAGAGATAATCACGACCTCTACCTATAGACGTGAGACTCGACAAAGCTCGATCAACGTATTCCTAACATCTCACTCTCCCCGACAATCTACTACCACAAAAATCATTCATCATGTCTACAGCACAAGAGAATGCGCAGTCCGTCAAGATCTTAGATGATCTGATGCAGAAGCTCACCCTTTCTAAGGATGCAGCGACTATTAAGGATGCTTCGCATTCCTTGGCCTCTTTTATCAACGGTCGCATCGAAGACCAAGAGGCCCCTACTAGGTGAGTTTTCTTCCTGTTTTTTTACCCTTTCCCCCACTTCTGGTCCATTAATACACCATATTGTATCCTCCACGGCCCATTCCGTTAATTCGTTTACTTATGATTTACGCCCTTTACAACTATGTGGACTTTTTGTACCTATAACTAGGAATTAGTAACTAGCAACCCCCGTTTTCCTTACCCACCTAACACACGTGCTCACGCTATTACTTGACATTGGTGCTCCTTCGACCTGTGCTGCTCTTCTCTGATTTACCTCGCTATACGCTTATGCTCGCTATTTGCCTAATTTGGAACATACGCTAATAACCAACTTCACAGAACTGTCGAGGCTTTGAAGAAACAGCTATCCAACAAGAAGGATGCTGCAGCCCGCGAAAAGGCTGTAAATGCCATCCAAGCCATCGCACAACACTCGGAGATCGCCCCTAACGTGGAGCCTTACCTGGTCCTTCTGCTGCCTTTGACCCTGGCTGCTATCGGCGACAAGATTACCTCCGTCAAGAATGCCGCTATCGCAGCGACAACAGCCATCGTCGAGGCCGTCAACCCTAACGCTGTTAAGGCTATTCTACCTGCCATTGTCAAGTCCATCTTGGAGGCTCAAAAATGGCCCGAGAAGATCACGGCCCTCGAGTGTATCGACATCTTGGTCCGAACAGCGCCTGCTCAACTGGCTTTCCGTGTCCCTGAGCTAATCCCTGTCATCTCCGAGTCTATGTGGGACACCAAGAAGGAAGTCAAAGAGCGTGCCTATAAAACGATGGAGAAGATCTGCGAGTTGATTGTCAACAAGGATATTGAGAGATTCATTCCAGAGCTTATCAAGTGTATCGCTAAGCCCGAGAATGTGCCCGAGACCGTTCACTTGTTGGGTGCCACCACTTTCGTCACTGAAGTTCAAGAACCTACCCTTGCCTTGATGGTTCCTCTACTGGACCGTGGTCTCGCCGAACGGGACACCGCCATCAAGCGAAAGGCTGCCGTCATTGTTGACAACATGTGCAAGCTCGTTGACGACCCTAACATCGTTGCGCCTTTCTTACCTAAGATGATGCCCGGTCTGCAGAAGAACTTCGACAACTTGGCTGATCCCGAGGCCCGAGAGAAGACCAAGCAGGCTCTCGACACCCTCATCCGCGTCGGTAACATCAAGGATGGCAAGATCCCCGAGGTTCGCCACGATGGTGATCTCCCTACTGTTCTTGCCCATCTCCAGGCCGTTATTCCTAGCAAGCACGCCAAGACGGCGGAGAAACTGACCCCTGTTTTGGAGTACATTTCTGCCATCGGTGGACAGCTCGTTGATGAGAAGGAGACTGAGCCGTCTACGTGGGCTACTTCAGTAAAGCCGTTTGTCACCGTTGTCGTTGGTGATGTTGACGCCGAGAAGGTTGTTGAAGGTCTCCGTAAGCGTTCTTCTCCAGGCGTCGAGGACGAGGCCGAGCAAGAAGTTGAAGACGATGACGGCGAGGATCTTTGCGACTGTACCTTCTCCCTCGCCTATGGTGCCAAAATTCTGCTCAACCAGACCCATCTCAGACTCAAGCGCGGTCGCCGTTATGGTCTCTGTGGTCCTAACGGATCTGGAAAATCCACACTCATGCGCGCCATCAACAATGAGCAAGTGGAAGGTTTCCCTAAACAAAGCGAGGTCAAGACTGTCTTCGTCGAGCACGACTTGGACTCTGCTGACACCGAAATGACCACCATTGACTGGACCATGAAGAAGCTCTCCGAGGCCGGCGTCACCACTAGCCAAGCCGATGTCGAGAAGCGTCTCGAGGAGTTCGGTTTCACTCCGGCGATGACTTCAGGAGAAATCACCGCCCTCTCTGGTGGTTGGAAGATGAAGCTGGCCTTGTGCCGTGCTGTCTTCGAGGCGCCGGATATCCTGCTCCTTGACGAGCCTACCAACCATTTGGATGTGAAGAACGTTAAGTGGCTTGAAGATTACTTGATCAACTCGCCTTGTACTTCTATCATAGTTTCCCACGACAGCGCGTTCCTCGACAATGTCACCCAGTACATCATCCACTACGAGCGATTCAAGCTGAAGAAGTACAAGGGTAACCTGAAGGAGTTCGTCCGTAAGAACCCACACGCTAAATCCTACTACGAGCTTGGAGAATCCGAGATTGAATTCTCTTTCCCGGAACCCGGTTTCCTCGAGGGTGTCAAGACCAAAGCCAAGGCCATCTTGCGTGCTACCAAGATGAGCTTCCAGTACCCGGGCACACCCAAGCCCCAGCTTACCGATATCAGCTTCCAGTGCTCACTCGGTTCGCGTATTGCAGTCATTGGCCCCAACGGTGCCGGCAAGTCTACCCTCATCAACGTCCTCACGGGCGAGCTGATCCCGACTGGCGGTGAGATTTACCAGCACGAGAACATTCGTATCGCCTACATCAAGCAGCACGCTTTCGCCCACATCGATAACCATCTCGACAAGACCCCCTCTGAGTACATCCAATGGCGTTTCCAGACCGGTGAAGACCGTGAGACCATGGATCGTGCGAACAAGATTATCACAGAGGAAGATGAGAAGGCTATGGACAAGATCTTCAAGATCGAAGGCTCCCAGCGCCGCGTAATCGGCATAAACAGCCGTAGAAAGTTCAAGAACAGTTACGAGTACGAATGTTCTTTCGCTCTCGGTGAGAACGTGGGCATGAAGAATGAGCGTTGGGTCCCCATGATGACAGCCGACAATGCCTGGCTTCCTCGAACCGAGCTCCTTGTCTCCCATCAAAAGATGGTCGCTGAAGTCGATATGAAGGAGGCTCTTGCCTCCGGCCAATTCCGCGCGCTGGTTCGAAAGGAGATCGAGTCTCACTGCGCCAACTTTGGACTCGACGCTGAGCTCGTCTCCCACTCGAGGATGCGTGGTCTCTCAGGTGGTCAGCGTGTCAAGGTTGTCCTTGCCGCCTGCTCATGGCAGAAGCCTCACTTGATCGTCCTAGACGAGCCTACCAACTACCTCGACCGTGACTCTCTCGGTGCCTTGTCTAAGGCTCTCAAGAAGTTTGAGGGTGGTGTCATCATCATCACTCACAGTGCAGAGTTCACCAAAGACTTGACCGAGGAAGTTTGGGCCGTCATGGATGGTAAGATGACTCCTTCAGGCCACAACTGGGTCCAGGGCCAAGGCTCCGGACCCAGACTGAAGCAGGAAGATGACGACGAGGAGAAGTTCGATGCCATGGGAAATAAGATTGTGACCACTAAGAAGAAGGCCAAGTTGACTAGCTCCGAGGCTAGAAAGAAGAAGAAGGGTAAGTTACACATCGCCGGCGAGCCATTAATAGATTACCGTCCAGTAACTAACATGATGGCAGAACGCATGGCCCGCCGAAAGCGTGGTGAGGAGGTCTTCTCCGATGAGGATGAATAGACAAGCCGTTACTATCCTCGGCGTCGCTAATTCTTACGACATGATTCCGACGAATGAGATTACATTATTCCCTTTGTTTGATGAGCTGAAAAGTTCGGGGCTCGCAGGTTAGGCATTGTTTCTGTGTTTCTTTCGCGCCATAGGTCGCGCACGCTCAATGCAACCGATAAGGGAGCTTCATCCTTTGGTCGAGCAGGACGAAGTAGGAAAGGCATGACCCCTCTGGTTTGGAGGTCCAGGGGTTAACCTTTCGAATTCTTGACTGAGAGGATACCATTGATAGGCAAATAGGCCGACGAATAGATTTGATATACGATGACACGCCGGTTGTGCAACAGCGCCCATGTGATATAACTCTTTACGTGGTTGAATGATTCCAGCAATTGACCTACTGTATGTGGCGAGACCTTGCTAATTTGAGCGAGACCCAAGAGGTTGCTTGTTTCTCTTATTACAAACCTTCAGAAATTTACCCTAAGACGACTGTCCCTGCAGTCGCGTGCTAATTATAATCACAAGTGTGGCCACAACCCTATTTACAAGTCATGGCGCGTGGAGGGTCCATCGTAGGTCAATTTCCAGTCTACATGCTTTGGACGGCGATGGTAAATTGGTCGCTTCCGGGACTCTTCCCCTTCATTCATTGTATCGTGTCCTTCCCTTTCATTTATCTACTTGGCCAACATACAATGGATTTTTGCCGTCTTCGAATCCGGTTCCAACATTCCAATATTTTTTATGTCTTTGTTTGTTCGTGCTCTTGCGCTTCGAGTCGAATTTCCGAGAGCGGTGATGGTCGTGGCGTGACAACAAAGGCTTTCACCTCGCATGACGATCTACCCAAATGGATATTATCTCGGTCGAAAATGCCCCATTATCTGTTTGCTATAACCTGTAGCTTGATACTGGCTTTGGAAACTCACAATAGTCATAGAGGCGGCGACGGTAGATGATACTGCTCTCGTACACTGTCTCACTAACTAACGCTTTAGTATTGGACTACCCACCCGAAAGAGAGTTATTCCGTGACTGGTGTCATAAGCGACGATGGCAGACGAATACGACGAGGCGGTGAATAACTTCGTCGCACGGGAAAATGCATACATACCAGTGCGGGCGGAACATTATGATTGGTATCCGTTTCTCAGAGCGTTGAGCGAGGGGAATATGGTAGTCGGTGGCGTCAACAGGATTCGATTTGGTACGAGTAGAGATAGGATTCAAGTTGCGATGATGCAAAGGGATGAACCTCCCCCAATTCCGGCTCCACGAGTACCTAAGGCTCCTAATACCGGGTCGTGGGACTATACGTGGTACATTCCCGAGTGGTCTCACCCCGATTACGACCCGAGCGTCGTGGTCACCTTCCCGGGAGAGGTCAGGCATCTGTCCCACAGAGATCCGATCACGAGGTTATACCCGGCCCTACGAGCCGCGGACGCTGTTAGGGGGCCTACAGATTGGGCGAAGCGTTTCGGTATACATCCGGAGGAAACAGGGGGTCGAAGCCGGCTCAGCCCTTCACTCTCCGCCACCCGAGACCCATTTGACTACTTTGCGAACCAGGTCAACATGCTATCTGAAGACTCGAGGCGTCGTGCCATCGAGGCGTCCAGAGTAGCTGCTTACAAGGCGGGCGGTCCCATTCCCACCGACCCCAACTACGTCGACCCGAACGTGTTAGAGGAGCTACTATCCGAACACAAGGTGCTGTCCGGCAGGGTGGTGAGAGAAAAGCTACAGCAGGTATTCAGCAGACCTGGGGAATTCGAAGATATCACGAACCTCGAAACATTCATCCAGGGCTTAAACGATCAGTCACCGGATACTTACAAATTCCACCAACAATTTTTGGAGAATGCCTTACATGATCAGGACTACCAGCGATTCATATTCAACAACTTGACGAGCGACGAGATCGTCACCAACAACTTTTTCAACACCTCGGGCGGCTTCTTTTGCAACTTAGATAACCAAATTCACCCGTAAGTCCTGGCACTAGACCTCCCCTGACGAAGAGAATGTTCTAGCGAGGTTCGTTGGCTAACGGCGTATGGTTGAACGTATTATAGTGTTCTTTCGAGGCAACACTGGTGTGAGAGTGACTGGAAGGGAGCCATCCGGCGTGAACCTCGATACCTCTATAGCATGGGCGGCGAAAGGCTTGAATGGGATATCGTGAGTTGTCTACCCCTATCCCTCAACCACCTCCCCGTACGTATTAACATTGCTGGCAGCTACACAACGACGCCATATGGAACGCGATACGGCCCGCATTACAGCTCGTGTCACTGGTTCTTAATAGCGAACATCCCATGCTTCAAATGCTGTCGGATATGACAAATCGACAACCAGTAGCCCCCGAAAGGGACAATCGAACCGAACCTAGGACAGCCTGGCTGTGGGCGTTTCACCCACAACCCTCAGAAGGGTACTCGTTTGCGCCTCTGGGAGTCGCCGAGCTAGCCGCATCGGGGTTCAACTGGCCCAAAGAAACGTGGGATACTCTCAATCATTGCCTCGACATCGATATCGTAAGCGGACACCTCGAGATCAAAGATGACGCGTCGGACCTTGTTAGAATAAGAGAGAACCGAAGCTTCGGATACGGGAGCACGAGAACCAATTATGCCGGCCCAGATTCTCGCATACATATCACACTCAGCGGCGAATTGCTCTGGCCGTTGCTGGTGCCGCAGTACAATGGAACTGAGAAGTTGACGGCCTCTTTTCAGGTAGCCGCAACCCTAATACACGAACTAGGGGTAAGACATACTATACATGCACATATCTTGTATACATATCTCGGATTGATTCCTTTCCCGTCCCTTCCAACCCTCCCAAATCTGCCATCTCGGATACAACGAGGATCAAGTACGCTAACATATCTATAGCACGCCATCATCCAAGCCCATGCGCTTATTACCGCCTACCCAGAATGGGGTCAGTATATGGGCTACGATGATTTGACGAGGGATCGACTCCGAAGATTGGGCGACGAGCTTTGGGACACAAAATTGGAATCCTGGGAGCCCTACCGCCAGGATGCCTCGGCTAATGAGTGCGGTTTCGAACTGGAAAAGGCTGTATGGGGTTTCCCTGTGTTTAATCTGATGCAGTACACCAACTTGAATCAATCCCGACAGCTGTACACCGTTCCGTTCCTTGCTAGCCATGTCCCATGGCCCTACGCCAATACGGCCGCTCGGGAGGACGATTTACCTGTCAAGGGTGGCTCGTTTCCAATTGCCGACTACTTTATGCCGATTCCTATTGACCACATGGCAAAGTTCTTCAGAAAGCAGTTTTGGGAAACGGATTTCGTCAATTACGGGTTCGAAGCTCTCAAATTGACCCCGGGGAGCCATTCCTATAAGACGGTTATGATGCCGGAGAAGTTCGATCATGAACGCGGCAACGCAACTTTCGGCGTTTTCGAATGGCAATTCTTGTGCTTCGTAACGCAGATGTTGAGCACCAATGAATTCCCCACCTTGTCAGATTATGTGGCTCGGTCTATGTGGATGGTTATGCTTCCCGGAATCTACGTCGACCGTTGGACGAGAGAAATGGAGAAATGGAAAGTAGATTGGATGTTAGAGCTCGACAAAACCGTGGAGGAATTGAGGCTACGCCTCTTAGAAGCGAAAGACATCAGCCAAGCGAGTATCGAAAGCGACCAAGGCCTGACAAGAAGATGGCAGCAGTACGCCCTGAATACTCAAGGGAGCGGAGGGATTCCGATGAGCCTGCAAGATTGGACGATGCAAATGAAGGTCCGTCTGACCCAGCTCTTTTGCAACGGGGGTGAATTGATGCGGCTGTACCTTACGCTCTACAGGAAATTCATGGACGAGATCAGGTACATGCAGCGGCTGATATTCGATTGTTTCAATCTGCACCCCGACTCCAGGCAGCATTTGGACGGATACGGGACCGGTGTCACGCGCGGTTGGCAAGCCATCCCGCCCGTGAAGGAAGCATACGTGCGGATGCTCCAAGAGCGCCAGAGGGCGCGTTGGTTCTTTGGTACTCTCAACGGTATATGTAACATAAACCAGTTGGTCGCGCTCAAACCACAGTACCAGGAATGGGCGAGGAGATTCCAGTATATCTGGAAACTGTTCGACGAACTTATCAAGATGATGGAAAATCCTCCCGCCCCTGGCTCCGACGACAGGAGTTGGAAGAAGCGCTTCTCGACCGTGCCGTCCTCTTATTGGAAGGCCAGCACCGATCGTATCCAGATCCTCGCGCAGAGAGAGTATGTTCGAGTAGACCCTCGCATCCGCAGCGTCATAGAAGACTGCATGCAAATCGTCCGTAACAGCGGAAACAAGGCGCTGCTGAAAGAGCCGTTCGTGATACCCGACGTCAATGCTCTGACCGAGGCTATGAGGAAGGCGAGTGCCCCGGAACCTCTACCTCAAACGCCGCATACCATTTTCAGCTGGCACCCGCCGACTGGCGGGCAGCGGAGCGACGATGCCAACCAAGTGCCGCCTGTATTACAGAATCCTAGCACTAGCGCCCCCAGCCAGGTGAACACAGGTCTCGTGTTCGGTCAGCCAGGCCAGCTCGGCCCGGCGTCCAGATTAGGAGCTATCCCTGCCCGCCGAAACGATGACCTGCCGGCTGGTGCGAGCGACACCGGCTTCAATACTTGGGCCGCGAAGACAGGGTTCCCGGAACCTAAAACAGGAGCGCCAAAGATCTCATTTGGTACGGGAGGGGCGATGAACGTCCCGCCTGGAGGGTCAAAATTCACGGGTTCCGGACACGGGACCTTGTTCCCGGCTCCAGGCGCTGACGCAAACACGCTGACATCGGACGTGGAGTACTTCAAAGACACGCGTATCATGGATCAGTGGGAGTTCAACATGTTGTTCAATCCGGCGTTTAGGACGAATCAGGGTTATCGAGACGTAGTGCCGCCGTATAACGACGAAGAGGACGAAGAAGCGCAAGAGAGAGCTCGTCAGCATGCACTTGCTAGACGTAACGCTTTTGCCGGCCCGTCTGATAGTCCTTCGGTCTTCAGTCCCTCTAATTCTGCTCCCACCCCTTACATTTCCCCTGAATACTTGCCGGGGCCCAAGTCCCCCGGAGACGCGCCTGACTTTTCGGATCTCTTCCCAGCTGGCTCGCCGATAAACGCAGATGAGCCCTTCGGAGCAGACCCCGCTACTCACCTCTACGACATGTTCAGCGACGTCGATTTCGAATCGATTGGTGCTGCGACTATGGATCTGGGTAATTTTCCATGGAATCCTGACGATAACGACCCAAATATCTCATTGAAGAATCTTTCCTTCTGAGGATTTGTATGGCTATTGGTTCCTCCATAATTGCTAGATTAGACGAATCGCGTAGCAGTTATAATGTAATATATTCCTGGCTTTACTATTCACGTGCTCGTCCAACTACGTCCCCATAAACTTGACCAATCCTTATCTGCGTCGTGCGCTCGAGAAATGCGTCCAACTTGAAGGTTGCTAATTAAGGATAATTCGGTAGAATTAATAATGTCTAACCGTTCACAAGTGACCAAGGCTTCGTTGATTGATTGACTGATATAGTGTATTTGACTGTGGGTATAGACGTATTTATAGATATAAAGTATAGTCCTGTTATGACCATAATACTGGCCTGCTTTATCGCGAACGCTTCAGCCCCTCGAGAGCTTGTGCTCCTTCTAATGCTTCCTGTTGAGCAAGTTCCCACCGGAGCTGGTCTGACGGGCTAGGGGTTTTATCGTAGATAACCGCGTCTGCGTCCTTTGGGGGCTTTCTATAATTAGTTGTTTCGTACCGCAGCTTGACAAGTGGATCGCTAAAGAACATTGGATGAGTGGCTTGGCGCCTGGCGAAAACCTTCGGTTGTACTATTGGCGGCAAATTAGCTAGAGGACTGCGCGGCGACACGTTTAGACTGGGTTCTAGTGGTTTGATCCTCGCCGGAGGCGAACGCTCCCATCCAGGATGGAAAGGGGGGAGAATTGGGCCTTTCGAAGGGAGCGTACTGTAAGTTGTCGTGGGAGCTAATCGATTCTCGGCCTCAACCTCCCTCCTAATACCTTGAAGGGGCGTCGATAGCGGAAGCCTAGGCCTCTCTATCCGCGAGATAGGAAGGCTAACTGGGACGCCCTCGATAAGTTTCCGTTTTCGCTGACGGGGGTGGATCTTAACCGCAGCAGTGATAGAACTAGGCGGAGTGTAGGGTGATGCTGTTTTCTTCCCATGCAACATCGCAGCCCTGTTTAGCTCTGCCATCCTAACAGGCGTAGGAGATTTGCCAGAGCGCGCCAGCTCTTGCGCAGCCTTTGCGTATTGATTCCGGCTGGCGCAGGTAGTCAGGAACTTAGCTTTAACAGCAGGTCTAGACTTCGTCTCCGAGTCAGTAGGAGCAACAAGAGCCGCTGGTGCGGATTTCCTCGCTTTCTTCGCTTTAGTGATAGCCGGACGAGGTTGGGATGTTACAGCGGGACTCAGAACGGGAGGTGGTGCGGCTGGCGGGGGTTGTTGAGGAGGTTTATACCCAAGGTTATCAAAGGGACGGTTGCCAATCTTAGCCAGAGTTTGAAATATCTCCCACACTACGTACGCGCCGCATTGGTAATCGTTTCTCATCGAAGAGGGATTCTTAGGCGGAGGTCGAGGTTTGTCTAACGCGATTGTATGTCGTCTTTTCTCCCCAAGGCTCTCTCGTTTCTTTTCGGCGATACTTTCACGCTTTTTGAACAGGTTCTCCTTCTTCTTTTCCGCCAAGGCCTCACGCCTTTGTTTTTCGGATTCTAATATCTCGTCAGGTGACAGCCAAAGATGAGGCTTTCTATTTTTCAGGTCATCGACCCAGGCGTCGCAATCCCACTCGATCCAGTAGTCTATGATATCACCCCATGCGCTTTCAGATGGTTTCGTCAAGTTGATGAATATGACTCTGCCCCCCTTGTTATGCACAGCTTTGGCAAATTCCTTGACCATCACTTTGAGTCCATGGACTCTAAGGCTTGTCCCAAGGATCAGGAGAAGATCTGGTCCGGCGGAGAGGTCATGTTGAACTATAGGGGATATTAAGTCAGACTGAGGGTGTTCCTCTCCATAGAGAACAATGTCCGGTCGAAGCTTGCCAACGCCTAAAGCTCGCTTTCCTTTCTCTTGCCGTGCAGCGGTTGCTCCCGCGCAGTGAGGACACTCGGGTTGTTCGCCCAGCATTGTGCAAGATTCTCTTCCATCCTCATCCCAATTGCAGAGCTTTCCGCATACGAAACAGCGCAGGGAATTTAGAGAGCCATGGAGAAAAACGCATTCAACACCTCTGTCCGGGGCTAACACTGATCGGGTATTGCTCCGCCCAGAAACTTCCGAGTTCTGCGAGGCCTGCCCGGTATCGACGCGATTTGGATCATCCTCGTTTTTCGGGGGTTCTTGGTTTTCTTTGAAGTCTTTTTCGGAATCCGTTACTTGATGCTTGGCGGACTTTCTCCTTCTATTGCCTGCACCATTTTTCAAATCTGTCGATAGACCGATCTTCTTTTCGATTTCGTCGATGTTTTGTGTATACACTCGTGCAAGCTTCCCAACATCGCGGAGCTGGGCGATAAATCGATGAGTTGTGGTCGGTTCTACTTCTTTTACTTTCTGTCTCAACGTCGTCGCAAACCGGTAGAACACAGATGTCTTAAGTGGATCAGCCCATATATTGCAATCGAACAGGTCGCGGCCTTTCATGTTTCGCAAGCTTGAGGTGGACGTTTGCGAAGAAAACAGATCTAATGAATTCTGTGTTTCCTCGGAATCGGATGTATCGGAGCTTTCTGTGGACAAGTTTGCATGTTCGTACGGGTCAAATAGAATAGGAGGAGGTGAAGAGAGAGGTGACGAGCTAAAGGTTTCACTCAGGATGGCCCTTGGAGTGGTAGCCCTCGCCTGGCCATCGCGCGTCTCTTTTACTTCACAGAGAGACGACTCTTCGGTTTGAGACGATGCACTTGAAAGCTGCGGTGTTGAGAAGGACGAATCTTGGCTTGTAGAAGATTCTGTGGAGGTGGAGGTTTGAGTGATATGTCGATGTAGGATTGGTCGTAGTCCTGGTCGCGAGTGTGCAAGCCGCTGCAGAGAGGTCTTAGAAGAGAGGGTTTCTACTTCCGGCTTCACCCGGAGGCCGTCTCTGGCATATGAAGTCAAGTTCTTGCAGTCATTCGAGGCTCGTGTGACCCTTTTCGGTTCCTCTTGTTCCGTCGAACATTCAGCTGTGCGAGATATTCTCCTCCTCTTCGTAGGACGTCCACTTGAGGCGAAACTGGCAGACTGTCCCTCAGCATCTTTAGGGTGGCTAGCTTCCGCTCGCTCAAATTGCGCCTGGATAAGTGAGTAGAGGCCATTTTCGGAGCGAAAGTCCTGTTTGACTGGTCAATGCCTGTATGCATGTTCGAACGAGACGGGAGACGAAAACATACTGGGATACCGGAATTGGTACTTATACCGGCTCCTGTAATGATCACAACCTTTCTCGCCTTCCCGAGCGAGTTCGCTACGTGTTGGAGGAGCTCCGATGACGTGGGTTTGACTTCAAGAATAGGCATCTTGAAGGGTGGGGATTGACCGTGAATTACGAGGAAACGTTGTTTAAGAACCGCGTATAAGCGTCATCGCGTAAGGCCTCGCTTTTACACGTAACAGTAGCCGCAACTTGGAAGCAGAAAGGGAGCCCGTGATATAATAGATGCGTATATAGGTGCCTGGCAACTCCTCCCTCTTCTACGAACCTCTCCGGGCGCCGATACCCGCAATTCAAGCTCGATTGGCTCCGAGGCGGCCGAGGCGGGTGCATAGGAGGGGGAGGAAAGATTGAGAACAAAGACGCGTCGGTACGCGCGTATTCCGAGCCTAGTAATACACCTCTTTTTATCCTCACAAGAGTGGTGAGAGCCAATGGAGAATGGGTGGCTAGAATGGAGCGCGTGAAGTGAGAATTGCGGCCAGTCGACGATCGGGAGGAGAATTAGTAGTCGCGTAAAAGCTAAGTACTATAAAGCTAAGGACCCATCGGAGAAATAATATCTAGTAGGCTTTTACCAGGCACTGTGGCTTAAAGTATGTTTGTATGTAGTTTATTTTAGAGAGTTTAAACAACGTGGCTGATTTAGACTCAACACGACGGGGACAATTGTGTGATGAAGGAGGTATGCTTTGCTTAGTTAGATGGCTAAGTAAATATGGGATAATGGATTATGTAAATGTCTGGTGTGATGCAAAGCGCGAATGTAGCTAATGTGGAGTCGGTAAACACCTCTTGCCCTGGACGGCAGTAGCAGCAGCAGCTATGGACGCGTGCTAAATTTGGATACCCCACCCATCATGCTTTCTCCACTAATATCCACTATGTCCACTTAGGGACACATGCATCTGGAATGGGTACGATCCCCATTTTATTCTTTACATGTTTTAATTTCTTTAATACATGCCAATTTTGAAGAAAGTCAACTTCTCGTCCAAATCCGATTCGATGCAATCCAACCCAATCCAATCATTAAACATCAACTAGGAAATATGCGAATAAACTTGCTTCGTATATATCTCGGTTCCGAGATCCATCACTCATCCCAATACGTCCAGCAGCTTCTGGAAATCGCCGACGGAACCGAGGCCGGTCACGCAGTCATAACCTTTGACGCTTTCCCACCCAGGTTCCTTCTCTTCATCAAATAAGCAGCTCTGGCTTACGCCTGCAGTGACGTCCTGCAAGGCTTCCCTCACCGGCTGTGAATACAGGACCGGGTTGAGCCAACCAGTACTGTTCTTCCCAGCTTTCAACCTCGACTCGTTGACTAGAGCTATTAGAGCCGCCACCACTGGGGTGCTCGCGCTAGTGCCAAGGACGTCCGTCTCGTAGCCGCCTACTTGAATGACATAATTTGTCCCAGTAGCACTGATGTCCGGGAACGCTCGGCCGGTCTCGTTATATAGTCCTCTATGTGATCCGTTGATAGCTAATATGTATCCGTCCACCGCTTCTTTCTGCCACTCTGGCCGGGCGAAATAGTTACTAAATCCCCCAGTGCTAAAGTCGGCTCCTTCGAGGGGCAGCGTGTTACCCGTCGCACCCACCGCCGTGACGTACGGGCAACTTGCTGGAAACGTCGGGAGGAACATCCTGCGTCTCTGCCCGTCGTTGCTATAGCACTGATTCTGCCCGATCCCGCTGGCGCCGCCATCGCCCGACCCGGAGAGGATCGACACTCCGCGGGCTGCCAAAATGGCAAATAGATCGCATACTCGGGTCGCGTAAGAGATCGGCACGGATTGCTCATCGTCGGCATACGAAATACTAATTATGTGAGGTATCTCCTCGTCGTTGAGGTCGAGAAGGTATTGTACGAACTCCAGGTACGGCTCGTTGTCGCTTCGATTAGATGGAAGCAGGTCGCCGTTTGGATCAACTTTCTCACCTCGGCCTCCAGTCGAATAGTAAATCACGTTTACCGGATAACCGAGAGCCATAGCGTACTCTACATCTAAGCTAGCCTCAAGTCCCGCTCGCGAATCCGGCGTGTTAGGTTGAGGGTTCGTACCGTTGTTCGCCGTCGCTATAGTAAACGTATAATTCAAAGGCCCAAGTTCAGGTGAGTATCTTCCTAGGAACTCTGACACGTCTTCGTACTTGATCCACTGCTCGAGGAAACCGGCAATGCCAAATCTTATAGGAGATTTGATGGGCGTCGTCACGTTAATGTGCGTCACATTATAGAGACTTATGAGACATGCCGGCTTGACCCCGCCTGAGCAAGGCTGGTCGTCGGCGAGGGTTGATACTGCGGATGCCTTCCGAGAAGGAGTGGACTTAAGCCTAGATTGCGGTGGTGGCATGAAGTTGGAGATCGGGTATATGAGCTCAACAGCCCCGTCAAGAGAAAAAGGTAGCGAGTATGACTGAGCGCGCAAGACTGGAGATCGCTCTTGAAATGAATAATAGCCAAGAGTTGTATCGAGGATCTCATTTACTTTCGCCACTGTCGAGGTGACCGTCATCAACGATCCGTCAACAATTACATCGGTGATCCCGGCCGACATGAGCCACGAATGAACCATTTCCAGCGCCACCTTGTCAGGCTCTTGGTATGCTCTGGCTTCATCTCTCGTGAGATGATACCCGTATTCAGCACTCGTCTTATTGCTAATGCGATCGAGCCGAGCTTTCAGTTCATCCATCCTTGGTTGTTTGAGTGCGATTGACAGTTTTATAAGTTCTTCTGCTTTCGCTTCCTTCTCAAGTTTCCATCCTCTCGGTAGATTACTGACTACTTCACGAGCAGTCAATGGTTCTGCGGCCGCGTAACCTATCCATACTCCAGCAAGAGCACACAGGAAGGCCAACCTCATTCTGGACTCGTCTGAGATTCTAGGATTGTTTGAATTCAAAAGGTAGGTGATATGATCGTCTATTCAGATTATTTTCACTTCAATATATCTGCACTAAGGTAGGACGTTCATGCATATCATCCCAAAGAAACATTCACTGCTCAAGTAAAATGTTTGTTTACCAGCACCATCCCGTCGAGCATAATTTGAAGTACGCAACGGAGCGTAGCTAGGACACAAGCACAAACTCGCTTAAAAGCGACTGCACTGGCATATGCAACCGGTTTAGCCGGGGTAGAAGTCGCACAACTTTTACGAACTCGGCGAATGGCCGGGGCTTCTTTATTGCTCATTTAGACTCGTGAAGCACACGTTCCTGTCTCGATAGCGTGGATAGCTGGGCTTTAAAATAGAAATGATTACACGGAAGCAACATAGGCGTCGAGTTCTTCGGCGCATTTAACCCGTAACAACACCCACATCGAATACTAGGTGTCTACATGCGATACTAGACACATTAAGCCATGTTTATAACTCCCGCGTCAGACGGTATCTATAAGACAGGTGCTAATAATGCCACCAGAAGTTCTTGAATACGAATAATGTTCGCCGCACGAATCCCACCAGCATATTCACTCGAGATTAAACTTCTCCCCGACCAGATCTTCACTTAAAAGCCACAGACGCTCAGCTATTGCCGGGTTTTTGGTGTAGTCTGCGCTGGGAAAGAATTGGCAGTCGGCCAAGTATATGTCAGTGGGGACTATTTTGAACGTCAGATGTAATTACCAAGAGACGGAGGAGAGAGCTTACCGTCTAGTGCTGGATCTAATGCCGCCACAAGAGTCGTCGATGCACCTTGGTCGACATTCTTCCAAAATTTAGACGTTTCCGCGATGGCATTGGCCATCTCCTCATCGTGCTCTCTACCAAGGTTACTACTCACGCCTAAACAAGAGTTCATCTAAGTTAGCTTATCGTTTGCTAACAGATTATCGATGATCGGCATGGGGTATATGGCGTATTCCTCACCTCCTGGGTGTACAGCATATGATGTGATTCCCTTCTTCTGTAGATGGCTTTGGAGATAAAGCGTAAACAAAATGTTGGCCGTCTTGCTCTGCGCATATGCAATGGTAGGCATATAGCCATCATCTTGGACCCTTGCGAATGCGAGAGGTAATGGGGAGAAGGGTTTCTCCTCCAGAGGTACTTCTTTATTCTCGATATTATAGTCGTGGAAGCGTATCGTGGATAGTCGGTGACCGTGGCTAGAAAGATTAATCACGCGAGTTGCTCCAGCGGGAGATTCCTTAGCCGCTGCTTCTAAAAGAGGGAACAGCAACTTCGTAAACAGGAACGGACCAATATGATTCGCACCAAATTGCATCTCAATCCCTTCAGCTGTCCATCGACGCGAGTTGTAGGTCGCCCCAGCGTTGTTGATCAGGATATCCAGCTTCGTGATCATCCCGAAGACCTCCGTAGCTGCTTTACGAATGGACGCCTGGGAGGCCAAATCTATCGCGATAGTCCGTACATCGACCCCTGGGTATAATTGGCGAATCGAATTCGCCACGGCCTCGAGTTTTTCTTTCGTTCTTGAAGCAAGAATCAGGACTTTTGGTCCCTGGGAGGCAAACGAAATGGCCGTCCCCTCGCCAACGCCCTCAGGTGCAACACCAGTAATCAGAACTATTTCATAATCAGCTGAACGGGTACAAAGAAGGGCCCGTGTCATGAGATTCTCACCATTTCTGCCTCCAATTCTCTGCGCATAGACCTCGGCGACCTCCAACCCGGAAGCCTTCTCCCCCCACTCTGAGTGTGAAGTCATTTTAGAGACTTAGGGGTTCGTGGCACGATCGACATCCACAAAAGGGTCGTGACCGTGTTATAGTCTGTGGCTTGGTCTATGATACAAGTCCAAGTTGCAACCCGGATGAAGATACAAGGGCGTATCACTTGATTTGTTACCATCTACTACCCGAGACTGGATCCCGTCACCCCGAGCTAAAGCATACTACCATAACTCAGGATCGTCGAGGAGGCCGGCATGACTTTTGGATCGCGTGATCGGCTATTCTGGGCCGAGGATGGACGACGAAGTATAGCCTAAGATCAGGGAATAGAAGGAATTGTAGAGATTTCGTAAGGGGGCAACAAGGTCTCTACCCAATAGTTGGCCACGATGTCCGGACAAACTATCCAACGCTGTCGATCCTCCCCCCCCTTCGTCACCTGAGTCCAGGCCTCGGGGACAACGGCTGGAAAGAGTCAGCCCCTTGCCAACTTAGGCCAACTTGGGGGAATTCCCCATATAATCATTCCCCGCCCCCGCATCGCGTGTTGGGAAGATGGAGTTTCTCATCTTGGATGCAACCGGCATATTTAAACGTCGATTAAGTCAACACCCTATTGGCCATTGCCACTCTCCTAAAGTAGCTTGACCATCCACTCGCAACTTGGGGGATTCTAAGCCTTCTGTAGCGAAGGGACTCTCTGCCCTGTCTTTACACGTCTCGGGAAATTCTTTTGCGTTTGGATCATCAAGATGGCAACTAATGGCTACACCAATGGCGCAACAGAGCGGCCTAGGACGGGTGTGAAAGTAATAGTGGTTGGTGCCGGTATGTATGCTATGCGTATTATACAGAATTCCTAGAGTCAGTAAGAGGTTGATAATCTCTAACATTGTTTCCCCTTTCTCCGGTGATTAGGATTCGGTGGCCTAGGAGCAGCGATAGAATGCCACCGTCAAGGACACGATGTCGAGATATATGAGGCGTTCCCAGAACTTAAATCCCTGGGTGATATTATCTCGTTCGGGCCAAATGCAGGAAGAATCTTCTACCGCTGGTCGAATGGCGAGGTTGCCCGACGAATGCGGCCCCTGAGCATCGACTTGAGAAAATACGGCTTCAACATCCACAAGTACGATACTGGCGAAATAGTTATTAACCAAAAAACGCCGGAATACGCAGTAGATGCCCCAAATTTCAATGGACACCGAGGAGAGTTGCACGAAGTAGTTTTCAACTACGCAAAAGACGACCTAGCCATACCGATCCATCTGGGAAATAAGATTGAGCAGTACTTCGAGGACGAGAAAGAAGCAGGCATCGTGCTAGAAAGTGGTGAAAAGGTCTGTGAACTTATTGAAACCGAACCAAATCGTTGCTATTAGCTCACTATGCAAGAAGATTGCCGCCGATGTGGTCATCGCGGCAGATGGAGTACGCTCCAAGGCCCGGAAAGTTGTCCTGGGATACGAAGATAAACCAAAGAGCAGCGGATACGCTGTTTGGAGGGCATGGTATGAGGTCCAGCCTATCTAATTCCATGCAACAATAACTGAAATTATTCGATATTCAGGTTCCCAAATAAGGACATGCTTGCTGATCCAGAGACTGTACAATTCTGCAACAATGGCGATACTTTCAACGGATGGATAGGGCCGGATATGCACTTCTTATTTAGCACCATCAAGAATGGCTCTGACTGTAGCTGGGTCCTGACGCATCCCGATGAGCACGACATCGACGAGTCGTGGAGTTTCCCGGGCAAGCTCTCGGAAGTAAAAGAAGCAATAAAAGATTGGGATCCGCTATGCACTCGAATCGTCTCCAAAACGCCCGAAGAAATGCTTGTTGACTGGAAATTAGTCTACAGAGATCCATTACCAACTTGGGTCAGCCCCTCAGGGAGGATTGTTCTACTTGGTGACTCGGCACATCCATTCCTCCCTACAAGCGCGCAGGGCGCTACTCAAGCACTCGAGGACGGAGTAGTCATCGCTGTATGCTTGCGTCGCGGCGGAAAGGAAAACGTTCCTGTCTCTGTCAGAGCACACGAGAAGATTAGGTACGATCGCGTGTGTAAGACCCAGAAGACCGGCGAAAGCACACGAGATATGTGGCATAAGACCGATTGGGAAAAGGTCAAGAAGAACCCCGAGATCATTCAGTTCCCTCGGCAGAGTTGGATCTTCGATTTTGACGCGGAGAAAAACGCCGAGGAATCATATGACGATGTCGTAAAGGAACTTCTCAAGGCATAGACTATTTCTCTTTTTGCCTGCTAGATCGCATCTGCCTCAATGACGTTTATCTGCAGGATGATTTTGGAATAAAGAAATCATGTACATTGCCAATTCCGATAGATAAGATGTTAATTAGACGTGCAGTGATCTTCCATCTCATATAAAAAGGGTTCCTACAGAGGAATACGTTAAATTCCTTCATATACGACATGTCATGATTAGGCCAGAAATCCTCTCCTTCGAATCCATCACACCTACCAACCATGTCTTGCCCCCAAAAGACAACGATGACTGTTCTTCAAGCTCTTGTTTCTTTCTCCTTGGCACTTCCTACCGTTTCTTCGACATACTCTGCTTGGGTCTTCTCCTCGAGGACAGCGTGGCTTCCTGTGCAATGGTATTTGCGGAACTTCCGAGCAGAAATCCGAGCCTCGAACTGTTGTTCTAGTGATCAGCATACTCGACTATTTTCGTAGGACCTTGAAGCCTCACCATTTCATCGATCTCCTCAAGGGTGCGGTCCTTCACTTCTGGTAGGAAGAAATAGATCCAGACGCCTGCGATAAGGGATGACCCCGTCCAGATATATCCATACTTAGGGCCCCAATTTAATGCATCTGGATTGATGAAGTACGGCGCAGTGAAGGCTACGTTGACTTTATGTTAGTTATCCTACGAATTAGCCATACAGATCAGGACTTACTAGTAAGCCACTATGAATCATTAGCTAAGAATTCTAGAGGATTGTCTCGAAGTACTTACAGCAAAGAAGAATCCCACTCCAGTAGCCAATCCAAATGTGTGCGAGCGTAGACGCTGCGAGGAAAGTTCGCCTCCAGACAGCCATGCATAAGGAGCGACCATCGCATTATAACTACAGGATGGTAGTCAGCGACGTTTCTTAAGTGAAAATATCATAAATTTCTAGGTAAGTGGTAGAATTGTTGATTCTTTAATTGGCGAGACAGCGCAGAGGGGGTGGACAGGGGTGGGGGACAATGAAGCACCAAATATTACATACGCGACTATGTAGAGGACACTCATCCCGACGAGAGCTTTGCCCGAGTTTTCGGTATTCGGATGAATCGTGTATATCACGGCTATGATTAGTTGAGAGAGCCCGCAAAAAGCGAATCCCATGAGCATCATCACTCGTCGACGCCCAAATTTCGTAATCAAAAGGGCGGTGGCGAGTAGCGCGGCCACTCCAACGCCAGTGAGGATACAGGAGTTCTCGAATGCATTTCCGACATTTGCCATTTCGAAGAAATAGGTCCCGTATGCTGCCACATGTTAGAGAATAATCAAGAGACTTGGATGAACAAGGTGTACGAACATATAACGTACATAGAACCAGACGCTGCCTGGCTCGTCAATGCAAGCACAGCAACAGTGGTTCTACGACGGTCAATAGGATTCCTGAAAAGGTCCAAATATCCAATACCGGCCTGCAGTCGAGCCTCGGCTTCGAGCGTCGTCCGCATTTCCTCTATTTCCTGGCCAACTGCCCACCCTCGAGGTCTTAGCCGTTGTAAAGCTTGCTCGGCCTTTTCGAAGTTCCCTCTCGCCGCGAGCCAACGGGGAGATTCAGGAATGAAGAAAAGTCCAATGGCCAAAATTCCAGGCACAATATATACAATTCCCAGGGGAATGACATAGGCGTCTCGGGTAGGGTTCTTCGCTGCGAAATTATCGACTATGGTCCCAATTAGGGATCCTGGAAGCTGGTTAGATGCAATTGAGCCATATCCCGTGTAGGCATAATGAATCTTACCAAATGAAATCCAATATGAGAAGAACGAGATACCCAATCCTCTATAGCGACTTGGGACACTTTCCTACAACAACATAAGTTACTTGTGGCGTTAGTAAGCTTCATCGACTATCCGTACCTGAATCTATAACATGTTAGCTTCTCGAAGAGAGAGAAGTTGTGTTAGATGCTAAATAATAATAAAAAGGATTTTCGCTCTACTTATTCTTTTATTTCGTTTCACCTTGGAACAGCACTCCTTTGATTCACCCCCACCAAATCATCGTGGATTATATAGATATAATAGGACACTTACTATTATCGAGTTAGTTTTCGCATAAGAAGAGCAGAATATGGAACGGGTTTGCAGGGAATCTAGATAGCGTATGATTTAAGGAGAGAGTTTCTTACATACCGTAAAGTTGAGAATGCGTCATTAACAGCCCATTAGCAAAGCCTATGATCAGTCTTCCAGCATATAGACCTCCTATATTCGTAGTAGCCTGCATGAGTGCGGTAGATACGAAAACGCCAACGCAAGCAATCCACTTGAACAGTGAGAATCAGCGATTTATTCTTCAGAAATTTCCAGCATAGCTCGAGAGCTGAAGCTTCTCGATTGGCTGAATTAAGACCCTCTCACTCCCGAGACACGCTAAAAGGGGAGGGAAGGGCTGTCCATATCGCATACCAGAGACATTTTCCGACCAATATACTTAGCCGTGAATCCAGTCGAGGAAGAAGACACGAAAGCGCCGAGGACCATCAAAGACGCAATAAGCTGTTGCCTGTCGGCTTGGATATTATACCCGAGGGGAGTCGATGGATCTTTTTTCCCGAAGACCTTGAAGTTGGTGTTTGAGCAAGATGACATGCAAATCCGCCAAGGGGAGGAAGCAAGTCCATACCTGGAGAAAGGGAACCATGGCCTGAAGACCGCCAATGATGCCGAAATCAAGACCATATTGAAAAGAGCTTAGAGATACTAGAGTCATAGCAATCATCGCCTTCCAGTGGTCCCTCACCCCCCATGATTTCTCTTGATCTGGTGCCATTTTGATCGTAAGTGAATGAATAGCTGTAAGTCGAAAGGACAGAGACTAGACTGTGTTTGAAGACTCCCTTGCTCGCATACGTGCTGCCCACCTTGACTTAAGAATTAAGCTCGCCTGTGATATAGATGATGAGGACCTTGCTCATAGCTACAGGGAGCCTGCATTATTCAACCCTTGATTTGGATATGCCGTTGTGGGCGTGCAGGTTTAGGTAGACGTAGCCACAATGCTAAATGATTCTGTATATGGAACCCCTGTTGCTCTACTGTCCAGCAGACCTTTCCAGGCTTGATCGTCCCCCCTTTTCCCCACACATTGGCCATAACCATAGCTAATGTGGTATTGCCGGCTAAGCTGTTGCAACGTCAACTTGGAGAAGCCAACCCCATCCCCGCCATGTGGCGGATGAGATGGGCCGATATCATATTGGGTATTTCTGGTTGGATGGAAATTTTCATGGTATAGTTGTGGTATTATGATTGCTTGTGGTAGAACTGAGCCATGGTATCGACCCCTGTGATTCGTCACGCTTTAGCTAATACGAAACTTCGTTTTCTTGAAGTGGCTATTCGGTTTCTTCCTATGGATGACTATGCAGGTATCGATGCAGATCCGGATAACCGATATTTGTGGGAAGCATTGATCTCAAACATGTTTGGCGTAAGAAGAACGGGATATGGGTGACTACAGACAGTACAGAGTAGGCTAACCCAGTAGGTATCTAGAGAGTTAACAAAGGCAGGAAACTTCATTACTAGGATATCAGATACCTAAGCTAGAAGAATTTGATGAGATTCCATATCCATATCCAGGAAAATGACAGAAGAGGCCGACTAGGAAAGGATGGATATTGAATTCGGAGATTTGTGATCGACATCCGTTATGGAATGTAGCATATTGATTCTGAAGCCTTTTCCTTATAAGTTACGTGGGATCTCTCTCTGTAGGCGCAGAAACAGTTGAGGTAGTGACTCTTTTCTGTATTTTGTGATTATCATACTTAGATATTGTTGTTGTTGTTGTTGTTGTTGTTGTTGTTATTATTTGGCACATTGAATGCTAACAGCTGGACTGGGTCTTTTGTGGGTCCATTGATGTAGGTACTTTCCTATCGATAAAGCTTCCACCATTCGACGTCACTTTCCCCACCTGGACCGGTGTGCTGGGGTGTTAGGACGCTCTTCCCTTTGAATGTCGTAGGTACATCACATCGCGTAAGAATTTCAGATCGATTGGATCTTCGACTTTTCAACTTTTCAACTTTTCAACCTCAACTTTACCATTGAAAATTTCTCCCATGCTTCGCGCCGCTGTCAAGATGGCTCCCACTTCTGCATCTGACATTCCTTCTCTTAATCTTCTCTATAAACTTAAGAAGTTAGACGTCTCAAGACTTGGTCCTCTCAAAGGCGCATCTCCAGTCCACAATGACCGCATCGGCTTATTCCGTGGCGACATCACCACCTTATCTGTTGATGCCATCGTGAATGCCGCCAATACTTCCCTACTCGGCGGTGGCGGCGTTGATGGTGCGATCCACCGAGCTGCTGGGAAAGGTTTACTCGCTGAATGCCGTACCTTGGGCGGTTGTCCCACTGGCTCGTCCAAGATCACCAACGGATACAATCTTCCTTGCCAGAAAGTCATACACACCGTCGGCCCTGTTTACAACGACAGCAAACCTGCCGAAAGCGAGGCTCACCTGAGAAGCTGCTATCGGACCAGTTTAGAGCTTGCTGTGCAGAACGACCTGAAGACTATCGCGTTCAGCGCTATCAGCACCGGCGTATATGGCTATCCGAGTCTGGATGCCGCCAACGTCGCTTGCGACACCGTCAGAAAATATATGGATGGCGACGATGGTAAAAAGCTAGACAAAGTTATATTTGTCACCTTTGAAGAGAAGGACGTGCGCGCTTATAACAGCCTTCTTCCGTACGTAGTTAACCAACCCCTAAACCTCACAACACAGTTCACTGATCAATGCTATTTCGTATAGTCGCCACTTTCCCCCAAGCATTCCAGCCTCGTCCGACCAAGATAGCATCACCGGGGAGCAGGCCGCCGAGGCCGAGGCCAAGGCCAGTCAGTTGCCCGACGTACCTACTACCGACCCTGCCGACTCCGAACACGTGCCAAAGAAACAGAGACAGTCTAATGAGGATTAAAATCCCATGCTTATGATGGACACGATGTTACGACGATACGAGAAAGGGTTACATGGTTGGTTCGGACAATGGAGTTATGGCAATAGTAAATGTGTAGTATGGAAGAATATCCCGATACGCGGCTGCTCATTTCACTAACAACATGGTAGCCCGCCGAGTTTCCCACATTACCATTCCCGGGTCATCATATAGGGCTATTTTGACATTTCGGCTAGTTATCGTCGGTCAACTCTTAGTCGAACGACACGAATTCATCCCGATGCTGGCCCAACGGGTCATGGCGGGTTTCTATTAAACAGACCTACGCCAATTGAAACTTCCAGTTTTTCTCTCTGGTACTTTTCTAGAGCTTCTATCCAATTCATTGTTAGAAGATCGGTGACAGACCCCATGTTCACTGACTGCGCTCCGGCCCAAAAAGCACTTCTTTGGTATCATAGGCGTACTCCATTGGGAATTGCCAATACGCCTCCATATCCCCTTTAGACAGCTGCCAAGCCTTTTCTAACACTGCAAGTATCTCTTTATCTAGTGGCCCTTTTTCAAGGTAGTCGAGATTATCCCTTAACTGTTGCAAGTTGGAGAAGCCGATCACGATCCCGTCGTGCCCACCTTTGACTTGTAACTGTGAATGGTGTACTAACCAACGCACGGCTAACTCGAGTGGACTTAGGCCCCGTGATTCAGCCGCTTCACGAATCAGGCGTGCGCCTTCAATGATGCCGTCTCGAAAGTATCGTCCACGCGTCAGGTGTTGAAATGGACCAGCAGCGAATCTCCCTTCCTTCGGGTCGTCATCTTTGGTCGTTATTTTGCCTAGCAGGAAGCCACCTCCCGTTGGGCTGTAGGCGTCGACGGCGATGCCGTACCGGCGGCACGTCGGGATCAGCTCGGCTTCAATCGTTCTAAACAAACAGTTGTAGATCGCTTGGTAGACTGTGGGGCGTACCCAACCGTTGTGCTGGCACGTCATGACGATTTCGGCGACCTCGAAAGAGGTATAGTTGCTTAGGCCAAGTCTGGAGAACTTTCCCGCTTTATGCAGCTCGTTTATCGCTGCGAGTGTAGTTGAGAATGGAACTGAGCGGTCCTACGTAAAGGATTGCCTGGTTAGTGCGGAGTTTGTGCTTCATAATCCACAATACCTATTCTTTGCAATTTTACGCAAGGGGTTTCGTTACCGGAGAGTGAAGGTAGAGGATCTATAATCGTGTCAGTCTCGTCGTCCAGGCACCTTTTGATCGTGGGAATAATTCTATTCTTCGATCAGATACGTACGTCTACCGAGTCGGTCCCAAGCTCTTTCAAACTGGTCTCGAAAGTCTCTTTCAACGGCCCTGGTGCGTGAGACCCTACGGGAAGCGGCCATATTTTCGTGCCCATGCTTAAGCCTCTCTCCTTCCAACCAGCTTTTCTCGTGAATGACTCCTGCTCCCCACCGATATACACACGTGCTGTGTCAAGCTCATTATACCCGCGATCTTGGAAGATGTCGAGAGCCTGTTTGAAGTCATCAAGACTTGTCATACGTGCTCCCGGACTTCCCTCGGGTCCAATAACCATGAGGCCTAGGATAATTCGCGGCTTTGCTTGGTCTGCCATCTTGCACAAATTTAGATTGGGTATAAATCCTTAATTCCCCAAGCTGTCTTGATTTCGAAATAAATTCAGTGAAATGAAAACTCCCCAGGACACAAATGTGAAGTGAAGTAGCCTGGATGATTATTGGCTAATATCCCCGGTCTTATAACTGCCTACCTACATATGACTTGGCGTTGTTTTCTCCCCGCAATAGCTCCATCCACGGGAATCAACCATATCAATCGCCGGCAGCAGTGCCGAGCGGGGAAGAACCACTAACAACACTGTGGGCATAATATACAAACGATCATGTGTTAGTTTTAGCTGATGTGTCTCTTAGTGGAGAACATACGAGACTTAGAATCAGGTATACTGGTAGATAGTGTCGGTTGAGAAAAAGGATGCTCAAAAGATTTGTTCACATATACCTGCCTACCTAGGTATATACCGTATTCAATACCAATGCTTTCAACTAAGGATGCTGTCGATGTTATGTAATAAGCCCTGACAACTTACGTTAACATTTATCCCTTAGAATATTTTCCCATATCCTGAACCTCGCAGTGAGCCCCATGGCGACCTAGTATTCTTTTCTTAAGACTGACAATAAATATGAGAAAATGAATTTATGGTTGCTTGAGGTGGACAGTGAGATCGAAATAGTTAATTAGTAGAAATGTATTGGTTGGTTTAGCTTAAGCCTTCCCCAAGTGTGAAGGTGGAAGGGGAAAAGGGGCAGGGGGTAAAATACATAATTCAGGGGCGAGCAGCCCCCTATTTGACGTGATGACTAAGTCACATAGATGCACAGCGAACTATACCCATATAAAGAGCAACTAGCAAGCAAGTAATATCAATACAATCCTCTTAATCTTTTCTATTAAATACGTTGTTGAACATTAGACACCTACATACCTGATTAAGTAGTGTCACTTATTAGTAGAATCAAATGCTCTTAGCTAAAGTTGAATTTCTACGTGCGATTTGTGACTCCAAATTACTTGGGTAATCATCCGCGACCGGCTTGGAATTATTCGATATCGGAATACGACGTGACATACTAGATGTCTTTCTCGCGCCCTTCCGTGCGTGTCAGTGTGGGGTCTACTATTTCCGATACGGCTAACGGACACGATCCCGTGGAGCGTACTAGTAGTTAATTGCGCTAGCTGTGGTTAGGGAGTAAAACATATAAGGAAACACCAAGTCTTCATATCTTGGATCTTTAGCAGGATTGTAATGTCCATAATCCCTTTTCGAAAAGAACTTGCAGCTTGCCAGCCTGTTACGATCCTAGAATGAGCTCCCATACCGAGACTTCGGCCCCATCCACGATAGGGAGCGATGTCGTAGGAATGAGAGAAAACACTTCGCCGGTATTTGGCCAGCGAATGCTTCAACATTTCGACTTCGACCCAAGTTGTCGTAACTTGAATCATGGTAATGTGCCCCTTTTCTGTGAGCGTAATCATGTTCCTAATCAACAATAGGGTCTTTTGGAGCAAGCCCTCGGGAGATTAGAAAAAAGCTCTGCTGGTTTCAGGATCTCGCTGAAGCAAGGCCCGATCAATTCATTCGCTATGAAGCTCCCGATATTCTGAACGAGTCCCGGGAAGCTGTGGCAAAACTACTCAATGCACCTACTGACACGGTCGTGCTTGTTCCAAACGCTACTGTTGGAGTGAACACAGTCCTGCGGAATATTGACTGGAACGATGACGAGAAGGACGAGATTCTTTACTTCAGCACTATATACGGAGCGTGCGGGAATACTATTGACTACCTAGTAGATTCAAGCCATAGCCGTATCTCAGCACGTGAAGTACGGTTAACATATCCACTCGAGGATGAAGAAGTCATCGCTGCCCTCAAAGATGCGATAGAAGCTTCTACCAAATCCGGGAAACGTGCGAGACTTTGCCTCTTCGATACAATATCCAGTCTCCCGTCTGTTCGTTTACCCTTCGAGCAGATCACCAAAATCTGTAGAGAAACCGGAATCCTAAGTCTCATCGATGGGGCTCAAGGGGTTGGAATGATCGACATCGATCTAAAGGGACTCGATCCTGATTTCTTTGTTTCGAACTGTCATAAGTGGCTTTTCGTGCCTAGGAGCTGCGCCGTCCTTTACGTCCCTGAGCGAAATCAGGCGATGATCAAGTCGTCGCTCCCGACTTCTCATGGATATATCCCCAAATCTGGAAAGCGGTTCAACCCGCTGCCGAAGCATAATGGGTCTAACTTCGTCAATAACTTTCAGTTTGTGGGCACTCTAGACACGAGCGCATATCTTTGCGTAAAAGACACCATAGAATGGCGACATCGAGTCCTCGGAGGCGAAGCCAAGATAATAGAATATATCCAGACACTAGCGAGGGAGGGAGGTAAAAAGACAGCATCCATTCTCGGGACGTGGGTTCTGGATAATAAGTCGAACTCAATGTCCAAATGTGCAACCACCAACGTTGCTCTGCCTTTAGGACCTGAAGATAGTATCCGGGCTTCAGGATGGATGATGGAAACAATGATGTCTGACTATAAGACGTTCATCCCGTTGTTCAGGCATAATGATCGCTTATGGGCCAGAATAAGTGCCCAAGTTTACCTCGATATTCAAGATTTTGAATGGGCTGGCCATATTCTCCTCGAGCTCTGCGACAGGGTGAAAAGAGGTGAGGATAGGAATGTGTGAGCTGGCAAATATCCCATGGGAATGTTATTATGATAGAAACATTCTTACCCCAATTTACAGAGATTATCATAGTTCAGAAAGAGAATATTGAACATTTATGACCGGCCTAGTTGGTCTACTAATAGGACATTTACTCATATGCCTAATAAGACTTAGAGGCATCAAGATAATAATTTTAAATAATGCCAAAGTAGTTTCCGTCTTGAAAGAAATTGGCGAACGTTCCATTTTCTCTTCGTTCTCCTTTCCCTATCACCCCCTTTTTGAGTTTACCAGGCAAGATGTTGATCCGTGTAAGCAGGTCAAGTAGGGCATAAGCCAAGGCTTCCGCTCTCCATGATATTCAAGTGAGTTCCATGCAGCTTTAGAATGATTTAACGAATGTATCCTACAACTACCTATATAGAAAATTACTCGAACCTCCCAACCGCAGCTCTTCACCTTAATCCAGACTATCGTCAAAATATAGAGGCAAACACTTTTACATATACCTAAGGTACGTAAAAGGTAAAATGAAGACAGTTGTTCTTGCTAGCCACGTCGGGAACCCCGGTCCCTCCCTTGATGTACGCTTTGCCGTGACCAATCTCCTTATACTCCCAGTCGACGGCGGCTTGGTTACCGGGTCCTTTCCAATTACCCTCGGTACTCGCAAGGGCCTTCTCGCCGTTGGGCTTTTTCTCCACCGCTGCTGCCGGTGCATCTTTGACAATATCTTTTTCAAACCCGTTAGACACGTTGGAACCATCTGTCGAGGCGACAGTAGCCGCACCATCACACCCTTGCTCTAGCGAGATATCGCCATGAGCTCCTCCGTCGTTGGATGCCTTGACCTGAAACTCGCCCCAGGTAGCCGGCTGCTGGTCTCCACGCTGAACGCGGCCTTTGAAGCCAAGTTCAAGCGGCACATGAATAGTCTGGTTGGGGCCGACTTCAACATTTTTTAGCGGGTGGTCGAAATTAGCGCCAGCCTCGCCATTGCCGTTCCAGTAGTTATCGTAGAAAAAGTACGTGTTCTTCCGAGGAGATTTGTTGGTCAGTTGGATGCCTGGGCCGAGCGCAGGAGCAGCGGCAGCCATCATCTTGATGTTGCCGCCTGATACCCCATTACTTGCTCCTGAGGCAGCTGCAAGCGTCGCTTCTTGGCCAGTGAACGGCTTGGATGGATCTGGTGCAGCATTTCCGTCCTGAGAAGCGTTAGCAAGAGGCGACGATACATATATCCATAATTAACCTGGGTCTTACGCTGTAGATGATCAAGATATCCTTGCTACCATTACCGGCTTTGCTCTGTGCATTGTCTGCTGGGTTACCACCACTCGGCCCCCTTGGAGTAATATTAGAATCGTTGGGGATCTAAGCAGAGTGTATAAGTCAACTCACCAAGCACCCACACCGATGTACGTTCGACCGTTCGCAAAGGTTCTTACGAACTCCTCTAGAGGTTGATAGTCCTTCGGTGGACCGATACGCTTAACATTTCCCTTGCCATCGAGGAAGACGTGGCCGTTGAGTTGGTTCTTCTTGTCTTGAGGAAGCTTGTGATAAGCCTGATTGCAAGCTTGCATGAAGTTCTCGAGACCTTTATACTTTCCAGCAGGATCGCCGACCTGTTGGCAAGTCATGTTGCCACCAGCGCCACAGATGTTGCTAATATCGATGACATCGTTGCCCTGGTAGCCATGCTTGGTGATCTCACATTGCTCGCCAATTATGCCTTCGTGTACAGCAATGATGGCTCCTGAGGTGCCATCAGCGGCTTCGATACTGGCTTGGCCATTCGCATTGATAGTTAGATCCTTATTAGCATTGTATCCATGACATTGAAAGGTCTGAGAGTGGTTAGACCTGTTGTGAATCTTAAGATAATGCATATTCGCTAGAATTGTTTGTATATGTAGGTAGGTAGGCAGATAGTTGCTGACTTGATGCTATGGATGTATGGCTGTGAAAATGGAAGGAAATCTAGGGCATTTTATATTTCTACAGCTACGAATCTCTCGTCTTATTCTCTACGTACATTTGTCTTGATGAAAGAGAATATGGAACACCTGCAATATTACTTCTCTTCTGGTGATACAATCCAAATGAGATTTTACGATGTCACCCGCATGTTGAGCTGAGCGAACTTAGCCACCACCAATATTTCGCAAGACATACAGGACACAAAGTCCTATTCAGATTCAAACCATCACGAGAATCTCCACCATGCCTAGGTCGTCATGGGGTCCAATAATGCGGCGAAGAGGTCAGAAATACAATACTTTGCCGCAAAGGATTCTTGGTGAGGACTAGACTCTGATGTCATAATCAACCAACAACTCCCTCTGGTAGACATTCCGACGAGGTTACACTCAGATGACTGACTTCGCATAGCTATGTCTCCTTAGAGAGTAGTCAGAGGCGAGAGGTGAAAAAAGAGAAAAAAAAAAAAAACCGCAGCCAAATTCTGTTCGGGAATATCCCTGCGTCAGATATTGCCTTCTAACTTAGCGTTTACATGATGAGGTGTGAGAAGCTGCTATGCCAAGTATTATGTTAGCTCTCCAATACTGGTTGGTTGACTGGCGATATTTACGAGCTGACCCCAAGAATTATGCAGCCAAAAATAATAAGCCCTTGAAATAACAGGGGATATAGCCCCCAGTCCTCATGATCGGGAATAGGTAAGCCAATATTGAGTCCTATTGAGTCAACGATTACCGTATTTCAACGACAAATCGATACTGACGAAGGGAGACCAGAACTTACCTAAGTCAGAAGCAAAGGTCGAGTCTACGACCTAACCATCAATTATTTCTAATCATATGATATACAGAATGCCGGGAGAGCTTGCCTAACTAGTTAACCAGTGCAACCATTCACCTAGGTAAAGCCGGCACATGAGCTATTGTCAGCATGAGGCGGAGGGCCGCCTCACCTCAGCCCGACCCCTAAGCCGCTCTTGCAGCATGTTGATGCCGTCACACTTTCGATTCAACGACAGCTTTATATAAATACGTATAAGAGCCCCTTTATATCTGCTTCTCAACACCATAACAATCGTCAATATTCATATAAATCAAACTACACTACTACTTTAAACCCCTTATCTTCATAGCAGGCTTTGCATCAATATTTAAGATGGTTATCAAAAAGCGTCAGATCCTCTGGGACTGGACAAATTCAGCTGGTCCAGGAAATCCAGGTGTTCCCGACAAGATCAACCAAGTCCCCTTCGGTGGCAACAGCCCAGTCGCCTCTGTCATAAACTGGAACGCATGGGTTCCCCCGGAGCTCAAGGACCGAGTGCCGTTCAGGCCTATGGTTCGCGTTCTTCAGAGTACATCTGGCAACGATTGGGCAACGATAGAAAATTCTAAGTACCCGATCATACTCTTTTTCAACGAGCCTGAGCGTGCTGGCATAACTCCGGAGCAGGCAAAGGATATTTGGTACAAGCAGATGTTACCCCTGAGAAAGAACAAGGGAAAGAAACTCGGTTCTCCAGCGGTTGCTTCTGTAAGCACATTCAACATCTCATGTTGACTCTATCAAGACTGATTATTCCACAGGACGATAATGGTATCAAATGGATCGAAAGTTTTATGTCACTCGTGTCAAACGACCCTCCCGACTTCCTCTGCTTGCACTACTACTCGACCAACGCCAATGATGCCATCAAGTACATCGAGAACATGCACAACAAGTGGCCCAAACATAAAGTCGTAAGTAGATGTGATTATATCTTGAAGTTGGTAACTGACGCATTCCAAGATGGTGACCGAAATTGCATCCATTGATCGCAACTACCAGAATGTCCTATCTTTCACCGTTCAGGTCTGCAATTGGATGGATAATCAAGACTGGGTCTTCGAGTACGGTCTCTTCGACTTCCAACGCAAGGTTGCGGATAACTTTGTGAGCCCGGCCGCCCAGCTCATGGACGCGAATGGTAACTTCACGGAGCTGGGTAAACTATATGTTAGCCAGCAGCCCATGAAGGTGCCTGGAAAAGCAAATGTCTCCGAAAAAGCATTTTCTGCAGCTTCTGTCCCTGAGGGTGATGCCAAAACTGGAAGCCCCGTATCTCATGAGACCAACGATGCTGTTTTCCAGGCCGCCGAGCTTGCTGTGAACGGCAAGAATGAGCTCACCGCGTCTGCAGCTCTGAGCGGTGACCAACAGAAGGCTCTCGACGTTCATAACAACAAGAGGAAGGCGAAAGGTCTCCAACCCCTAGCCTGGGATAACCAGCTTGCTAAGAACGCCGAGGACTACGCCAAGCATCTCGCACAGATAGGTAAATTGGAACACTCTTCCGGTGATCAACGCCCTAACCAGGGAGAGAACCTTGCGTGGTAAGACGATATTCTATGTAGTTAAGATGAGAAATAACTCTAACGTAGGTGATATCTAGGGCTTCTAGTTCAAACACACCTTTGGCTCAGGCTGCAAACATGTGGTTAGACGAAGAGAAGAACTACCACGGGGAGCCGATTGGGCAGGGTGACTTCGGATCTTATGGTCATTACAGTAAGTCGTCTTCCAGCTAATTTTTTTGAGATTTCCCTTGTTCTAACTTATCTACCCTCTCCAGCCCAGTGCATGTGGAAGTCGACCACAAAGCTAGGCATGGGTTCGGCGAAGGACGCGAAAGGTGGTGTTTACACCGTTGGAAGATATTCTCCCCCGGGAAACATCGTCGGCCAGAAACCCTACTGATCTACCGCAAGAAAACTTATAATAACACTTGTGGGATATCATACTACGGGATGGATTTGGGTTATTATCTTGAAAGGTGTATATTGTTTGAAACTGCTCTGTGCTTAGCCGTATTGTCGTCAGCTTGCCGATCACAAGCATACGCTCTTTTAGCATACTACGCGAAATAAAGTACAGGATCGATATCGATACAATGTTCAATATGCTGAATGTAAAATTTAGCTTGGCAAATGTTAATAGTCCGTATTGAGTTGCAATTTGTGTCCTGACTCATGAGAATGTCTAATGAGGATCCATGATGCAGTACCCCTATTTGTGCCCACTTAGGTAGTATTAAATAAATAGATCAATGTTATTGATTCATTGCCGTAAAAAACTATCTCTTTCCTGTGTCTCGTTGCGTCAGATGTACGGCGTTAGGTTCAGTTCGAGGTTTCACATTGTCGTACCCCTATCAGAGGTATCTACTACCCACATATGAGGTATCATGAAACTGGGTAACAGTGCTTTCTTCAACAAACTAATCTATCTCAGGCACCCATCTACCTAGTTTCAAATCTTGTATTGCGATTCTGCAAGCTAATACAAAAAGTCGAAACGCTTAACAAGATCGATACCTGCTGCAACCGACTCGACCAAAATGTGGTTGATTCGCATTGCCAGCATAGCGGCAGCGCTGTTCATCACTGGTAGGTTTATGGAAAGACATTGATCTGTTAACCAATATATGAACCCCTAACATAAGAGATATCGTAGTGGGCGGATTTACTATTCCGCAATCATGCCCAGGCATTCCATCTCCCCATTACCCGTTTGAGCTCGCCAAAGATTGGAAGGCAGCCAAAGTAGCAGACGGGTTGCATTCTCCTCGCGGATTGGCCTTAGATGGCGAGGGTCGCCTCCTTATCGTGGAAGAGGGCATGGGAATCAGCCAACACACGGTCGACACCAATGGTTGCATCACGTCGTCGCGCGTTCTCATATCCATGCCCGCCTTGAACCATGGTATCTACATGGGAAGTGATGGAGGCGCATTGTACGCCAGTTCAGCGGCTACCGTGTTTAGATGGACGTACGATCCGAAAAGCGGCAATACGAGCGGTTCGCCAGTTACCATAATCACAGGAATGGCTAACGAAGACCACGTCTCGAGAACATTGATTATCCCGCCTACTCGCCCGGATTTGCTAGTTGTCTCTCGTGGTTCGAATAGCAACTTAGATTATGCGACTATAAATCCAGCAACAGCGCGGTCAATCGTCAAGGTATTTGATATCATGAAAGTGCCCAATGGGGGGTATGACTACGCTAAAGATGGCTGGAACGCGGGATACGGGCTGCGAAACGACGTCGGACTGGCCTTTGACGGAAATAACATGTACGTCAAATGTGCCCTTCTTGCTCTCGTTTCAGAATATCTATCTCCCTACTTGGATACCTAGGGAAACTAAGAAAGAACCTGACAATTTTCATGTGTAGGCTCTGGAGTGTAGAAAATAGCGCCGACCAGCTCATGCGCGAAGTTAACGGCGTAACCACGGACATTCACATGGACAATCCAGCAGAAAAACTGAACTTTCTCGGTGATATAGCGACCCCTAACAATGCCTGGTATGGTTATCCTGCCTGTTTCGCGGTCTGGCGCCCTGACCCAGCTATTGTCGACGGCACCACCATGCACGAAGTTGGCGTGGGTCAACAGTTCGCCCTGGCGCCAAATAATACCTTCAACGATACAACATGCGCCTCCTTGGCGAGGCCGCCGCGTCTCGTATTTGAAGCGCATACAGCACCGCTTGATGCCAAGTTCGATATGCCCAGGTACGAGAACATGTTCGTCACGTTCCACGGTAGCTGGGACCGCAATCCGCCTGTGGGATACAAGTTAGTCGCGGTACCGTTCACCCGTATTACTCAAGGCGGTTATGAGCCTGTGGCGCCGGCTAACAGCAACGCTGGATATTTCGATATCTTCTACCCGCCCGATGAAGGAAAGTGTTCGTCGTCCACCTGCGCGCGACCAGTCGGTTTAGTTTTCGACACGGTAGGACGCTTATATATGACGAGTGATACGTCTGGGGAGGTGTTTATGCTTGGTAGAAGCGGTTAAAGGGGGGCCTTAGAACAGCGATTGACGATCTTTATCTTGAGTCTGAAGTGAAGGTGCAATATCGAGTTACAGTTCCAGTACTTGCTGCAACGTAATATTATTGGAGGAGTTCTAGGAGATTAAAAGGAGAAAAAGGGGTTCTCATGGTGCTTTAGCTTTTTATCAGAACAGTTATCTCGTTACCTAATTCTAGGGGGCTGGTAACTTCATTAATTAGACCAAGTTTTACTCTGCTAACAGTCTAATTCCTAAGCTACACAATGTCCCTAGTAGGACCAGGTAAGAATTAGGGCTAGACAGCCTTAAACACGAATATCCCCCTTTGGTCTCTCCTCGCCAACTACGTCAACGTGATCTACCTCCACTGCCGCCGCCTCCTTCTCGTTGTAGGCCTCGTCCTTACGGTCAGCATCTTCGTTCCCGCGTCGTCCAATCTTGTACCACGGCAGCTCGAATAGGCGGTCCATCGATTCCAAAGATCGGCCCGCAGTCTCGGGCACGAAGAACCAGACCCATAGACCGCCTAGCACGGTGACGGCACCGAAGAACCAAAACGTTCCCTCGGGCGAGATGCCACCCTGACTCGTGGGAAGCAGCATGTTAGGAACAGCGCGCGAGTTACCGTACTGGTTTGCAAAGTGAAGCGTCATCACGATCGACGTGGACAGGGCGCGGATCCGCAGAGGGAAGAGCTCGGCCGTGAGCAAGTACTGCATCGAATTCCAGCCAAGGGCCCAGCCGCAACCGGAGATGTAGATCATCGCGATAGCACCGCGGCTAGCGTTCCTCTCGGCCTGCGGAAGTATGTAGCTGTCGTCAACTCCCAGTTCTGGTACGGCTGTCAGGAACCCCGCCACGTAGACCATGGAGATGGCCTGCAGCGTGATGCCGAGAAGCAAGGCACGCTTGCGGCCGATGACGTCGACAAGGAAGAGGGCGCAGATAAGCGCCGCGACGAACTTGACGATGCCGAATATACCCGTGACGAGCAGGGACTCGTTCTGGCCTGTTATGCCGAGAAGGTCGAAGACTATTATATTAAATTAGTAAAAAGTGGAATGAGGAAAGTTCAAATGTATGGCGAGAGAGGAGAGAGAGGAGAGAGAGGAGAGAGACAACGGACAGTCATTAGCATATAGCGTGATAGATCCCGCACCGGACCACTGAGATAGGAATTGCACCATCGCGCTGAGGTAGAGGCGGTACAGGTTACTTGGGATCAAGAACATTTCCTTGAGCACACCGTACCAGCTCGTGCCCATGGTAGCTTCTAGTTCCTCTTCGTGCGCGTCCCGGATGGCGCTAATCTCTGAAATAACATACGCGTCGTCGACAGGCAAGTGGCGGATGTGAGCCATGTTCTCGGCTGCTTTCTGGTATTTGCCTTGTTTGACGAGGAAGCGTGGCGACTCATACTGGAAGAATGTCAAGATGAAGATGAGACCGGCAAAAATGATGTGCAGACTCGTCGGCGCGAGCTAAGGGGCCATCATGGTTAGTTACACGGGTTTCACGATATGAATTGGCCGAGATAAACTTGCCCATCGAACGTGAGTAGTGTCGCCGAGGTTGACTTGAGCCCCATAGTTGGTAAAGTACGCGAGGACAATACCGACGTAAACGAAGCCCGTGAAGATACAGGTGCAGAGACCTCGGATAGAAGCTGGCGCGATCTCGGCGATCTACCATATGTCAGTAACCCGCATAAAACCTCAGAATATCGGTTAAAATTCTGTTATAACATACTGCAAAAGTGTTAGCTCATATTCTTGACGTGATAAAATAAAGACACATACCATAAACAGGACCGACGACAGGCGTCTGTCCTACGCCGAGGCCGGCGATGAAACGACCGGCGTATACGGCTCCGAGATTACCACCATTTCCCATGAAGATGGCGATCCCCAAGATCCAAAGGAGGCACAATTGGCGAGTAGCCCAGATTCTGCCGATACGATCGCAAATGACGAAAGCGAAGAGCGCGCCGCCTACCGAACCTATCTGTACCATCGCCGACACATTCGCCTTGATGTTCGTCTGCTCGACCTTGCTGTAGGAAGAAAAGTTAATGTACCGCTGGAAATCCTTGGAGCTGAAGGAGCCCGAGATGAGACCTTCATCTACACCACGGGCAGCGCCTAGGAGGCCGAATGAGATGACGGCAAACCATAGCCGCCAATTGAAGACATTCTTAGGCTCGCCTAGATTCTTGAGCCTGAAGATGTTGACTGGTTTCTTGACGCCGCCAGCCATTGTCGATCTCCTGAGGTAGCTTGAGTCTTGGAATGGGTAAATACAGCAGGAGTTGAAAGAGGCTGGTAGTGGGAAGCCGTCGTGCTTTATGTAAATGCCCTACATACGAAGGCCTCGTGGATAAAACAGTGCAACACAGAAAGGCCTGGCACTGTGAAAAGTTCCCTTTCAGCAGCCGACCGCCCTGGCGTACAGCAAGCTTTGACCAAGCTTTTATGAGTTAGCTACTGAAAAATACAGCATCTATTCGACGCTTATGTAATTTGTGCACTGGGCAACGGCAGCGAAAGATATGCGGAATGATGGGCCGAGGCCGAGATTCTGCTCGTTTCATTGTCTACCGATCCTAGCAGATACGCCGACCTGATCAAGCCGGCAAGAAACAGCCAACCAGAAAAGGATTTCTTCAGCATGACTAACAAAGGAACTTGCCATGTGTAACACGAAAGACCAATGAGCCTCTGAATCTCCGGAATCCTTGACGGGTATACGCGGGGTCCCCGCGTCTTCTTCTCCTCATTCCCATTGCGGAGGAGGTCAGCAAGTCTTGGAAGTCTTGGAAGTCTTGGGAGGTAAGGGGGTTAGCTGGGTAGCTGGCGACGGTCTTCTTGGCTCTCCATAGAACTGGTGATGGCCTAACTATAATAGTAAGGAGATGTGAGAAATAGCTGTTTTCTACATTCGTCATCACGTCCTTACTTACATAACTAGTTCGCGTACCTAGGCTCTTGGCATATAAGATAATAAGATAATCAACCCGCCTTGATATGTTGACTTTCGACCATGCTGACCATGCTGACCATGGGGACAGCGGTGTATGTATGCTCATATTTTTTCATACCCAGGGTTTCAATGATAGGTATCCACCCGATTTTACCTATCGTGAGAAGCTCCGAAGAGATCTTTCGATTTCGGCTCTGATTCTCGGATATGGTTTGCGTGAGGGTGAAAGTGAAGGCGAGACACAAATTGGTGAACGAATTGAGAAAGCTGGCTTACACAATGTATGTGGTATGCAATAATGACTTTTTAAACGCATGTGTCCCTGACTCTCATAAAAAATAGGGGTAATTAGAGTTTGATTACATAAAGACCCCGGAATGGGCCGACGCAAATGCGAAGATATCCCGATGCGTAGAAACCAGAATCTTCCCGTACGCTGGGGACCTCGTTACTCATCCATCTAGACCTTTTCTTATGGATATCGCAAATGCATACGTACGGGATTAAGGAAATATATCCGAATGGCCCTAGATACTGCGTGTGCTGAGATAAGTGACGCGCAGAGGTCGTACTATATCTCGCCGCAAGCAGTGCCAGCGACTGAGACCTGTTTCTAATGCGACTATTCAGTATCTATGGTCACAGCATGAGGCATTGCCTTATCTCTTACGTTAGGGTTGATACGTAGCGGGTGGGAAAGAATGAGACTCATTTGACAATTTATTGACTTTTATGTCGTCGATGTTACGAATGTGAAAACACTCGTGTCTTAGGTGTGCGGTCCAGACCATATTCTTGAAGGCTTAAAAATTCAGCTTGTACTTCCCAAAATTTTATTTTTTATTTTTTATAGAAAATTTCTTCGTCTTCAGTTACATCCGATTTAGATACTATACGCTTAATGCAACTGTCAATAAGCGCACCTTGCATGTCGCACAGCGCGATGTTGTATTGCGGTTTCATGACAGGGGTGGAGGCGGAATTCTACGATAGCCTCGAATATTGTCGACCAACGAGAATTAGGCCCGACGGGTTAATCGTATCCCTAAGATCTAGAATCAACGTATGATGAGCTCTTCTTATGTAGATGTTCCTTTCAAACGAAAATGTCACGCTAACCGAGACATTGGCATTGTCATGGCTCGACCCGACTTGTATCGGGCCATCTGCCCGAGCTGGTCAAACCCGCCGGTATAATCCTCACTTCTTTCAACTTCGGAAGCTAAGCCTATATCGAAGTACCGAATTATCTGCGATTAGTGTAGAATGTTCCTGCTTATACCAAGCAACCGAGCAACGGAACGACGGCTGCTAGTAATGAGTCAAAGCTTGCTCGTGATAAGGCGTCTTGGCAGGTCTAGGTGTTGTAATTAAACGACTTTAGTTTTATTGATTTTATCTTACTTTATTTTTCGCGTTGAATGTTTTGGAAAGATTGGATATGTAGAGGTGTGCTTTTCATGTTCAACCCGGATATAGGACTTAATTTTACCCCATTTTTAATATCACAGACCGCGTAGGCTGCCCAAGTCTTCGCTGTCTCACCTGTCCAGTGTGGGGGAATGAGGGGACGATTTGAGGGGAAGATGGTGCCAGTTCCTAATGTTTTTACCAAGCTTCTATTCTAAACTTCGCTAACTAGCCCGACAACCCAAGCCACTTTCTGTCTGTCCCTTGAGAGCTGTCAAGGGTTTCCTTGCCCCGCTAAGCCGCTAAAAATTCTTGGTGCGGCTGACCTTCGGCTTTGGCTTATTTCGGCATGGTATCCATGGGCATATTTGCCATCCATGGGCTTCTAAGTGATGTAACTGCATGATAACGCGCCGCCTTGCAGTAGATCACCAAAGCACCAAGCATACAGAGGAAAATAATAAGCTACAGTACATATGTAGTACTTGGTAAGGATATGTAGATCTACCGTAAGAGTTGGAGAAATTTAGGAACTGGGGCAAAATGAACTGACACATACCTAGAAACACAACCCCAAGAAGCTCGTGGCTGGGGCAGCTAGGGCAGCCAGGGCAGCTAAGGCACTAGGCCAGCTGGGCAGCTGGGGTCGCTGGGGTTGCTGGGGCTCAGAAGTTGGCAGTTCGCGGGGAATCCGACTTTACTCATCAATATTTGATAGGCTACCGGTACCCCTTGCTTCCTCCTCTTTGGAAGTAACGTTTATATCATAGCTTCTTGTGTTATGTATAGTATTCACACAAGAGTGGCCGATCTTCGGTTTGCTTGGTGAAAGCTAAACGAGGTTATACGATAGTTGGTAATCTTTGTTCTTTCCGTCTAGTGCTTAGTTATGTAGGTATGAAAGAATTCATTGCCAGAGAAGATAATGTGATAACTAGTATGTACTTGGGCACGTTTACTGAGCTAAGCCAGTTGAGTTCGTGTGGCGCTGGTGGAGTGGCCTTTTACTCTATGTTTCCCTCCTCTTCTTTGCTCTCATGACAGAGCTAACCATCCATAACGTTAGCATCAAAGTATCTTAGGTATCCAATCATCATCCCTAGAACTCACGTACCTAATCCCGGCAACTCCCAGGATCCAATTCCTTTCCTCCGCACCCGCATATTCAAGAGATATCTACCTAGGTTTTGGGGTCATGACCAAAGTATTGTCATTGTACTGGAATGGTCACTAGCTCGACCACCACATTATAATAACCCGTTGGCCGCCTTTCCCTCTTAATATCGTGGTCGTATTTTGTTCTACTATATTCCTTCCTTCCTTCCATCCCCTCCCTCCTGGAGTCGTTTAAATACGACCGGGCCCCTCGCGACTTTGTTCTTTGTGTGTGTGTGTGTTTTCCCTTGGATAAACGAAACCACCATACAGACAGAAGTCTCCTTGGTTACCTTAAAGCTTGCCGATATAGCTAAGCAAATAGCTAAACAGTAGCAATGGCATTGACAGCATTTGAAGATGACTCCAACTTTTATCCTCCGCATCATGGCATGTCGGTCAGAGAGTATCTCGCTACGCGAATCACTTCTCTGAAGCCTCCCATGGCCAAAGCACCTAACCCCATTCGCTTGGTTAGGATGCTGACTCGTCGTCAATGGGCTTTCTTTTTTGTCGCATTTTGGGCCTGGGTATGTCTTGATGATTTTTCTCTCTGAATGCGCAGACTTTTGTGTTCTCGCTGCTGACCGTGTTCGACCTAGACTTGGGATGCTTTCGATTTCTTCACCGTCTCTCTGACGGTTGATCAATTAGGCGAGACGTTCAACAAGTCTAACACGGACATCACTTGGGGAATAACGCTCGTTCTAATGTTCCGGTCCCTCGGTTCCATCCTCTTCGGCGTCGCAGCAGATCGGTACGGTCGAAAATGGCCATTCATTGTCAATAATCTTCTCTTCATTGCGCTTGAATTAGTAAGTCATAACGTCGAAACGTCGATTACATTGTTCATCACATCGCCTGCATTAATCGGAGATCCACCCCAAGACCGCTGAAGTGACCTCGTCGCGTGGTGTTTCTCTCCCATATCTTGGCAGCACTTGGCGCAGTGTTAGCAAAAAGCTTCGCGAATCCCGATCTTCTGTTTCCAGTCCCATCCTTTTCGCTCGCTTAATGCCCGAGTGTGGGCCATTTTGGTATGGATCGCTGACCTGTTGCATTAGGGAACCGGATTCTGTCAAACGTACGGTCAATTCCTCGCATGCCGAGCCCTCTTCGGAATCGCAATGGGCGGTCTTTATGGAAACGCCGCCGCAACGGCTCTCGAAGATTTGCCCGACGAATCGAGAGGTTTAATGAGCGGTATTCTTCAGCAGGGCTACGCTTTCGGTTACCTGCTTGCTACAGCTTTCGCGCGTGGTTTAGTCGATACTACGTCTCATGGCTGGCGTCCGTTATTCTGGTTCGGTGCCGGTCCTCCCGTCATCTTCATTCTCTGGCGTCTCATTCTGCCGGAGACCGACACGTACGAGCAGCACCAAGAAATGCGACGCGCGAACGGGGGCGTCGGGAAGACATTCATAAAAGAAGGAAAGGTTGCGCTTAAGCACCATTGGCTGCTTCTCACGTACTTGGTCCTCCTTATGGCCGGCTTTAACTTCATGTCTCATGGCTCCCAAGACCTGTACCCGACTATGTTGAAGAACCAGTTCAACTTCAACTCCAACCAAGTCACCGTCACCCAGGTAGTTGCGAACCTAGGCGCTATGTCCGGAGGTGCTGTCGTCGGTTTCTGTTCGCAAATCTTCGGCCGACGTCTTAGCATTTTGGTCATGTGCGTTATCGGCGGCGCCCTGCTGTACCCGTACGGCTTCGTGTCCAACGAGAGGATTATCGCCGCTGCCTTCTTCGAGCAGTTTTGCGTCCAGGGAGCCTGGGGCGTCATTCCCGTGCATCTAATGGAACTGTCGCCCGGCGCGTTCCGAACCTTTGTTGTAGGTACCAGTTATCAACTTGGAAATCTCGTCTCGTCCGCTAGTTCGACCATCGAGGCCACCATCGGCGAGCGCTTCCCCCTCGCGCCCAAGGGCACTACGAAGCGATACAACTACGGCATCGTCATCTCTATCTTCATGGGATGCGTGTACGCATACGTGATTCTCCTGACACTCCTAGGCCCCGAGCATCTGAACAGGAAGATGGACGTCGGTCACGATGCCGACGCGGTAGAAGCAGCAGGACGGGAGAATGTTAGCAAAGCTCTAGAACATGGACTCCATGGGCGCGAAGGCTCTGCCAGCGAAGATGGTGATCCGGAGAAAGGAACAGCTAGCCACCATACTCCTTAGAAATAGGTCGACAACAGCTAAGTCGAATTCGATAGGGCACCAGCTGACGCTGAGCAAGCCGCTGGGACGATCATGTTTGGTCTATGATAGGGACAATCCCTGCCGGTGGCGATCTTCGGATGATGAAAGATAATGACTTCTTCTGTGCTCCTTTTTTAAAAAGAAAATCTTACAAACTAGGTTTTTGATTACCCGGTATTATACTTTGGCATGGATTTTTGTATCGGCAGCGGGATTTAAGGATAGGAACTCGTTTGATACCACCGATAACTGGATGACATTGGATAGCGATTGCAGAGTACCCAAGTCTTTTTTCTTTTTCTTTTCAGGCTAGGGCTTAACATTACGATGATGATGATGATCGATCGACATGATTTGAATGGAAAAATATTCATCACCTTGAGTTTAACCCTCTCTTTGTATGCCTTCTCCAGGTTTCACAGGTGGGCCAGAAAGTCGTCCGATGACTTACGCGACGCAAGATGGGGTTGCATATGCGATATGTGACCGTCTCTTTTTCGTCATCGGTACGACGACCTGGTTCTTGGATAGGTAACTGGCATCCGACCATGAAAGTGAGATTGTATGACTGATGATCTCTTGGCCTCGAGTGCCGGGTCCTTCTGTTATCGTTAGCATCATATGAGGGGCATAGCTTTTCGGCCGAATAGGGCTCGAGCATGGCGTGACGGGGCCGGCTAGGGCAGGCGCCGAGCAAGCGGAAGCATGTCTAGTTCGTCTTGGCTGTCTTGGGTTGGGATAGGGATCAGGTATAGCGCACATGAAGTGGGCCGCCTCCGCGCGTGCTCTAGGGTCCACCCGCAAGTCGACGTTTTACGTATTAATAGAGGTATAGTCGAAAGGGAGCGATGTGAATGTGGATGTAGGAATTTCTAGCAACCTTGTTTATAGTAGATCATCTATAAGTTTCGTTTACAGGTCATACAGCTGTTTGCTTTCGAGCAATATATGGATTCCAACGAGCCTTGGTGATCCTGGTCTTTATCCGTAATAGATATGATGCTTCCACTGAAAGCCGTTTGAGGTCTCTCAATCTAGGAAAGTCATGGAATGAATTTGCGAACAAGTTGCTATCAGAATCAGCACCATAGTTTATAAAGTTACACGTCATTATACTCAATCATTTTCTTCAGTCATAAGACACGATTAAGCAAACCTTACAGTAGTTTATATATTCAAAACTTGCTCGAACCAACTTGAGAGTTTTAGAAAATACAATAACTAGATGTCTTTTACTACCTAACTCTAAAAGTCGTAGATATCTTCGCCCGATCCTACATCTTCATTAAAGTCGGACGAGGGGAACCTTGGCCCTAATGCCAACACTAAGCAGAACAATCCGAAAAATGCAACAGATAAAGACATCGGCGAGTTATTCTGCAAGGCTCGCGAAGACATTGCTAAGATGAGTTCCGAAGGGGAGACAAAGAGATTCCCATGGATCAGTAAGTTTAAAACATGTTTAAATTGAGTGTTTAAAAACTAATAGCTAGGTAGCTATAGAGCGTTGCAAAGCAACCCCTACTAATCAATCCATTCCTCCTCGAAAGTCGGAGCTATAACCTTCAAGGCAAGGTGAGGAGTGTACGAGTATAAGCAGCCTCGATGGATGCTGGATGTACGCCAATGGCGTATTATCGACCTACGAAAAGAACCCGATATATGGGGAAAAGAGGGCGATAGGGACCTGTCTTAAGGAAGTTGCAAAAGAGGCAACCCTTGTTTGGCTATTCCGGTATCCTATTGAATGTGGCGAGCGAAGTTGGTTCAATTCGCTCTATGTAAGATGAATATTGCATCTATTTCTCCATCTCGGATTGGCTGTCGAGCTTTCACGGGAAGTTCACAACATCCCAATTCAGGATGGCAATTTCTAGGCCCTGGATAAAAGTCGGATACACACACAATTCGCCTAAGGGTCTATTGGTGTGATTAGCTCTATGTTGGTAATATTGGTCGGGGCGGCGTGTTGTACGTAAGCGTGCATCAAGAGTTGAAGGGGCAGAAGGGGGTGAGGCAAGGAGGCATTCTTATTGACGTCATATCGAGTCAACTTTCCATCATAAAACGTTGTCCATGCCTTGTTTTTCCCGGCATGATCGAAGAACGTATTATTTAGATAATCAATTGAGCCATCATATATTAATATAGTTGTAAAAAGAAGTCGAGGTCGAAATTGGAATTAAAAGAGATCTAGAATAATCTTCTTCTATCTGTCGCGTTATGGAAATCAACCTCCCTCGCATCATCGACGCTACCATGCCGAATCGTGGCGATCGAAACATTGGAATCATCTCTAGCAACGGTCTTAACCACAATGATCCCGGATTTTTATCTAGCGAATTCCCCCATTCACCTCCTAGACTCTATATTACAGCCGAAAGTGACGAATTTGACTTGCTAACACTCAACGAATGGAAGGATGAGGGCTTCAAGGTTGAATATATCCCTATGGGCAATGGGGGTAACGAGTATCGAATGAAGTTGGACTCGTTGCGTAAGGCCAACTTGGGCCCATGCGAAACTTACGGAATAGTTGGTATGTCCGTCGTCTTCTCCTTTGATACTACGACGTCCACACCTATCAGGTCCTAACTTGGTGCTTAGCGTATGGCGATGCCGCAAGTTTCTGCCTGGAACACTTTCATATGTTTGACAACAACCCTGAGTTCCGGCTCAGTTGCCTCATCGCCTATTACCCTACCCGCATACCAGATCCTCAGACCAGATTCCCTGGCGGTATTCATGTTCTTGTCCACCTAGCTACTGGCGAGTCTGTCGGTATCGTGAAGCAGACGCAGCTGGTGGGGATTCAGGGGAAGAAACGCGTTGTCGATAGAACAATCGATCGGGGTAAGGGTACTGGCGGGATGTTGCAGATGTCTTATCCGAGCTACACGTATAAAGCCACGCCCGGTTTTGCTGAACGGGATTTGGATGAATTCGACAGGGTCAGCGCAGAGCTCAGCTGGAGTAGGAGTCTGGCGACTGCACGCAGGGCATTTCGTAAAGATGCGGACTTAGAGAAGACCCTTGAACAAAACGTCGAAAGTGAGTAGCCAAAACATCGTCTAACCCTAATACCTAGTTCATCCAATGAACTAAAGGACGAATGGGATTGACTTTGACCTCGCTAATAACTATAGGCAAATTCTACACGCGCGATCTGCGGCAGACTCTGTCCACTTACTCAGCCCATCAGAGCCCTCATGTAACCTATGTTCCCACACTAACAGGGGGCATCGGTCCCGAAGAGCTCCAGAGATTTTATTCCGAGTTTTTCCTCGACCGGAACCCCCCATCTATGAAACTCACTCTGCTTTCACGTACAATCGGTGCTGATCGTGTGGTGGATGAGTTACATATCTCATTTAAGCACACCCAAGAGATGCCGTGGATTCTTCCAGGAGTGCCGCCCACAAATAAGAGAGTCGAGATTATAGTAGTGAGCATAGTGACCCTGCGCGGAGGGCGGCTGTACCATGAGCATATCTACTGGGACCAAGCGAGCGTACTGGTGCAAACTGGCCTATTAGACCCAAAGGTCGTACCGGGGAAAGCAAGCGAAAAGGGGCTTAAGCGACTACCAGTCGTGGGAAAGGAGGCAGCCAAGCGTGTGCTGCGAGGTTATGATGAAGGTGACGAGGGCGAAGCTACGAATGATCTAATAGCAGAGTGGGACGACGACTTTGATGACGACGCTCACGACGATCAAAACAAGACTAAGAATAGCGGGAGCACCGACGGAAAGGGGACAGAAGTCAAAGAGAGCGATAAGCCGGACGACTCAAAGGACAAAGAGCCTGAGAAAGAAAGTCCAAATCAGCCACCTGTCGAAGATGAAAAGTCCGAGGCCAACTAGTAGGACACAAGCATATGTCATGAAACTACATCTCCTACAGCCGCCTAAATCTAATTTGGTATATTATAAATCGCAAGTTGAAATAGTACAAGTTTGAGCTCAGTCATGTACATTAAATCTGCTCAAATCCAATTTCTGGGATTCTATCTGAAGTTTTATATCCTGCGCCACTTGTCGCGCCAACCATTGCGATCTGCCTACTAAGCAGTAAGCCCTACGGATATTCCGTGCGGAAATTAGGATCTCTTGGTGGCTTAAAGACACGATCGGTATGCTGACGACACCGACCAGCCGATTAGCCAATCTGACTACGTTTAAGGGTAAGACGCCAAGGCTTAGGTGACGGCTACTTGAGAACCTATGAAGATGAATATTTGGATACGATTTTCCTCAAGGGAAACAAGACTGCACCAAGATAAAGGAGTGCATTACATGTGACACATCCATTAACTCGTGTAGACGCACACTTCTTAGCTATCCTTAATTTCATTCAATTCGTAACTATTCGATCATCGTGGCTTCGTGCTGAAGTTATCGAATGATTCTATAAAATACGCAGAGGAGTAGATATTCATATGATGAAGTTTTAAGGCTAGTTCGGATGTTAATACATAGAAAAATACGTTCTAGAATGCCAGGATATATGTAACCCCGGGGTCGTTGGCGTGGGGTAGGGAAGAATAGGCGAAACAAAAGTGATAATGCCATGATCCATGGATGTCATGATCCCGTCTTTCTTGTTCTTGCAGCCTTAACTCTTGCAGACCTGTAGATCAAATCTGGCTACATACTATGTATAGTCACGTAGCAGCCGCACTGCCGTATGGTAATTCTAGTAACATTGTACCACGATACCACCAGCTCAGGCCGCGTTTCATGAAGTGGAATGCAATCCATTTATGTCGTATTGTAACGCCTATCTACCGAGGTGGAGTTGTACCTGGTATTTACTTGCAGTAGCGTAATATGCCAGGGGTATATGGGTCCAGTATTGAGGTTTGGCCAATCGGGTTTTATGAACTTCACCATCGCTGCGAAGGTCGCAGATATCATTATCGGTTGTTTCAGCCTCTCGAATCTACGACAAAGTCACCTTTAGAAATGTTTCTAGCTTGATCGCGCGTAGCGAAACCGCCTACTAGTGTTGTACTACTGCGAAGACCGGATTTGCAATGTGTCGTTTGTAATCGATCAAGAGTCGATACACGACGGACGAGCTGTTTCGTTACAACCAATCACAAAGTGTCCAAGTTACTCTGCATTACCAATGCTCTGGTATGTTGGGGCAGTGAAGTTTCTTCATCGCGACCCATCAGAGACAGATGTCCCGATTAGGACGTTTATCGAACGAATCTAGATTCAGAACAAGTTAGTCCTTCATCGACGAAAGCTAAGGAGCTAGGTGCCGTGATGAATGGAGCCGGATCGCCAGGGGCTTGGCAGTTTCCGACTGCCTTGCCAATGTGGGATACTGTTTTATCATCCCAGGATCCGCGGTCAAATCCCGCCCGCGCGCTTGAGACGACTAAGAACGACGGAACACTCAAGATGAAGATCAATCGCGACAACCCAGAACAACCGAACAACCCTACCAACATCGTGGAATTATGGCCGTGCTTCTCCATACCTATTGGCCCATTCTTTCTGACAGGTAAACAGAATGGACGATAGATCCCCCATCATTCAGAATGAGCGAACCAAAGCAGCGCCACCCCTGGTCCTGCGACATCTTCATGCTTTCGTCCATCTGATGATCAACGGCTCGACCGCAGGGAGTCAAGGACAACCAGGTCGACTATCGCATCGAACGTGCGATAGTCATTACTAATTAACCCCCATGCCAGCCGATCTCCTCAAGGGTTTCGAAAATAAGTATGCCGGAGTATCACCAATTTTTGATATAATCTTTCCCTTTTCTTGTCATCCCTTTCGTTTCCTTTTTATTCTTCAACCATCCGACTGGGTACTGCCGGCAGTATCTATTTTCCATTCTCTTTAATTCACTTTCTTTTTCATTTGAATGTGTTTAATAGATACTGTTTTTTTCCCTTTAGATTTTATCGCTCTTTCCTAGTTCTTCCTCTTCAACATGGGTATCGGTGTGTTAGAAGATCGTTACCTGGACAGGCCTCCAGGAACGTCCAAGTTGGGTGAAGACCAGGGGCCATCCTTCGATTCGGGTGAGTTACGAGCAGTGTATGCCATTACCTATCACTTCATAGCTAATTGCCTATGTAGCAAGCACTAGTGAGTTGAAGAAAGATGGCGAGATCATTCTCGTTCCGCAGCCGAGCGACTCCCCGAACGACCCGCTCAACGTTAGTATTCCTAATGCTCAATGGAGAGATCGCGGCGGGGCTAATACATGTATATAGTGGTCGATGATGAGGAAGAATACGATCATGATCATCCTCGCGTTTAGCTCAGGTGTTACAACCTCGTAAGTCGACCTATCATGGTAACCTCGAGCTGTGCAAACGACCTAACACGCACAGATTGGGTCCCATGATCTCTCCGGGCTTAATAATCATCAGCAAACAGTTTGGTGTTGATCCCGATACCGTGTCTACTTTCATGGTCGGCTCTATCCTTCTTTTCACCGGCGCAGTTACCTTTTTCACGGCTTCGGGAGCGAACATCTGGGGAAAGAGACCGTTCTTCGTGATTTCTACGGTCCTGCTATTGATCTCCAACGTTTGGGGCACTTTCGCGGATGTAAGTCGAGCAGCCCCCCTTTTTCTTCTGTCTATTTGATGTTGATAAACTTGATAGTCTTTCCCCTCGCTGGCCGCTATGCGAATTTTCCAGGGTATTGCGTCGGCCCCGTTGGAGACGTTGGTCACGTCCACGGTTTCCGATCTATTCTTCGTTCATCAAAGAGGATTGCGTCTCTCGCTCTGGGGACTCATGTTGGGGACGGGCGTTCTGCTAGGTCAGATTATCTCTGGGTTCATCATCCAGTCGATGGGCGTCTCTGGAACTTTCGCCGTCAGCGCTCTCATTTTCTGTCTAATCTTGCCCCTGATGTATTTCGTCGTGGTCGAGACAACGTATACGAAGCCGCGAGGGCCCGGTAGCGTCGTTGATGCTCGTCCGGATTCGCGTGCATCGTCGATAGACGATCTGAAAAAGGACTTGAAAGGCGATGACCCAGCCAATGAGCCTAAGGAGGGTTACAAAAGCCAACTACGCCTCTTCCGTGGCCGCCTATCGGACGAATCCTTCTGGAAGGGCGTGTTCAAGCCAGTCCCTCTAATCATGTTCCCTGCCGTCATCTTTTCGACTCTCGTCTACGCATCTTTTTTCTGTTGGCTGTTGATGATCGGAGTCTTGTCTGTCAACATTTTCTCCGAGCCTCCGTACAATCTCAACCCAGCCCAAATCGGTCTCACCAATATCCCCCTAGCTATCGGCGCGCTGATCTTCTCGCCGATCTCTGGGTGGATGGCCGATGCTGTTCCGGTTTGGATGGCAAAGCGAAATAACGGCGTTTTCGAGCCTGAATTCCGCCTCGTCCTCATGCTTGTTGCCATACCGATGTCTACCGCGGGTTTCATCGGATTTGGGACGTCAGCTTCGAAGGGGCTGCCGCTCCCCTGGTGTTTGGTGTGGATTACCATGCACTCAATCGCCGTTCCCTTCGCCTCTCAGGCCTCGATTAGCTACGTCATCGATTGCCACACCAAGGATGCTAACCAGGCCTTCGTGACCATCAACTTCGTCAAAGCACTGTTGAGCTTCGTTGCTTCGACGGTTGGAAATGGCCTGCTTGCTAAATTTGGGCCCCAGACCCTTTTCACGGGGATCGCGATGTTGAACTTGGGAATTAGCCTCCTTACTATTCCCAGCTACATTTACGGCAAGAGATTGAGGAGTTGGGTGGCTAGGAGCGATTGGGCACAGAAGATCTAAGCGTTTGGATAAATATCGGGAAATGGTTAACTGGTGGTAATTTGTTTTAGGTCAGTATCACGACGAGCTCCCCGACGATGAAGGATTTAGGCCCGTATCAAGGATGTCGAGAGAAGGATTCATGGTCACCCGCTCCGGCCCAGCGTGCCTTTCTTATGTCACATAGAGGACGGATCCGCTTACAAATCGACATCTGCTATAATAACATTCTCGAGCGATTAAGTTATACTCGTAGCTTCGTTTTTGGAGACTATAGGTGAGTTAGTATTCTTTAGGGGTGAACATCTAAATCATCGACAACAGCAGTTTCGCTCTTTAGGTTTACATGCTCGACAATTTGCCCGCAATTACGTTATTAGAGGTCGTCTCTATCTTGCGACAAACGAGTGTTTCCATCTCACCGAACATTTGGTTTGTTAGTCTGAAAAGGGGCTGATAGGAGCATTTTTGCCAAGCCATGTTAACAGGAGGTAGGTAAGTATTCATACAATACACAGCTTTAAGGACTGAAACGGGATCTGATCGGATACACTTAATCTTCTCATATATATTTTCCTTCTTTCTAAACCTTCCAACGAAAAGATTTAAACCACTCGATTCTTTCTGCCCGCTCCTCCATGCGCTCTATGCCGACGCGGGTTCAACCTATTCTGCTCTCCACAATCTCCACAGAGCGACGAACCGTCCTCACGCTCCAACTTGCACTTACACGTGCACTTGCAGCCGCGATATGTCGGGTCGTTTTTGCCCCAGAGCTCGACGCGTTCGCAGACGAGACAGAGTGTCGGTGTCGGTGACGGGCTTCGAGCGCTTGGCTTGAGATCGGAGTTGTAATAGTAGTCGGGCTCTTGGGCGTGGCTGCGACACTGGCAGTGTTTGCAGTTGCACGGGCGGCGATGAGACATTTTGATAATCTAAGCAGGTAGGTTTAAATCAACTAAACAATTCTGAAGACTTAGGTTCCTGTTTCTACTTGGTTTCGTTAATTTTACAGATTATAGGTCGAGCAACCAAATCATCGGGCATCTTGGGAGTTAAGAACAGATCTAGATAAAGCAGAACCAGTCGTCGTACCAGTCGTCATTCTCTTAATGTTTTGTTCGGCTCTCTTTTAAAACTTTCATTTGGATAGCTTTGTCCTGTCGGCCCTAGAAGAGCTTAAGTAACTATAAATAAGGTGCATTGTTTCGCATCCTTTGGTGTAAAGTCGAAAGAAAGGGGTCAAACAAGATACCCGAAGAAGGCAGAGCAGTAAATTTGGTAGCAACGGCGCATGCCACTAGTTGGGCCCAACTTCTTGCCATCAACATAATGTTTCTGTTCTTGTTTTTTTACATGCTTCGTTGACTGTGAAAACGACGATATACAAATGCACAGCCGAGACATTCGTCGCGAGGGTATCCGACTCCAATCCCCGGAACATCCTATATCATATCTCCATATAACGCATCCATGTACAATCGTCCTCGTCTAACTAATTAGAACTCCGATGCAACCCAAGAGCTACAGCTATAACGATGCAAAACCCCAACACTTAATATGACTTGGTAATCAAAAAGTTACTAAGAACGAAAACACCCGTCGGTGATTTCTGGGCCCATGTGATCTAAAGTAGACTCTCACTTTCGGCCTTGGCGTTAAGGCTTTTTGTGAGATTCTCAACAAGTGTTTTGAGTTGCTCTACGTCGTCTCTCAACTTCCTGACCTCGATTACGGCTGGGTCATCTTCGATATTGGCTTTGCTCTCCGCGACCTTCTTCGTCCACCCTTCGCCTTCGAAGTCGACTTCACTCGCCATTTGTTCCCATTCTTCTTCTGTATCGTCATCCTCCTCACCCCTTGTCCTGTTACTTCGGATCTCCCTGGCCATCCTAACTTCAAAGAAGGCAGAACAGAAAAGTAGCGGAGAGTAAATGATGCCCATTACAATATCATTGAGGCGTTCATACTGGTTTTTAGGCATCCACCATTCGAAGGGGATGACCAAAAGGAAGATTTCGACCAAGTTAAACGGAGCAATAAAAACGTTCTCATCGGGGGCTCGTACAAACTGCATGGTCTTCTGAGAAAACAACGCGAGGAACTCGTCGTCGGCATTGTCGTAGATATCCCCGTAGGCGCTATTGTAGAGTGCGATGAGCACGTTTAGGAGAATGACCATGACAACGAAGGTGAAGAGATAGTAGAGGATGATTCCAAATGGCGGGCTAAAACGCTCAAATCCACTAAAATCCGGGCTTTGCATAATGGCATTGGCCATGGCTTGAAGGATGAAGATTGTGTCTTCTCCGGCCATATCGTCCGCGTAGTCCATTCCTATGAACGCCTGGAGAAAGCCGATGATAACGACAACTAACAAGGCAAAGAATATAATGCTCTCTTTCATCATCACCTTGATCACAACAAGCATCGCGCCGAAGAAGCGAAATGAATCTAGATAGAGTAGTAAGCGAGCCCAGAACATAGGTGCCGTAAAGGCGAGAAAGTTGTACGATAGTTGATTGAACTTCCGACGGGAATTGCCATCATCCGGCGAATGGGAGAAGGCGACTAGGCGCATGGCAAGCGACACCATCAGAAGAGCGTAGAGGGCATTGTTGAACGCATTCCAAAAACTAAGGATATGGTAACCGGCTTTATATAGCTTGGTGAGCTCATCAAATACGAAACCAAAGGTGAAGACGTAGAGGAGGATTTCGACAAAGTCAAGGTCACCACCCGGGTTAATGGTGTTGATCGCGCCTGTGTAAAGAGCCAGGTAGACGATGGACATGATCAGTTGGAGGGCGTTCTGGTACATGGGGGCCCGCATTCGGTCAGGATCAAGGTGTGTGAGGAAAAGGACATTGTCGCGATCCTTATAGTCGACGAAACTGGAAGGGTCGTTCTCATCCTGAACAAGCCAGCCTTTCCATAGATAGTTGATGCATTTTTGATAGCCGGAAGAACCGATCACACGTAGAGCGTGCAGATCGACTGCCTTCTCGATGACATTAATAGGAGGCGTGGCCTCGCCGTCGACGACGATCGAATAGCGTTTGAGCAAGACAGACTGTAACAGATATGGTATATCGTCTTCAGCCTCGATGATCTGCTTAGCTATAACCTCACAGGCGACTGCGCGGACTTGATGTAGCGAGGCATCCCAGAGTTCGACCAAAGCTTGATGTTTAAACCAACGCTTAACAACTAAAAGGCAGAAAACCACGCACGAACGATTCTCTCTACCGCCGGCCTCCTTGGCGGCTTTGATAACTTTAGGGGTGATTATCCTACTGTGAGACTGAGTAACGCGCTCTTCTTCGAGTTCGCATGGCACAGCTTGCTCGATGAGGTAGCGTAGACGGAGGGCAACCTTGGTAACTTCGGGTGCGGGAATGGCGGACTCGACCGAATCTTCTCGATGAATGGGGAGGACTTCATAGCGGATAGTCCGACGTCTGTTAGCCCAGAAGCTCATTATTGACCAATTGCGGTGTTGTTAAGATAATATCTCCCAAAATCACAAGATCGAATGATCAAAAACACCAAGATTCAAGATCGCAAGGGGATAGAAGCTAATAAGTAGCAGCAAACACAAGCCGAACAGACTGGATTCATTGACTAGACACTTACGTCTACGGCGAGATTCATGGACAGACCAGTCATGATGACCTTGCGACGGGTGACGATCCCATCCTAAAATTTTCCTCCAACTGAACCTTCCCATCTTTAGTCCGGGTTTCGAAATAACGGGTTTCGAAATATCGTCCTAGAAGCAACCGACTCCAATTTGGGGGGAAGTAGATATCGATTGTATCGATTGCAAGGAGGTCGTGGACGAAGAAGAGGGCAATCGTGGATTTCGAATTGAGAGTTCGAGAAGTTGAAAGGTTGAAGAAACAAAGACGAAGGAGGAAGGAGGCTAATTGACGTTAGAGAGCACTATGCGATTTCCTTGATTTCCCAAGTTCGCGATGCGATCTGGTTGGAGAATTGGAAACTTTCACAAGCGACATGACGTTTACAGTGGGGGAGCTGTGAAACATTGAAATCTCGTAGAGGCTAAACCCCCGATAATCGAAATAGCCTAAATCTGATAAATGCAAAAAGATGCAAGTATTGCATGAATTAAGATCTCCACAATTACCACAATCATTATGACGGATGTTTGAGCTTCGATGTTTACCTACTGCCTTGTACACACAGCACCTACCTCGGTAAGTACCTCAAGCGCAGCTATGTGCATACCTATCCAATTAGCTGTAATCTTTTTCGTTCCCCAACTTACACCTTCCACTCCTTACCTACCTACTACTATAGGAGCCAGGTACTACCTAGTACAGGACCCGAATTCCTAGAGTCGCACAAACTTAACGATACATTAAATCTTTCCAATTTGGGAAATGAGTTTGTGCGACATTAGATCTTCAACCCGACGTTGGAAAATGACGGAGAAAGTGATCGATACCCAGGTGTTTTCATAAATTGGCGCCACGGGTCACGGCAAACTCCAGCGAGAAAAGAGGACGCATACGAAACGCCAACTTCTCCGATTCGTCGATTCATCGTGAATTCAAGCACGTAAAGATATGATTACCTTCATATCTTGTCTCTTGTCTTGGTCAACGGATCCTTGGCATCTCGTCCCGGATTCGTTCGCGTCCCTATTTGTGTCGCTTACATCGGCACAATAAGCAAGGGACGTACCTTTTTTTTTTTTTTTTTTTTGTAAAAAAAAAAAAAATCTGTTGCTTGATAGACTTATCCCGTACGGCACAGACACTTTTTTTGCAGCATCGGGTTCCATGGTCACGGAATCTTGCTTGCTTGCAAACCAAACTCCCCGCCTCCCCGTATGACGAGTGCGGGTCTCCATCGTTGGATTGCGACTCTGAGATGAGGCACTTGGCTGGCGGGAGATGAGTTGCACCATCTAAATCTCAACGATCATCTAACCTTAGCCGATGGCGTTGCCTTCCTTCCTGCAAAAACCCGGTGCAGCGGCGGGATACTAGTTCGTTGTTATTAGAAAACAACCCAAAAATACCTCAAAGGCCTCGGTGGTCTTAGACGAAATGTACGTTCCGAAGGGATTCTGTGCGCCTCTCCAATGATTTAGAAGGTTACAAACATGCCGCAAATCCAATCCCGCCAAGTGCGAGTAAATTCTTGCATGCGTACCTTTCCACCGGCTTGGGTCGATTTTTGTTGAGGTGAGGCTTCGTGAGAGCGCCTAATTGATTGGACAAGCAATGTCGGTGTAGCGCTGCAGATATTTGACGAACGGCCAGCCAGAGCCCTTGGTTCTCCGACGCTGCATCACACATGGCCTCGAGATTACCGGCTCGGCAGAACAAAAAAATGTGAGATCGTCAGGAATAATTTATCCCGCCATCCAAATACTCCCTTCAGAGAGGAGCGCGAAGGCCAACATCGGTGAAGGATGTTTTGGGAAGATCTCAGATGCAAGAGTAACATTCTACTCAAAGCCTGCTTGGTTGAGTTACAGCATCGGCTCCCTCGAAAGGCCGTATATAGGCCGCACGCCTCTTGAAAGCCTTTGAGGTCCCGGCGTTACCGCGAGTTGTATGCCCAGAGCGGCCTTGCTCCAAGTTATACGCTGCCAGTCGGTTCCATTTCTAGACAAGACGGGCTTCAGCCTCACCCTTGCTTTTTCACTTGCACATGAACTCGGGATTTAGTTGCCTACCTGGTGGTGCCCCCAATTTTGATCGACACGTCTGACTAAAGCCATGATACTACACTTGCTATCAAAGGCGCAGCAAATCGATTTTTTTTACATGGTATATGAACCCGACTCACAACTATATATCTTATCTACCGGTCGATCATATCATATGAACGAATTCCCGGATCCTCAGTTGGTGTGCCGTGTCTGTGAAAATGGCAGACCTCCTGTAATTGGCTCTGCCAGCTTTTTGGGCTTGGTCAGGTGGCAGTGCTGCAGGCAGAAGAGGGAGACCCGGACTACGGTAGCATTTATCGAATGAGCCGCCTGAGACACTCAGCGACCGGCATAATAGGGCGGACGGGTTCACTGGAGTATTCTAGAGGTGCGTAAGGCAACCACGCAGCCATGGTCGCCTTCCATTCGACCCGCTCTATGCCTACGGACATGTACTACAGTTGCATTTAGAACGGCGAACGTGCATTACAAGTGGCCCTAGCCGCTTACATATGTACCTAGTCCTAGTAGCCTCTGTGGCTTCCAGCTCCAAGCTAGTTGGTACTATGTACGTATCGTACATCTCGAAGGGATTACGCTTGGCGAAGCCTCTTTCGTTAAAGCAAACGTCCTGTATGTGAGCGTGGGTAGAGTGGGGTCGGTCCGGGGGTCTAGACTACACATCTGTGAGTTCTAAGCAGAGAGAAATGAATCTCTTGGTTTCTTCGATTCAACTTGGGCACTAACATCACACAAATGGATTCGTACATACGGTATTGATTACTTACATAGTATATACGCCTATTAGTTTCTAGTAGGTAGGTAATAGGTAGCTCATATACGAGCTGTATAACATACACGCCCACCGTCCCGGCCTGCCGCCTACCCAGATACGCATGTTAAGCAGCTCGAGTCATTCTATTAGCCAGACTTCAATCCTTGTCCACCAACCACAACGTCCTATTACTGTTCTAAAGAGATGCTGTCATCTAAAGAATAGCCTAGAGATGGACCGGGTTGCAGCAACGCTACAGTCGTGTATCCAACTTCCAGCTTACGTAGATACATATATCAATTGATAGGAGGTATGTGGATATGCATGGATATGTAGATATGAAGTTGAGATGTATGTAGGTACTGCGGCACGTATTATACCATTCCAAGGTTGGTCTTGCCAATCAATGTAGAGTACATGCGATTATGATGTAGCTAGGCTAGTTGATCGGCGCCACTGCCTCATCACGCTCATCGGTATAGCAACTTACCTATTGTGAGGAATCGTCCCTGCCGTCTCTCCTTTTAACTGTTCTGACTTTGGACTTCCGACTTCCCAAGTGCTTCAAGGTTTTTCTATGCGCACGTGCCAGTTTGCCAAAGAATCCCAGGATGACGGTACAAGATCCTGGTAGACCGCTGTTTATGTAACTTTTGCACCTTTCCATCCATCCATCTCTTCAAGTTGTATTTTCACGGAGTAGTTCTCGCTATACTAGGTAGGTATTATCATTCAAGCCTACTACTTACGCGTTATCTCCTCTTTTTTCCCTTTTCTAGTTTTTTCTCACCCAACTTCACTTATTTCTCTCCCCAGCTCTTTTCTGCCTGGTAGATCTCTGCCGCAACCTTGCATCGTCAGAACTGACATTCATATTCACAGGTTACTGCCGACTACTTAGGTGACCATATCACCCACTATCCCCAAGCAGCCTCTTACTTCTATTTAATCCACGGCCTCTTTGATTCGCTCTTTTCTATATTCCTTCCGGCTGTCCCCGAAGCCTTACAATAAATGCAGTTTTAGAGATTTATATATAAACCCTCTGGTTGCCAGCAACTTTCGCAGGCTGTCTGCTTACCTACATACCTCCTTTACCTACCTGTTCCTTTATCTGGACCCATTTGTCTACCCATACTTGAGAGGTAATCTTATTTCACCTAACTTTTAAGTGCTGACGTTAATTTTTACTGCGTGACAGGTGTGTAATATACTCCAATCACTCCTTTCTCCTAAAGGTGCTAGCATCGCTGGATATAGAATGGAGACATGTACTGCCGTGTACAGCGTGGCGACCGCATTTGGACTCGATGTTGGAGGAAAATGACCGTCCAAAGAGAGATTGACATTTGGCGCTTTTCAATTACACAACTGATTTCCCACCCTTTAATTCTCATTTTATTATTTCCCGTCTTCATACTAACACGGTGTGTTTCGGTAACAGAAATCAGGCCAGTCATGAGCAACCACGAGGATTGAAAGTGTTTGATTGTGTCCACAACCAGCGAGGACAGAAAAGTTTCCCCGCCTTTCGACTCTTAAGGCCGGCACTCAATACTGTCCTATACCAACTTCTCCATCATTATTGTTTGCTTGCGCGCATTTTCTAAGCGCACATCTGCCTTCAGTACCGTATCTTACTCGTCTCGCTGCTTGGGGTAGAGCGCCCTTCCAGCCACAGTCGTGTAACTAATATGGCCTCAAACATTGATCTGAAAATGGAACCACAGGAAGCTAAGACCGGCCCTTCTGCTGATCGCCGCGAGGGCAATATTCCTAATGCCGACGAAGCTAAGACTCACCTAGCCGAGGACGGGCCGTCGACGACACCTGATTCGGGCAAGAAAACTAAGGGTTCTAAAACCGACAAGAAGGCCAGTGGTAAACTTGGAAAGAAGGACAAAAAGGCCAAGTCTAGTAAGGCGAAGAAGGTAGCCCCTGGTAGTAGTGAGAACTCGTCTAGTGACAGTGATGGCGGGTTCACAAACTCGTCTTCAGACGAACACTCTGAGACCGAGTCGGAGGCTGAAGCCGAGGAGGCCCTGAAGAAGAAACGACTTCAGAAAAAGCGGCAGGATCCCCGGAAATCTAAGAAAAAATCATCGAAATCCTCTAAGTCGTCTAAGACGGTTACGAAACAGGCTAAGCACCCGAAAACTTCTGAAGTTAATACCAGCGACTCGGAAGCTGAGTTTGAAGATGACTCAGACCTCGACGAAAAGGAGAGCACTAATAACGCCTCTCTTGAACAAGAAGTTGCCCAGATGCGAACCCAGGTGCAACAGATGCAGCGCCAGATTGCTAATCTCACTATTGCGGGCGGTCCAGCTGGGATTAATGCTTCTGCTTCTCTTAATCAAGGGGCTTTCGGATCGGGCGGTTTTAATGCTGGTTTAGGAGCACCTGCGGGCCTCGGTTTTGGAGGTTTCAATCCTACCAACTTCGGTACCGTTGGTTTTAACGGAAATTATGGCGCTGCGCTTGGCATGTTTAACGACCCATTATCGAACATTTCTAAGACTGTCCGTGATGGTCGTGGAAGCGGCCCGCCGCCCTCAGGCCGAGGAAGACGACCGCCCCCCGACGATCTTCTTTTCGACGAGCTCATGGCTGGAAGCCACACTAAGCCTCCCAAACCCAAGTACCAGCGCAATGGAAAAGCGGCAATACAGCGCCTTGAATTTAAACGCGTTGATCAGGTCTGGGATTCTCAGATTCATAACTACAAGCTGCAGGACACGGCGGAGAATGCTAGCAACTCTCAATACGACGAGTACCTCTTCCACGTTCGGAGAACCTTCGACTGGGAGGGTAAATATAAGACCACGATAGTTGACATTAAGAGTAAACAACTTCGAGAAGCCCTCCAGGACGTTATAGGTAGCGTTAAAGGTGTAAGTCTGGTTGAAGAGACCCCTAAGGTGGATCCTAAGATGCTGTTCTTGTGAGTTGCCTCTATGTTTTTATCCTTCCTAACCCCTCTACGCAAAACTAATTTCGGAGATAGATATCTCGAAGATATGCGAGAATATATGAATAATCTTAAGGAACTTGAGCCTGAGGGTGACTCTAGAAAGGAACGGAAGAAGGTCCAAAAGTGGATTGACGAAAAGCGACGGCACCTGCGAGTACTCATCAAATATCTAGACACAGACCACGCCGAGACCAAGAAAAGGTAAGTTGCTTTCACCCGTCCCCGGGAAGCTAGGCGAGTAGGGGTGCTTACGCCTGAATTAGTCTATATCCCATGCTAGAAAACGGCCTCATCACATTTGATCTCCTGTGGGCCCTATGGAAACCGAATACGCTTGCGTATACTACGACGTACGGCTCCGTTGACGAACCTCGCATCTTCAAGGTAGAGGTTGCAGAGAAACATTATAGTATCGTTAGGGGCGAATTTTACTATATTGAGGGCAAGGTATGTTCCTCGCACATGATGAGTTTGGTCCAGTTTCCCCCTTGAGTATTAACGCGACGATTATAGTACTTCGAGTATGATGGCAAGCAATTTGGATACGGCAGTATGTCAGAGGAGATACAAGAGTTTCGTGGAGCCCGTAAGATTACGAGCTTAGGTTGCTATCCTCTGAAGTACCACAAGAACGAAGCTCAGTTACGCAAGGACCTTATCGAGCGCGGCAAGAAATTCGTAGGCCTCGGTGGTGTGCACTATAAGAGCCACCATGGTATGGCCTACCACAAGAAAAAGAAGGCAGTTATCAAGGTCAATATTAACGGCCGAATAATGGTCGATCCAGCTATCCATCGTCGAATCAACCCCAACTATCCCGTCTCTTTGGTCCGACCGAAAGACCATGATGTTCTAAGCGATGAAGAGGATAGCGACGAAGAAGGAGGCTGTGGCTGTGAATCGGAGGATGACGATGGAGGGGCCGACGGTACAGGTTTTGAGCAAATTTTCGGAGATGGAGAGGGAGGCAAGGTTAAGTATGTGACGAAAGTATACAAGGACAACAAGGGTGCCGTACGCACTGCACGCATTCCTAAGGAACTTGTCGACACAGAAGTCCCCAAGGAGAAGCTAGACCAAGTACCTAGCAAAGGCGAAGGGGACAAAGATGCGGCTGCTAAAGATAGCGAGGAGGGTGGCGCGGAAGACGAGAACGATAGCGCGCCACCGATCTTTACTGACGAGGAATATCTGATTGCCTCACCAGTTGTCTTAGGATTTGCTTTCGCCGAGAAGCTTTGGCTTGAGTTCACGGTCTCGGGTATCAAGGAAATTTCATGGAACGAGCACGCTTACGATTCTTTGGTTCTGCAACCCAATACGAAGGAGATTGTCAGGGTATGTGCTGAACGATTCTTTTCTGTGGCTTCCTCAGCTTTTATATCCATTTAGCCTACCTGGTCCCCACTTATTGAGCTCTCTACTAACGTACAACCTTCAGGCCCTCGTCGAGTCCCACAAATACCATCCAGCTGAGAGCATCGACGATGTCATCCAGGGCAAGGGCAAGGGGCTTGTTGCCGTCCTTCATGGACCGCCCGGTACCGGCAAAACTTTGACGGCCGAGGGCATAAGCGAGCTCCTCAAATGCCCACTATATATGGTATCAGCTGGTGATCTCGGAACTGACTCCCGCTATCTCGAGGCAGAGCTGCAGAAGATCCTCGACATCTGCCATGCCTGGGGCGCTATCTTACTTCTTGACGAGGCAGATGTCTTCCTCGAGAAACGGAACATGCAAGATATCCACCGAAATGCTCTAGTCAGCATTTTCTTGCGGCAGTTAGAGTACTTCCAGGGAATACTGTTCCTAACCACAAATCGTGTTCAGGTATGTTGTATTTCGTCGTGACGTATCGTTAATGCACAGACGAATTAATACCTAAGTTTCTCATAGACGTTCGATGACGCGTTCCAATCGCGGATCCACATTGCGCTACGATACGACGACCTGGATATGAAAGCGAAGAAGGCCATCTTCAAAATATTCGTCGAGCGTGCACGGGCGGTGGCAGGGGTCGACTTGACGCCGTTTGACGAGGACGATTACACGAGCCTAGCACGGCACAATCTGAACGGGCGTCAGATCAAGAACACGATCGGTACTGCGCAAGCACTTGCGGTCAATAAGGGCGAGCCGCTCAGCATGCGCCACATCCGCGAGGTTCTGAACGTCCAGCAGAACTTCGAGCAAGATCTCAAGGGCGGTACGGGATATCAGGATGCTATGCGCAGCTACTTTTAGCGGCATTACTTCTCATACTTCAGCAGGCATTGCTGCGTTTCGGGGTACCGTACGAAAGGTAGGAAAAGATGCTAAACCGATGGTAGTTATAAAATAGGGGAGGGGATAAGAGTATGGACCCGTGTGGGCTTCTCTAATTGTGATTTCTTAATCCTGTCTTCTTAACCCTGTTTTTTATCCCTTCTTTCAAATTTGGTATGTAGCGGAAGTTATTTCGATAGTCGGCGTATTGCGAATGCTTTATAGGGGTTAGGATGGTTATGGAAAAGCGTTGTTTTTTCCACTCAACTCATTTCCGCTGTTGTGGTCAATATTCCATGTTGAGCCGTTTGGGAAATCAGTGGCACTGCGTAGTTACTTTTCTCTTACACCTGCTAGGGTAATGAGACAGTCCGTAAGCACATGTGAACGTGTATAACAAACCGATGAAGTAGCAGAAGTAGGGAAGCTTGCATCTGGGTCGGGTAGAATATACCTGTGGACGCATCTAACTTTGTATTAGATCGGATCTCGTGGAAATTATGACCATGTCTCCAAGTTAACATGACTGTATAATTAATTCATGACATGTATTCTGTGAACAGAGATCTGGGTATCCTCAAGTCTGGCAAATCGTTTTACGACCACAATCAATCTCGAGACATAAAAGCTCGAAACCCCTCCTTCAAGAACGCCGATCCCAATGCAGCCGGCCAGAGTAATATTTCTAGGTTGATGCGTATCCCTTCGATTCAGTACCCGCCCGCTAGAAGTCCATGGCGCTTTCCCCAACCCCTTCGTCTTCTCCAAAGTCGTCGGCATCTCCGCCGTCGAAGTACTGCTCGGCATCGTAGTCTCCACCCTCGTCATCGTCGTAATCATCGTCTTCCTGGGACATATGCTCCTCTTCCTCGTCGAGATCGATATCCTCCTTATTCTCCGCATCCTCAGTCTCGTTCTCCTTGAGCGAAGCATCGATACGCTTCTTCCGCTCCTCCTCGGTCTCGTCCTCGCGCCGTCTACGCCAAGACGAACCTTCCTCGCCATCGTCGTCGCTAGCGAACGGGTCGTCGTCCAGCACCACGGCCTTGCGCTTCGTCCCCTTCCTCTCCTTCTCCTTCTCCTTGTCCTTCACCCCGTTACGGCTGCTGCTCGCCAAGTACCCGCCCTTTGGACCTCCCGTGTCGCGCCCGTGCAGCGTGGCCCACAGCTCCTCCGGGAAGAAGGCCTTGACGTACCGGTCGGCGCGGCGGCGCAGCTCGGGCAGCACGCGCACCTCGTCGACGAACTTGTTGCTGTACAGCGGCACGGCGCGGAAGGGGTCCGCGCTCGCGCGGCTCTTGACGCCGAAGCGCGCGTTCAGCTGCGCCTGCCCGTACGTCCGGCGCACCGGGTCCGACGGCTTCGAGGTCCCGGCGTCGCTCATGTTGTTGTTGGTCAGGTGCCGGTGCGTGTACAGCGGCGTGTTGTGGAAGGCGCGCCGGAAGGCGACGAAGGCGGCGACGGAGCGGTCCTCGGTCGGGGAGAGGGGAGGCGCGATGGGGGGGTTGTAGGTTTTCTGTTGGAAGGAGGGGGGTTAGCGTTTTTGTCTGTATGTAGGTAGGTATGCATATAGAGGAAGGTGCGTACGGGATATGTGTCTTGAGGCTTCTCATTAAACTGCAGGCTTGGGTCGTCGGCGCCGGGCATTCCTTGCGGTCCTGCCTTGCGAGCTGCGCCGAAACCACCGCGGCCGCCGCGACCGCCTCTGCCCCCTCTACCGCGACCAGACATTTTGATGCATGAAGCGTTGCTACTTCAAGTATTATATCCCTGCCAGATGTAGACTTTATCGGCAAATTTTCGTGGCTTGTATGGAGTACGCTTAGATCTTCGGATTATATCTTATAGGATGGCTAGATATGTCCTATTGGAAGAAATCGAGAATGGAATAAGGAGAAAAGATGGGATGAGTCGAAATGGTTGTTGAATTGAATTCGATCTATTCAAAATTTTAGCGGAGACTTGGTGGAGTTCTCGGCGGGTGGGAATACGTACCGCTCTGAATCTTTTTTCTTATAAAGTTACCCCGCCAGCCCCGCATAAAGTACTACAGAAGCTTCAGCCCCGCCATCCCGCTAGATGTAGACCCACCACAGCTCTTCCCGATCTTGGGGTCCATTTCAACAAGTAACAAGCGGCAACTTTATTGAAACTACGCGGCCGTTTACCTGCCTAGACTTAACTTAGACCTTAACTTAGACCTAAACTTACAAGTCTATAACTTGCAACTTTCTTACACTTCACTTGAATTCATATTTCCCTACATACCTAATCCTCCCACCCTCAGTTCTCTATCTCATGCCCATCATTCGTCAAGACTGTCTAGAATGAGTCGAATTGCCGTCAAGATGGAGTCGGATACCATTCCCGTCACCGGGGTCGAAGACCTAGAAAAGCATCTAGACGAGTTACTTGCAGATCCGAATCTATTACCAACCCCGAAGTTATTTGACGACGTTGAACTTCAACTAACGGGTATATATTCCCGCTGGGACTTTACATGCCTAGATATATTTAGAGTACATGTGAATTTACTGATACACCTAACAGACGCGAACATACTACCTTTGGTCCCGCGGCTTCTTCCAAAGATCACCGAGATTCTCAAACAGTATCAGCAAGATCCCGCAATTTTATGTAGCTTGGCCATCAAGCTTCTTGGCCCTTTGAGTTTCACCCAGATTCTAACTCTAGCTTCCGAAGAAGCTCTGATACAAGCCTTGCGATCTCCTGCCCCGTCGGCAAATCTCCTTGCCATGGCTGTTCTTGACAAGGCTGCCAAATCGCCAAGTGATGCTGCCATTCTAGCCATGATGAATAATGTGGTAACCAACTTCTTGACTCAGTGGCTGAGTGCTCCACAAGTGGAGGTTGGCGAGAAGGGCTCGAAAGTATTAGGCGACCTTCTAGATGTCGACTGCGATACTCGTCCTCCTGATGGCTTGTCTGTCAACGGAATGGAGATCGTAGTTAGGAAACCATCCGGCCAGGGGCTCGTATGGAGACGAATCTTCCATGATCGCGATATCTACGACTTGATATTGTCACTCTGCAGCAGCGGTCAACTTGGCGCCCAGCAACAATCGCTTGCCCAAGGCCGTCTACTTCGGGTCTTACCGCGTCTGGCAGCCTTGAACTTCCGGGCAGTCACTTGGACAGACTTTTCCGACTTAAATCGGCGATACGCCAACACCGACAGCAATGGTGGGTTGTTACATTTTGCTGCCTTGTATATGATAGATAAGGAGGATAAGTTAGTGCATCTTAACCTCATCGACTTCTTCGAGGCTTTCCTAAGTATCCAGAGAATTACGCCATTCTCCACCTACAAGATGGATACCCTTACTAAACTGTTGAGGGATGCTACTGCGCAAGACGACATCTTGAAGGCATCGATTCTCACTTTACCTGAGCGTACTGTGCCCGAAGAGGCCGAAGATCTGAGCCGATTCATACAAGAGATCTTGAATTCTCAATGATAGAGGAGAACACCTCCTATCCATATTGCTTTCAATCTTCTAGAGCCATAAATAAAATACAACTGGACTAATGAATTTCGGGTATACTTCTATGAGATCAGATTTTCACGTGAGCCTCCATATTCTACCGGCCATTACAAATTCCCAATCCTAATATAACGCCTAGGACTCATTCGTGATGTAATACTCCCTAAACCATGCTGTAACTGGCTCAGCAACGGCAACCCAGTCCATAAAGCTCGATAGTGACATCCTGATCCTTGATGAATGGCATACGACCGGTGTATCCCTTCACGTTGGCCATGATGGTTGCGTCTATCCACCTTCCTATTGGGGGTGGCCTCCTGAAATATTCCATGTCATCCAGACTTCTGATACAGAATTCTCGTTCCTCTTCATTGGCAGATTCATAAGAAAATGCTAGCGCGGCTGTATACTCGATCGCTAGGGGTCTCTGGGTTCTCATCCAAGGGTAGGCCATCCATATCCGTTTGCTGCATTCCCGGCACTTCTTCATTACACTCGGGATATAGTTGTCAAATACCAAGTTTGCTTCTTGCATAGTCCGGTGTATGATGATGCTGTACATTGCGTGAGTGTAGAAGAATTTAGCGGTATCGATGTCGCGGAAGTGGTAACAAGTCGGGAACAGGTCCGCGTCTAGGACATTCTCTACCTCCATTATATCTCCCGAATTTCTCAACGAGGTCAAGGTAGCATCGCAGTCCTGTTCCAAGTAATCGATCACCGGTTTAGCCATAGTCAACAGCTCAAATGCAGTCATTGTATCCGAAGAATTCTGGCCAAGAATGCGGACTAGTCCTACCAAAGTTGGCCAGACAGTCATCTCGATCCATAAGCGGTACATCGCCTTAACCACGGGACGCAGCATACTGCCATCGACGGCTTGTTTCAAGGCCGCTATCCACTCACAATTCATGAATATGCTGTCTCTCCCCAAACGGACGTCTTCTTGTAACTAATCCCGACATTAGTTATAACCCAAGACAAGACCCAGACCAGACACAAGGGGCTGTCTCCGTACTTAACTTACCATGTTAAAGAAGCTATCAAACGTGGCGTAGAGTCCTAAATCTTGGAATCCTTGCCACGGACCTCCTCTACTAATGACGGCGGTTAACCCCGCCGCATGATTCTCTCGATTCGCTCCCCGTTCGAAGTCGTACGTGAGCTAATTGCCGCGCAACAGCTGTCAGCCCGTCTTATCATCCCAAACGTACCGCTCTAACTATTATCTCGAACTCACCTCGAGTTTCTGCAGTAACCACTGCGCCGTGATCGTATCCGTTACTAGCCCTTGCGAGGGTTCCGCGAGTGCTTTCCGTAGACTCCCTAAAGCCTGCATATGGAGCTGCAAATCTAACCATGTCTCCGGTGACATTACATCCCGTTGGCTGTTAGTCCACGACGCAACGACCAACTCAACCGTGTGTCGTAATACTGGACTCTCCGATCCTAGCCGTTGCGGTATCATCTTTATCGAAGGGCCCCATATTAGTAAATCATGGCCCGTTCCCGACGCAGCCTCTATGCAAGAAACAAACTGAGAAGCTAGTCGATCTGAGGGGCTCATAACCGGAGATGGAGTCGGTGACGGTATCGATGTCGGCCTTCCATGCTTAACACTCCTAGGGCGATGCGGGCGCGTTAGACGCATTCGGTGGAAAGTCCCGGGTCCTAGATTGGCGGTATACTCCTTCATATCAACGATAATCGTACCGCCGGGACTGCTTCGTCGCGACAGCGGGCCCCTAATCTGACTGCCATCGCACGAGGAGATGCTGGCGTCATCCGAGTCGCTGGACTTCGGGGTCGGCTCCTCGTTGTGACACCCGTTGACTACGAATTTGTAGTTGTTCCTCGCCCCAGAGCAGACCTTCCCGGCCCGAGCACATGCACCACATGTCGGCCAGTTCTCATCACACTATTTCGAAGATCGTCAGCACGAACTTGGTCACGGATCTGAGGCGGGATAGATTCGCTTACCTTAGTCTTCCGCAGCTTGCAAAAAGTGCAACGGTTGCTTTTTGGTATGCCGACCATGTTCGATAAGACGAATCTCGATCGTCTGCACTTATAATGATATATCAATTTTGGGAATCCGTTTCGATGGTCCTGGTATCTTATTCGATCACGCCGTGGCTTGCTGCAGGTACGATGTAGTTGAGAAGAGATGTCACATCGATCCTCCTAAGTCGGTCAGGCCAGTGGTCTATTAATCACATCGAGGAATCTGGATCATCTCTAGGGAAAGTCACAATCAAGACCGCGTCACGTCGCTATTTCGATTGCCTTTCCCTAGCGAGTGGGACCAGCGGATGATAGAATAGGACTTATGAGCCTGACAAGCCACGATGTAGGATACGAGGCCTGTCTTCCGGGGGGCATGCAACAAGGTACAGCCTATTAAGGTTGGGGCTCTGTAACGGTGTCTCCAGATAGCGGTCGGGATCAGGGTCTGGATTCCTTCGCCCCCACGTCCAGAGGAGCCCAAATTAACCTTAGTTGATTCAGCTGAGTCGCGGGTATAATCGAGAGGTTCATCGATAGTGTAATGGATATAAAAGGGGCTCTTTTAATCAATCAATTCGGGACTCAAGAGCTCCCCTGATACGGTAGTGTTCGAGTTCCGACAGTCCTTCCCATCGCCTAGAGAGTTTAGGGCTGAGTCATATAATGATGGGATGAGCAGTGGTCCATGTTTAATGCCAGCCGAACTGCGGCAATTCGCTGCGTACTCCAATACTCGCTTATTGGGGGGAGAGAGCTGAGTTCCAGTGGGAGAAGAGTGACAAGGCTCGGCTCTACGTCAAGTGAGTGGAACTCACTTCGGGTAGGAGATCTGCAACACTACCCTCTCTCACGTAATCACTTAAAGAATTATATGCAGCAGATACGTAGGTCAATACGGCTACCTAGATGCCCTGATGCCCTACCTTAATCATACTGTGCCGTTGTAAGGCTGACTCTCATACCCAGCTTGCCGGGCTCGCCCAGGGGCAGGAGAGGCTTTAGGCTATGGACGAGATCCTCGGACATGACCGGCTCTTTAGTTATGGAACATTCAGAATTATTGAATCCCATCCAAGGCGCAATGGATGTTCTAGAAGCTTATCTCGTTGTCCTTGTGAAAGACCTAATCGAAACTTTCTAGAAGACTGACAAGCCCATATCCCCGCTGTGTCGTCCATGAATTCCTGTTTAGGTAACGACCTGCAGAGCTTCCGAGTATTTTGAGAGAAGAATGGGCGTCGATTGGCTCTGAATTGGCGAATCAGGGGTCGAGCGCAACATAGTTCCCAAAGAGGAAATTTATACTACCCCCATGTATCAACGAACCTAGCTCAGTTCTTAGAGTTATGCCGTCCGACCTCATTTTGCGTAAATGACCTATCACATTTTTCCTGCTTTGACGAGTTCCACAACACCTGTGACAAAAAGCCGTGTGAGATAGGGAAGTCGGATGGCATCTACAGATATGACATCACGAGCTATAGATCAGTTGCTTGGCGACAAACAAGCTACAATAAGGTAATAAATAGCTCCAACGACATTCCACTTCGATGTTGACCCTCTTCCTGCTTTGGGAAGCTAAATGTGGTTACGGAGATAGATACGCCGCTTGCCTCGTCTTCTCAGCTACGTTTAGGGCTGAAGAGGATTTGGACAGGAGACAATAGCTATTGGGTTCCATGTGTCTCCATATTCGTACCTACTCACCCGCTGTAAGGGAGGTGTCATGATGATCTTTCCATAGCGAGGGTAACACATCATCTCACTTACATAAAATATCATAATAGTGGCATACCACATAGAATCAAAGTGGCAAGACTAATACATGATATCTCCTCAACGTTTCATTACACGTACATACTCGTAGAGCATCACTCGCGTAGAAGGACCCATATCACATTCAAAGGAGCGATTCTAAACGACATACGGCAATTTATACTCCCATCTCATGTGTGCTTAGATAGGTATTCGAGAGCTCATCTCCTCCTATTTTTGGAGTATCACATATCAGACGCACGGATCAATGGTCTATATAATATGGTATCCTATCCAATAACAGCCTATCTCGTGTAAGTATGCCTAGAAATTCCCTGGGCAGCCTGGGGATCCGATCACTCGATGTCCCCAAGCCCACATGCCGGTCTGCTCATTGACCGACCTTCCTACCCCATCATCACCGAGTGCTTTAGATAGATAGGCTTGCGCCCCTGGAAGCCACTATCTGCGCTGCTGAGCTCGAGTACGGCCACGGTAAGCTTCCAGAATAGAAGAAAGGGGGTCTCTCAGCCCTACAACACAAAGCCTCATTCGTTCGGACGAGATGCCATGCGTTATGCTGTGTTACAAGACGTCCCGTATATATATATATATGAATAACGGTTGAGGTTGCAAAGTACGTGGAACTTACATAATATCACACCTACTTTGAAAACACTCTATTTGTCCTTCGGCTCTGCTAGTCCCCTGTCTTTATGCGCGTATATTGATTCTCACGACATTAGGTAACCGATTGTTACGTATATCGCAATCTCTTGCAATCCCTTTGCCCCCCGCTCCCTTTTCCGTCACCCCTAATCTCAACCGACAACGTTCGGTCGGAATTGGAGCATAGTGGACAAAGCCGAAAGAGCGAGAAGGCGAAGAGTATACGGAAAGGTAGATTAAATAATGCCTATCCGTAGACATCGGTATATGGGCGAATAGGTAACGAAAGCATAGAGACCGAATCGTACATTACACAAACCGAGCGGGCATTCGGCCGATTCTGAAAGCGGAATCAGGTAGATACGTGGTCTGGTGAAAATCCAAAGGAGACCAAGCAATCTACTCGTAAGGAATCTACTCGTAAGGCAGATTGAGTTATTGATTAGTAGACATTGGATAGACAGACCACATCCCCGTCTCACCTTAACCGCACGGAAGAACAACCCTAGTAGTGTCCAATTTATGACACCATTGTGTAGCCTACGCCGACTTCCTAAAATTATACCTACGCCTTGCGAGGCGATTGACTGCCCTATGGCGTGCTCGATATGACATCACTTGGTTCTATGAAAAGAAACAATATAACGTTAGACAGGTAGACTGGGATAATAAACTTCAACAACGTAGAAGAACTCAGAATATCAATACGAATATCAGTACATACCTACCTACTTACACAGTTCGGCCTCGGCCTCGGCTTGAAGAGGGCAGACTAGGTAGGTGTATAAGCCGCTCGTGTAATCGTTACACGATAGCCAAAGGAGGCATACAAACGCACATACATGTATTTATATAGGTACAATAGCGCCCTATGGCAGGGGAAGCAAACCACCCAATCGGTAAGTTTGGGACAATGCAAGAACCCGAATGCAAGTGGGGCTTGTCAGGAGCGGTACCCGTTTACTTAATAGGAGATAAAGCTTGTTCAGTGATCAATGCGACATAAGACCCTTTCAGATAGATGGATATCCGCTGTTTGGATATGCGCGATGTTATCTATAGATACAGAAGACCACAGCAGCCTCATCAGGATAGTCCTGGCTCGGTAACTCGATTTTTATTCTATCTAATATTCAGCGACGGGGGACTCGGAGTACCCAGGAAGGCCCACTTTACGAGGTACTCCTTTTCTTTGCAAGTGAAATGATTCAATTGTACAATGCGCCTAATACTAAACCGTGCGTAAGCATAGACGCGATACGTCAAGAAAGAAGTGTATCGTACAAGAGCTCGTGGCAATGAACCCCCTAAACACCAAATTTGACCGTAGTCTCTATTAATCGCGTCCATTTTCGTTCCAATGCCCCTTTGAAAGTAAATCAATACTCGCCGTGGTTTTGCTTATGTCCTGTTCCAGAAGACAACGAAGTGCCATGTGGAAATCAGGCTTGGGGCCGTGAAATCAATTCGCCATCTCATGCTCTCATCCCACCCATACCAACTTCGCCTACCTCCAGCTCCGCGGTCGGACCCTCCGCACTAATGTTCACACTGGTAACACTCTCTCGCCGCCCGCCAGTCATACCCTCGATCCCAAGACCAACTTCACCAACCTTCCTTAGGACGGCAAGTAAGGCACCTCTCAGGTCAGCGCTAAGTTCTTTACCGAGCAGCTCGACAACGAGCGGGTAGAATGCGTGAATATGTTCGCCAAACTCCTTTTCCGGCCAGGTAGAGTAGCCCTCCAATACGTCGACGACCACCGGCCGCCATGCTACAATATTTCGTTGCTGCGACTCTTCTTCAAGCGCGAGGTAGCCTCTGATGACATCCTTACATAGAGGGACGAGAGCTTTCTCCACCTCGGGACGACTTTCTGCGCGGGATGGCGACGTATCCGCAAACATTCGGAATAAGATTTGGATGTAGGTGGCCGCGGAGCCGCTCTCTTGCTTGAGGAGATTGGGTGGTTGTTTCATGAAGCCTTCCCGCCAGAGGCGCATACGGAGGTCCTTATCCTCGTTGAAACGTCTGGCAAAAAGGAATGACTTCTTGAGTAGTGCCATCAGACGTAGTAGCTCTGTTGAGGGAATTTGTGCATAGACCGCGTCGTTGGAGAAGAGCTCGTTGACGGTTTCTATCATCAAGAGTTGCAGGACGCAACGCGAGATAATACGATTGAAAAAGCGCCTTCGGGCTGCCGTCACTACTACAGGTTGCTGCTGAAGTGATGAAGCAGGTTTATAATCTTCGAGGCGGCTGGATCCGATGCCGTTCGTTGGGCGAGTGGGATCTTCCATGATGGAGGTTTGAGCAGTGGTAGCTGAAGCAGCGTCGGTTCCAGAGGAAATGCTACCCTTATCAGTACCATTAATTTTTAATGACTTTTCATCTACGTGTGTGTCGCTGGTAGGAGTGAGAGGTACTTCGAATCCTAAACTATTAGGTGGTGGCGATAGGGCGGCTGGAGCGTTGATGGTAGCAGCTGAGAAAAGCTGGTAAGCCGTTGTCCTTTCAAACAGCTCGCAGAATGCCCCGACAATTTGGGCCCAGTGACCATCAGTAAATTTAGTCACATTCTGCAGGATGAGCTGTTGCAGACAGTTGCTGCCTATCCTTGCGATCGTGTCGTTTTCTTGGCATATACAGAGCGCCAACAGTTCGAGGAAACGATCCAACATATACTCAAGCGCATCAAAGTAATGAGTAAAAAGGATGATCATATTACGAAGCGCTTGGATCATGGTGGTTGACAGCCACACAGACAATTCCTCGTGATTGAGAGCGTTGGACATCTCAGGCCTAGATCGCAGAACCATGAAGATGGGGTAAAGTTGTTGTCTCCATAAGATGTCCCAGAAATCAGATGGGAAATCACCACCATATCGAAGTAAAGCCTCGAAGAAATAGTTCAGAGCGTTGGATCGAACCTCCAAGTCCTCCCCTGTCATCAGTACGTCGTGGAATGCGAATAGAATCGGGAACCAGAAACCCTCTTCGATCGAGGTTCCAGTTTGTTGCCTGGATAGGGTGTCCGGCGATTTCAAGGTTGCACCGTCTGGAGCAGGTGTCGAATTGTTCTTTTGAGACAACGGACATTCGGGAGTCTTAAGCATCTTTGGTATTATCGATTTCAGCGTCTCCATTGCTTGAAGACTCTTCTTCTGAAACTTGATGTTCTTCGAGAATTCAGTAAGACAGACGATTAAGTCTGTAAAAGCGCCCTGAGAAATTACAACGCCAAACCGCGTCTTATAAACAAGGGTAACGTTCTCATACGCTAAGTTCACGATCGTCTCGTTAGGGTCTCGCGCGGCAACTGTGAAGACGCCAAACATCGTCCTCCAACCAGACCGAATATTCTCACCGCGTGCTTGGATCATTTGGATCAGGCATCGCAATGCCATATCCTTGACGGTCAAGTTATTCGAGTTGGCAATGACATGCTCAAAAGGTTTGAGGAAATCCTTCTGAAACTTGAAACCGGGAAGTTCTTCAAGTTCCATGAAGCGCATTGATAGCTGTCTCAGCGAATCAAGTGCGAAGTACACGATCGCCGTATTGTTGTGGCATCCGACCTTGTTGAAATGCTCGCCGAGCACAGCCCAGATGCTACTCCATTCAAAACGGACACGGGTCATGTTGTAATAACTGATCTCAACAATCTTCTGCAAGCTGTACGTTCGTGGGGAGTCGTTGGAACCAGACACTTTAATCTCGTCCCAACTCACCTCAGTCAATGCCTTGGCAAAATGTACAATGGCTTCACCGTTAAGATTCGCGGTATTGCTGAAAATCCTGTCCACGCTTTTGATGACTTCGTCGGACCTGCTTTCAAGTGCGATTTCCATGGAGAAACCTCTCGCACCTGGATTCGACCGGTTTCTTCGTCGCGTGGATACCGAAGACTTGCGCGATTCGCTCGTATTTGTCCGCTCTGGCGGCATGAAGCGAGCCTTAGAAACGTCAGGAATAGCCCCTTCATCGACACCACCAGTAATGAGTTGTAATCGGTCCAATTGACTTATACACATGAGGATATCCTTCCAAGACTCTTTCAAATAATTGCCTTCCGTCTGGCCTAGTTCCAGGATAACTCGCAGGGCTTCGACATTTTTGGCGAGAATTTGTTGAGGGTTGTTTAGATTGGTAGTGTTCTTTAGGGCAGACATGAATGCTTCTCGCGGGGTGGATAGGTCGAAGAGACATGCAATTTTTATGGCTTGCTTCATTCCCTCTAGACACAATTTGTTTACTTCCAAGTTTTGAGCTTTTTGCATTTGGTTTGAAAATGCTGAGAAGAACGACATCCAGGTGACATCAAACATAGGGCCGACATGTTTGAACGAGGTCGCCGGGATGTACTTGATTCCAGCTTTGGCAGCATTCTTCCGTTGATTCTTGAACAGGTTCTTGAAAAGCTGCTCTGAGCGAAGAGATATTTCCTCAGATTGTTGCACATAGGCTTCTCGCTGGAGGTCTCTTCCAACATTTGATAGAGCCTGGCCTAAGCCGGCAGCAAAACCAGACGACTGGGCAGGTATATTGCCTGCAGCAGCCGCCGCCTCCCTCTCACTCTTAAGAACAATCTCGTTGCTAGCAATCTCATCGTAAATGCCAATCAGGTACTCATCTGGTAGATCGGCGTTGTCGTTGATACCCCTGTTATTCTTGATGAAGTCTTCTTTAGTCATACGCCTAGCGATTTTGCTGCTATGAAGATCCGTGTTCAGCAAAATCACCGAGTAAGCGAGGACATAGGCCGTGTCAGCGTTAGCAAACGCATTCGGATTACCCATCACATAACGGTTAGCAAACTTTAACATGAATCGATCGATCTTCTGAGCTTCTCCGGGAAGACGGAAGGACTGGAGGAATTGTCGCAAGGCATCGACGAAACGCCTCTTAGTGAATTCCATGGTGTCCACGAATGCATGCATGATTTCGATATTCTTCGGCTCGCCTTCGCCAAGATACTCGCCAATCTGCGCTTTGTCGAGTCGATCATCCGAGATCAAAAACTTGGCTATATCCTCAGGGCTATCACTCGGAATGAATCCTTCCTGGATTAAAAGTCTGATCCCCTTCTTCGGCTTGAAATTGAATTGACGGATGGCATTGGCTAAAGCCGTCTTCCGGGCCTTTTCTTTTTCTAATTGGTCGGGGTCGTCGTCAACGACGGGTGTGGACGGGAGAGGAGTATCAAGACGAGAAGTACTGTCGGCGGCTGAGGGGTCGATAGACTCGCGAATATCATCTACGGAAGCGCGAGTATCGCTGTCATGGGAGGCTCCATTGACATCCGGACGTGCAACAGCAGACCAATTGACCAGTGACCGTAATGCCTCAACAAGCGAGTCCAAGGCTGTCCTCTTAATCACGTACTCTCGGGGTATCTCAAGTTCTGGTTCAGCAGGAGGCACGATATCTCTCACATTCAATGGTGGTGGCAGCATTCCTTTTAGTTGCCAATCTGAGCCGGTATGTGGTGTCGAATTCGAGTTCTTCTCCTCATATAGTTGCTCTTGAGCTGCAGTGACCGATACGGGGTTGATTGCAAGCCTTGACAAATCCTCTATGATAGTTTGGAAAATGTTATCGACGTGAGAGTCGCAGTCATAATTGAGATATATCTCCACAAGTCCTCGAGGATCACCACAAAACCTGGTCAAAATGTTGATGAAGTAGAGCTTTTGGGAAGGAGGCGCCGTCCGCCTAGCCAAAAGTGCTAAGTATATCTCATTGAGGAAGACCTCAATCTCTTTCTGTAATCATGACGTTAGGGAGGTAAGAGTCTAGAAGATGAAGTTTGCCATACCTTGAACAGTGCTCGCATGAATTTGGACATCAGCCAGAATATCTCGCAACACACTTCGAACACTTTATCAACTGAGCTAGCTCCATTTCTAGTAATGCTCAGGCAGAGATAGAATTTAATAGCCTGAAGGAAACTCGTCGACTCGTTACTTTTCGTGTTAGTTATAGTACACAGAGGCGAAGTAAAAACGAGCATGTGGTTGTTCAAAAGGGTACGGATGAGATGCAATGATATGAGTTTAGAGCGCATATGTTGACCTCGATAATCGTACAGCTGATCTGGCGGAAGAACTTTAGTAGACAAGTTACAGAACGAGCGGAAGACAAGGTATGCATCCCGAATATAAACCTCGTCCTCGGCGTCGAGAGACTCAGCAGTTTCTTCTGCATCGGGAGCAGTGTCGCTTTGCGTCTGCTCAGAAACCCTCCTTTTCGTCTTCTTGGGTGGCTTTAGCTGAGTTACCATTGTTGGACCGTCGCCCAGGTTCGAATCGTCGAAACTCTTTCGGCTCTCGAGATCTTTCAAGGTCAATTTGCCGCCTACTTCAGTCGTCGATTCGGAACGTGCGATGTCCGGAAGATGAGGCCCAGACGAATCATCGGGACTGTCCTCATCTTCAGCGGTACCGCCATGTCCGTTAATAGCCGATTCTGTCTGGTCGAAAGTGACATTACTAGAGCTATGCTTAAGCTTCCCTAAATCCGTCCGCGCTTCTTTCATGTGAAGCCTTGTCTTTACCCGCTCAAATACCATGCCGACCATCTGTGTAAGGGTTCCCTGGGCGGCCTGCTGGTTCTCGGCACTTCTGGAAAGGAGGAATACATTATATACTTGGCGCACCGCCTTCAGCAACCCAGCTCCGTGAACAACGATCTTATCATTCAACACCGCGGATAGAAGCGCCTGGACAATATGTCGCTGCACATCGACGGCAGTGGTCTCTCCTTGAAAACAATCGCATATCGTGTCAATGGCACGGTCTATCATGGAGGCTTGTTCGGCTTCATCTTCTTGGGTGGGACTCGTAATGACGGAGAAATACGATGAAGATATAAGTTTTTGTATGCAGTCAAGGGCAGTGTTGATCAGTTGACTACTACCAGTTTTAGTTGCTAGTTGCAGAGGTGCGAAGACGACTTGAGGGTCAGGCAGTTCAGATCCCCCTTCTTTGATAGCCTTGATGGCCTTCTCGGTAAGCTCGGCGAGCTGTTTGTTCCTCTGCGCTTCTTTTGAAGCCGCGATGGCCTCGAGAGAGGACACCAGAAAGACTAAGGAGCTCATGGTTCGCCGAGCTTAAGGAGAAGGGATAGGTGCCATTCGGGGAAGATCCGTTTTCGTGGACGGGAGGTTGATTCAAGTTCGGGTTGGAGAGTTCGCGACACCGATCGTAGCTAGGGATTAATTCGGTATATACAATGTATGCGTAGTCTGTCCTTTTCTAGGGTGGAATAAACGATCGTATTCGTCGATGGGATACACTAGTCTCGTCGCCTGGATCGACTCGAATAGAGATTTCAAACAAACATCCGCTACCTTTGAGGGAGATGAGAGCGCGTATAAATTAAAAATATCTAGGTAAGTAGCAAGGTCGCAACTTTTTTTTTCTGGAAGTTTGGTTTGGCCAAGCTGTCAATGTTCAGTGTTCCCTGAAAAAGGATTCGCTCCACACTTGTCCACTGTAGATTTAATTGATGACTGGAAGGCCCCCGTTCCATTGTTACAGGTCCGACAGGGGGTCCTGGGAAAGTCTATAGACTCACCGGGGTTATACCGGATAAACCAGGACCGACCCCATACATACCAGACGTTAAATGTTAAGAGCCACACTGTTACCTGTCTGCCTATTACCAGCCACAACTGCTGTAACTGTCAACAGCCACAACCTGATGACACGGATCTTACTACGTAGTACCTAGGTACATTTTATTTTATTTCCAGCTTCAACTGCCTTGGAAGCTGACGAGAGCTCTTACTCAACCATTCAACCCTTTCAATCCTCTACATGTACATCATCGACATGGGGATCTGGCCATGACTTGATCCTTCCAGCATTGTTTAAAATCCGACTGAAACTAATTTTAAACGGCAACACAGATAATAAACCGAACGACAATGTGGTTCACGTTAAGATAACATGTTCAATATACGACAGTTTGACCCAGAGGCCCGGTAGCAATGCTCTTTTGGGAACTATGATGATGTACTGAGAATGAGACACATGAAGCTCAGCTACTAGCTAAATCGATATTTGAGCCAATCAAAAATCAATCGCACAACGGAAATCATTGGGGAGACCCATATTCCTACGGATTCCGATAAAGTCTGTAAGCCAAAATCGTTGAAGTTCTACAGTACAAGTATAGTGTTTGCATACAGGTATCTATCGAATATTTTGTATCAAATATCAGTACTATGATTTTATAAATATAGTTATTCTGCGCAAAACTATATTCAAAATTTCAAATGTTGTAAATAGCTATGAATAGAATAATACCTACCTATCAATATCGGAGTTGTGTACTCCGATGATAGGTACAGATATAAATAGTGGGTTTTGAATTTTGGGGATGGTTTAGCGGTTCGGAGCTTCTCTCAACGTCCCTGAAGCTTTGGGGCAAGGCTACGGCAGGCGCACCGTAGGAAGTGTAGTGTACCTCCGTACTTTGGTGAGAAAGTGAGAAAGTACTATCGAACCCCCCCGGTCACGAAAATAACCCGCCACCAATCAAGACTAGACTCCGTCAACTTCTCTTAATCTTTTTTTCCTTCCTCACTTCATCGTGTCGCGCCGTCGTCAACTCCCACAGATTCCCTTCCCTCTCAAACCTCAATTGGACTCGGTCAATTGATTCCAGGTGCTGGCAACTTGTCTGCTCTGTGGTATTCTGGCCTGTCCGTTCCTTTTTCCTAACTTGACCCGTCCAATTAAGCCGGTGGACCTCTTTTTATAGCTTCTTATTTTTTTCTTATCCGGGGCGGAGAGCTATTTTCCACCACCACAGCACAATGTTCGGCGCAGTTCTAAGAAGGCAAGGCCTTCTGCGAACAACATCTCTTAGATCAGGCTTCCTCCCCCTCGCCAGATACTATGCCTCCTTCCCGCCGCACACAGTCGTCAAGATGCCTGCGCTGTCGCCCACAATGACAGCCGGTAATATTGGCGCTTGGCAGAAGAAGGTTGGAGATACCATCGCCCCCGGTGAGGTCTTGGTCGAGATCGAGACGGACAAGGCCCAAATGGACTTCGAATTTCAAGAGGAGGGCGTTATTGCTAAGATTCTGAAAGACGCTGGCGAAAAGGACGTACCTGTTGGAAACGTGCGTGACTTTTTTTTTTTTTTTTTCTGGTGGCGCTTCCCCATCTTGTACTCCGGAATGCTGACAAGATATGTATAGCCAATTGCCGTCTTAGTCGAAGAGGGCACAGATGTCTCCGCCTTCAGCTCCTTCAGCTTGGCCGATGCGGGAGGTGACGCTGCGTCGGCTTCCAAGGAAGAGAAGAAGGCCGACACCCCGTCCGATTCCGCACCCGCTCCGGCCCCGACACCTGCTCCAGAACCGGAGCAATACTCCTCCGAAGGAAAGCTTCAGACTGCCCTTGACCGAGAACCCAACATTACTCCGGCTGCCAAGCGACTAGCTAGAGAGAAGGGCATTGTCATCTCCAGTCTCACTGGTTCCGGTCCCGGCGGCAAGATTACTGAAGACGACGTCAAGAAGGCCTCCGCAACCGCCGGTCCTTCCGCTTCTGCAGCCGCCTCCTTCGAAGACACCCCCCTGTCCAACATGCGCAAGACCATCGCCAGACGTCTGCAAGAATCTGTCAGGGAGAACCCTCACTTCTTCGTTACCAGCCAACTCTCCGTTACCAAGCTTCTAAAACTCCGACAAGCTCTAAATAGCTCCTCCGAAGGCAAGTACAAGCTGTCGGTTAACGACTTCCTTATCAAGGCTATTGCTGTCGCTTCCAAGAAGGTTCCTGCTGCCAATTCATCGTGGACCGGTGACTCGATCCGCCAGTACAACAGCGTCGATGTTTCCGTCGCCGTTGCCACTCCGAATGGTCTGATTACTCCTATCGTCACCGGTGTTGAGGGTCGTGGTTTGGAGTCTATCTCGTCTAAGGTCAAGGAGCTCGCTAAGAAGGCGCGAGACAACAAGCTCAAGCCTGAGGAATACCAGGGTGGCACCATCTCGATTTCTAACATGGGCATGAACGCTGCTGTCGATAACTTCACCGCCGTCATCAACCCCCCGCAAGCTGCTATCCTAGCCGTCGGTACCACGAAGAAGGTCGCTGTTCCCGGCGGTGAGGACGGCACTGGCGTTGAGTGGGATGACCAGATTACCGTTACGGCAAGCTTCGACCACAAGGTAGTCGACGGAGCAGTCGGTGCGGAATGGATCAAGGAGTTCAAGAAGGTCGTCGAGAACCCTCTAGAGCTTCTTCTATAAATGAATCAAACTTTTACGTACCTAGGGGCGTCGGGGCATGATTGGTCTATAGACGGGATGAAATCCATGTAGAATTATGCCACACGAATTTGTACTAATAAATTCCTGCAAAAAGTGAATCTTTCGGTGGTAAACTGGATTCCGTATGGCTTATGCGAGGGATGATGTGTACGTAGGATTTGGCCATATATGCGAATGGATTATTGAGACTTACTTTGAGTCTTTTATTTACCGCTCTACCCCGTTCTGATGTCTAGTTTGTTTGACTTGGGTAACTGATATTAGTTGTTATGCATCGGGCACTACAGTATTTATAAGAGATTCAGGTGAACATCAAGTCAAGGATCAAGCTATTCGTTTGGGTTTTAACTACCATGCCCGTTTCGGTCCTCGTCTCCATCTGACTCGTCTCCAGCAGACTCGCCTTAATCCTCGCTCCCGCTTACTCCATCCCTACTACTCTTATCATTTTCGTCATCCACCGTGTCATGCTGAGTATGATCTCCGTGGTCAGGTAGCTGGCTCCTCAAGCCAGCTAAGACGGAGTTTAGCCCTGATCTCAGCTGCGGCGTCCGCACCTGTTCTACCTGCAGCTCCAGCTCCCGGATTTTACCCCGGAGCTCCTTGACCTTCTCATCTTCTTCGTCGCTCTCCCCATCACTTAAATCACCATCCTCCTCCTCGTTATCGCCATACCCATCTAGAAGGTCCTCGCCAAAAGCCGTCGCAAACGCGCGAGCCATACCCGCATCCTTAATAGCGAAGACAATACGCTCGATGCCATCCCATGACTCCACAGCCTTTTCCTTCGAGCCCTTCTTCCCCTTCCTCTGACCCTCCTTATTCTCCCTATTCACCTCCTTTATCCCCGCCCCACCTCGCAGCACCTTCCTCCACGCCCTCGCGATCTCGCCTACGGGGTTCCCGTACGCGCCGCACCCCCAAGCGCCCAGCACAACCCTCTTCACGCCCTTGGAAGCGAAGATCCGCAGGACGCCGCGCATCTTCCGGACAGCGAGCTCGCGGTCCTGCGCGCTGGCGTAGCTAGCCCAGCCCGTTTCCTCGTCGACTTCGACCTCGGGGAGCCGGAGCATGGCGGCGGTCACGACGTCGACGAACCAGCGCTCGCGCTTGGGGAGGAGCTCGGCTTCTTCATCATCTCCTCCACCTCGGCCTTCTCCCTTCTCCCCCTTTCCCCCTTCTTTCTCATCTTCTTCCCCCTTCCCCTTCCCCTTCTCCTTCCCTTTCCCTCGCGTTTTCCCGCGCGATCCAGCACTCCTCCCACCAACACCGCGAAAAACAAGCACATCCGGCGTAAACACGCCCCCTACCTCAGGCAGCCTGTAAAACTCGTCGCGCAGCGAAGGCAAAAGCGTCGTCCGCGCGCACAGCGACGCTTCTTCCTGGCCCGCCGCGCCGTTGAGGAAGCCGCCGCCGGCCGCGAGCGGGGACGCCATGTTCAGCACGCCGACGCGGGCCGTGGCGTTGGACAGGTCGCGCCGCTGTTCCTGGGCTGTTTCTTGGGTTGTTTCTGCTGCTGCGGCGGGGGAAGACGGGGAGGGTACGAGGAGTAGTGAGGACGCTGTGGATAGCGTGTCTGCGATGCATAGGGAGATGCAAGGGCCTTTGATATTCCCGTTGCTTTCCGCGCTCCCGTTCCTGCTCCCACTCGTGTTGTCATTTCCATCTCCACTTCCCACTTTCCTCTTGTCGCCTTCTCGCACTCCATCGTCACTCCCCGCTCTCGCGTGCCCCCGCGGCGCTGACCCACGTACGTTCGGCGGCGGATCTGCAATCAGCTCCGCAGCCTCGACGCCGCGTCTAGCCCGCGGGTGCGCGGCCAGCACCGCCGGTACCACTTTATTAGTGGTGGCCTTGGCCCGTTTGGCGCGGGCGTCGCGGCGGAAGCTGGCGGGCGGTTTGCCGACTGAAGGTTCTGTACGTCCCATTGCGCTTTTTATTACCTTATTTCTTGTGTTGTTTATTGGACGTAGTTCCGCAAGAATTGGAAAAGATGATGGATTGAATTAGTTTGGATGGATTACGAAGAACTGCGTAGACGTAGAACCAAAACGCACCCGAATTTTTGGGGCCATCCGGGTGTTTACTTCCAACCCTACTAAAGTTGTAATCATCGTGCATCTTAGTTCTCATCTAATTATCTCTCGTGCAAAATCGTAGGTAACTTTAGTTCATTTCAATTGATGTCATTTCACATTTCTAGCCGCACCACCTCTATCTAATATATAAGGCGATACGGGGGTATCATATCCTGAATATCACGATCTACATAATCATATATCCTCCTTCTTTATACCAAGTACCGGAATCCCTTGTGCATCCGCAACGCTTCGTCGGGGCCGTCTATCTGCGCCGCCGCATCGGGTTGCGATTCCCAAGTGCGCTCACTCTCCTCGAGCTTCTTGTTGAGGTCCGCTAAAATGACGCGGAAAGCGAAGCATCCAATGATAGTGACTCCGAACATAGCCGTCACAATGCCATAGCTCTTACGGTATCCGTTATCCTTCAGGTTCCACACGTAACTACCCGCCACGTTGCCCAGTTGCGAAAACGCGTTGATGAGAGCGATCGCCACAGCTCGTTTGGCCGGTGGTCGAGGGAAGGACGAACTAATCCATGAATAGAAAACGATAAAGCCGGCGTAGGAGCTTGCTTGGAGGAAGAGTGCAACGTATCGGGCAGCTACATTTAGCGTAGACATGCTGATGACGAAACCGACCATTCCGCCGATGATGGGGCCAGTAATGTGCCAGAACTATCAACGGAGTTAGAACCAGACGCGAAGAGAGATGGTGGAAAATGACATACCTTCTCTTGGGTTCTATCAGCGTGCCAGGCATTTATAAGTGAGACGATGCACGAAAAGACCCAAGGCGGCGAGCTCATAAGCAGTGTTCCAACGTAGTCAAATCCGAGAGTACCTGTAAGGGTCGGCTGTGCGGCATGATTAGCTTGTACTTCATATGTATGTTGCTAGGGAGCTCTTACGAAGAAAGCATTGAACGATAGGCCGACGACATAGGCCGCGAAGGTGAACATCATCACATAAATCTTAATATCCTTAACGGCCATAATAAGGCCGTCGAAGATGCCCTGGTTCTCTCCATCGACATCAGCTTCGCCAACGTCCTCAATCATTCGCAGCTGCGCTACCTGGCGCTCTTCCTCTGTGAAACCACGCGAGTTGTGTGGTAAATCCGGAAGCACGAAGGCTGCGATGATAGCAACGAACATGGTAACACCGCCCTCGATCCAGAATAACCATCTCCAAGCAGCATGACCCAAAATTCCTTGCATATTCGATAACACACCAGCTCCAACTAGCGCCGAAAAGGCATTGGAGATAATATTACCGCAGAATAGGATGGCGTTTCTCGTCGTCAGCTCCCTTCGAGTGTACCACTTGGACTGGATAAGAAGCGCTCCCGGAAGGAAAGCAGCTTCGACAAAGCCCAAGAAGAACCGTACCAGAACCATGCCAGTGAAATTATTCGTATTTCCCGTGAGCGTAGAAATGAGACCCCAGAGCAACATGGCGCAGGAGAGATAGAGCGATGGTCTCTGGATCCTATTGGTAAACATATTCGACGGGACCTGCATCAAAATATACCCGACATACAAAATACTCAGGCAGGTCGAATATTGGGTCTAGTCGCTGGTTAGCATCAAGAACTAGTGATAATTAGATATACGTATTTATAAAGGGTAGTGAATTATCAAATGCACTAAAGAGGAGCTGAACGTACATCGTCGAGGTTTAAATCTATATCTTATATTAGTATGTTTTAAATTACGGTTATAGAAACGACCACGCTCACCTGACTGGAGCCCCTTCAGCCTCGCAGCCGCGATGTTGTTGCGGTCGAGATAATTGAGGATGTAAATGAGGACAAATATGGAACATCGCGCATCGAGTTTGCGCTTCAGTGTCTTCTCTACACGTGCGCGATGGGCTGGATCCATCGTACTGGCGAGAGGCGTTGTACCTGTGGCTTCGGGTGCCGTTACATGTTCCAATGCTTCTATGTTTTGCTTCGGCGCAAGCCCTTCAGCAGGGCCAGCCCGTGTTATCTCGTCAATCATAGTTGGTGATTCCTCGTCAATATAATGGTTTCCCCAGAGTCTTCGTCCCGATGGTCAAAGGTATGTGATAATATGGCGAGGGAAACCGGAATACGACTCGGAAGGGTACTAAGAGGACGACTGAACAGGAGACATAAGTAACGTCGGGCGGTGTCGAGCTTTTATCTGACGAGTTTGTAGGAAGCTCGTCCCGGTAATCGGGTATGCTAGCCGTCAACGGGCGAGACCATGTGAGCGGCAGAAGCTTAATTAGAGGCTTTTGCAGGGGATAGGCTAGTTTGCCACTGTCTCAAACTCCGTTAATCCATTTGAATACCCCCATAATGCGGGGCAAACGTTCGTGAAAGGAATCACGATATTGGAGAGACGAGGCTCTTCCTCGGTCTCTTGGCGCCTGGGGTATGGGGAGCCGGGGTTATTGAGGAGGAATGGATAAGCTAGCATCAAAGATGGGACCAAATTGCAAACAGCTTCTCTCTGAAGCCTGGATCACTGATCACACGTAGCCGTACTTAGATTAGACTATTGGCGATTTAAGTAAGGACGCTGAAAAATGAGAGCTACCCCGGACCATCATTACCAAATCAAAACACGAATATCCAAGCCTGCCAGGAACGAACCTGGTCAATTCGCTACCGGTTAGACCGACGATAAAGAGATATGACGAAGGGCACCATAAAAAGAATATTATAAAAAACCGAAACCCGATCTAACCGCCACGTTTATTTCGTCCATGGTCCAACCAAAGATATGGGACTTCGGTCCAAGAAGCCGGGAGAGAGAGTGAGAGAAATGCGTTATCCCCGCAAAGTTATGTCTTGGCTTCAGATTTTGGGGAACTTGCTTTCTTCGGATCTCGTCCGAATAAGCACTAGCCACAGTCGCAACGGTTTCTTTCAGACGGCATGTATTCTCGCGCTCTTTCGAAGTAGCGCCATCCGAGGATCTCCAATTGGAACTCCAATTACCTTGGGATGAGGGGAAATGTGAATTGTCCATATTTTCTAAATCAGTGAAACTTCCACCTTTTACTGACTGAAGATATTAGCATTCTGGACGCCTGGGCGTAGATGTCTAAAACCTTCGAAGCTGGAATCATCACTTAAATTTAGCTGGATTCGCGAGTACACGATGCCGTCTAGAAATACCGAAAATGGATCACCGAGAGCGGGTCTCAATTTGGCCAATTTAACACTCGTTTTCTCCAATCTCGCTTCGCCTATCTCGCCTAGAAAACGCGAAGAAGAGGCCAGTATATTGCCTTAATCAAGGCTATTGAATTATTCTTAACATCGTAAATGTGTATGTTGTAAAAGTTAAAGGTGAAATTGGGACGAAGTCAATTTTCACAATTTCTCCAAACTTGGCCCTGAGAAGAAAAGTGGGACTACCCGCTACGTAGATATTCTCCTGATTCGTCACGTGGTGCCTTCCTTCCTTATAATTTATTCAGTCGTTGAATGTAGGTAGGTAAGCCGGGACGTGTGAAACAACTCAAATAAGGCGATAAAGTTGAGACTTCTTTCATATTGTCTCTTATTTCATGGAATATCTCAAGCATTTAATATGGAGAACGAGAAGAGGACGAAGCGCCCTATATCCTTTCAGACTCAATCGGAACGACTCAACTAAACCACAGTTGCTTAGATGGATATATCGGTTTATTGAATATCTATATATTAAAACCAGTTACTAATATAAAGAGTCCTATATTTAGTTGAGCTGCCGAATCGTTACTAAAGTGGCCAATCCCGTCGTAGAGAGGTGCCGATATAATTATTTTCACGTCGAAAACTCGGTACATACCACGTTGTCATTAAATGAATAGTCAAGTGTTATATAGGTAGTTCATATTGGAACGTTTATCACCGTCAATTCGTCGTGTTCCTTTTATAGCTTCAACCTAATATTATCAACCTTGGCAGGTAGGGTATAGACTATTCTCAAGTTCCCCTTTCTTAAAAGGGGGCGTGTGGGCTATCAGGGTTAGTAACGGTAGAGAGAACGTTACAATAGCAAATTCTTCCAGCTGCTAGAGGTTGGTTGTAAGACTTGAAGATTCGTATGATGAATTGAGAGGTAGTGAAGCCAACTAAAAGCCCAATTACCTAGGTGATTAGAGATCTTTCAAACTCATCTCTGAGCTAGAGTCAGCCTAACCAACAACTCGCGCAAGGGGCTCCTTTGACATACCAACTTCTTTGTCCCTATCACTTTAACTATAATATGTATAAGTCATTTATATCGAGAAGCGACGTCCAGTGCCAGACAAGGCATGCGGAGAAGCCGGGGAAACCACGCCGGCAGTAATACTGGGTACAGATGCGTAATACTGACTGCGGGAAGCTGCATCTCGACAAGAATGTAACCTTCCCCGATTGTTTGACTGGCACACCGAAACAACTTTATATCATCCTATCTTTTACACTCTGTTCTTTTTGTTCCATCCGAACTATTTCCCGACACTTCCCCACCCGCGGAACTACAGACCTGGGTATATATCTGGGTAAGTAAACTGTTATGCGCGGGTGCAAACGTATTGCCTCTTCTCCTTTTTAGATACCTGCCTGATTTTTTAAATTAGTCGTCTGGCTCTGCGCGTTTGCACGGCTTCAGCTTTCGAGAATGCCTCATAAGGAAGAAGAGATTTCCGAATTCACTCCTGACCTTTATCCTCCGTTCCCGGAAGACGTCCCTACGGTCGAGCTACAAAGTATCTCGTTATTGAAGATTCTTGAAGGGGACACAGTAGAGCGGGACCGCGTCTACGAGGCCTGTGTTGACCGCGGATTCTTCTATCTTGAGCTCAATGGCAGCGAAACAGGCGAGACTATCTTGCGAGGCGCGGATCAGATCGCATCAACGGGAGAGCGGGTCTTCAAACTACCCCTCGAGGAAAAGATGCGATACAAGATGGTCAAGACGTTGTTTGGGTACAAGTTTGCTGGGGCGACCGTAACCGACAAGTCCGGGACCCCGGATACGGCCGAGTTCTTTAATGTGGGCAAAAATGATAGTATGTAAATCAAGAGGTCTTTGGCCCCTCTTTTTGCTTGTTTCGAGAGTGAGAACTGGACTCCTAAACCATTCCCTTAAGAATATATTAATAAAGTCCGCCTTTGTAGTAATAGTACCCGACGACCGTATGGTACGCCCGTGGCCTTCAGCAATCTTGGACGTGAAGCCACTTTTTGATGCCTACATGAAGAGCGCACACTCGGTCGGGATGACAGTTCTGGCGATCATCGCCGATAAACTCGGTGTTGAATTTTCTGAATTCACAAGCCGCCATAGGATCGAAGAGCCCTCTGGTGATCACGTTCGAATCACAAGAGGCCCGCCACGCGATACAGAAGAGATGCCTGAGATTCAGACGCCATCACACACCGATTTTGGGACGTAAGCGAACCCTTCATGCTCGCTCCATAATTCTTATGGCGCCAAGAGATATTTATTTAAATCTTCTGTAGGATCACCATCCTTATGAATTGGCTTGGTGGGCTCCAGGTCTGGTCCGAATCCTCGCGAAAGGCGCAGTTGAATGGGCTTGAGCCTGACGTACCAGGTGAATGGCTCTGGGTTAAGCCTAAAAAAGGTTGTGCCATCATCAATCTAGGCGACGCCGCCGTTCGGTTCACTAACGGAGTGGTCTGCTCCGGCCGTCACCGTGTGATACCATCTCCAGGTGCACAAGGACGATGGCCGCGGTACAGTATCGTCTATTTCGTCCGTCCCGAAGACAAGTGTCTTATGAAGAGCCTAAAAGGCAATGGAATTCCCGAAAGTCGAGAAGACGAAGATGAAGGGCTGACGGCTACGGAATGGATATATCGAAAATCTGTAGCATTGGGGAATCGCTTTGACAATTGATGGAATAAGAGCGAGTCTAGAGTCTTTTGCCCTGATGTTCTGATTTTCCAATATGTAAGAGTTGAAGTGGGTGAACAACCGCTACCCCTGAAGCTCTTTTATGTCTAGATGGTACGAAGAATGTCTGCGGGTACTTGAGGAGGTGATTGAGTGGAGTGGATCGGGTAGGGGAAACAGATAGGCCTGTTTTTGGCAGCGTAGGTGGCCTATGTGATCTGAGAAATATTCGCTCCGTACTATTGTAAATATAACCAACCTTATTGTTATTGTTATTAGTTAAGCTCTACGCATAAGGTTTGATAGGCTTACCATTGAGTACGATCTAATATCTTCAGATGGTTTCCATGTTAACAGTACTTAGTACTACGAGGTAATTCGCGGCGGAAATGGCAATGTGCTTAATCAAGACCATTGCGAAAAGTCGGGTGGCGTCATTATCTCAGTGCCTGGGCCTACCCCTAGCACGGATTCAATACTCGTGAAGTCGAAGAGAACATTTTGCATCTGCAACTATCTGTTAACTCATTATCGTAACGATTACGAGGAATACGAACCGAGTCATCATATTCCCAGTCTTCTTCCATCGCCATCACGGTATCAAAGTTGAACTGTGCTTCGTTGGTATTGGCGTTAGCAGCCTCATCGCCTTCCACCTCTATCCGTTGCTTGAGTACGTTAAAAGCTTCGCGTATGGCTTCGGTACCTGATTTGATAACAGCGTTCGTAACGTCCGGCTCTTTTAGACCGTTCATCAACGCCTCAACCTGTGCTACCAAGGCCGCAGTGAACATGTATCCTTTAATATTAGTTTCTCCAATCCTAATGCGATCAAAGATCCAGAACGCAGAGTCACGTAGGATGTTAAATAAATCCATTCGTGGAGTTGGTGGCCCAAGTCCGTCATCTTCTTGCAGCTGGCTCTTCAGCTCGAGGCCAATGGCCATAGACACTTGGGAGAGGATGCAACGAAAGAGGCCGCTCGCGCAACTTGTCATTCGCGCCAAGTCGTCTACATCGGCTGATAATGCTTCTAGTTCATTTGCCGGACATGGGAAAGGTCGGGGGTTCAGGGCAGCCGTTGGGAAAACGGTCGACCAGATCTTGGCCGACGTCTCGACCACTGTCTTCCTCGAAAACGCGTAAGCCGGCTCAGTCATGGAAGGAGCAAAGTATGGAAGATGCAAAGCCATGAGGTATCGGCGGATGAGAACATCTATAAAGCGTCGTTGGAGATCCGTCGGTTGTCGGGCGCTGAACGCGAATTTTTGAAGATATTGGGAAAGCGACTTATATGCGGTGCTAAGTTGGCCATGGAGCCGAAGAGCGTCTTCGTACGTATGCTGGGAATCGAATTCATTGAGAGACCGCGCGACAGCCAGTCGCGCCGAGAAGGTAACGCGTAGGGCTAAAGCTGCAGATGTGTCCGTGAATTGTTCTGGTGTGTTAGTGGCAACTGCTGCATCGTCATCTGTTAATTGGTCATCGTTACAATTCGCTGGAGCACAAGTATCGTAGTCTTGGAAATTGATTAGGGGCGGACCGCCGGAATCCATACTAGTCTGTAAGGCGAGTTCCAGGATAGTGTTCCATAATCGGCGACGCATCTCCGAACGAAATAGGTTCATCTTGGGGAGTTTCTTCGGATCCCTGTGAAGGCCCATGTACATCGCTGAGCGCATCACATCCCCGACTGAGATCCAGACCAAGTCGTGACCAACGGACGCAGCCTGCTGTGCGAAGCAGAGAAGCAGCATGGTCTGTAGGCCGGAGATGGTCAACCTTGCTTTCGGGATTGGGGACATGAGCCAGAATTGTGCTTCGTAGACCCATTGAATAGCCGATTTTCGTAAAGTAAAACGTGCGTCATACACAATACTACCGATTGCCATGACAAGCTGGAGTTGGATTTTGAAGGAGACATCAACCGAATCTGGCGACGACCAGAACTCCTCGTACTCTTTTCTAAACGAGGGTACATGTAATATTCGAAAGACAGATTCCACGGTTCGGAGGTAACCCTCTACGAGCTCATCGGTGGTCTCTCGGGCCGGTATATTAGTGCCGAATTTGAAATTTAATAGATCGGGCACTCGTTGTGCCTTAATGGTGCGAGCTAGCGTTTTGCTTTTGTTTACGAGTGATATTGCTTCGGATTTCTTCTCTCGAGAAATCTGGTCAAATAATTCCAAGACGGGTTTAAACTAAAGAGAAGTAAGTGTCCTATCTATACATGTCTATACTGGGATGTAGCGACGACGGAGAAAAAAAGATGAGAGCAGCATACACCTCCAATTTGGTTCATCCAGTGACTTTGGCCCAAGTACCTTGTCTTGGTCATAACGCTTTTGTTCATGGTGTGCAAATCTCCCGCAAGGTAGCTAGGATAAGTAGCCACAGTCTCTGGGACAGTAGCGGAGGTTCGTTTGACGTTCTTCGGGCTTGAACGGTGTCCCGTAGACTCCTCTAGGCGGCGCTCAAGGTCGGTGATTCTGTCTAGCAATGACCTAACGTTAAAAGATGATTCGTGGCCGTGAGAAGACGTCGAATCAACAGGCGTCGATCCGGTCAAGGAATGAGTCGAATGGTCTTGATGTGACGCATCGTTGTGATGCGCATAAGTTGACCCACTCACGACGGGGGAGACGGTGGTTTCGGGGTTGAGACTTGGCGGCGTATCGGCCGGTTGGGAGAGACCGACTGCGCCAGGGAGTATATCCGAACGCCGTGATGGGTCTTGAGGTTTATAGACACAGGTCTTGTGCTTAGACCTCACACAGGCGCCGCAAGGCAGTTTGCGATCACAACGAATCTTAGATCTCCGGCAGCTAACACATGAAAGAGCCGGTCGACGACGGCGACGATCGGCCTTTAGGTCATGTATCTCGTCCATAACGATCTAATAATTTGTGTAAAGATCAGTCAAGATCAGTGAAAGAAAGTAAGAATGCCGCGTTCCCTCGCGTACCCTCCGCCCTCCTGGGCTCATCCAATTGATCCAATTTCGCGCGTCGAATGATGAATCGTGCTGAGTCGGCTTATTATCCTTTTCTTCGGTCGAACTTGACATTATCTCCGATTAGCTCGTATCTAGATAATCCTCTTATAGTACTAATTAGTATACATATAAAGCATTTATGCTTCTCTTTAACAAATATCAAGTCCTTCTTTGCTGCATATAGAGATAATTACTACTAAGAAATCCCCGAGTCTTGGCATTTCAATTCACCGAATATCGGGCATAACAGAATCACTACCCCGTTTTATCTCATAACCTGAACCTTCAATTACATACGCCCTATTCCGCCTTCCAGAGCCATCTAGCGTGTTCATTGACTGTTGATATTCGCATTATTACCTAGGTAGGTAGTAACTGCGCGAAGTTTATGAAAACCTACATACAATAACCTACCAGTCTTATGCGGAATCCTCCGATTTTCTCACCAAAAATCGCCAAAACTCACCACTTTCATAACACAATCAGAAATCAAAATAAAATAATAAAAAATAATTAGACTATACAACTTTATAACAAATTGGCTTAAATTAATTATAATAGATTAAGGTCAGTTTTTACGTTATATTGCGTATTTAATATACTTCCAACGCTAAGATAATACTTTTCCCATCAAATTCTCTAAGAAAACAACTTCCGCATAAGGCTGGTAGGTAAGTATAGGTAATCTAAGCCTCAAGCGTTGCAGTATCATTTTAACATGCGATGATCTCCCTCCAAGCTCTGGATGCTGGGAAACTCAGAGCACCTTATAAAGACCAGTGATACCGGAGGACTCCTGATATCGGTCAACTATACACTCAAGGGGCTCCTCCCACGTCGTCACGATAATTTTGACCAGTTGGTCGCGACATCATCGCAACACGTAAACCATCCGTTGCATCCCCTTTCCATTTTGGCATCGGATTCAACACGGCCACATCTGGCTCAAGACTATCAATGTGTCCCAATCCATACTTCTCGTAGATGGGTATGGCAAATAAAATGGACTCTTCGCACGACTTTAAACCAAGTTCATCGGCTTCATTGATACCCCAGTCAGTCAACATCCTGCCAGCACCTCGACTGCGGTAGTCAGTGTGCACATCTAACTGCTGCAGTTCTGGGTAGATCCATTAGCGCAGTATGGCAGGGGGTGATCAGATTTGCAGCGCCTACTAAGATGAGACCGCGTCATTTTGGCCTTCACGAACTTCCTTCGGGCTCGTCAAGAGCTTTCCGACGAATTCTTTCGCCTCGGACCCCTCAATGTGCCAATATGCATTGATCGGGTGCTGTGCCCCTTCAGGATGGTCAATCTCCTCGCATATCTCCTACTTAGCTGCGCCGATGATTTAGCTAGGTTCCGAATCTGTGGTCTTAACCCAGCGGGGATCTTCAGAGGACTTCCAGCTCTTTACCATTCGGGTTTTTGTAGCCTTAATGGCAGCTTCGATACTGTCCTTTATTGAAATAGGTTGCGTAGTACGTACCTTATAAGGCAAGGCCTTAGGTATCTAGTCAGGGGTGTCACGAGGCGGAACTAAGGAGAAGGGAAATAACGACGTCGCTGTATGAGGAGTTCTAGACAATGTTGTTCATGAACTACCTATAACCTAAGAAAAGCTCTTTACCTACTCTGCTCCAAGGTCGAGTACCAACAGGTCTCCCTAGGATCTACAGTCTTTCATGGGCCAAACTCCCGTCCTCCTAGATCCCTAACCTCTAATTGCCCCGGAGACTAGACCTCTGACAACCTGATTGGAGATAGCAATATGTCTATTGACACAATGATTCACCTCCAATCCTCGTGTCTTATCCCAGATGTTGAAGCGTCAGGGCTGACATTTGATTAGGCATAAGGGGATCATCTCTCAAAAAGTACTTCCTACCTAGGTGTGTACCTACTTAGGTAGTATGTATTGTACGTCTAGCATAATAGGCATGCCGTAGATTAGGTATTATATAAGGAATGATATATGATATATGGGTGAACAAGTAGGCAGTTGCCGAAGGAAGCCGTAGTCATGGAGGGGTTCTTACTCGTTATTGGTATGTGAATTTGTGTGAATTTGAGCACGACTCCATAGCGACCACCGGCGGCTATCACGACCCACCTACGATACATCGTTCACTACTTTTCACGTTAATCAGCTACCCTACCTTCCGTTAAATTCTGTCAACCTACCTAGGTATCTAAGGTAGGAGGTTTTCTGACCTGTACATCTTTTACAGCTTTCCTACTTTCTTCTACTTCCCTTACTCCACCTATGGCATATCTTTCTCATCCATTTCATCTGATCACATATTCCAACCCAAGACCAATCCAGTCCTTGATCATCACAATTATTTGAGGACCTAGGTGCATCTTCCTTTCTCATCGGAACAACGTTGTGTGATCACCAGACAACATTTCACCCACGCCGTTCACGTTAATTTTGAACCATCTTCCCTTCATCAACTGAAGGCACTTCACGGCATCACCATTCAGCACTTCCACCAGGCAAAGAACCACTGATCATCACAATGGTACCCAAGTCGCCCACCGACAACGCCGACAAGGCTCAGAAGGATGTCCATTTGTCCCAACGTGAAATGGAGATCCTTTCCTATGCCTGGCAGTGTTTCGAATCACAGCCCAAGGTAAGTTCAAAATTGCTCGCCGACATGAACCCAATCTAGGTCTCAGATGACCTCGATATGCTACCTTCTGATTTACTATTTATCTCATCAGCTGTAAAATTTATTTCGAAATTGAACAGACCTGTCTTGAATGTCAGCTAACTGAATTTTACAGGTCAATTATGAGAAACTTGCTGAGGTCGCTGCCTTCAAGAACGCTACTTCCGCTCGAGTAAGCTTCAACTCTGTCAAGAGAAAGATCATGGCTTCTGGCGAATCAAGCGAGCCATGCACTCCTACTAAGCCTCGTGGGAAGCGTGCGGCGGAGGATCAGACGACTCCCGATTCTAGCAAGAAGGCTAAGTTAGCCAGCAAGTCATCCCGCAAGATCCTTCCTAAGGTTGAGGAGGAGGATGACGACGAGAAGACCTTCAAGAAGAAGACCAAGGCTAAGGTTGATGAGGATGATGCAGAGCTCATGTCAAGACTCTTGGGATTTGACGTCAAGAAAAAGTTGGAGAAGGAGGAGGACGATGATGATGATGATGAGAGTGAGGCATGGTAATCACGACGCCTGCCAATTCTACGTCTTCACGTACAACATACAGGAATAGTTGACACTCTTCTTCGACCATAACTCCACCTTTCTCCAGGCTGTGCCAACCAGCTTACACCTTCCCCTGGTTCACTTTACTTTGCTTTTTCCTAATCGACACCACACCAGATTACGCCACACGACAACCTGTACTACCATTAGATGCATGGCGGATGCATCTATAATGGTTCTGGTGTTATTGGCAATGCTCATTGTTTGGTCGCTGGCTTGGTGTGTGGGCGCCATGGGCAGTGAGGACGACGGATACTCGAGTTCTCGGAAATCTCTGATTAACCATGGACCTAGATAGCCTATCCATAGTGACAATTGCACGTTTCCCCTTTTCTTTTTCCTTTTCTTTTCCTTTTCTGATGATACTATTGAATGCTACGGTACTATCGTGATTTAACGTGCTAAGCCTGGTAAGTTGGGGTACGTATGTACCTTTTGAATAGAAGCCACAACGTTCGTGAAAGGTTAAATCTGGATTACTAGGTACCCATGATTTGGCCACCGAGTTCCATGTGGCGTCTCTGTGCGGGGTTTGGGAAAGATCTTCAGTTCAGGTATTCACATGAGATACCATGTGGATGTATCCGCCGCACCTGCTGCACGTTTCAGCGGGGTGTAGCATTGACACGGGCATCTTCTTGTACTTAGGTAACCAGCATCTTCAAAGCACAGCAACCTGGAAGGTTCAACGTTCTTCTATGACTTGTGCTTTCCGTTACAACTTCAAACTTATCTTGCAAGAAGTTAAAAGGGACACAATCGCTTATCTAATATCGCGATGAACGGCGGTTACCTCATTTGAACAAAAACTGTAGAGGTTCCATTGCAATGGAACCATTCCCCACCTTCTGTCCTCAACGATCCTTGTCGCGATACATGGTACTTGGTAGCATTCTTTTACCCCAGCCAATTAGATAAATCGCATTTTTTCCCTCTCTGCTTCATCTTGCATATTAAACTCCAGAGTCTCATGCACGATGTAGATTGCCCAGCCTCTTTTCTTGTCCACATTCAACGTTTAAATAGTCCCTTGTCAGCCTTCTGGTCCTGTAGCCCATATGCCAATTGATCAATAGACCAATCAACATCTATTGTCGGCAAATCGACAGTCGACCTACGAATGGAAGCAAAGCTTTCCTCGCTCTCACGTTGTCCTAGGCTGGCGAGAAGTTTTGGGGAATAACCGGGTTTTGCTTCGGTTTCTGGGCTTTACGTCTACCTAAGTGATTTGTTTCCAACGGCAAAAGTCTACTATGTCGTCGTCACGGCCTCCTTCGATTACAACTAGCTCTCGGCCTTATCACGACCATGCTCCAATAACCCCGAGCACCCTCCGCCAGAGTCGCACCGTTTCATCATCCTCAATGAGTGACGATACACCAGGCCACCTCGCCGGGCCTAGTACGCGACACGATCTTTCTGCTGACGAAACTACCGAGACAACCTCCCTGCTCCACAAAGACCACGCACACGATGGCCCTTGCGATCACGGCACGTTTTCTCCTCGCGTCTCTAGCCCACCGCCGAGGGGTGGTATTTTCGACAACGAGATAGCGTCAGTGGCGGATTCGGATGGCTCAGGCTCTGTACCGTCTAGCGAGACACAGCTTAAGGGGAATTGGAGGAAGACATTTTCGAGTAGGGTCAAGAGCAAGAAGATGACAGACTCGAGCACTCTGGCCCAACAGCACGGCCTCCAGGATTCGTGGGGGATGTATTTGTCGTATTACATACCGTTTCTGATATGGATCAAGCAGTACAAGTGGTCGTGGTTGAAAGGCGACTTCACGGCTGCTATCACCATTGCCTCTATGTACCTTCCCATGGCCTTGTCATATGCCGACAATTTGGCCCACGTCCCTCCGATCAACGGTCTATACGCCTTCGCTATCAACCCTTTCGTATACGCGCTTTTGGGAAGTTGTCCGCTCATGGTGGTCGGGCCTGAGGCAGCAGGTTCCTTGCTCATTGGGTCTATTGTAAAGAACAGTATCGACCTCGGACGTGGCGAAGACGACAATGCCGTCCTACAAGCGAAGGTGGCTGGTGTGGCCGTCGGCATAGCTGGTGCTACCGTCTTCCTCATGGGCGTGTTCCGCTTGGGATTTCTTGATAGTGTCTTAAGCCGACCCTTTCTACGCGGCTTCATTTCAGCTATCGGCGTGGTCATCTTCATCGACCAGTTGATTCCCGTCTTAGGACTCCACCGGACAGCCAAAACCACCGAGGGCGTTACGCACGGAAGCACCGTGCAGAAGCTGGAGTTCGTACTGACGCATCTCGGTGACAGACACAATCTTACGGCTATCGTTGGTGTCGTTGGATTCGCCGTTATCATGGTACTTCGGTGAGTGCCAAACAAACGGCACCTTTGGAATGTAGCTCATTTTATATATAGGGAGATTAAGCGGCGGCTGCAACCGCGATATCCAGGTGTAGCCTACTTCCCTGATCGACTCATCGTTGTCGTGCTCTCTACGGTTCTAGCATGGAACCTAGGCTGGGAGCAACGTGGCGTCCCACTGCTAGGAAAAGTCGAAGCAGCGTCTGGCCACACCTTTACGTTTCGCAATCCATTCCAGCTGTCACATATGACCCATATACGAGATGCCATGGGCACATCTTTTTTGATTGGAATGCTAGGCTTCTTCGAGTCTTCGGTAGCGGCCAAGAGTCTGGGTGGGGAGGAAATAATCGAAGGGATGCAGTTAAGTCCTAATCGAGAACTCGTGGCACTTGGAGCAGCTAACCTCGTGGGTGCTTGCTTCATGGCAATACCAGCATTTGGTGGTTACGGTCGAAGCAAAGTGAATAAGAGCACCGGTGGGAAGAGTCCTATGAGCTCTGTCATGCTCAGTGTCATAACTGTCATATGCATCATGTTCCTCTTACCATGGTTCTACTATCTTCCCGTACGTCATCTTTTCACTTCCGTGACATTCCGCTCTTCCTCGGATATCGAAAGCTGACTACGGGGTAGAAACCGATCTTATCCGCTCTAATCATGGCAGTCGCCTGGTCTCTGATTGAAGAAGCACCTTATGACATATCTTTCTTCGTTCGAATCAAAGGCTGGACTGAGCTTTCCCTCATGGCCGTCATTTTAGCCGTTACAGTTTTCTTCTCCCTCAATCTCGGCATCGCAATCGGCATAGGTCTATCCCTTCTCCAAGTCATCCGCCATGCGACGCGCCCTCGTATACAGATTCTGGGGAGAATTCCTAACAGCGAACGCTTCGCCAATGCCGAAGATCATCCCGAGGATCTCGAGTTTGTAGAAGGCTGCTTGATCGTAAAGATTCCCGAACCCTTAACCTTCGCAAACACCGGCGAATTGAAGAATAGATTGCGCCGGCTCGAGTTGTATGGTACAGGCAACGCCCATCCCGCTTTACCTCGTCTGCGTCCGCAAGCGAGCAATAAGAATGTCATTTTTGACATCCATGGAGTGACGTCGATGGACGGCTCCGGTACCCAGGTATTGGAGGAAATCGTGCGAAACTATCGCGATCGAGGTGTCAGGGTATTCTTCAGCCGACCCGTCAGCCGTGATAACAAGGTATGGGATCTGTTAGAGCGGAGCGGTATTGTGGAACTCGTCGGAGGGAGACACCGCTTCGTAGACGACGTCAAAGATGCTCTACGCATGACGGAAGTGGAAGATTTCGAAGAGACTGGAGCTTGCGCGGCTGCGAGCGATAATCTCTCCTAGGTAGAGGGAATCGCACACCACGAAGAGTGAAGTCGAAAGCCGTAGCACCTCCGTCACCAAAATCCTGGCCTCCGTTCTCACTACAACCACAAAGACAGCCTAGGAAACATGATCACCGAAAACTACCCACGATACTACGAAGATTCCATGGTAATGCCGTTCGGAAGTATATGAGGAGCTAAGGGTAAACTATTGCTCTTCCCAGTAATGCTGTTCTGGAAACGATCACGACGCCCTAGTACATGACATCCTATGTTTTATTGTATGCTGATGGTAAATGCTTTCAGCTGTTTTATCACTGGCAGCGTGTTCTTGGGACCTAGCTGCCAGTGGGTCCAATATCGGTAATGTTTTTGAGATGATACAAGCATAGCATAGCACTAGGAGCACCAACGTTGGCGTTCTGGATACTTAGATTCATAGAAATGGCAGTCATATTTGGTCCTTTTATTTTGTTGCATCGGTATTTCATACTCTTTGGTTACGTGATGCTTATGGATATGAAATCGGCCATATGCTCTGGTTATTGGGAGCCCTATTCTTCTAGTGAAGTTACAATTCGTGTATAAATGGACCGCCGAGCAGAACTACGTACTAGATCTCAGCCCCTATTTCTGTAGGTTAGCCAATGAGCATTCTTCACCAGACCAATCGCATCCGTTTAGCCAAGACGCTATATTCCCCCTACATTAATTATTCTGATCACCAGATCACAGTCCACAGCCCGAGGGATAGGGCCATCGTCAAAGGTGAATGTCTGGCATTTAAGGGGCAAAGTAGTCCTACCAGCCGCGAGGAATGTAACCCTGGATTTAGTTCAACCATAATTGATTTAAATCACTTTTTCTTGGGCAATTTATTTGCACTACTTACTCATGAGTTACGTTTCCACTCCTACGCAATGACAAGGTCGTTCCGGTTCTTATCAAACCTGAACCTGAACGCCGTCGACGGACGCGTCTCGGGCGGAAACCAGTCGTCGCGGTAGCTAATTGGACAAGGCCGCCGCGCGTCCGGATCAATCAGAGCAGGGCTGTCTGGTGGTGCTGCGGCCGAGTCCTTCACGGCTTAGCAGTTTATCAGGAACCCGTTCGCTCTGTTATATAAGTCGTAGTTTTATGCTGACCACGGTGGCGGGCATGGCCCACGGGTCTCCTGCTGAAAAACGTGTGCTGTATCCCTGGCCCTCGGATGTGTCCACGAGTCCGACTAGCAGCCTCCCGTCACCCGTGGCGATCACACGCGCAAACCAATAGCGCGGGTCGGATTCGTCTTCGCTGAGATCGCACACGGGTGTGTGGTTTACGGCGATGTAGTAGTTCGGCGAGAAGCCTAAGCACGCTCCGAATTCGTCAGTGCGTTCATCACGCAATGTCCATCTGCTACTAGCTTCACCACTGCGTACGCTGTGGCAGGGCGAAGTATACCCGCTGACGTTGGCGTGGAGCGTGAAGTAGAAGACCTTGGTGCTGTTGCTGTAGGTTGTGCTGTGCCCGTTGCGGATTAGGGGGTGCTTGGGTCCGTCTTAGGCACGGGGTAGGTAGGTAGGCTTTTTCTAACTCTCCTTGTCCGGATATGATGAGTGGTTCTGATACCTGTTACCATGAGAGCAAGGCAATGAGCCTTGCTGTAGCTTCCTTCATGTTGTTTACGCGCACTTGCTTGAGCGTGTATGGCATCTCTATTCTAACTACTAGATAGTCAATCTCGGTATACCATCTCTGCAGAATCTGTGCGACTAGTATTCAACCTCGGCATTATTTGAACATCTAGTCTCTTCATATTTCTAGGGGAAGTCGCATTTTCTGACTTATCTGAAAATTATATGTTGGTCTGCGACGAAAATACGGACCTTACACTACCTTTGTCTTGTTGTCTTTCTGCGTAGGTTCGATTCATTTCCAACCCAACTTTTTTTTTTTATAGCTTGCTCTTGCATATCTTCTGAGATAGTGTACGAGTTGTGTGCTCTATCTATAACCAGACAAGCCAGGTGATTACCCCATGCAGAAATCAGACGAAACCCAAATTCTAGAATCTGGAATTAAAGCACCCAGACCAGCATCAAAATGGGACCGAGCATGGTGATCATATCCGATACCCTCATATCTTACGGGGTACGATCGTGGCGGAGCGCATCAGCCCATTCCCATATAATGTGCGGTTTGCGGTGATTACTTGCGATATTTCACCGCCAATACGCAGTCAACGAATTCGATACCTCGGCTCGCGAGGTGCATCGGGAGAAAAGGCCTTCGGGGAATATGCCGTATTTTACAGGAAACGTACCACACCATGTCCTTGACTCTGTCACTATTCCTGTATTTTCTGGATAAACCCTAGTGGCTTGTAAAATCGACAGATGCTAGTCTGATTATTTATTCTCTGCCTAGACATCGAGTCTGCCTTATGCGAGGAGGATCTAATCTACCTGATAACCATGCATAGGTATCCACAGAAACCGATCTCATCCTTTTGACAATGTCAGGGCGGCGTAGGAATCTAGGAGAGAATGCTGTCGCCCCGTTTGTTGTTCGATATAGATCGTCAACCGTGTTCAGTTGACCTTGAAACACTTCGACTATTGTCCTTCTCATGAGATGTTAGTTGTACTATCGGCTTACCGGTAGTTGGGTAGCTAGTCACCATGGCTAAGCAGAATACTTAGCCATGATGGTACGAGTCCTTAAGCAAGGGAGGTTTCAGAGATTAAGAAGCCGGGTTGCACCATATATATACCCTTATGACAACTTAAGACTCAGGTGCGTTAGTCTTTCTAAATCGTGCTGGATACAGTACCAGCATCACGTCCAGAAAAAAGAAAAAGGGATGCGCTGAATATTCCTATCCCACACTGAGGCGACGAATGTCATCTATTTGGTGTCTACCGCTAACTTTAAGGTAAATGCGTTGGATGATTGATCCGAAACCAAACGTGCCCACTCTTATGTTATTATAATCGCAGGTTATGTTGTACGTGGTTGAAAACTGCTCCTGGACACTCCATATATGTTCCATGAACTCTTGCACCATAACACGTTTGCAATCAAGAAGGCGAGTCTGCCTTCGGCTAACGGTATGTCTGAGTTGTCAATATTAATGAAACCATTTAACCAGCACAACATGCAGTGACCAAGGGAAGAGCATAGCCACGTTCAATGCGACTCCAGCATTTCTTTAAGCTCCCGTAAGTAAGATATCGTTATTGGAGGAAGTATTCTGCGAATTCTAGCAGAATAAAACGATGAAATAACGGGAAAACTATCCTGTATCGCATAAAAATATCATGTCCTCTCTTCTAGATACATCTTCATAGTAAACACGAATGCTTAGGAAATCTGCATTATAAGATGTTTGATATCCATACAGGTTGCGCCATGTCATTTGTAATTCATTCTCCCTCCTTCCTGTCTTGACTCTTGACACAGCATGTTGATTGGAGTATATATTGAGGCTGTGTACTGTAGTGCAACACTTAGTCCATTCGAACTTGATTCCATGCTGTGGGGATGCTGGTGGATAACCCAGACACCTCGACATCAGATAAACTTGAAAATCATCATAGAGGGCTTTGGTTTATCTAGTATCTTAGTTAATAGCGATGATGAGATTCTGATGTTCTTGTTCATAAAGCCATACTGATCTTGGCCACTTCATTCACATTATGGTACAATCAACCTTTGCTGTAGCGCAGACACTTCACTCGTGATCATTCACACCTCATGAGTCTGCCTTGAAAGATTGTACGCATTGTGACTGTAAAGATAGAATTCTCATATACGTGTCTCATTACCAGGTAATTAGTGTATTCCTAGAAACTTGGCGGGTGACTCGGGTCATAATTGAGCAGCTTATCAATCAAGATTATCTATCATCTAGTGTCATTACCATACTAGACATATTTACCATAGTCCTTAAAGTCCATTTGGTGAGCGATGAGAAGACCTCTATGGATATAAATCTGGTAGCTATTAACCTCATGTAGGTAGTTAATAGGTAGTCTAAGCATCCCGTGCTCGTGCTCTCTCCTAACCATCATACGAACCATATGTAATCCATATGTAATCCTGATGACTTGTATATGATCGTTAGAGCCTAGACGATTGAAATTCTACGGATATTACCTATTGAATCCTCTTCTAGCGGCCTTTTCATCGCAACAAAGTATTGATGCGCCGCAATTAGTATTCAATTTCGAGATAATATTTTGACAAGTGATACGAAAATTTGATTAACTGTCTACGATGCTAGGTACTAGTCTTGGAAGTCTAACTATATTTTGCCAAAATGCTAGTCGACCAAGCAGCATAGCCATGGCGAAACGCGAGATCGCGCGATGAGCTTTCGATGATAAAAAGAATTAATACAAGTGCCATACTCATTGAACCGCCTCAGCCAAGTGTACAGTATGCCTTGAATGGAGAAATGGTAAGCTTTTGAAGTCATTCGAAGCTGGGCGTGCTAGGATGACCGTATAAGTCGACTTGGCCTTCCATGTTGTCAGTCGATAGCTTGGGCGGAGCTGGGACATCGGTGACCGGAATGAATCATCAACTCCGGCTCTTGATAACTTGTCTTGGTTTCTCACAGCCCCGACGGGTGCTCGGAGGCCCGGATTGCCATTCGGCATATATGTTATAGGCGCTTTACGTGGTATAATACCGGCATGTGATTGGGTAAAGCGAATTTCGCTCAGATCGCGATATGATCTTATATATTCGACATAAATGTATGGATCCATTTTTTTGAGTGACATCAGCAATCTATCATTGCCCAGAGTTAATAAGCTTGTCTAATAAAGGAGGCCGTTTGGACTCTGCGTATCGCCGACGTCTCTGATTGGCTGATTTGGTATCTACACAGCCTCACTCGGCGCCCCTCTTAGCGTCAAGGAGGAACATCAGATTTTTCCTTTTTTTACCAGACATGGTTAATCCTTCATTCCAGTCACTTGGTATTTGTTGGTCGCAAAAGCTAGAGAATTTTACCCTGCCCAGTGTCAAGTATTGGAAGTCGAGTGCTAGAGTTTAGCACCCATTCTCTTGGAAGTTGGCTGGCGCAGAGCCCGAGTACGAAGAGGGATGGCGACGCCTTTATTTATGAAGCAAATGCGGCCTCCAACCCAACTTTCGCCTCCCACCGCGTAAGATGCCTTACACAGCCCGCCTTCGTCACCTCTCATAGAACACGTTTTGAAAACTGCGCCTGAGCCAAGTGACGTGAAACCCTCAACAATTTGTCAAACAGCTGCGTCCCTCTTTGTTATCATAGCTTCTCTTTTACCCTCCCACCAAGCATTATCGACATAGCAACCATATAAGGACACACAAGACAAGCGTGGAACGCATTACGACGGATCCACCGCCTAGTCTCCGGAAGATTGGAGTTATCAGCTCGGCAAAATCGCCTTCCACCATCCCCTCTTTGCACAGCCCGCGACCCAAGAGCCGTGGCCATTCTAGGCAAACCTTGGGCAGTGGGAGTTTGCGTCGGTTTTCCTGCCTCTTCTTTTCGCCCTCGGTACGAAGTGGAAATTCGATGAGCCTTGACGGACGTCAGCAGCATGTGCCTTGTCTAAAGTGATCTCACCACAGCCCATCGGTATTCACATATTATATCGATACCTCTTCACCGAGTGACTGGGCTCTGAGAAATTGTCATGGTCATACTAAAACACATTCTTAACAATCATCTTTGCCGGTATCTCACCCTGTCTACCTCACCTTGTTAACAACAATACCCTAGAACATAAAGCTTGAGCAGCGCAGTCACATAAACATGGCAAGCAATAGTCTTGCACCTCCTTCGTTGGCGGTCGACACTCGAACGCGTCCGAGGAGCGACACAAATGAAACTAGAGTGATGACCCCGGGGTCTTTCGTCTCGAACATATCGAATATATCGAACCCTTTTCTAACACCAGCTAACTCAAACCCCTTCCTCACGCCAGCCCAATCCGACTGCGGGTCGAGCGTGAGATCGGTGGACCCCGATGCGGCTCTCCATCCAGATCCCGGGACGGAAGCTGATTTTGAGGTGGAAAATAACCCGTTCGCTTTCAGTCCCGGCCAACTGGGCAAACTCCAGAATCCAAAATCCCTGCCTGCATTTTGGGCTTTAGGGGGGCTTGCCGGGATCACAAGGGGGTTGCAATCTGATATAAATGCCGGCTTGAGTGTGGACGAGACTTCCGTACGAAGTTCTATCACATTCGAGCAAGCAGTAAGAAGGACTTCAGATAAGTTCCTAGACTTACCAGAGCGGACGTCAAAACCTGGGTCTGACTCTTTTTTGGACCGTATCAGAGTCTTTGGGAGGAACGTTTTACCGGCGAAGAAGGCGACGCCAATATGGAAGCTAATGTGGAACGCTTACAATGACAAGGTCATTATCTTATTAACGGTAGCTGCTGTCGTCTCTCTCGCGTTGGGTCTCTATGAAACTTTCGGGACGGTGACCGAACCAGGAGACCCACCCTCGGTCGATTGGGTCGAGGGTGTTGCAATCATAATCGCCATTCTCATCGTCACACTCGTGGGATCACTCAACGACTGGCAGAAAGAACGAGCTTTCGTTAGGCTCAACGCGAAGAAAGAAGACCGAGAGATCAAGGTAGTTCGGTCCGGAAAATCGTTCATGATTAATGTTCACGATATCCTCGTTGGAGATGTCCTACACCTCGAACCCGGCGATTTAGTTCCTGTCGACGGAATTTTCATTAGTGGTCATGATATGAAATGCGATGAGTCCTCGGCAACTGGAGAATCCGACGCCATCAAGAAGACCCCGGGCGACCAAGTTATGGCAACGCTTGAATCAGGAGCAAACCAGAAAGGTCTGGATCCCTTTATCATCTCAGGCTCGAAAGTGCTCGAAGGAGTTGGTACATTCCTCTGCACTTCGGTCGGCGTGCACTCCAGCTTTGGGAAAATCATGATGTCCGTCCGAACTGATATCGAAGCAACTCCATTACAGAAGAAACTCGAAAGGCTCGCTGTTGCCATCGCCAAATTAGGAGGTGCTGCGGCGGGCCTTCTCTTTTTCGTCCTATTGTTCCGCTTCCTCGCCGGCCTATCAACAGACACCCGGACGAGCTCGGAGAAGGCCTCCGCCTTCTTAGACATCCTGATCGTTGCCGTAACCATCATCGTTGTGGCTGTGCCAGAGGGTTTGCCCCTGGCGGTTACCTTAGCGCTGGCCTTCGCCACTACCCGCCTGCTGAAGGAAAACAACCTCGTACGTGTGCTTCGCGCCTGTGAGACCATGGGCAACGCCACCGCGATTTGCTCCGACAAGACTGGCACCTTGACTACCAACAAAATGACGGTCGTGGCTGGGACGTTTGGCCAGTCGAGTTTCGCTAAATCCGAAAGCGAGAAACCTGGCTGTCAAACCATCTCCCAATGGGCAGCCAACCTCCCGCAGAAGACGAAAGATGCTATCGTGCAGTCGGTAGCTATCAACTCTACCGCATTCGAAGGTGAAGATGCTGGTCAGTTCACCTTTATCGGTTCTAAGACCGAGACGGCACTTCTCCAGTTAGCCAGGGATCATCTGGGCATGCAATCGTTAGCTGAAGCCAGAGCAAACGAGGAGGTCATACAGATGATGCCCTTCGACTCGGCTAAGAAATGCATGGGAGCGGTAATCAGACTAAGAGACGGGTCCGGATATAGACTTTTGGTAAAGGGAGCATCTGAAATTCTCCTTAACTACTGTACCCTGAAGGCAGATGCCGATTCTCTTGCCACAGACGCCCTCACTGTCGATGATCGTATTCGGTTGAGTTCTTCTATTGATTCCTACGCGAAAGGTTCGCTTAGGACTATCGGAATTACCTTCAAGGATTTTGCCCAATGGCCCCCTGCTAATGCGGAGGTGGAAGATGGGCACGTCAAATTCGAATCGGTGCTCGAAGATCTTGTTTGGCTTGGTCTGGTCGGTATTCAAGACCCCGTTCGACCCGGTGTCCCCGAAGCTGTCCGTAAAGCACAAAAGGCTGGTGTTGTCGTCCGCATGGTGACTGGCGATAATGCCGTTACTGCCCAGGCGATTGCGACCGAATGTGGTATCTATACAGACGGCCTTATTATGGAGGGCCCCGACTTCAGGAGGCTCAGCGAGGAGGAAATGAATGTTAAGATACCTAAGTTGCAGGTGCTCGCACGATCGTCGCCCGAGGATAAGAGGATCTTGGTTGCAAGACTTAAGGCTCTCGGAGAAACAGTAGCTGTTACTGGAGACGGCACCAACGATGCGCCAGCTCTTAAGACTGCCGATGTCGGGTTCTCGATGGGCATCTGCGGAACTGAAGTAGCTAAGGAGGCTTCGGAAATTGTACTGATGGACGACAACTTCACTTCTATTCTGACCGCTCTCAAATGGGGACGTGCAGTTAACGATTCTGTCCAAAAGTTCCTTCAGGTGAGTTCCAACAAATTTATCGCGACCGAAAGATGTATGATACTAACTTGTGTCCAGTTTCAAATCACCGTCAATATTACCGCCGTTCTTCTTGCCTTCATTTCCGCTGTGGCTGATCCTGATTCGCACTCGGTACTCACCGCGGTGCAACTCCTTTGGGTTAACCTCATCATGGATACCTTCGCGGCCCTAGCGCTCGCAACTGACCCTCCTACCGAGCGAATTTTAGACCGTCTCCCTCAGCCGAAAAGCGCGCCTATCATTACCACAAACATGTGGAAGATGATCACCGGACAGGCCATATTCCAACTCGCCGTCACGCTCGTCCTGTACTTTGCCGGCTCCTCGATCCTAGGCTACGATCCTAACAACGAAACGCAACAGACGGAACTCAATACCATGGTCTTCAACACGTTCGTATGGATGCAGATCTTTAACGAGTTCAACAACCGTCGCCTGGATAACAAATTCAATATCTTCGAGGGCGTACACCGCAACAAGTTTTTTATCTTGATTAATTGTATCATGATCGGTGCGCAAATCGCTATCATCTTCGTCGGCGGAACCGCGTTCGAGATCACGGCCATCGACGGCACGCAATGGGCTATCTGTGTCATTGCGGCTGCTGTTTCGCTCCCGTGGGCCGTTGTCGTTCGTCTGTTCCCTGACGCGTGGTTTGCTGCGATCGCTAAGACGGTTGGCGCCCCTGTCATCATAGTGTACAAGTATCTGGCCAACCTGTGCAGCAAGGTTGGTGCTGTCTTTAGTCGGATATGGAAGAGGACCAAGAAGTCGTCCTCGGAAGAAAATTCAGAAGAAAAGCCGGAAGAATATAACGACCCTCAAAGGGGAGAAACGGCTCCTGAGATCGTCGTTTCCGGGGGTGATGATTATTTCTACCCTAATAACGCACCGGAAATACAAATAATAGAGGACTTGGAACAGGGGCGTAGATAGATTATGAGTATACGTAAATGTATTATAGATAGACGGTATTTAGACATAGCGATGATTGAACGAAATATATGACTTAAGCATAGAATAGATATTTGACAACCCATTTCACTTGCGCTTTGTATAGATTGGTACCTGCGCACTTATAGTGCCGAACCATATTAAACTAATATTCACGACGCTGGAAGCACTTTTGCTTCGACTCTGGCATTTTTAGGCGGCCCTTCGGAGGAATAACCTGATGTATCCTGTTGTGGTTCGGATTTGCTTGACGCCTCAGGGGTAACTTGCCCACAAAGGACTATCCAAATTTTTCGAGCCCCGCCATCATATAAGGGATAAAAATTAGCCACGACTAGGGTGAACCAGAGGTATATGAGGGACACGACAATCCACGCTGTGAATAACTAATAGGTAAATATGACGAGTTAGCGGCGACAGACTACAATAAGAACTAAAACAACTTACACTTTTCGAAAATACTATTTTCGCACCGTACATCGCGAGAGGCCAAAGGAATATGTGTCCCAGAAGAGTGAAGACGGTCCAAAATGCAGCCCATCGGCTCATCCTTTTCATATACCTCTTCATCTCAGGGGCGACCCATTCTTCTGTACTATGCTGGTCTGCTTCCGTTCTATCTTGCTCCGGCCGACGAACTTTGTGTATTTGCTTTGTGAATGCTGACCAGTCGAAGGAAGTCGGACGTACAAGCGACACGATAACTGTGATGGGTAGCGGGACGAAAAATGCTGTGACGCAGCCGAATAGACACGGCATCGTGCTTCCGGTTGACGCGACAGAGATCTCGCCAAAATAGGCATACGTGGTTCCAAGCCAGACGGAGAGAGAACAGCATACACCGACGAGAGGCGAGACAACAGCCGCAGCTTTGGTTTGCCCTTTCCACAATAAAGCGAAGACGGTAGGAATGCAGCCCGGGTTGGTTATATTTCCTACCATGTATAGTAGCCAGGTCATGTCGACACCCCCTTTATTGAAAGCCGTCGCAAGTGTGGGAATTACCAGGGAGGTTGCGACGACGCCGATATGTGACCATGTGATTAGTTGTTTATCAGTAGCGTTCTTGTTGAAATACGTGCCGTAAATATCAAAGGAAATAATGGAGCTTATGGCGATCATCTGTGCTGAAGCGATTGAGGTGCAGGCCTACTACTGAATTAATAATGCTGACTGCTTCAAAAATCTGGGGAACATTTGAGACAGACGAACCATGAATATCGTGACGAGTAGAGCTCCAGCGCCAGCTTTCCCAGCTACCGCTTGAACGACATACGGCAATACCAGCCCTGAAGTAACCTCCTCTGCTGTCATCATCTCGAAAGAGTGTTAGTTATAGCATTATACGGACTTCCTTTGGGATTTCTTACTCTGGGATATGTAGGGAAAATATCTGTTGATTCCAGTGCAACAGCAGCAAGGCCACCGAAGGTTCCAATAGCCCAAGGTACCGAGAACGATGCGATCCCTCCTAGAACATAGCCAGGAACAGCCGAAGCGACGTCGGCTGAGAACCCCTATTATTACGTAAGCACAGTGGACATAATGGGGGCATCGGATTGATAGACACCTTTTGCCAAAACCCGGTGTCCATAATGACGGCTCCGAAATTTGAACTGACTCGGTGTTAGGAAAGACTTGCACTGTAATTATGTTCATTGGGACCCACATGACGTGAAGAATACCGAAGTAGAGGCATTGTTCGCTTCTCATGGTCAAATGCGAACCTCCGTAATTGCCTTGAACCGGATGGATCTTGTCGGCAGCTGTTACGGCATTGTAGAGAGCTCCGATGGATCCAATTTCTTTGACGACGATAATTTTAATAGTTACCCAAGCCAAGATTATCATGATGATAAATGTATGGATGTAATCGGTTAAGAATGTTGCCCGTAACCCTCCGAAATAGGTATATACGCCCACGCCAACCTATGAGGTAATCAAATTAGCTATTGTAGGATTGAATAGTGTTGTGAAATATTAGATAGCTTTGCTCTTTGCATTTCGCCTACTTACAGGTAGTAGATAGGTGCTGGCGATAACATTCATTCCAGTCAGTGAGGTCACCGCAGCGCTAGCTCCGAGTAGCATACTTGAGAAATTTAAGATATTAGTCAAGAGACAGAATACGATCCAGATTAAATGCGCGGCAGTCCCATATCGCACTCGAATGAGCTCCAGCAATGTGTGTGCGTTGGGAGCGCGGCGTTTGGCCTCGATGGAAATGAGTGACAAGAAACAGACCATCGTGCTAGCAGACGCACCCCACCAGACACCAAGTGCTAAGCCATATTTATAGGTCAGTAATGAGGCTCCAAGCAGAGCGGTGCTATAGAGCCAGGATGATACTACAGCTGATGCTGTCAGGCCAGTACCGACTGTGCGATTGGCGACCATGAATCTAGTTTAACTCGCATCTGTTAGAAAATGCTCGAATAGCTCAGCCTTCTGTGTCAAAAGATGTACATACGTTTCGGTCGATTTATTATCCTCGTTGAACGATATTCTCAGGGACCTCGTGACCCAAATCATGCCTAACAGGTGGTTAACGGGAATTCTAGAAACAAGGCTAAATTTCGAATTTTTGAAGTCGTTACCTAGGGCGAAAGCAACACCAAATCCAACAACTACGCCATAACCCGCACCTTGAGGCAAAGGCGCCTGGACTTGGTCAGACATGTTGGGAAAGTATCAAACCAATGTATTTTTTTTAAATTTATTTTTTTACGAAGCACCCATCAAAACCCTTGGCGACGAGATTTTCTACAAGCAAAAATAAGTTGGGGGTATTCACCTAAATACTCCCAAGTATCCTATCGCCGAAAGGATTACGCGATACTCCTAGTCTATAGCCATAGATATCTCCAGGTAACCCTAGCTAGAGTACATCGGCAGGAGGTTACCGAACTATCGGATCACTCTGTATAACAAGGAATACTTTCCGAAAAATGGCACATACTTCTGAAATATTGTATCTGATTGGATATGAGGTTGGATGTGATGTTACATGAATCTGATGTGATTCGATGACGTGACCTGAGCTCAAATGGCGATTGCTCTATTGAATCCGCTTTCGGACTCAATCCTGAGGCGTAGCAGCCCATCTCGATAATTTATCAAGTTTATAATCCAATTTGATGTAGCTTGGATGAATCAATCATTTTTTGAATAATTAAGAGATAATTGACACCAAATCCATAGGTATTTGCTAGTAAATCGATGCGATCTTGTTAAATACGACACCTAATCACAACAAAAACGCTATGGGAAGCCAAGTGATTGAACAAGGTCCAAAGAAATGGATCTTGAACGCATTTTCCATGAGTACCCCTGGTCATCTCGCCGCAGGTATGGGTCTAATTCTTCATATCTAACATTAAGAGCGTGATGTTGAAGTTTAGCAGGCCTTTGGAGGCATCCGCGAAACCATAGCTCCAAATACAAAGATATCGAGTATTGGATTAACTTGGCAAAGATCTTAGAAGCTGGAAAGTTTCATGGGCTATTCATCGCAGATGTTCTCAGTCACTACGGCGTATATAAAGGAGAAGGAAACATTGATCCTGCTCTCGCTGGAGCCGCCCAGCTCCCCATGAATGATCCATTGTAAGAGTGTAGGACATCCATCATATCAGATTATTTTCTAACAGTAACAAGTCTAGCAATCTCTGCGATGGCAGCAGCGACAAAGAACCTATCATTTGGCGTCACGGCATCAACTACATACGAGAATCCATTCCTGCTTGCACGGAGATTTGCGACTCTCGATCATTTCACCAAAGGTCGCGTAGCTTGGAACGTTGTGACAAGCCACTTGGAGTCGGCGGCGAGAAACCTTGGCCTGCCAACTCAAATCGAGCACGACGAACGTTATAAGATCGCGGAGGAGTTCATTAATTTGACGTACGAGCTGTGGGAAAGTTCATGGAGAGACGACGCCGTTGTAGAAAATGACGAAACCAGGCAGTACTCCGTTCCCGGCCGAGTGAGAAAGATTAATCACGAAGGGTAAGCAACACAGAAAATACCATATCATCGTATATTCCCTGTCTTAAATCCTATTAGAAAATATTTTAAATCCACCGGCCCAATTACAACAGAACCTTCAATCCAACGAACACCGTTTATATTCCAAGCAGGTGCCAGTAGCGCCGGCAAGGTCTTTGCGACGAAGCACGCCGAATGTATGTTCCTACCCGGCATGACACCAGAAGCAGTGAAAAGATCAGCAGACGACATCCGCCGGCTCGCTATTGAAAACGGCCGCAATCCATCTACGATCAAACTTATCACGGGAGTCTTGATTATCGTGGACGAAACAGACGAGAAAGCTCAAGCCAAATATGAAGATTACTTAAAATACGCTGACCTCGAGGGGACGATGTCGCTTTTCGGAGGATGGACCGGTGTCGACCTAGACAAATGGAGCGACGACGAAGACTTCAAATTCACCGGCCCCGGTGCGATCCAAAGCATGATTTCATCATGGACTGCGACGGTACCGGGGACGCAGGATGTCAAGTGGACAAAAAGAAGGATTGCGGAGGAGCTGGCGATAGGAGGCGCTCACCCCCGGGCTATTGGGTCGGCGAAGACGGTGGCGGATTCCCTTCAGAGGTGGATCGACGAAGCCGGGATCGATGGCTTCAACATTTCATATGCTGTCAACCCGGGTGATTTCGAGGATATCATCAAATATCTTCTGCCAGAACTGCGGGCAAGGGGAGTGTTCTGGGATGATTATGCTGCTACTACGACACGGGAGAATTATTTCCAGGACGGGCTTGGACCCAGGTTGAGGGATGACCATCCAGGGTCGAAATATAAATGGCCAGCGGAGTGATATACTGGCTTCTTTCGTACAAGGTACCTGTGTACATAGCAATACTCTTGCAAGAATAAAAAGTGCCAGGTGGAGCGGGACGGTGATGTGGTCAAGGCGTGTTACTGTCTGCCACGTGCTGTTACTGTGTTGATACGGTACCGTAATACTGTGATACTGTGGTACTGTGTTAGCAAGGCACAGTACGCGCTGAGTTTTGATCATGGTTCATGCATCATTTACAAGTACGTAGGCAGGTACGCACTTACTGTAAATCAAGTCCATCTGGTCCATGTGATTAAGAATTAGGTACGTACTTTAATACACCTTACCTATTTCGGACATTTCCAAAAATAAAAAATCCCGATACAGGTGCAGAAATTAAATTAATTAGGTATAGCGCATAGTACTTGGGTACATGCTTCCCCAGATCACAGATCTACCCCAGATTTATCGCGCACTAAGATCGGGAAGTGGGTCTATTTCCTGACCAATCACAAAAATGCCAAGTCCCCTTTTTCGACTTCACGCCTTCTAAAATCATGGAATTGGTGTGAATGTGTTCCGTTCTACACTGTACTTTGACTGGACGTGACATAACGTCGCCATAGAAAATAAATATAATTGAGGAATACATAAACAAGTCATGAATATCCGTACCTATCAGCTTCACGGTCAATGATCGGTTTGTTTTGGTGAACGAGGCGTCACCTTCTGTGGCCAGGGAAGGGAGAATCCGGTCTGGATTCGCGTTTCCTGCCATTGATTGATCATCGGCAATGTTTGATACTCAAGCAAATCGAAAACCTTGGATAAGTCTCCCCATTAATCACTACAACTAATCCAACTAGCATGCTGCTCTTCGCTAGATGACGAGAGAATGGATTTAATTTTTCGCGGATATGTATTTCAAAGAATTCACAGGCATAAGATAGACTCGTAGAAAAGGATTAAATTTGGATATACGATTACCTAGGTACCTTGGCATAAAGATACGTAGAATACACCCTATTATTGAAAGAAAGGGGAAGTGCTCCGAATACTGTGTGTTTGCTTGTGGGTGATGCGATGAAGTACTGTACCGTTATTTATTACGTGCTTCGATTTTCTCAGGAAGGAATCAATAATTTATTCCAGTAATCCATAATCACCGTGGAAATCATCGTGGTACACGCGTACGTGATTAAGTTGGCTTTCCCTATTCGGGCGGTGATGTAGGTTAATTAATCATCGATCTCGATATTATATTGTATTCTACTCGAATAATTAATCATCGATCTCGATATTATATTGTATTCTACTCGAAATACTTTGGTACCTAGGTGTTAAACAGTACAAATAACTGATTTTCTGCGAGTCTTCAATAAATCGAATGTGCGTGGGTACAATAGAATAATCGGGATGGCCTCACATAGGTCAGTACAGGAGGTCAGTAGGCCACCACCTAGGTACGCTAGAAATACCAATACAAGGCTAGTAAAGTATTAAACCGTTAAAGCTATATCGGTACTGTATACACCACTAGGCAGCTGGCATTTTATTACTTTCTGGCAGGAACAACTGCATGTCAGTTGGCCCATGCACATCTTGACTGATCTCGTCGCTCGGGACACTGGTGATTCGGCTGATTCAATCCGAGGGTCAGTGACGAATTTTTTTCTATATATACGCGGGGCATATTCACACACCAAACCTTTCCTCCTTTCTCTTTTTTTTTTCCCCATGCGCTATCTTGATCGTTTCCGCTACTGACTGCTATTGACTGTTACCAGCCAACTCAAGCAAATAAGCACTCGATCATTTACATTTCCATAGCACATTCCGCACTTTACTTTTACTCTCTGTTAATTGCGCTCTTCTTTAAGAATTGCACAATCCTACTCACATTACTTTCATCCTCATTTATCTACGCTCTTCTTTCCGAACCACATAACGCTACTCATATTACGCTTCTATCTTCTTGTCACCCTCTTTCTATGCGCACTATTGCGCGCTCTCCCTACTTTCTCGCGATATTCGTCTGGATTTACCAGATTTGCAGATATTATCAGGTTTTCGTATTACGTGGCGCGGTGTAAGCGCATTATTAATTCATCTATCCCCTTCCGCCTTCATCTTGTCCGCCAAGCAAGATGTATGCCATTACCATTCTCGTACCCTTGTTCCTCGCCATCGACGCCGTGAGCGCCAATTTCTTTGGCGCCATGATCGGCATTTTCATGATCCTACTCCTTGAGTGTACTAGTGATGGCCATCACCCCGGACAAAATATCTCGTCGCTTGTTACCAACGCGGCTCTGTCCATCGGTGTCGACCGCCTTATCCATCACGATGTCGCCCAAGAGATCTACGGCATCGCCTTGATGGGTGCTTGTCGTTATTTCTGTGGATTACAGCGTCCCGCCGTCCACGTTGTCGCCGCATTCAAGATGCTTTCCGCGACCCTAGATCAGGACCATCGAGCATTCACAATAACCTTCTTCTCGACCGTGGGTATCAACGTCATACCCGATTTTATCTTCTCTGCCCTGAATTATCACTTGACGTAAGTTCTATTAATTTCTTTTCGTCGTATCACTTATCGTTGCCCATTGACGTTATCGTTATCATCACCAACCTTTACCTACATCGATAAACACCAACCATCACCACCACCATCATCATCATCATTACCAGTGCTATCATCCTTCCATTCCAACCTACTCGTTCGGAAGTATTCCGTGTCAATTACTATTTACAAATACCCTTCTTAAAATATGTCTTCTCATCAATCCGCCCCTCTCTTTCGTCACGCAACCCTTTATCAATCAAACCCCTTAATGGATCCCTATTCATCATCACATCATCTACACAAACTTATCCTGTATACATTTCCATCCCTTTACTTCAGCCCGATACCCTCTTCAATCATACGGATTCCCCATCCACCAAATCATCACCCTTAATTTCCTTATCAAGCTACACATTCACGGCTACTTTGATAAAAATTAGCTTAGTCTTAATGCTCCTAGTTAAAAGAGATAATCACTAACATGCCTTATTACAGCGCCGGTATAAATGGTACTTTCCGTGCTTGTACAACAGTACTGTCCTCATTTCAACGTGGCACAGCTACCGTCCACGGTCAATCGCCCGCTTCCACACAGTCACCTGGTCTCATCGAGGACAAGCCGAAGACAGATGACAAGCCGAAGGCAGATGACAAGCCGAAGACAGACGACAAGCCGAAGGCAGATGACAAGCCGAAGGTAGACGACAAGCCTAAGGCAGACGACAAGCCGAAGCCAGAGGCACCGCCCGCTTCTACACAGTCACCTGATCTTAAAGCGGATAAGCCAAAGCCAGAGGTGACTCAGACAGCAACTCAGGCTCCTCAGACCAAAGACGATCCCGTCGATGCCGGCACCAAGGTCAGCTCCGGAAAGGTTGCAGTAACGACACGAGTGGACAATCCCAAGATTGGCGTGCAGAAAGCTGCTACTCCTAAAGCTGCTACTCCCAAAGCTGCTGTTCCTAAAGCCGCTGCTCCCAAAGATGCTGTTTCCAAAGCAGCTTCATCACGCGTCAAGCGTTGGGACTCGCCGGATATCACCAATTCCGCGCCACCCGAGCCAGCGCCAGGCGTCTCCCGAACGTATCTGAGATCAGCGGCTGCTGCTGCTGCTGCTGCGAGAAAGGCGGAGCGTGAGGCTGCCGAATTGTCTCAATCATCTGCCAAGGAGGAACTTCCTACTGTCAAGACTGAGGTTCCTGCCAAGGCTGAGGCTCCTATCAAGGCTGAGGCTCCTGCTCCTACCAAGCAGCAAATCAAGGAGTTAGTCGACAAGGCAGTGGAGAACAAGATTGAGAAGTTCGTCGACAATGCAGTCGAGCAGAAGTTAGAGAAGGCTCTCGACAAAGCTGTCGAGAAAGTAATTGACCGAACTCTTGAACGATCAATGGAACGTACCATTGAACGTGTTATGGAACGTACCATGGAACGTACTATGGAGCGAACCATGGAGCGAACCATGGAACGAACTATGGGACATACCATGGAAAGAGTAATGGCTCGCAGTGTTGACAAGGCACTAGAGGCGTTTATGGACAAGGTCACTGGTATGACAGGTGCCCAAATGCCTACCAAGGAGCCTACCAAGGAGCCCGCCAAGCTCCAGGAGGCATCCGTTGAAGAGGCCTGTCAACAAGCTACCGAGGAGTCCGCCAAACCCTCGGAGGTCGTCACCAAGCAGATGGCAGCAGAGTCCCAAGATGTCCTTGTTAAGAAGCCGAGCTCTGTCGTGCAGGAACAAGAATCGGAGTCTCCTGCTATCGATGTTGCCACCGCCAATGACGATGTTGTCGTTGCGGAGGTGCCTACTAGCCAAGCACCAGTCGCTGGCACCGATGAGACCCAAGTGTCCATCGTAGAGAGCGCCCCTGTCTCTCCGATCACGACTCAGACTGCTGCTCCTATCGAAGTGAGCATCGTGGAGCCAGAACTTGTCGATACAACTTCTACGGAACAAGCTACCGTTGACACCGCCATTGGTCAGCCTGCAGAGGCTGAGGTTCAGCCACCTCCCGTTGAGGTTCAGCCACCTCCCGTTGAGGTTCAGTCACCTGTCGTTGAGGTTCAGTCACCTGTCGTTGAGGTTCAGCCAGTTGTCGTTGGAGTTCAGCCAACTATCGTTGAGCCAAACGACCATATCGAACAGGCCAGCCATGAACCGACAATCGTGCAGCCCAGCACTGCTGGTGAAGTTATCACTGAGCCAACCGTCATCGCCACTCAGGTTCCGAGCCAAACTGTTACTGAGCTCCCTCTGATTGACATCCAGTCAAGTGACCACGCTGAGCCCACTGAATCGGTCAGTGCTGAACAAGCCAGTCCTAAGATTGACATCGTGGAGTCAAACGTTACCGACGCAGTTGTTTCTGAGCCTATTGTCAATAACGTTGAAGCTCCTGCACCTGTGGAGACTGAGTCGCATGATCACTCTGAGCCAACCGAGCCTATCGTCACTCAGCCAACCGAGCCCATCGTCACTGAGCCAACTGAGTCTGTCGTCACTCAGCTAACCGAGCCCATCGTCACTCAGACAATTGAGCCCATCGTCACTGGGCCAACTGAGCCTGTCGTCACCGAGCCTGTCGTCACTGAGCCTGTCGTCACTGAGCCTGTCGTCACTGAGCCTGTCGTCACTGAGCCGGCCGTCTCTGAGCCTGCAGTTGTCTATCCTGAGGCACCTGCCCTCGGACAACCCAACGTCGAGCAGACAATCCCGGGACTAAGTGCCCACCAGCCGACAACTGACGAAGAGATCTACACTGGCACTGTCTGGCACGCTCGTCACTCGCAAACAGTTCTGCAGCCCACAACCGACTTCAACTACTCAGATGACTTCGTCGCGATTTGCAAGAATGGCAAACAGTTACCGCCTCTGCCAAAGCCTGAACAGCGCTACATAGGAGTACAGGCTCAAGGAAACGTGGCGCCACAGGTTCCCAATGAGCAGTCTCAGGCTTTCTCACAGGAGCAGCCAATGAATATTCCGCAGGCGCAATCGTGGAATCTCCAGGAGGAACAGCCCATGGGCATGATGTCACAAGTTCCTAACGAACAACCTCAAGGCTTCACACAGGAGCAGATGTCGGCTCTGGGACAGGCCGTACACACGATGCAACAAGGTCCGACCGAGCAGCTGCAAGCATTCGCACAAGAGCAACAAATGGATCTTCCACAGGCTCAGTCATGGAATCCCCAGGCAGATCAAGCCATGGGTATGATGCCGCAAGTTCCCAACGTGCAGCCACAGGCTTTCACACAGGCTTTCCCACAGGTTTTCCCACAGGAGCAGCCGCAGGCCTTCTTTCAGGGACAACAAATGCATCTTCCACAGGACCAGTCGTGGAATCTCCAGGCGGAACAACCCATGGGCATGATGCCACAAGTTCCCCACGGGCAGCTGCCAGCCTTCACACAGGAACAGATGTCGGCTATGGAACAAGCCGTACAGGAGATGCTACAACAAGCTCCTCAAGAGCAACAGCAAGCCTTCACACAGGAGCAAATGTCAGCCATGGAACAAGACATACAGCAGATGCTACAAGTTCCTAGTGAGCAGCTGCAAGCCTTATGGCAGGAGCAAATGTTGGTCATGGAACAAGCCACAGGCACGATGCCACAAGGCCCTAGTGAGCAACCGCAAGCCTTCTCACAGGAGCAAATGTTGGCCATGGAAGAAGCCGCAAGAACAGTGCCGCCTGTTACCGATGAGCAATTACAGGTGTTTCCGCAGGAGCAATCAATGAATCTCCCACAGCCGCAGCCTTGGAATCTCCATAACGAACAAGTCACAATGTGCACGACACCACAGGTTCCTATCGAGCAGCCACAGGCCTTCCCACAAGAGCAACCAAAGGATCTCGCACAGGAACAGTCAATGAACCACCCACAGGCGCAGTCATGGAATTCCCCGGCAGAACAAGCCACGGGCTCGATGCCACAGATTCCCAACGAGCAACCGCAGGTCCTCCCACAGCAGCGGGCATGGACTATTCCTCAGGCTCAACAATCCTCGACGGGCGTGGCGCCAGAAGCCCCTATGGGGTTGTCAACAGATCTTCCACCAGGGACATCGGAAACCGTCCCCAATATGGAAGAAGCCACGACGGATACCGCCATGGATGAATCTTCAGACGATGAGCTTGAACAGATGTTGCTCGACGCCTTGGATGGTAAACCCCTCCCAGAGGATGTTGTGAAGGCAGGGGAAGAAGCAGCAGCGAAGCAGCCGCAGATGCTCTTTGGGTGGAAAGGACAGGAAAAGAAGGGGTTCGACATGAATGGGTTCAACCTGAAATCCGGCCCGAAATTTCCGGAGTCCTGGTCCAGCAAACAAGATGATCCTAATGCGGACCTCATGATGGTAGCTCTTGGCAACTCGCGTTATGAAGATGCACCGTGGGCCACCATACCGCCGGAAATAGAAGAAAAGGCTTCTCGAGCATACAGAGAGTCATTAGTCGAAGATCCATTAGACACCCCTATGTCTGAGGACGAGGATGAGGATGCAGGCGCAGGGGAGGTAGCCAACCACGTCACAACCCAAGATCCATTAGACACCCCTATGTCTGATGACGAAGAGGAATATGAAGGCAAAGGGAAGGAACCTGCCCACCTCCCACTATCAGTGTTGCAAGCCCGTGGCCCCGTTATAACGGACGACGACGACGATGATGAGGTGGAGTGGGAACCTGTGCCACCATTCGTGGTTCCCACTTTTGGAAGCAGCAACTACGGCGCTTCAACTTCTGCAGCACCTCCCACTTCACCTCCTACTTCCGAACCATCTCCTACAAACCCAAGGAACTGGTGCCCCCAGACGACGCCGGCTCGGAATGGCACACCCAGCCATGCACCCAGACCCCATGCACCCAGACCGCCCGAGCCACAGCAGCCTCAGGCCCGTCCACTAGAAGAGTTGCTTCGTCTCGACGCTGCCGGCCAATTGACCAGACATGCCGGTCCCGCTCGCGTTGCTCCGCCTGTGCTGAATCTCGAAGACCGCGCCCCTGCGTTCCATGAAATCCCCAAGGGATATCTAGTCTCCTGCAAGTCGAAGAAGGAACGAGAGGAAGAGCAGGCTAGAATCGCTAAGAATATGGCACGCCCGAAGCCGGAGCCAGTTCCAGATACGACGGAACGCTCTAAGCAGAAGTTTGGCTTCGGTGGAGAAGAGCTGGCCGAAGAGCGCGCGCGGATCAAGAAGCAGCAGGACGAACAGCTCTTCTGGATCGATGACGAAGGGTACCACCATAAGGAGCCATCTACGCACAAGTGGGACGCAAATGACGAACAGCGTCTCAAGGCCATGTGGGAGAATACCAACCGGAACCATCGACATAATACCGTCATGCGACGCTGGGCAGTGACCATTCGGAAAGCGGTTGCGAAGAAGAAGAAGGACACGCTCATTTTCTGGTGGAAGAAGCGTAACGCCAAGATTTCCTTTGAAGCGTACAAGAGAAGAGAGAAGAGGCACGCAAACAGCAACCCTCTCGTCAGGCCGAAGAATGGTGGATCAAAGAAGAGATAAGCTGGTGATGGGGAATTAGGCCACTTCCTGACTACTTAATCACGACGACAGTATCGCCTCCGGACCGTGGGCCCACCCACGGACCGAGTTGACCGACCACTTACATTCTGCTTTCTCATTTGACAGTCTATCTCGTGCCCCCAATAGTCGAACCTTCGCCGGTTCGGCGCCGGCCTGCTTCGCCGCAGGTCGGTTTTTGCCGGGGGTGCCCCAGCACGGTGTCCCTGCTGGTGTTGTATCTTACGAGTGGTATCTCTATAAGACACGAGATTCTGTCATTTGGGTTAGCGGAGGTAGGTGTGTTGGTCTGGCGAGAACTCGTCGTCATTTTGTAGTTGGGAGGTGGCCGACACCTTAAGCTAGTTTATCTTCTTCGCGATCACATCCTTCTCTCGTTCTGTTGAAGGGTCTGCATCTTCTTCTTTCTGGTCTTGTATTATGCTTCATAGGTACTTCTTCCTGGTTTCTTCTCTGAGTTCTTCTCTGGTATTCTCTCTGGTATTCTCTCCTGGTTCATAGGTTCTTATTCGTCCTGCTTTCTCTCATCCGCCCTTTCTGATGAACCGACTCGAGTGGTAAGAGTCTGGTCATCCATTATCGTGGAGCATACATGTCGGCTCATTATTAGCAGTCCGACCTCCGGTTTATATTACGCACACCTTATCTTCTTTCTAGATAACAGCCCCATTCCGATGGCAAGGCTTGGTGGTTGTTTATATCTGTCGGCCCAGTTAGAGAGGCTCGACCTTATGAAAGGATATCCAGCTCGATGGCAAGAGCCCAGGATAATCCATATTAGAAGACATGTTTAGGTCGATGGCAAGACCTTAACATGCATATTTACATAACACACAATTCTCTCTTTCTCTCATCATTCTATTTCTCCTCCCTCTTGGGAGATTCGTTCATCGGCTCGAGTGGCAAGAGCCCGACTATATCGACACCAAAGATTCACAAGGATTTCTCACGATACGATATGACAGTACCATGGGGAAACAAGTCTGATTTTCATGTTTGTTTGGGAGTTATTGGGAGTTATAGGGGGTAATGGGAGTTATAGGGGGTAATGGGAGTTATAGGGGGTAATGGGAGTTATAGGGGGTAATGGGAGTTATAGGGGGTAATGGGTAACGGCTCACCGCATAGTGAGCTACAAAGGAATGGGTTTACTAGGAGTTAATGGGAAATTATGGAAAAGGAAAAAACAAAAAAAATAATAAAACCAAAAAACCGAACAAAAAAATTATAAAAAGAAAAAAAACACAAAAAAAAACATAAAAAAAAAAAAAAAAAAAACGTATATCTGAAGCGGTACAAAGATGGGTTATGGAATATGAAGGAAAGGGGAGATCAAGAGGAAGGGGGCGAGTGGAATAGGGGAGTTGAAGGGGAGAAGAGGGAAAGGTGGAATCGAACGGAAACAAACAACAAAACCTAGCAGGAAAATCAACCTGCTTGACACCAGCTCGAGTCATCAATATCTCGAGCAAGAGCCACAACAACGGCACGAGGGGCAAACAGAAAAACACCCCAAAATGACATAAGGCATCTGCTCCACTGAACCAGGATCAATGCCTAGTATCCAACATAACGACATAACGAAAACACCACATGAGCTACTTCGCAATGCTCTTGAGACCTGAGGAGTACATTCTCAAATTCCGACACGGAATTCTCAACTCACTCTCCATAAAAAATCATTGGGCCAGTTCTAACTATCATCACAACGTTTATCAACTTCATATCACCAAACCTCAAATCTCGCCCATAAATCCCCTGAGGGGTATATCTACAGTTCACAAATCTCGACATAAACCAGTATAAATGCGAACTACCACAAAAAATCGGTTTGCAGACAGGAGCGATCCAGGTGTATTGGTAAGACATCTCCGCCACAAACGACTAGAAGTGTTCCTTATACTAATAAATATTTACAGAAACCTAGGACCACTCCTGAGTCTCACAGAGACAAGTACTGCTCCGTCATCAGTATCACCAACCCGAAGACTAGTATCATCCATCGAGTCGACTACCGTCGCCTGCCTACATCACATGGCAGGCATCACGACAACCAAAAAAACCTACGGCAGACCATTTCCCATACTGAGAAGCCATCCGCTCTAAATCGAATGAGGGATTCTCACCTCCCTCTACAACCATCATAAAAAAAACCGCCACTTTACGCCATCATGACCATATCCCTAGACTTGGTCCTACAACGACGAAGCTACTCGATACCAACTACGGTATCATCCGAAGCGACCACACGGTGGATTCCGGCGTCTACTGCTCTAAATATCTCAACATCACGACACCCCCAAGCTGAAGGGGAAGGGATATATCTCAAAACAACATACAACAACATTCGCAAGTCATTGGCACGGATGGTGGTACTGGGTAAAGGTGATTGGGAACAGCTGGGAGATCAGGATACCCCTGGAATTGGTGAAAGATCCTAGGGGGAAAGGGGGTTAGAGACTCGACAGAGAGTTCTCGAAGCCCGCTTGCAATAGTCTGAAACGACTGCGGAATGCCCACCGCACTCTACTACAGACCAGCACTGCGCGAAGCATAAACTGCAACGCGATGATATGATAGAAATGAAATTCATTCATATCGCACACAACTCATGCCTTTTCAATTGACGATGTGACTATGTGACCATGTAAATGCTGTAGGCTTATTGTGACCTAAAGTAATCGTAGGCATCAAATTCATCAAACACGACTATAATCCTCTATGGTAAATCTACACTGAGTGAGTAGAATAAGCGCAATGTAGCTGTTTAGGGATACTGATCTTCATATCTGTAGACTCATCATCAAGCCCTCCATTCAATATGACTTAAACTCCATTTCTTACCTCTTTCCCTTCTACCCCTTTTCACTTCTACCCCGAGAGTCTCCATCGACCAACCTCTTCTCCTTCTTGATGAGTACCTAAACGCATGTATAATCAGCACCAACAACCCGTAGACTCTATCTGTCAGCCTTACACAACACGAGAGAAACAACGACATCCCACCGCCTACCCATATTACAAGCCCAAGAAAAGGTGATGTCTACCATAATAAGAATGACATTATATCCATCTATCATACTCATACTCCTACAATCCAAACTCATCTCCCCAATAAACGTGTAATAGGCACAACCAAAGCAGGCCAGGCTAATATCGATACCAAGTCCATCTAAGAACCCTCATGGCACCGTCATTCAATCACCCCCTCTTTCCTCAAAACATAAAAAGGGGGGCGATAAAATTCCCAGAAACCCATACCGACCGATAAGTGCGCCGTTGCGAGAATTCTAGTTTATCTCCAAATCCCCATAAGCCAAGGAAATTCGTATCTATAGTAGGTACCGGTATCCTATCCATTCCACACTCGTAAGCCCTTTCTTTTCCTTATTCTTTAACCCCATCACACCCCTACCACCCAGGGCTATGATGCCCATGATGCCCATGATGATGTCCATGCCCCCCATGGTGGTGGTGATGCCCATGCCCCCCCGGCGAGCCCCCCTGAAACCCGCCATAATACCCCCCCGGGACAGGCGACCCGCTATACGACCCACTATACGAACCATGATGCGAATGGTGCCCGTGCCCATGTCCATGCCCATGACTCCCATAGCTCTGGTGACTCTGATTCGAATTCTTCCGCTCAAACTTATGCTCAATCATATTCGCCGCCACCGCACCCACCGCACCCCCCAACATAGTCCCCAGCTTCCCCTTCCCTAGCTTATGCCCTAGAAACCCTCCCGCCCCGCCACCGATCAGCGTCGCGCCGAGCCCGCGCTCGCCGTCCTCGCCTTCCTGGCCCGGCGCGCGGTTCGCGTCCGAGCTATACGGATCTGCCGAGTGAGGACGGCCTTGCGGAGTCCCGTCGCCCGCCCCGTAGGCGGGCGGCGGGTACCCGGCGTCCGAATGGGCAGACCCGGGACGCGCGTACTGCTGCTGCTGCTGCTGCGGGTGGTACGGCGCGAGGTAGTTTTGCGACTGCGGGGATTGGGCGTAGGTCGGTTGGGAAGGGTACGGCGATTGCGAGGGTGCGCCGCCGGTGGCGGAAGCGTAGCTGGGTTGTTGGGGGTACGGGGATTGTGAGGGCGTCTGCGCGTACTGGGGCTGCGACGGGTAGGGTGATGAGGAGGATTGGTTTCGGGGTGGCGCGTAGCCGCCGCCGTTGTTGCCGTAGTAGTCTGCGGCTGACATCTTGTTTTGTTGTTTTGTTGTTTTGTTGGACTTGAGATTGTGGAAATTTAGGAGGTTGGGAGAGAGATCGTCGCTGGGGACGAGGAAGGACGGGTTTGTTGGTTCTACAGTAATAATAAGGTGTCTTTTGTAGGTTCTCTAGTATATTGTCTACGAGAAGTCTATAGGTGGATGTTTGAATAGAAGGAAGAGGAAGAAAGAAATCACAAAAACAGACAGGCAGAGTTAATAAAGAGGCTACCTAAAGTTTAAATACCTACGCATGAACCCTCGATGACATGTAATGTCCATCATAGGGAAGAGTCAACCAGTCACAAGCCCCAAAGCGCTTACGCAGGTCTCGTAAGTCTTCGCAAGTGTTGAGGGCGGGGAGGCGCAGTTCCTTTTGCCTCGCAGCTGATTACTATAACATAGAGATATGCACACGTTGATTGACCCGCGCTGCGCCGGCGTTTAGTGGCTTCAGTGGCTTGCAGAAGAGAAAACTGCCTTGGCAACTTTTGAATGCGAGGGTCGCTCGGCTTCCCGGCAAGAAAAAGAAAAACGACCTTGAGCTGTGGCGGAGCCTTTGTGCGGGGAATACCTATCTAAGCCTAAGAGGTATGCTGCGCCTCACTGAATAGTGAGTCGACCTTCGATGTTCTTTCGAGATCTACGTACATATGTCGAACCCTGAGGCTGCCTTGAGGCTGTTCTTCGGAGCTACCACCGACCGATTCCCCCTCTGTAACCACATAAGACAAGTTTATGTATGTAACGGCAAAATGGAGAGAGGAAGAGGAACATGTGGGGATATCTATTAGTATCAATACATATTGTGATTTCGCTTGTCCGTTGCTACATCCTAGATGCATCAACGTTGGTTATACAAGCATCATCCTAGTATCTCGCTAATGTCAGCTTGCCTGTGTTACAAATCAAGCTTTGTCTAGGACGAATATATCTCGAACCCCTATATCAGAACCCCTAAAGCGTCCATGGATGTGAACAATAGATTATGGTTTAAATGGCAGTGAAATTGCAGATGATTCGACACATGCATTCGATTGTCTCGATAACAACCCTCCTGGGAAGAGGCACGCTTAGATAAAACACCCCCAACTTGAACATATACATTCCAACACACCCTTCCCTTCCCCGTCATCATGCTCATGAATCTCCCCATAAATGCAGCCGTTTGCTCCTTTAATCCCAATGTAATCTCATGAAAAGCCCCGGTAGCTTAATGCATCATGATCGTGAATGCGAAATTCAACAACAAGAATTAGATCCATCCTAAGACGGTAGGTTCCGGGAAATGATATATACGCGAGACAACTGATAGAAAAAGGTCGAACTCTTGTCACCATGTACGGCGGTAATGATGCCAAGGGAATTTTTACATCAGACACCAACGGGAGGGCCGTTTGCTCTTCGGCTTGGGGGGAGATGGATCTCTCCCTCCGAATCCGAGCTATCATCTGCCGCCACACGGTCGAGCATCCGTTCTATGTCGTCGCCACGTAGCGCAGTTCTTGGCCGAGACGATCCGCCTAGGCCTGCGGGGATAGAAAGAGATGGCCTCGGAGCTGATCCGTTCGTTCGGCGACGTGGCGTACCCCTGTTATACGGAGATCCGTGCGGGTCGTCAATATCCATCCCACCATAATTCCCTGGAGATTTCTCGAACCCCACACGTTTAACCTGAGGCGCGTGGTGCGTTTGCGTTTGCGTTTGCGTTTGCGGTCGCGCTGTCGGCAAGCTCTTCCGTCCTTGACTGCTACTCTCAACTCCAGAACCTAATCGTGAAGTCGGAAGGGCTGTTCGTCCGCTACTCCGACCTTGCGCTGGCTGCGACGACTGCGACGGAGGGAGAGACGAAGGAAACGTGTGCTTGACATTAGCAGAGTTTCCAGGGCTGCTCATAAACATCAACGTCTCCAACGCTTCTTGCTCTCGTACGTTTTGGTGTGGAGAAAAGAGTATGGGGTCTACGTTAGGCGTTCTGATATTCGCCTGGCCCGGTGTGCTTTGTAATGGACTCGGCTGAGCTGGAGTGTGAGGGGAAGCATGATGCGATAGGTAGGCCGGTGCAAATCTTGCGTTGGAGCTACGTCTGGGGTGAACCTGGCCAGGCTGACGCGGTTGTATAGGGGCAGGCGGGGCTAATGTTGGCACTTGGGAGATGGGCGATGTCGCGGTGGACCCTTTCATGTTGCCCTCTCTCCAGAATGATTCGTAAGTGCGGCCTTGAGAAGGGTGGTGGAATGTAGGACTAGTAACATTGCTTGAAGCTCTATGTCGTGTAGGAGCAATAGGAATCCGCGGGCTCGCAGACGCGCCGTGTCTGCCATGTAACGTCGAAGTGCTAGAGGTGGGAGAAGCAGCTTGCGACGCGAGCGACTCGACCTCGTCAATAGAATGTCCTTGCCAGCCATTGTTAACCTTGACCATGGCGTAAGACAGCTTTGTTCTGAGCTCAGCAGATAGCTAAGATAGAATTAGCAAATAAATCATGACGCGTCGTGGGCCTTGACTAATTTACCTCTCCAATGCGACTACCAGCAGTAGATGCCACGCTCACAGTACTTGTATTTCTAGAATGACCGACGCGGACTGGTGATACACTTGAGCTGTTTCTGGTGTGCTTAACCACGCCGTCAGCCATCCTCTTCTTGGATTGACCATTTATTGGCGTCCCATCTATTTCGTTGATCTTTTGCTGTGCTGCAGCAAGCTGTGATAGCTGTAAAAGCTGAAGCTGAGATTGGGATTCTTGACTTGATGCATGGCCATTTTGAACCCCATTGCTACCTTCGCTGTCGCTTTCGGGTGGGGTGAAGATGCGATCGGTGGTGTTAGAGGCGGTAGTATCTTGCGAATTGTTGCCGGAATAACTGGTCGTCGGTAGGGTCTGGCTACCGGGTTGACTTTGAGGTTGTGGAGGGTGACCCGGCCCCGTCGAGACACTTGAGCTGGTGACCTGTGACATGGTCAAGGAAGGTATGGGTTAGGTGAAGAGGGTAGAGGGGAAACGCCGAGGCTCCAGTATGAGGCCGTCGCGTCAAATTGGACTCGTATATAGTTTGACTGATAGATTGGCATCAATCGCGTTTTTGTGTCATGTGAATCGCGATTCCCAAGATATGTCTTAGAGGTATAGCCAATCTCGAAGACGAGATAATAGTGAAAGCTGTAGGCTTCCGCGTCTAGCGAACGTGGAATATTTTTCCCTTTGTGAGCGCTGATGTTGCTTAGCGAGGTGTACGCGTTACGTCGTCAGACCCCCAGATATCTCACGGAATCACGGGATGTCAAGACGCATTAGACACCAGTATAGCTTGTAGTGCAGCCAGTCGCGTTGAGCTGATAGCAAGCAATTAGCATTCAGAGAGAATCTGAGACATAGGGTAGGCGATAGGCGAAAGCGGCGAATATGGTGTTGAAAGTGGGAAATGTGCGTGCTGCACTTAAAGAGTGGAAATGGTACCTCTTTAAGCCAATTTATTCCATTTGATCCAGAATTGGCCCGATAGACGTGACGCGACTTGGCCTGGCTCGAGGGTAGAGAAGGTGCAATGTGATTTCGAAGCCCAATGATGAATATATCTACATGCAAGTATGTAACATACACGTAGTTTGAGGTTGTGAGATTGTCGCTTCCGTGACGTTAAAGTTGGAACTTGGACCAAAGGAACATGAACAAGTCAACTCAAGCAATAGTAGCGAATGGCTAAGAGGGGAAGGAATAGTGGGAGGCCATTGGCGGCTTATTACGCGGTCAAGTCGCGCGACTTCTTTTTTTACTAGGTTTACGTAGCGTGGGTAGCGTGGGTAGCGTGGGTAGCTGTGCACGGTTCTACCTTTTGACACCCATCTCAGCCATCTCTCCTCCCATCTTGGGGGATCATGTGCGCTAAGATTAACAAGATTTACTTGATCCTAGCGCCTCGCAGCGCCATTCTTCCAGGGGTCTCGTTCTAACTTTCAAAAAATCCTATGTACCTCTTCGGTTACACTCACTTATGAAATTGACATGGTAGACAGTTGTCCTTGCATTAATTTTAATAAGTGAACCTTAAGTGTAAAATATGCCTTACGAAGAGTTTTGTTTGGAGTCAAATGCACGAGCGTACATAAATTGTAAATATAAACATCAAAGTAAATAAGGGAAATTGTAGAAGAAAAAAAAGATATGTTCGAATCCAGTAATTCTGCTGCCTCGAAGGCATCTAGAAACACCCATAAGACCAATACTAGGTACCTGCACTAAGTGAGATCTATCACTCCCCTGTCTGATAAAAATGACGAGTGCGGCCACTGCGGCGGAGAGACGGGAGGGAAAATGACCAAATGCAAAAAATGGCGCGCCTTTTTTCTACCTGGGTACTTCACGGCTTGGTTCGGTCTAGAAACGCACTGGCCAACTTAACACGAAATCACGTGGAAACCCCGCCCCCCTTTTCAAAAGTATGGAATTGATATTGTATCTCTCCAACGAATATATACGAGTTCTATATTCTCGAATCAGAAATGATTGGATCCTATTCACACACATTGACCTCTCTGATATGAAATCACAGTAAATTGAAAAGAGCTGAATACTCAATTGCTTCAAGGATTGGTCGTAGTTTTAAAGCTCTCGGCTTAGCGTAAGAAATTTGGCCGTCAACAGCGGTCGTGAGAAAGATTTGTTCCTACATTGGATCGCCTTCTACTCCTAAGTCCACACTACCCGACTCTCCAAAGGCCGACTTAGCTTGGGAGTTAGCCGATGTGTCAAAGATCCAGATTATCGGTTCGCCGTTCGGGTCGGCGATGTATTCCCACCAAGTACCGAACTCAACATCACTAGAATTTGAATGGTGAGAAATATCCATTGCATTGCCGTCGATGTCTCATGGATGGGCAGATGAGCTCTGGACTATTTTCAACTCTGGTTGCTGTCCTCCGTCGTATGGCCCCTGTTGACTTCCCACGTCAATTCCATTATCTTCGAAACTGTCTGGAGTATTGATTCTTGTCGATTTGATGCTTGATCTTTGGCTGTTTAAGGACGGGTTCTTCGGGCGTGACACCACATCCACGAATTGATTCGATTGCCATTCCTCGAAAACCGAGTCCAATCTATCGGCAACGATTCTGCGCACTTCCTCCCACGTGTTTTGGGTCACAACGGTTTTCCCTGCAAGGCTACTAGTTCGCAATCCTTCGACTACTGCAACAACCGCTCGGCGATGGGAATACTCTCTGTATGAACAGAAGTCTCTTGAGAACCCGAAGTCTATGTATGCTGAATCTGGTCTTGGGTGGTCAGGGAAGATTATATCCCACATTGAAAACCATTGTTCTTCCGCGGTGAGTCTTGGGTTTGATTTGCGAGACAACTGTGAACGCTTGTGTTGGGATATACCCTCCAACAGAGGAGATGGTGTACAGAAGAGGCCTGCAGCATTTCCAATATGTGCCTGAAGTTTATCATGGTCCAAAAAGATTGCCGAGCAACGACTGCAATAAAACTCAGGCGTATGTTTTCTAGCAAGATGTTGCTTGACGTCGCGAATTCTTGAAAGTCTCTTCGAAAAGCAAGCTTGGTGTTTCAAAGGGTCGTTCTTCGCAAACGGGCACGCCAAATACATATCCCGTCCTTTCCCTTTATTCTGCTCTTCTCCTTTTGAAGGCGGGATGGGGGGCTCTTCATCATCAGAATTTTCACTCTTCTTCTCGGTATGGCGTCTCTTTTTTGGCAAGTGAATAGCAGGCGGATGTGCAGGTTGGCCTTCAGAGGATCTGCTCTCGTTAGGCGGTCGTCCGCCGGCAGCCGTGGTTGTATGTCCTGTGACTAGTTCACGAACTAGGGCTACGATCTCAGAATATGCTTTATCATCAAGGCCTGAATGTTCAATGTCGTCTGAAGATGAGTCTGAAAAGGATAGTAGCTCAGAATCCATAGAATCATCATCGGCTCCTGTAGCCATGCTATAAGAATCTTCATCATGCGAAGAGTCGAAGCGTTGTGACGCTGCAGAGAATTTCATCTTGATATCGGATTCCTGTAAAGCTCGGGTTTTTCTCCGCATAGCGGCTAAAGCCTCAGCAGTGGAAATCGGCGGTGGCAACAATAACGCATCCTGGGAAGGCTCATCCTGAACTATCGTGGACGAATTCCAATAGTATATATCCTTCGGCAACTTTAAGGACATATCATGAGGTATCTCGTCGCTCACGTTAGTAAGAAATTGCCCTTTTTTTACGTCCGCATGTGGAACGTCGGCATCATGGGGCAGAGGAAACCTCGGCCATCGGCGGCTGCCATCCGATACTTCGCATGTGGTGGTGCATTCTTCGTCCTTCTGGGGTGTAAAAGAACGTTTTTCAGCTCTAGGGATCTTGTATCGGTGGTTGGCCAAACGTCTTAGCTGGTGAAACCACTCCTTATCACTATTCTCTCCCTCCGGGAGAAAGTCGCGAAACTTAGACATGATATAATGTTCCTACGTGGCGATACGGTAAACCAGGTTAGCCCTTCTACCCTAGAATGCTAATTGTTATGAAGGCTTTCACCTACCAGAGCTAGGTAGCTTAACGATACCAAGTGAAGTATATATTTAATTGATTTCTGCTGCTATATATTTTTAGGCTTCGACTGAATGAACCAGATATAGGTCTGCAACCGTGTGTATAGGTTGAGAGGTGGCGTAGGCTGTGAGGTTATGATTATGGCCTTTGGCGTGTGTGTATGCTGCCAAGCGTATGCTCAATAATGGGACAGACGGGAAAAGAAGAAACTTTGGCAGGATAGCCTAGAGTTTGAAATAAGTATGCGGTGGGTGGCGCATGCCATACCGTTCTTCACAGCACATGCGTGCTGTTGCATTTCATAGGATCGGACTTTACCGGCCTACATACCCTCCTTTTCTCAAAGTAGCCAATCATGTTTTAAAGCACAGCGGTGGTGATAGCTTCAGTTGAAAAATGGCAGTCTTATGAAGAGAATGAAACGGAACATAATTGTGCTAAACTATCAAAGTTAAAAGATCTCAAGTATTTGAAAACCGTGCTGTTAACTCTCATAATGAGCAAACTTAGGGTGCAATGGGTGCAATGGGTGGAATCATTATGTATATATAAGGGGTAAACCGTGAAGATTCAGGTCATATCGCCTCAACATATGTATCTGAACAATTACTCTACTTTAGATCGACAGTTTACATCAAGTTACTTTAGACTCAATACCTACGATAGCCAGACCTTCGCCATGTCAACCAGATCAGATCCCCCAGGGACAGGGAATGAGTCCTCGTAAGCCGAATGTTATATCACAACTCCGGTTCAGCAAAATGGAAGCTAATACAAGAACCGATAGGAGAACCCTGTCAACTTCTCTCGAGGAATACCTCGCTAGCCCCTCGACTATTACCGAGACACTTGCCTTCTCATCCGCAACCAAGGACCCTATGTGCAAGGTCGCCAGCAAAACTAAGGAGACGAAGAAGTCACTTGACGAATGGCAGGCGGAGTGGGACAAGATGGGACAGCCTAAAAAATGATGAATTTCTAAAGCTTCACGTGGGTTGGAACTCATAAGCGACATGTAGAATGACAACACAATATGACACCACCGACGCGCAAATGCGGAGGGAAGTGGTCCAAAGGGGGACGATAGAGGCAATGATAATAAATAAATAAATGAACAAGAACGCTTGGCAACTTGACTTAGACTAGCATCAATCCACCGTAGATCACCTCTTCTCACGAATCAAGGCGACCATCAAATCCTCATAATCCCCGCTCAGCATAGCCTTAATCGCAACTCTCAGCGAAGCCCTAGACTGCGAGTGTCTCTGGTACGCCGCCTTCGCCGCATCCAAGCGGTTGCGATCCCAGTACAGACTCACGACCCTATTGATAAAGAGCCGGTCTTTGCGCGGTGTCCGGTACAGCGGCTTCTCGAGCCTCTTGGCATCTGTGCGGGCCCGGTCAAGAGCGCTTTCGAGCATGTAGAGAAGCGCATCTTCCATGTCCCCACGGAACTCCTTCTCGATGACTTCCTCGAGCGAGCGGTGGTACTTGCGTCTGTACGCCTCCGTGAGAGCATGGAGCTGCGCCGCGTTGGAACTCGTGAAGATTTGAGCTACGGAGATAGCGTTGGAGCCGATAATGCCCTCGGTCGCGCGTTGGAGTTCCGTTACTTTATGGTCGATGTCTGCGGCGATCACTGGAGCCGCGTCTTCGGCCCGCGTGGCTGAGAGTACCATGCTATAGAGCCGGAACATCCTGTCGTCTACGTCGTCTTTGATATCTACTAGCAGGTCGTGGCCCTTGATTCTCTTGTACTCTGCGGTAATGGCGCGGATATCCGCATTGGACCGACATAAGAGGACATCCATCAAAGCATCCTCGTCAGTGCCGGCACGATCAAGTGCTTGGATTAAGTTCCGCACATCGTTTTCCAGTGGGCCACGGATCAAGGCCAGTAACGCGGTTTCGAAGTCACCGCGCGTCTCACTTTCGACATCTTTGGCTAGATCGCGGATGAAGCGCTTGTTGTAATCATTGACAAGCTGTGCCATTGCCCAGGGATTGTCATATTTGGGCGATGTGAGCACGCGGATCAGGGCCGCCTCATCGCATCCCATGCCCTTCATGGCCTTCCGCAGAGCTTCGACATCGGCTGAAGTGTCAACGGGAGCGCAGAACGCTCTCTGGGCCGGGTCATAGCCCGGTGACGCAGGAGTTGGGGGTACGCCGTAGCCGTAACCTTGCATAGGTTGCTGTGGTTGTCCCCATTGAGGAGCTCCCGGTGCTCCCGGCTTGATTTTAATGTTAGTACACCATGACTGCCAATCAGAAATAGGGATGTATGCTTACAGGAGCTCCGTATTGCTGAGGAGGATAAGGCGCTGGGGCCTGAGGGTTACCGGCTTGGTAGGCGTTTGGGGGATACTGTCCATATTGCGCCGGTGGTTGTCCGTACTGTCCTTGAGGTGGCTGTTGAGGGGGGTATGGTTGATTCTGGTATTGTCCTGGTTGGGCTGGAGGGTATTGGCCTGGAGCTTGAGGAGGGCCACCGGCATATTGCTGGGGTGGGTATTGATACTGACTCGTTTGAGGCTGACTCTGAGGCGCATAGTTAGAGTACGGTGGTTGCTGATATGGAGGTTGGCCCGGGGCAGGTGATCCTCCGGGAGGGTAGTAAGGCGCTCCTTGCGGAGGTTGCTGATAGCCCGAATGAGACGGTCCCGGTTGGCTAGGAGGGGGACCTCCAGCCGGAGGGTATTGGCCGTAGTACTGTTGGTTTGGCGGATTCATAGTTGCCAAGGTAAATATATGTGATATTCTGTTCCAGTAATAGGTGAATTGCGTGAATTATGTGAGAGGAATGGGTATAGAATGACAGGAGCTGTTGGTATTAGACATAAGTAAATCTCTTATAAGCTAGAATTTAAATTCAACGACGACAAGAGGCCTCCAGATAGATTTGGTAGATTTGGTAGGAATGCTAGGACCATCGTACTACTTCCATCCCATTCAGCCACGCTTGTTACCCAATTGATTCCCAGCTTGGAAAATCCTTCCCGCCGCGATAACGATTGCTTACCGTTGCCAAGCAATATAGATACAGAGAAAACACAGCTAAGACTTGGGGTTGTCGTAGGGCTGGTAGTATGTTAGGAGAGGCAACCAACCAGGTCTTCAGGAATTATGCCGTCTTCTCGCTGTTTATGGTCCTGTGATGTTCGGTTGAGTACTCGATAGGCATGTTGCTGCGGTCATCACAACCGTTTTCTCTAAACTGCATGCTCACTACCTCCATACTCAAGTCAATGGTAGGTATGGATTTCTTCATGGTTACCAGTTTATATGGATTATCAAGAGGGATCCAACCTTGCGTACTTAAAGTATGGCATGCTTGATTGAAGGAGGTTCATGACGCATGTAGCTCTTCAAGTTGCTATTAAGTACAATGCATATGTAGGTATCAATGAATTACTGTTATCGAGTTTGATATAGTAGGTTGTAAATACATATATGCAGTTATCTTACATCTCTCCCACTTAACGCGTTGCTAGGCGTGTCGCATTGTACAAACGTGGGCGGCAGGACGGTTCCAAACGGTTAGCTGATAAGATAAAGACATTCCCATGTTGATTTCCCCCTTGACAAAAACAAAACAAAAACCAAGAACGTCATCGGCTGTACATATATACAAGATATACAAGATTTTGTGCCAATGGGCTTGTATATAGCCACTCCTGGCTCCACGGGTCGCCATGGACGACTTTTCCGACGACGACTTCGACACTCTGAATGCAAACGTCTTGCAGGAGCTCGAAAATAATGCCATTCAATTCACCCAAGCACAGAAAAAGTACCAATCCACACAATCCCAGCGGTTAGTAGACGATTTCGAGGATGACGACCTTGACGATGCCGTTGTTGAAGATGAGCTTCGCGGGAACTCCGTCCTCCTACCAGAGAAAACGGCTCAATTGCCATCAAGGGTCGTCCCTCAACATCAACAGCACCAAGCATGGTCTGGTCCAGCACCTGTTCCTCCCAGTCGTTTTCGTCCTCAGCCTATTGCTTCCTCTTCTCGGACGCCAATGCTTCAACAGCAACCACCCGCTAGCTCTCGTCAACCGCATCAACAAATAACTCGTCCTCCGGCTCCATCATATAGCCAGATTCGCCCTCCGCCTCCGTTACCTCGACCAACTCCGTCTATCCCTCCACGATATCAAGCGTCCCAAGCGCAAAGGCCAGCTGGTCCATCGAACCAAGACATTATTGCTCTACAGGCCCAAATATTGGATCTAAAAACGAGACTTACTACCAAGGATGGAGAGATAGGGATCGTCCGAAAGCGATTGGAAAAGACGCGCGAAGAGCACGACCGCGAGCTTCAGGCCATAAAGAAACAAGCAGCCGAGCAGGTAGCCAAGCATGAGAGAGCTCTCGAGGCCGCAAAGGTAGCTCAACAAGCTGCTACTACGGAACTTCAGTTTACAAGGAGGGATCTCAAGGACGAATTAGAACGCGCCAAGCGTAAAGATGGTCCTACGACACCTAAGAAGAATGCTGCCGCTAAGTCGTGGGGGATAGCAGACGGATTTGAAGATGTCGAGATTGCGACTAGTCCTAGCAAGGGGCAACGGGGTAGAAATACAGGTGCTGTGGCTAGCGCCGTTGTTGAACCGCCGGCGAGACTGACGAGAACGCCGACGAAAGGAAAGAGGAAACGTTCGGCTATCGACAGTCCCGTAACAGCACTAGAGACCCACTCTGAGGATGTTGTGATGTTAGATGATCCTGTCGCAGATGACAGCAATAACTCTTCGCCAGTGAACATCGTACCTAGGGTTGCTTCCTTCGATGTATGTCGGGGCCCGAATCTATCGATTATTTACCCGTTACGTATATATACTAACAATTACTAGTACATGAAAGTGATACTCAACCATAGCTCTGCGCACGGTCGCCCATTGGCCTTTGAGTATCTAGCTGGTTTTGCGCTTCCGTCAAGGCCTACGGAGAGTCTTGCATCAATACTTTTCCAGAAACTTGCCGTTATTGGAGATCCTCACGACCCTATGCGTCTACCAATAGAATTCTGCGAGGAACTGATTCGGCTGTGGCGTAGCTGTTTGGATGAAAGTTGCGTAAGTACCCTTTTCTTTGATCGTAACAAAATAGGGGGCTGACTAATAACTTCGCAGTTGGCTCCTATAATGGATTTGGTTTCATTGATATATCTAACGCTCCAGCTATATACCATTGCTGTTGCGCCATACATCGCCCCCTCCCTTCTACCGGTCGCGATGGACTCCTGCTTTGAGGTGGCGATCCCTAGATTTTACCACGAGGGCCCTGGAGATCCACCGAAAGACACCTGGAAGAATTTCAACGCAAACATCTCAACTACTGAGATTCTCTCGCTATTATATTTGACAGCTTTAGACTGCGCGGCTTCGCCCCCCGTTGGTGGTGTTACGGACCCAGCAATCGATTTTTGGAGCCAGGTTCAGGTCGAATTTGTCCTCTTGCATCTTAGTCAAAAGCATCCGGTGGAGGATTATCTAATCATATTAAGATGGCTATGTACATCTGTTTTCCCCGATAGCATCGGTCCAATTTGTCCTGATCGGACGGTGGAGGTGGTAGCGAGTGCGTTGATCGAGCGAATTTCACACCAGCTTGTCGAGAAGCCACTTTGGGATATTGATCAGTATAAGCTGCGCAGTGTTCGAAATGGAGTATTGCGGACGTTGGCCGCTTTTGCTAGATCATCTTTTGGTCTTGCCCAGCTTGCCATAAATAACTACGCCATCCCACGTTTAGTCACCTTGCTGTCGTCGTGTATAGACGAGCTATACGACGGGGATATGCGATACGAATCTTCGGATGACGATGATTCACAGAGAGAGCTGCAGACTTTGGTGGCTCGTTCCGTTTTACTTTTACATACAATCATCACAAACCCCTTAACTGCCGACTTGGTAAATGTTTCGGCAAAACTAACTAAACCGACGGGAGCGTCACAAAAGTACCTGCTGAGTTTAGGACGGCTCAATTTTTCGGAGGATTTAGTATCGGAGGAAACGGCGGAACTGGCGCATGAACTGTTGGAATTGGCAGTAACCCCTGAAGAGGGCGAGGAGTTGGGACGGTTCTTTGGGGGATGAAGTCCTTTTTTCCTTTTGGTTAAGCATTCGAAGATACCTTAGATACCAGGTCCGGCGGAAATTCACAAAAGGTTCAAGACATGATATTGTATAACTTGGTTTGCCTATCACGGACGGTGATGATTCCATCTAGAGGTTGAGTAGGATCAACATATTTCCGTTTGATGGAAAGTCGTAGCAATCTCGGAAAACGGTTGGGAGCGTAAGGCTGATGATGAAGACCCACACACTTCGCCGCGCAGAAGACATCCGGACTAATTGCATAGGTACCAACTGGCCTTCGACACATGTCATGGCCATTGGTTTGATAGTAATTGTAGTGGTGTCTACAATACCTCGGTAGCTTGAGTCGGGGGATAATTAAGGAAACATAATATCCGAATATTGAAATATACCCATCTTTTCATCTTTGTTTATTATTATGTATTTTGTAAATATGTACATAAAAGAAGTTGAGAATTGATCGCAGCTAACCGTCCACTAAGTTAGTCCGGTCAGGGGTGTTAAAAACGTTGAGAAGCAATACGCTTTTTTTTCAATGCATGACATGTGAATATTGATTGTAGGTAAGTTTATTAAGGGGCAGAGGGGGACGGATCAAACGGACGGGATGACGACACGGGTCGACGGATTAGATTTAAAGGCCGGGAATTGATTGGGCTGAATGGGATTCGATGCAATTATACGTGATACGCCACAGATTACACCTGATTACACCCATCAAATCGATCAGACTCGGGTCTAAGCCACCATTTGACGTAGCCAAGCATTAGGCTGGGTGCAGATGGATGCAAATAGCTCAGCCAGCCAAGCAACTGCAATCAACCGTATCCATTAGAACATTGAACCTTAGACCTTAGAGGCGTGCGACCCAAACCAGGCTTAAAAAATCCAGACAGAAGAAAAATAAGTGCACGATGTTGTCCAACTAATTACACGAATCTCTTAAAGACACGACACCGTAACAATAAGCAAACAAGAAGGAAGACGGGGAAATACTATTGTCTCGTCCTGTTCTTGACTTCTGTTCTTGACTTCTTTTCTCGACCTTCCTTGTTCCAAATCTACTACGAATTCATTAATCAATAACCAAGGACGTGGTGTCTAAGGCAGCTTTTTTCACGCGCCGACCTTCCGACATCCCCACCCTCTCTCAACGCTTCACATTCACATTGAGCCTCATCCTTTGTTACACTTGTTCGACAATCAGCTTTGTCGGGCAGGTCAGGCTGCAAACTTGGCGAGTTACTCCTACAGCTGTCTCTATCGTCCTACTATACAGAGACGACAGAGGCCACTATTTCTTTTAGGACCATCCGCATTCTTAGCTTAGCAACTCCGTCGATCCGCGACTAGCGCAAACCCTTCGCAGTTTAGACGATTACCAATACTACGACCTTCGATTCTCACCCACCACCCGCCGAATAGTTGTTGTCGCATTAGCAAGTAAAGGCACTCCGCGCTATTTCCTCAACCTTGCAACTCCTGCTCAATCTACGAAGCTCACATCAACCACCATGACGAAACCGCGTCGTGGGGTTCGCTTCCCCAACCGGAATGGCCATGCTGCTGATGGTAGGAGATCCAGCTTCAGCGAGATAAGCGAAGATGGATCAGGGTCTCCTGTTAAGATCAAGAGCTCGCCGCATTTAGACGGCATCAGCGAGGTACATTCGCATACTCCTCGAAGCATTGTATGCTTGTTTGGCTTGAAGCTAACATAACTTTTCTTTAGAAAGGACCTGAACAACCACCAATGTCCGACTACGAGAAGAAAAAGGCCAACTTCATCACCCGAACCTTTTGGACCTTCGTCATGATCGGAGGCTTCTTCTCAGCCCTATTCGCGGGCCATATTTATATCATTGCCTGTATCACCATCGTTCAGATAGTCTCCTTCAAAGAAGTTATTGCGATCGCTAGTGTTCCTAGTCGAGCTCGACAACTACGGCCTACGAAGAGTTTGGACTGGTACTGGCTTGCCACTACAATGTACTTCTTATACGGCGAGTCTGTCATCTACTATTTCAAGCATATTGTGTTGGTCGACAAGGTCTTGCTCCCGCTTGCCACACACCACCGCTTCATCAGCTTCGTCCTTTACGTCATTGGCTTCGTCTTCTTCGTCGCCAATCTCAAAGCTGGTCACCTTAAATTCCAATTTGCCAACTTTGGCTGGACTCATATGGCCCTGTACTTGATTGTCGTACAGGCGCATTTCGTCATGAACAACGTCTTCGAGGGCATGATCTGGTTCTTCCTACCTGCCGCTCTCGTTATTACCAACGACATCTTTGCCTACGTATGCGGTATCACCTTCGGCCGTACCCAGTTGATCAAGCTTTCCCCCAAGAAGACAGTGGAAGGCTTCGTGGGTGCTTGGTTCATGACTATCCTATGGGCTATTCTTCTAACCAATATCTTGATGCGTTCCAAGTATTTCATTTGTCCTGTCAACGACCTTGGCGCCAATATCTTCACCGGTCTTGAGTGCGACCCTAACCCCGTATTTATTCCGCACACCTATACCTTGCCTCATCTATTCTTCCTTCCGGAGGGAACTAGTTTCTCCTTCACTACCGAGCCTATGCAATTCCACTCCATTATTCTAGCTTCCTTCGCATCTTTAATCGCACCTTTTGGCGGCTTCTTTGCCTCGGGACTCAAACGTACCTTTAAGATCAAGGACTTTGGTGATTCGATTCCGGGACATGGCGGTATGACCGACAGAATGGATTGTCAATTCATCATGGGATTTTTTGCTTTTATCTACTACCAGACCTTTATTGCGCAGCATAAGGTCAACGTTGGCGCCATCATGGAGTTAGCCATTACAGGGTTAACACTAGAGGAGCAGATGGAACTGGTGAGGGGAATGAGCAGATATCTAGAAAACCAGGGAGCCTGGGGCCCGGGAGTGAGTATCTCAATTACCTTATGTTATAAGTCTATTAACTAACATCGATTAGGTCCATGATTGTCTAGAACAGGTATTACCGGCCCGGCGATAGGGACGGGTCGGACACGCGCTCTGGTAGTAAAGGTCCATGAGCAGAGGTATACTATGTATGTGTGTATAGCTACTCGGTTCAGTAGCCCATTAATGAATTGACGAAGATTTATCGGATCCGGGTTTTGCATCTCTCTGAGCAAGAGACTACATGGTGATTTTACCAAGTATGGACAGACCATGACCTAAAAAAAGGGGGCCGGGGGGCGAAAGGTTTAGGGGTTTGGTGTGTTCTTTGGGATTTAGTAGAAGACAAAATAGGAAAGGGAAAACAAAACCCTTCTTCTTCTTCTTGGATCTGGGCTACGTGTATTATCTCTCTTGTATTATCTAAGTGCCTAGGCCCATCTCAACACCACACCACATCACACCCATCTTCCAAAAAGTTCTTAACTCGTGTCAACCGGAGTTTATTGGGTGGAGACGTGGCGCTGAATATTGGATGCAGCCGGCACAGATAGGTAATCCTGTCTTTCGAAGTATTCTAGGTCGCCGACCCAAGTCGGTCCGTTCACGATGTCAGAAGTTCTGATGGGGAGTAGGGAAGGTTCGTTGTTATGAATCGCGAAAAGGAGGGTATCCATACCAAATACACATGTTTCTTTTTTTTTCACCCGATGGAAACGATTTCGCCTGGCTCCTCCGGCGCTGCTGACCCGAAGCTAGAACTTTCACGGATATATCCCGAGTTTTCCGTCTCTTAGTCAGTTCTTACTTCATCGTGGAATATCGTATTTTGAGGAGACGTGTCGTAGCCGACTTACTATCTACGTATATTTACTTGGGTAACTGGGGTTTTTTTGTGACACGGAAGCTGAATAACTAGGCTGGAACTTGTCAAAAAGAAATAAGAATGGTGTTCACGTGTCCAGCTCAAGCAAGGATCTAGCCAGGAGAAGGTATTGTGGTAGCCGTTGCGATTGGCATAATCTTGCGAGATCTTGTGGTACGCCGGATGGTACTCGGCGCAATGTAGTAAGATATCTACCTATCTAGTAGAACTAGGTAAACCCCAAGTATGACAGATCTTCGTCCATCGTCATCCCGTACACCGGCCGAACCTCGCCGCGCCGCCGGGTTTAGGCCGCGCGAAAAGGCACCGCGTCTTCTTGGGGTCGCCGAAGAGAAGATGTGGTGTGGATATCGCGGTGTTCGGTGGCGCCCTGTCTCGCATTTCGTGCATACCTAGACTTGTCAAAAAGAAGTTCGCGTCAAGCGAACTCAATCTTATCCTCCACACCTAGGACGGTACGATTCCTATTGGGTCTCGCTCCTAAACTAGCGGGAAACCGCCTTTCCCGTTCTAACGGCTCAGCTTACTAGAGGTGGCCGGAATAGTCAAGAAGTGAGGTGAGCGATACTGTGTTCGTGAGCCTTCGACGCCTCTTTTTGCGGCAATTTACTTTACTTTGCTTAGTGTTGTCGCTGCCCACGGGGAAGTTCGATAAGGTTTGTAGGGCTTGGGTGAGCATGGGGGTGCCCACGTGTGGTGGAAGCAAGATGTGAACCCGTGGACGTGGGCTTATGCAGCCATCGACCATCCCGATGACATACCTACCTAGGTAACCACTTGGGCTGCCTGGGGTAGCATGGATTACAGGTTGGGACTATCAGGGTATTTAGGAGTTTGTTTCATGTTGCAGTTGAAATGAGGAGGTAGGAATGGATATCTGATGAATACGGTATTCATCGTAATGCTAGTCTAACACCAAGGAACATCGGATGTTGAGAATGTACCTAGGACTTGTCGGTCTATCGACATGTACCACCAACGCTGGAAGCTCATTCCATCATAGAATACTTCTGAATTCGTTGGTTTCGTCAGATACACCACCAACAGGCTTCTGCATGGTTCCCCGAGTCGATCTCACGCATTAGCGCTGACAACTCCGGGGGGTTCACCCACGTTTGTGCCACTCGGCCGGAACTGAATTATCATTTCGATGGGTCCGAGAAGCAATAATTGATAAAGGAAACACGGCATTGGGACGGAGTCGAGCGAACGAGTGAGTCCGCCAGTACCCGAGCAAGTGGTTAGGCGGGCGATCAATGCCGCTTACCCAGCTTTCTCTCGCCGCCGATCTGAACTACATATCGTTGGGGTTACCAAAGGTATGAAGGTGATACTTGGTGGGTGAGCACGACACTATCAATAATATACCCAAGGCTACGGCGCACCTAGCTCTGACGAGATTAGGTTATGACGAAGGGTTTACATTGGATGTGCTGTTATGTATAGCGCGTATCTTATAGTTGGACATACAAGATTAATTGAGTCGGAAAGCTCGGTTGATACCTAGTCAACGATAAAGTGATACAGATGAGTTCAGAGATCTGGAAAGGAGATTTAATTTAATAAACGGGCATTGATACCCAAGTCCAATCCTTGTTGGTTGGGCGGAACTAACGGGCGAAAGAGGCGCACATTGCATTGCATCGCATAAGCATGCAAGAGATTTGAAGTGCTGTACCGATTAGGTAGGATGAGAAGGGTAACTTGCAGCATGACTATTCGACGATGCCCTCAGCCGAGACACCCATTAAGGCAGGGCTGGCTTGGTGGCTTCCTAGATATTCGATATTCCTTGAACCTTGAGTTTCCTCGATGTCGAATGAAGGTGCAATCTCTTCCGATACTTGCTTTATGATCACCCGATGCTTCGATGCAACCACCGCGACGATATTAGTCGTGCGAAATATTATGCGAAGATGTGAGGCGAAGTGTGACACTTGCGCATCTACGAGGAAACCGGCGAAGGTAATAAGATATCCGGTCGACTCAAGCCGATTACTTGGCTGCCTAGATGTGTGTATGTATCTAGGTACGTATGTCGGTGTGACGATGGCTTAGATTGTGTTCCTCTTAGATAGGTATGTTAGTTGGGTCGAAGATGGGAGAAAACCGTGGGGTTGCGCATTGAGACATTTTGGTTCGTGCTGATGGTTGCGCGTTCCTACCGGTCAGTGATACTTCTTTGGCGTTTCAAAGTTCCGGATATCCCATCACAGGTTGACATGACAACATATCGCACCCTCCATTTTCCAAGAGTGGCCTGAGTGGCCTGAGTGGGTTGAAGTTTGAGGGGGGCGAATCCGCCGTCGAGTCATCTAAAAAGCAAGTATCATGAAGGCAGGCATCCTCTAGGATTCCCAAGGTACACGAGAATACGCGCTTCGCATCGGTCGGGCGATATAACCTATTCCTGTGATCAAACTGCGGATGATGGATTGATATGACTTTAAGGAACATGACCACAAGTCACACGTATTGGATGTGGTGAATGTGTTAGGAGTAAGAGGTTGAAGAAGAGTTTGGATTGGAGAAATTCGAGACCGTTGGAGAATATGATTGGAGAGAGGCGAAGCTTGGGAACCCGCAACCTTGAACCGGGTAAATAGGTAGGTACTTATCAGTTTGAGTTACACATCCATGGATACGTTATAACCATATGCACAACCCGGTGAAATGATCGTACTTGCCTGTACCAAGGCAAAGTTTAGCAAGTTAAGGTTAAATGGTCCTAGAATAACTTTAGTGTATAATTGGCTACTGCGACTGAGGACAGGGTATCTGCAACCTCCTGATTGGGTACCATGTCAATGGCACTTCCTATGTGCTACAACTTCTATACAATTCATTACAATGTCACATCTTTGAACCCGATCCATCACCTTGACGGCCAAGATTATCGTGGTACCTAGATACGAACCTACGGAATGTATACGCGAACGTATACCAGTCCTCGAAGCCTCCTTCGTCACGATGGATCGGTTTGTGTTTCTAACTGGTGGCTCTAGCCACTCCCACTCGCCGTTATCATGTCGTGGGACGTGTCATTCATGACCGCGTGGTGATATACACATACACACACATACACACACATACACACGCATGCCATGTGCATGGCTCAACGTGACCGGGATGAGAGCAAGTCCTTTCGTACGAATTGGGTGTTTGCCTATCGACCTACGTGTTACGACGCACCGGAGGGTATTTAGACTGCCTATGTAGTCTTCCTGAAAGTCCGGTGATGTAGGTAAAGCTAAACCGTCTTCCTACATCTTCCTACTTCTTCCTCTGTGTCTTTCCTTAGCCCAATTTCGTCTAATTAAGATGGCTATCGGCAGTGTCAAGTCTAGAGTCAGGTCATTTTTCCGACCTGGCTTAGCTAAGAGGAGAAGATCAAGTAACACATCTTCGGAATGTGAGCACAAGAAAATAAAGAATGAGTTGATGGCGCCAGCCCAGACCGACGCCATCAATAATGCTGCTGTCGGTATCGATGGCGTCGGGCTTGATATGCAACTCGCTAGCCCGTTCTTCCGGAACCTTCCTATCGAGATCCGGAGGATGATATATAATCTCGTCTGGACCGGCCCCTACGATCACAAATACCATGCTGGCCGCGGTCGTCACATTCATTTCCAAAATGGCCATTGGATTAATGCAAGATGTGTCATGTATGAGGATGACGAGGACCTCGATCTCCTCCAGAAGAATAGTATGTCGTTTTCCCTTCCATACTCATCGAGGAAGCCATGATCCCTTCTATTACCCGTATAACACCCATACATCGTTGACAGAAAGGATCGTAGCTAATATAATTATTTATAGTGGACTCAATGCATAGTTCGGGGAAAGGTGACTTAGTCATGTGGCAGAGGAGGCTGGCGTCGACCTGGGGATGCCGACATTGGAGATGCGAAGAAAGAATGCAATATGAGAGAAGGAAGTCGGTGGACCACACTGACTTCATGTCCATGATGCTGGTTTGCAAGCGCATGTAGGTTCCCACCGAAGCCCCATCGTACCCGCTATTGTGCTTCGCGTCGCCCACAACGAAGTTCGGTATCATCAGACTAACCTGCCGGGTGCATAGGTTTCCTGAAGTCGTCGAGTCGATATTCGAGTCGCACCAGTTTCTATTCAATGACTTCTTCTCCGCACACAGGTTCTTCGTCTACAACCCATCACCGTATATCCCGTACATGCGTCATCTGGACCTGTCGCTCAACCTTCCTTTTCACGAATACGCGCCGTTCGTCATTGACGCACCAAAAAGCCGAGTCCGCGAACTCTGGAAGGCCCTAGAACGCATTTCGTGCCTGCATACTTTGCGCATCTCCCTTGACATTTACGATCGCGGCGCATGGCGCAAGATTCCGGAACGGGGTGTTACGGAGCAGCTCAGGAACCTGAAGGTGCTGAAAGATTTCACCCTCGAATTACCACCGTCGCTGCCTATCAAGGCAGACATCCCAAATATGCACAATCTCGATGCCCAAGGAGAAGAACCATTCACGGTTGTGCGCCGCCCTCCTTTGCGATACTGGCAATTCACTCCCGGCCAGGTAGAGCGCTTCACGTGGGACACGCACACGAAAGGCCAGCAGAGCCACTGCTTCATTACTTTGGCTAGAGAGGCGAGGAATGTTCCGAATCCGTACTTATTGGACTTCTTTTGAAGACGCCATGCTATAGATGGTGAGAACGCACGTTGATTGGTTCTTCGTCGGTATAGGAGCCTGTAGGGTCTCCAAACAGAAACTGTTTCCTAACATCACATGTCTACCATTAATCTATTAACCTCGAATGACTCATTTCGGATAGGGTCGTCTGGATGGATCGGGATGCATTTTTATCAAGTTGGTTTGCAGTTGATGCATGTCCTTCTGATCATATTACTCTGTCATTAGTTCTCATAGGAAACGCCATCCTGCCCCCCCTATTGCGCCCCCGTTACCCCTTTCGTACGTATGAATACTACACTGCATCAGCCACAGTCACATCGGACGGCTGCCGTTGGTTAAGTGTAGTAACACAGCGGCCAACGCCCCCCACTTCATCTTGCCGGCCAATATAGGACGCGGCAGAGTGCCGCATCGGATTACGCCATGTATATGAACCGTTTGCGGCCATGACATAACCTGATTTTATGTGGATATTACAGATCCCCATTCATGATCCGGTGTTACATTGGTTAGATTCATATGTAGCTAGATTCAACGAAGGAGAGTAGGTTACATCGAGTAAAGTTCGTAAGGCAGGCTACAACGCGGCCCAGGCTGCATGCTGCATAATTCCTCTGGTTTAAGGGCCTCTAGCCAATGAACTTGGTACCTAGCCGCCAGCCTGCAGAATCACAATTCTTTCTCAGGCGATAAGCGTCACCCATCCTCCATCCTATACGACGCTGATTAGATGTTGGCGACTATTGTCCAATGATAAATCGCGGTTACAATGGTCGCCGCTGTGTCGGGTACGATCACAAGCGCAGTAATGCGCGCGGAGCCGGTGTTCGGGCCGTGTTAGTGAGTTCTAGCTGCTGATGAAGGATAAGGCTGTGATTCCTATAAAACACGGAATTTCTCAGTCCAACAGACCAACAATCGTTAGTGATACAATAAATGGCTGATTGCCGAATTATGCAAGAAGATACGAACGGGAACTAGACAAGATGTCGCTCAAGAAAGTCGTCACACCCGCTATAGCCCCCGACACAGCTCGCATACGGGAGACCGCCGACCGTCAGCTCGGCTCGATACTTTTCGGAAGACTGCCTTTGGAAATTCGAGACATTATTTACGCCGAGTGTTGGAAGGCGTCCGGACTTGAACAACATGTCTTCATCCGGGATGGGCGCTTAACCCACTGGCCATGTACTCTAGCATCCGATGAAGTGGATGAGAGGCTCGAGGAGCTTCAACGGATGTTAGAAGCCCAGGAATTTCAACCGAGGTCACGTACACGCTCTTTGGTCTTAGATGATAAATGGGCTAGAAGATTTTCCTCTCCATGGCACAATCACTGGCGGTGCGAAGAGGAGATGGATGAGGCTATAGCCAACGAGGGAGGCCATTGTTACTCACCACGCTCTAGCCGTACTCTTTTCCTTCCTATCCTATTAGCTTGCAAGAGAACGTGAGCGCCCATTCTATTAGCCTCCAAAGCACATCTCATCCTCATTCTCATATATTCCGGAACAAAGAAGCTCACATCCTCCCAGCTACCTCGAAGCCCGCCCCAGCCTCTACGCCTCCTTAACCCCAATATTCACAGACCTATCCGCTGCCCACGCCTTCCTATCCCTCTCCCCATCCACAGTCTCATCGCAACTGCGCTCCCTCTCCCTCTCCCTAGCCCTGCCCGTCGAAACGCTGCACCAGCACCACCTACAGACCCACCCCACCGACCCGCCAGGCCCCTGGGCCGACCTATGCACCGCGCTCTCGAACCTCGTGCGCTTCGCCGCTCTACGCGAAGTCACATTACGTCTCGCCGTCGGTGCTTGCGATCCTAGCACTAATTCCGCCAACTCCACCGAGCAAACCGAACCCGAAACTCGGATCAAGATCGCCGGGTCCAGCTGGCGCGACACGCCGTCGTGGCCAGAAGTCCGCGAGCGCTGGGCCCTGAGCGCCGTGCGCGGGCTCCTGGCCCGTCGGCTGACGGTGGAGCTGCCGCAAGTGGCGCCGACGTACACGTACCCGGAGTGGGCGAAGCGGTACCAGTACCTTTCCGACTCCTCCGACTCCGGCGACGGCGGTGGGCGGGGCGTGCCGTTTAAGAAGTTGGTTCGGTATCAGGCGTTGCCGCCTATGCGGGTGCGCGGAGACGGGAGGGTGGAGCCTAGGATGGATGGGCCGAGGTCGCCGCGGTCGCCCGGGGTATCGGGTGCGGGTTCGGGTGCGGGTTCGGGTGTAGGTGGGGATAAGGGGGAGGGGGAGACGAGATTGCGGAGGATGAAGGGGAGTGTTAGGAAATTGGTTGGGGGGCTTAGGACGAGTTGATTGTTAAGAGCAATTCAGGGGGTGATTTTAAACGTGAAGGCTGTCTAGGTACTTAGGTAGGTTGTGAATTACTCCGTGCTTTAGGTTGTTGTGCTATTATGCATAACAGCTAGGTATCGAATCTCCCTTCGCGTTATTACAGAGCTTGGAGTCGACCTAGTACCTATTTTTGATGATCTTGCGACCTACGGTTCTATGGTCCTTTGAGTTCACGAAGTTTTTGATATTATAGTGTCGTAGAGTTCTGTTGATACCTAGCACTTCCTCATTCATGTTTTCGCGTCAGATATAGGCAAGCTTGGGTCCTTAACGCGATACTAGGTAGCAATGTTTCGATGGGTGGCTCTCCGGAGCTAGAAATAAATAGCATACCCCCAACAACTATAATGTGTTTAGAATTACGAGGTACCTCCGCTAAGTCTCAAAAGTCTCTTGATTGCCGCTTCATCGTTTGATTTACCCTCTTTACTCTTGACCTCCTTTTCCTCTATCTTGCGTTTCTCTTCCGCAACCCAGCCCGTCACTTGGCTTACTGCTCGCACAGGCGCTCTCTGGTGTTGGAGAAGATACTCCTGGAGTTGAGCCGGCGTGAAGGTTTCTGCCGGTATCTCCCTGGAGAACCTCGTAGCTAGTGCCGACAGATCTTCGCCGCCTTCAATGTCTTTTGAGGAGAAGCTATCTTGCACGCTATCGAGCGATTCGATGCTTCCACCTTTGCCGATATCATCTTCCAATAGGTCCGCCTCATACATGCGGTGAAACATTTGCTCCGCGCCGTGTTGGTTAACGTGGCCGAAATATATCTTTCGATCAATACGTCCCGGTCTCAACAAAGCCTCGTCAAGCCGGTCCGGCTGATTGGTAGTCATCAGCAGAATACGTCCCTCGCTCGAGGCAACCCCGTCAAGCGCGTTGAGTAATCCGGAAAGGGTGCACTTCATATAAGGCCGTTTCTTTGTTTTCTTCTCCTCTTCGTCGTCGTCATTCCTGTCCTTCAGCCCCACGACATCGATGTCCTCCAAAAGCACCAGACAGGGTGAAGGTAACTCCTGGAATAATTGGTCGAGAACCTCATCATTTGGAACCGCGGACAGGTCCAGTATGAATAAATCGAGCCCGAATTCCCCCGCTAATGCAACTGATAGCGATGTCTTGCCGGTTCCAGGCGGACCGTGGAGGAGATATTCTCTACGATAAGGGATGTTGAGCGAGGTGTAATACTGTCGAGTCCTAGGGTCGAGGTATTGCTCTATATCCGACACCAAGTCGGATTTTACGTCTTCATCAAGGTGAACGGAATCCAGACGTCTCGTTGCCCTGTGCGCCTTAACCTCCCAGCCATATTCCATATAACTGAACATCGTAAACGCATGTATAGCCACGGTTGATTGTTGCTGTTTCTCCGAGAAGCTGCGACATTCCTTAAGGAACCTTCTAGTGGGTTCTTGGGAGCGGCCAATCGAGGATACGGTAAGGTTAACTTTGCTATTGCTGTCTTTTTCCTCCCTTCCTCTCACCCTACGGCGACCGGTCCTGAGTTTGCTCCCGATTACCGCGCTGCGCGACAGCCTGATCATAAAGGGCCGCCTCTCGTACATGAACCAGATTGATTTAAAGGCAGGCAGGTAATCAATTTGGACTTTTCTTCTACCCCTATACTCCGCATATTCTTTTGTGTCCATATCGTTTCCCCTAAGGATTGTTGTCTGAGCAAAGAGGGATCTGTTCGTCCGCTGCTTCAGGACATTGGCGGAAACCCAGGTCAGTACTTGTTCGTAGAGCTCGTCTGGAGCCGGCACGCAGACAGAGACCATGAAGGACTTCTGGATCCATTCGTACATCCGAAAGATAGACCTGCTAGCTGGCGTGATGGCAGCAGAGATAAGGCTGAATAGGGTTAGCAGGACGGAAATATGAGTGAAATCTATTTTGAGAGTTTGAGACAAGAAGTTCTTAAGCTTTTGAAAAGTGGGATTTCCAGGATCAATGAAGCGTCCCGTTATAGGGAAGAGATTGGCGTAAGGAGTCCGAGCCATGGTGATGATACTTGCAAAGATCGACTGATGATAACTTCTCCCATACACTTGTATGGCATTGAGTTATGAGGATGGTCAATTATATAGGTCGGACGATTGTCCAAAGAACTTTGACCATTGAGATCTCATATTGCGTAAATGTAAGACAAACCCTCTAGCCTCCACAAACATTGTGCCATTACAAACATGCGCATAGTATATCTAAAGTCTATGATAGGGACTATGGTAGGGAATATCTCATGTCATTTTCACATGGTTTTTGGATCAGTTTCGGAATTCTTTGTACTACGGCGGGTAGACGAAGGAGAAACAGCCAGCTAGCGAAGTGTCGTAGTTGATGGAGAAATTGTCCATGGCTAGGAATTTAGTTAACCTACAGCACGTTGCTGTTCTGGGTAGCATCAGCTTGAACACAGTACGAGACAGAGCAATCGTGTCTCTAGATTCTGTAGGTTTGACGAACCGGTTCGCCATGACAAACGTTTATCAACAGACTACTCAAGTATGGCAACCTATCACAGGATCCTCGTGGCGTAGCAGTATTGGATAATTGTGCCAGCCAGTACAACGGCGCGTACGACACATGGATGTAATTCCGATGAAATTGAGTTTTCTTCGTGAGCCTAGACTGCTACCTTGCCACGAAACCTCATAAAGACTGAAGCTTTTCCTAGAATGGCATCCGGTACGCCTATGAACACTATCATTACGCGTAGCAAAGCGGTATATACGTGCTCGAAATACGAGACTACCGGTGGAGCAAAACGGGAATTGGGGTCATCGATCGTCTCAATCTCGATGCCGTGACAGATCTCACCGGCGAAATTCGGCCTCGAGGCCAAGCCTCCCCCCTCCACCTAAGAGCTTTTCATGGAACACTAATCCTCGCAACATGCCAACCGTAACTTGCTTTCCGCCTGAAACGCCCATACACCAAACTCCGCCGCCTAACCAAGTTCAGTTCAACAGCAATCTCCGTGAGACAATTTCAAATGTCTTCAAGAAGCCTCTTCGCCGACTCGTCCTCCTAGACCAAGTCCGCCACCAAGATTACGCATGTGAACTTCTCTCAACCGACCGACCCAATGTCGTCGTAGGATCGGGGTCATCTTGACGAAGACCATAGCCTTGTTCTCATCCGTGAGGGCCTTCTCCGCGATCTTGAGTTGGAGGTCAGCATCCTCGTCAGCGAACTCGGCGAAGAATATCTCTACCGCCTGTTCTGACCATTTAGGGGGAGATCGAGCCTTGAGAGCCTCCGCAAGGGACAGTATGCTGTCTTCGATAAGCCCAGGGGTGGCGGTAAAGGAAGGATGAAGGCTTTGCGGCGCCGCTGAGGCGGCAGCAGGCGGAGCGGCGGCAGAAGAAGATGATGGCGTAGTCGATTGCTGGGTGTAGAAATTAGATGAGAAGCGCGAAGGTCTACCTCGACGTTTCTCGGGATACATCGGACTAGGGTTGGGATTGGGGCGCTTTTGCGCCTGGGTGTTTGGCACTTGCTCGTCAGGTGGGGTGAGCGCGCTCGGGTTTGCGTTGATAGATGATCGGGGCGGAATAGTAGTTGATGAAGGTCGCTGCATAGTAGATTGCGACATGGAAGGAGTCGGCACTGGTTGACTCATTGGTTGCGACTGCTGTACCGAGTTCTGCGTAGGTGTCTGGGCGTAGATGCTCCCATCGAGGGAAGGATCGATGACTGTCTGATCCGCGGTCGCGGTTGCGGTTGCGGTGCTTGGTCTCGCTGACAAAGTGCCGTCGGGGTTCCTTCGTCTCGGCTTCATGATTCGCTTAGGCGCACCGCCAGATCCCACGACATCGGGGAACAGTATCTCCATGAATTCTTCATGGTCAAAGGGGCGACCTCTGAGGGCTTTGGAGAGCGGTTCTCTCTATTAAAGAAGTGTTGTTAGAATGAATAGAGGTTTATATATTATATATTAATTATTTATTTTAAGAAATATTTACTTACTTCGAAATGACGTCGCCAAGCTTCCTCGCTCGCGGTCACCATCCTGGTGGTGGGGTTGTAGAGAAATTCGGGGTCTTCTCGTAGACCTCTCCACATCCGGAACTTCTTACGCGCATTGTCGGCCTTGTTAATCAAGTGACTTTTTTCGGGATAAGCGCCATGCTTGTCGCGTAAGGTGATAGCAGCTCGCTCCCATGCGCCCGACTTGAAGCTGTGGTTCTCTTTATAACCCATCGACATGGATTCACATAGCGACCTGAAGAAAGTCTCCTCATAGGCGAGGTTCCAGCTGAATCGCGGGGTCCGCCTGTCGGCATTGCGACGCGAGCTACGCGTGCCGGTCACTTCGACCTCATCGTCTGACATGATGCCGATTGCTGTTGTTGCTGTCGCTGCCGAGAATGACAAGAGACGACAGGCGACAGACGATAAACAAATATCGAGATGTCGAGAGGTCGGGCGACCAGAACGAGCTGAATCCGATCAGACGGAAAAGCTGTTATCGCAAGTTAAACGGAGACGTCAATCAGATGCGAAATGTGCTTATCGGTCGAGTAGCTGTCTTCCAGGGTCCACGGAAGTGTTGTGGTCAGTTACGGTAGAAAATGCGAAAATGTGTGAGTGTTGGGGGAATTTCTGGGGTTTCCGGTTTCAAACGGTGGACAAAATAAGATGGACAGACAAGAATAATCGGTGGCTGGAATATTTCCCTCACGTGTATGTGGCCTATGTGGCGTAAAAAATGGCGTATAATTTTATCGCGTCATTCGTACCCAGGTGTAACCAGTGTAACTTACGGTTACCTACATGTCTATCTTAGGTGCCTATGTAATTATCAAGATATCTTCCATGTAGGAGGTACCTAGTAGGTTTGTATGTAAGTGTTCGTGAGTTTGTTAACGGTTAAATACGTATCGATAGAGGCTTCTCATTATTACGTGACCCAACTCAGGCTTAACGGAATTTGGAATCTCATTGGAATCTCATCCCAACTTCTTTTCCTCCCCCACAATCAAAACCCATAATCCACAACTCAAGGCCTTGTGTGAAATCTTACCCGGAACAAGCTTCTTCTAGCGGCGATATATTCCATATATGGCACAACTGTTCTTCAACCCTTCATCATTAATCGGTGTTTTAACTGTACAGTCACCTACCAGAGCAGTGCGGACGCCCCATTTTTTGAACCTTAACACTCGATACCTCCTAACCCTAACCCTGACCTCGAGGTCATAACTTGATACATTGGTACCTCCCAGAAATACCTTAGGACAGAGGCTAGTATAGTGGATATTAAGCCTCGAGAGCTCTAGTCTGTTATGGCCATTTTTGTTTTCTAATTGGAGCGAGATTTGATTTAATATGGCCGATCTAAAATAAGGCATATTGCAGTCTGAATTTTTGATGTACTTGTTGTTAGGGAATAAAAAATGGGGCGTCCGCACTGCTGTGGTAGGTGACTGTACTGTAATTTTCGTCTTCATTTCCTTAATATCCACACTCACAGACGCTGCAAGGATCCTTGATCTCTCATACCCGGCCTAAACCCTGCGTCGCTCTTGAAACGCACCAGCTTTTCCAGCTAAAGCCTTACGATTGGCTCCTCGACTTTCGAGACCAAAGGATGCTCCATATTTTTAGCAGGCCTTTGTCGAGGAATAAGCGTACCCTGTTCATAACAGGAAATGCTTGAGAAGCGAAGCCTTTATTCCTGCCTATTCAACCATCATTATCATCATCAATAATTATCATAATCTTTGTATTCGTCCATATGACTTACTGGTCCTCCGTGCTCGCCTTCAGTCGACGATGAGGCTGTGCTGTCATGATGGCCTCTATCATGACAATATATCTTGAATACGCGTTGGCTGTTTCATGTAAGCACATGGGGGTTTTAACCGTTGGTTGAAATCTTCATGTAGGGCTGGTAAATTCTCAACTCCGCAGGATACCCTTCAGGATTCTTTTTCCATTTATATTATAACCGTATTGGAGTCAGCCGGAACTAGTCGTGATGGTGTGCTGACTGGTACCGCATATTCGGCAACATTTTGGGGGCTGCGCCGGTAGATATCGAGAACCATACGCTGTTGTGGTTTGAGGCGTAAATTCCCCAGAAACTGCCATTGGGGGAGACCTAAGCCCCTGCATTAGCTCCTGAAGCTATACGTCCACTGGATCTCTTCCTTCAGACCAGTCGGGCTCTCAATTACGAAGTCGGCTCTCCGTTTTGAAAAGAAAAGAGCCCCTCGGCTAGGCCACACCATGCGTTTTAAGATTCCTAGTGGGTCCCGTTTCGATTGTCGACGGGGAATATGACGACGCATATCCTATTCGAGTGAATAGTGCCGCCGTCGTCCTAGCACTCGAGACAAACCACGCATCATATCCATGATCGACTCTAGTAGGCTTGGCCTGGAGCTTGTTTCTGATCTCCATGGAGATCGAATGATGGTGTGCATGGGTAAATCCCTGACCCCCTTTTCGTTTCTCTATCGCTTTTTCGACTTCAAAAGGCAGAGGTCTTGGCTCTCGTCTGTTCTTCTCTTTCTATCTCATACTTCAACTCCATGAAGTTCGTTGTCTGAGACAATTTCCATTCAGCAGTTGCTTTATTGTTTCCTTTCTATTCCGTCCCTCATTGCTGGTGCTCTTTGGCTTCACCATTCTTTCTTCAAAGACTTCTTCAAAACTGACCCGACCTAGTCGAATCGCCAACCGGAGTTGGGTTTCTCTTGTTACTTCATCAATCCACCTGGTGTGGTGATACGTATATTATTCTCTTCTACTTTTGTTTATCCCTCTTTTTCTTCTTGGGTATATTAGGAAAATGCAGTCCCTCGCGCAGTTACTCTTAGTCTTCGGACTCCTAGCGCTAGCTTCTTCGTCTCCGACGGGGATCCAAAAACGAGGCGTGTACAAGGTTGAACGAGTAGCGAACCCGAACTTCACCGGCCGCAATGGCCCTCGAGCTCTGCTGAAGACGCTGAAAAAGTACCGGATGCCCATACCGGCTTCCGTCGCAGCCGCAGCTCAGAAGGATGAGATGATCACGAAGAGACAGAACATGAAGAAGGGAAAGGGTCGCAAGGGCAAGGGTAAAGGAGCCGGCGCGGCTGGTGCTGCTGCTGGTGCCGCTGCTGGTGCCACCGCCGCCGCCGCCGCTACTGGGTCGGCTCCTAACGGCACCGGCCTCGTTACAAACACTCCTGAGGCCAACGATGTCGAGTATCTGTCTCCCGTTAACATTGGTGGACAGACCTTGAACCTCGACTTCGATTCTGGCTCGTCTGATCTATGGGTTTTCAACACGCAGCTTAGCGCCGCCGCCACGCAGGGTCACACAGTCTTCGACCCAACTAAGTCCAATACGTTTGCTCTCATGCAAGGTGCTTCTTTTGAAATCTCTTACGGTGATGGCTCGGGAGCTGCGGGCAACGTCGGTACCGACACCGTCAACATTGGCGGTGCTACCGTTACCAACCAAGCTGTCGAGTTGGCAACTGCTGTCTCTTCATCCTTCGTCCAAGACACCTCGAACAATGGTCTGCTCGGTCTTGCTTTTAGCCAGCTTAACACGGTGCAGCCAGCTCCGCAGAAGACATTCTTCGACAACGTCAAGTCATCCCTCGCCGAACCCCTATTTACTGCCGATCTCCGCGCACAGGCAAACGGTGCTTATGAGTTTGGTCGTGTGGATCCGACCAAATTCACTGGTGCGATGACCTGGGTTCCCGTTAACACGACGGCTGGCTTCTGGCAGTTTACTAGCCAAACCTTTGCCATCAACAATGGCACTCCCCAGACCTCCACCGCCGGAAATCAAGCTATTGCTGACACCGGCACTACCCTCCTTTTGGCCGATGCTGCCGTAGCAAAGGCTTACTATGCACAAGTTCAGGGTGCCGTCGATGACCAACAGCAAGGTGGATTCACATTCCCTTGCAACGCGAACTTACCCGACCTTCAGCTGGATGTTGGTGGTAGCATGGCTACCGTTAAGGGCGCCGATATCAACTTTACCCAAGTCGATGATCAGAGTAAGTTTCTCAAAAATCACGAATCCAGATTCATCTTACTAACAGATAACAGCTTGCTTCGGCGGTCTACAGGCTACAACGGCCGGCTTGCAGGTTTATGGCGACATCTTCTTCAAGAGCAACTTCATCGCCTTCAACGGTGGCAACAACACTCTGGGTTTCGCGGCGCACGCCTAAATCTGCTCACTTGTAGCCAGCTGTATATCCATTTCCTGTGAAATACGAGCATCAACTGTATATACTATTTGATATTTCTACAAAGGGCATGAGTCAGGACACAGTAGACTTGGAGATTTACTGAGGACCATGGTGCCTGTACATACCCATGAATTTTTAGAGGAACATTAGCAACTGCAGCACTGCGGAGTTTCACTGTGTAGCATGCGGCGTGAGCGTGAAAGATTTCCTTCAACCTCGGAATAAAACCCCAAGTTTTTGAAACATAACTATTTAGGTACCTATCAAGTAATATCTACCTAGATATATACATCGAATGCCATTGAGCTCACTCATACGCTAAAACCCACACGCATCTGCGAAAGCTCTAAAGTTACGAAATATGATAACCTACCTATTATTTACTTGACCTTCCATACATCCATTTTTAGTTGTATTCCATCTCATGATTATAAAGTACTTCTGCACCTATACGAAGCCTTTGAAACGTACGATGCGTACGGCTGGTCATAATAAATCTGGTATCAAATCTGTTACGGAAACACCCCCTGACGACGCGGCCTCGCCGCGATGAGGCCGCCATTGGCGCTTTTCGCCTCACGCAGCCCACAACCAAGTAGCTATGAACCAGCTGGCTGGGCAGTTGGTTGGTCCATGACATTTATACCATTTACTCGCAAAGTCTGACCATTTGAGGTGATACCTCACTTTCATAGCTCATGATTTTGTTACACTCCTCACTCCGAAACGAGGCGGGCTTCCTTCTAGATGTTCAAACCCGATTAGCCGAAATCCTTCCTTTGAATCCGGCATAGGCGCCGTCGGCGATAAGAGGGTTACCGGAATTTAACCCTTCCGGAGGCGCAGATGTTGGCCTGACAAGAAGACCTCGTGGCGAAGGCCTCATCTATTCTTACATATGCTAGAAAGCTGTAGGTTTTCTGGTGTAGGATCCTATTTAGCTAGACGGCCCCCATCACGATCCGCTCTCTGTGATTCTAAAAGTGAGTCGGTATGCTCACGATCCGAGCTTTGAATAATGATTTGGTAGCGAATCCTCAGCAAGGCCGTCAATTTAAGCCTCGGCGACCTTCGTGGTCGATAGCTTCTATTGGCCTCCATTGCAAGAATCCCGTACCTAGGTGGCATTCTGAAAGCAAAGCACAACGGCCGTCATCCACCAACCATTTGGTCGGAATTAATTATCGCACGCACCGTAAACCAACAGCTATTGGCTGACTTACTGTGCCCAACTATCGAGAAGTTACATCGTGAAGTGACCCAATAAATTAAGCTGAGTCAGTCCCAGTTATTCGGCGAATACGCATAGTGCTAAGATTTACATACCTACCTACCTATGCATAGGGCTGTCCGATTCGTCGTTCGAGAAAAGGGCGCTAGAACGGCCTAGTTATGAGCAGACGGAGGGCAGACGGAAGCTAACAACATACTCGGGAAGTCGAAGCCGCAGACAGTATTTAATTACGTACAGAAAACCACCCGGACAAACGTCAGCTACCGTACCTTGGTAGTAGGACGTAGGCGAAGCACACGGACCTTGCATGAATACCAATTTTATACGGACTTGTAATTATCTTGGTACGCTTAGAAGTTACAAAGCCAGTGATTTATACGTTGATCGACCCCAACGTGCCTCGGTATTCAAATCTCTAGGTGATACGCCGACAGTTCGGTTCTGACTTGAGAAACCGAACACTCTTTTTGCTGTGAAATGTGACGAGCACAGTTCCCCAGAGATCCAAGTACCTGATTCCCAGGAAATACATCGAATAGGCATGTTTGTTCGACAGGTCTTCCGAAATCGGATAACACCATTGGCTCCCCTTGCGACACCGATGTATCCATCAGAGATCAGGTACGAGGTGAGCTGACCCCCATATTAACACTCCCTTACCTCTTCCGTCAACGGTCACCCGCATCACGAACGAAGACCATACTCCACGATCAGGCTCGACCAGCAGTTTGACGTAAAAGTTTTACCCACTAACGGAGAGGCTAATGCACCAAGCTACGTGGCGAACCTTGGTTCTATGGAAAAAGGACCTGCCTACTTTACCAGCTTCTACCAACCACATGCGACGACCGGATGATCTGATACTATACTAGGTATCGCTTTCGAAGTCAGCTCGATGCACTCGAGATCTTAGATTTTAGGGGACCTACCACAAACCGCCGAGACCAGAACACCATCGACCGTTCAGGCGGAAATCCCCAGTAATACGATGCATACGAGCAACTTACCTGTTTTGAAATGAAGGTGTAGGATGGTCAGGATGCTATGTCGATCTTTTAGGCGCATGCTTGCATTTGCCCTGCTCCGAATATGCAGATGCCCTTCGGTTTAATCGGCCTACGCTGGTATATCGGCCTTCCACTTCTGGACTTTGCAACATGTTCGGAGCCTCGGATTTTGATGCTAACCTATGGATATCTAGGGAGGTAAATATTGCGAATTTGCTTTACGTCGTCAGCCCGAAAGAAGTCTATGTCCAACATGAATCACACCCACACTTTGCGCCTTTTATGTCATGTCGATGTAGTCCGAGGAGGATGGGGTGTAGCCCGATGTTTAAGTTAAATGAAGGGCGGGCGCTCACTGGCTGTGCTTCGTTAGCGCATACAGACGGATAACTCGGGTGGGGGTAGGGCTACCTTAGGTGATGGAAAATGAGGGCATCCGCAGGTTCGAACAATTGCAGATGCAAGACTTCTAAAAAGGGAAACCTTCACGCTCGGCGTTTACACTCGTAAGGAGTAAGGTATGCCGAGACATCGTCCGTCCATGACCCCCATAGAAACTCGATCGAAAGTTGCCTCCGAAGCTGTGGAAACAACTTGGGTATATGAATGGGTATGTGAATTGCAACATCGATTCTACAGCCAAGGATCGACCCGGGTCTTCCTTGACTCGACCAGGTTTCTGAAATTAACTGCCAGTTATCTGATCCGTTTAAAGTTATCTGATCCGCACTCTGTGGAGAAGAACATACGTTGGTGTCATCTTGGGATCCGTTATAACGGCCCCCGTTAGCTCCCCTCCATTAAACCGTCCTAGGGCCGAAAAGGAATGTTGCTTCAGATGAGCCACATACACCGGCCGACGTCCTCTCGTAACCTGGTGCCTGTGCTAGTAAATCGTGAGAAGAACCAGTTGCCGTTGTCGGCAAGAATGGAGACAGGTATGGAACTATCATGTGCTTGCTGCGTTCTTTTCCCCCGTTAGCGTTCTAGGCACTCGGTGGCCTGGACTTTTTAAAAGTGATCCGCGATCAGCATACTTCTGCATCTTGCACGACGCTCATTAAGTCCCCAGGGTCCACTCGTCCGTGAGAGACATGCGAGAAGTCCGTTACTCGGGCGCATGAATAACTGTAAATCAAGCTCGACGATATTATCAACGAATGGGAAACGTCCTTGCCGGAATGTCAACAATGGAGCTAAAGGACATCGACGTCTCGTGTGCTAACTCTGTTCACTCCGACGAAGGTGCGTTGAGCGGTCACCTAACGACGCCGCCGACGGATTTCGAAGAGGATGGCATTACTACAGAGCAGCTGGAACAGATATGGAGTTGGAATACTCCTGTCCCGCCGACCTTGAAGACGTGTATGCACGAATTGGTGACGGAGCAAGCAAATAGGGATCCTAGTCGGCCGGCTGTCACCTCGTGGGATGGCGCGTTCACATACGGCGACGTCAACTCGAGATCAGACCAATTCGCGGCCCATCTCGTATCAGTGGGTGTTAGAGTAGGATCAGTTGTGCCGTTATGTTTCGAGAAGTCGAGATGGACGGTTGTGGCAGTGTTAGCTGTTATGAAATCTGGAGGTACCTTCGCGTTGATGGATCCAAGCCAACCCGAAGGGAGGTTACGCACTATCGTCGAACAAACCGGCGCATCTATCATTGTAACGTCAAGGCAGCAGGAGAACCTCGGTAGTCGCATTGCGCCTAACGGAACGCGAATCACACTATGCGAAGAGAACTTCAGCAGCTATGACACCTCTTCAAGCTTACCCTCCGTACCAGCAAGTACGAATTTATACATACAGTTCACATCGGGAAGCACGGGGAAGCCGAAGGGTTGTGTAGTCACACATGAGAACTATTCCAGCGGAGCGGTGCCGCGCGCGGATATAGTCGGATATCGCGCTCATTCCCGGGTTCTCGACTTTGCATCGTACGCCTTTGACGTCTGCATCGACTGTATGCTCTGCACATTGTCAGTCGGAGGCTGTTTATGCATCCCCTCGGATGCCGATCGGGTGAACGACTTAAGCGGTGCTATACGGAAGATGAACGTCAACATGGCTCACATGACGCCCTCGGTTGCCCGTGTTCTTGACCCCGATATCATACCTTCGCTTGAAGTGCTTGGTCTGGGAGGAGAGGCCATATCTGCAGGCGACGCGGCCGCTTGGAGTCGCCACGCAAAAGTCGTTAACGCCTACGGTCCTTCGGAGTGCACCGTAGGCTGTGCTGTGAACGGCGATGTTGGATCTGAAAGCCATAAACCTTCCGTCAGCATCGGTAGGGGCGTCGGAGGATCGCTTTGGATTGTCGACCCTTCCGACCACAACAAGCTCGTGCCCATAGGCGCGGTTGGTGAACTTCTAGTGGAGGGGGCTATAGTAGGACCGGGATATTTGAATGATCCCGAAAAGACGGATGCGGTGTTCATCAACAATCCAAAGTGGCTCCTTGCTGGGAGCCCGCAACATGAAGGCCGTAAGGGGCGGTTATACAAGACTGGTGATCTCGTAAGGTATGATCCGGACGGAACAATCATCTTTGTCGGCCGAGGAGACCAGCAGGTGAAGTTGCGCGGACAAAGGATTGAGTTGGCGGAAATCGAATACAACATGCTCGACAAGCTACCTCCGGGAACCCGTGTCGCCGCCGAAGTCATCCGACCTGGCGGTCCTGCGGGCGAACCGACCTTAGTTGCGTTCGTCGCCGAGCGAGCAGGCCTTGTGTCAGAATCAGAATCTCTTCTAGGATCTCTGCCCCCTCAGGTCCTAGATTCTCTTACGAATATGAACAAGGCCCTTTCGGAAAACCTACCCATATACATGGTGCCTGCAGCATACATCCCGCTACAGGTCATGCCCCTATTAGTATCGGCGAAGACTGACCGCAAGCGCCTCCGAGAACTAGGCCATTCTTTAAGCCGAAAAGATATTGCTAAATTTACGGCGGCGATGGTTCCTAGAAAAGAGCCCTCAACCCCATCGGAGAAGAGCCTAGCCCAGTTATGGAGTCAGATCCTAGGTCCGGAGGTGGAAATCGGCGCCCACGACAATTTCTTTAACTTAGGAGGTGACTCACTTCGCGCAATGAAGCTAGTGGCTGCTGCGAGGACGCAAGACATCTCTCTCACCGTTGCTGATATTTTCGCCAACCCAATGCTCTCGGATATGGCCCTGGTCGCAAGACCCGGGTCTGGCGAAACAAGTATCGAGATCCCGCCTTTCTCTCTTCTCAGCGATCAATGGTCTGAAGAGTCAGCTCGAAATGAATGTGCCGCATTCTGCGGCGTTGATCCATCAATGATCGAGGATATCTACCCATGCACACCTCTACAAGAAGGTCTTATGGCTTTGTCTGCTAAGGTTAGCGAAGCCTATGTCGCGCAACGTGTGGTTGAACTTGCGGACGAGACGGCAGTGCAGAAACTCGCAAATGCCTTCAAGTTAGCGTCAAAGGACTGTGCAATCCTCCGAACGAGAATCGTTCAGGTGCCAGGCCAGGGATTAATGCAAGTAGTTGTCAAGGATGACTTCGATTGCAAGACATTGTCCGGCCAGAACCTCAATGATTATCTAGTTCAGGACCGGAGCGACTCCGTTCAACTCGGCAAACCCCTTGTTAGATACGGAGTAGTTGTCAATGAGCAATCTACAGGAAAATCGCATTTCGTCTTGACAATGCATCACGCTCTCTATGATGGCTGGTGTATGCCTCTAATCGTTGAACGGGTTAATCGAGCGTATAACAACCTTTCCACTGAGAGACCTGCTGATTTCAAGCACTTTATCAGCTACCTCGGCAATATGGACAGCAAAGAATCAGAGTCTTTTTGGCGAGAAAGGCTAGATGGTGCCAATGGAGAACAGTTCCCTACTCTCCCCTATTCTGGCTACCAGCAGCAAGCCGACTCCCTCTTGGAGCACTACGTACATACCGGAAAGCCTAATAGCGGAATGACGATAGCTACGATTATCCGGGGAGCTTGGGCGCTTCTGGTCTCAAATTACATGGCATCCAACGATGTCGTATTTGGTGAGACGCTCACTGGTCGCAACGCCCCGATCCCGGGAGTTGAAGAGATTGAAGGGCCCATGATCGCTACTATACCAGTCCGAGTAGCCGTCCACCCTAATGCAACAGTATCAGAGTACTTGCAAGATATACACGATCAATCAGTCGCTAGCATTCCCCATGAACATTTCGGTCTGCAGCATATCAGACGCCTAAGTCCAGATGCTCGAGAGGCATGTGAACTGAGGACAGGTCTAGTATTGCATCCCAGCACAGACGCCGATGCTGATGCATCGAAAGATAGCCAACCAGCGGACTGCTTCGTTCCTGCCGGAGATGCCGAGGCGGCAGAGGAGGCGCTCAAGTTTAACACTTACGCTCTGATGTTGGTGTGCTCCCTGGACCCTCAAGGCTTCTTAATTATGGCTAGCTTCGACTCCAAGACCGTGACGAGCCCGCAAATGGAGAGAATGCTACACCAGCTTAGACAAATCACACAGCAATTCATCGAGAACCCGGACATCAAATGCGGCCAACTTCAACTTCTAACCGAGGCAGACACAGCTGAGCTCACCCGTCTCAGCAAGATTGGCGCGGAAAGCGAAGCTGTTAAAAGTTTACTTCCGGCAGAATCCAAGGCATCGGAAGCGTGGATCATTGACCCGACTGAACCTAATAGGTTACTCCCTGTCGGTGCTGTCGGGGAACTCCTGATACGAACCTCGAGCAACCCAAGCTTAGAATCAGTACCATCCCCTAAATGGGCTGAACAAAGCTACGACGGTCAACTGTATAGAACCCACAAGCTCGCAAAGTATGATGCGAATAATGTAATCACCTTCATCGAACGGACAACCCCCGTGAAGGAACCCGCTGCTCCGCGACAAAAGCGCGTATCGGCCACTTCAGCAAAGCAAAAGAGCCTACGACAAACCTGGAGCCGGATTATAGCCATCGAGGAAGACGATATCGGGCTAAACGACAGCTTCTTCCAGCTCGGAGGAGACTCGATCGGTGCCATGAAACTTGTATCCGAGCTTCGTGTCAAAGGCCTTGAGATAACGGTGCCTGAAATATTCCAACACAGGACGTTGTACGATATGGCCAAAATTCTACGAGAAAGAGAACAAGTACCAGTCGAGTCCGAGGAAGCACCTCCATCACCATTTTCGCTGCTCGACGTCCCAGACGTAGAAGCCTTTATCGCAGAAACAGTCCGACCAGTCCTTCCTCAAGGCGACCTCGTGATCAAAGACATCCTACCAGCGCGGCCGCTGCAACAAGTCGCTGTCAAGGGCACAGTACAGCTCCCTCGCTTCTCCTCGCGATACGAACTCTTCCACCTGGACGGGCACGTAGACAAAGCCCGGCTCTTCTCCAGCTGCCGCGACCTCGTCGCCCGCAACGAAGTCCTGCGCACGGTCTTCGTCGAGAGCGGCTCGAAGTGCTTCGGCGTCGTGCTCGAATCCCTGCCTGTCGCAATCGACGAGTACGAGATCGAAGGGGACCTGAACTCCTTCGTGCACAAGCTGTGCGACCTCGACGTGCAGACGAAGATGCCTCTCGGCTCCGCCTTCGTAAAGTTCTTCTTCGTGCGCGGCGAGGGCGCCAAGAGCTGCCTCGCCTTCCGCATCTCGCACGCGCAGTACGACGAAGTCTGCCTGCCGGCCCTGATCCGGCAGCTCGCGGCGCTGTACGATGGCGTCACGCCGACGACGACGACCCCGGACTCCGTGCCCTTTTCGTCGTTCGTGTACCATGTCGTCAACAAGTGCATCCCGCGCAGCATCCCGTACTGGAGGGACCTATTACAAGACAGCGAACTGACGATCCTGCGCCCGGACCTACCGCTGACTTCCAGAGTCCCCGACGCTATCACGCGCACGGTCGACATCTCGGCGCGCTCGAAGGACATCACCATCGCGACGCTGCCGACCGCCGCCTGGGCCCTCTGTCTCGCGCGCCGGCTCTCGCTCCGCGACGTCGTCTTCGGCGAGGTCGTGACGGGGCGCAACATCGACCTGCCGCACGCCGACGCCGTCATGGGTCCCACGTGGCAGTACGTCCCCGTGCGCGTGCGCTTCGACTCCTCCTGGAAAGCGGTAGACCTATTACAACACGTGCAGAACCAGCATATCGAGAGCGCGCAGCATGAGGGTATGGGGCTCGAGGAGATCGCGCGCGAGTGCGTGCCGAAGTGGCGCGAGAAGGGGGTTAATTGGTTCGATAGCGTCGTGCACCAGGACGTGTACCATGTCGAGGAGCTGAAGTTCGGTATCGGCGGCGAGGGGGCCGAGGGCCGGCTCGAGACCGTGTACCCGCATTACGAGCCGCTGCGCGAGTGGAAGGTGCAGGCTTTCGTGAAGGGGGATAGCCTGATGTTCGAGATCGTCACGTTTAGGGATTGGATCCCGGTTGCGGCCGAGCTGCTGGATGAGCTGGAGGAGATTATGGGGTTGTTGGTAAGGAGGCCGAATGAGCGGCTTTTTGAATAGGGTGGGCTTGGATACCTACCTGTACCTGGTAAGGGGGTTAGGAGAGAGGACGAGAACGTATAACGAAGTTCGAGTAAATATTCATTTTTGTATTGTTCAGTCTTTCTTTTTGTAGTGTTTGGAATATGTTACATAGATGTTATTCTTTACCATGTTATAGGTAGGTAGGTAATTGTATGTATCTCATGTTATCTTATGGAATACTGCTGCCGCTATTCGCTTCTGCGTATAACCTAGTATAGAAGTGAAGCTCCTTTTCTATGTACGAGTAGGTTCTTTCCTACCATAATTAGGTCAGCAACCCCTTTTATTCCCAGATTTACTATTGCCTCCAGATTTATTAATACAGTTCAAATAGAGACAACCTACTACAGCCTGCCAGTCCATTTGAATATTTCTATTCTATTACGGACGCTTCGCCGAAATACGCTGAAACTACCCGAACCAACAGGCAGGATCATCTACCCCTTTTCGCCGTCCACAATTCGGAGATTCGGGCGCTTACTATCGAATACCTACACGATCCTTAGGATTTTCAGAAAATACGTATAGATGCATGTAGGTAACTTCCGAACAAAGTAGCTCTAGGATGTTAAATGACTTCCTGCAGAGAAGTCTCTTATGTTCTCTCATCCAATTATACAGAGGAAGGCAGAATCCTTCTCTTCCTCTTTGATAGAGAGCACGTCTGCTTGTTTTCTAGAAAAACTAGGTAGCCTTCCGAACTCGAAATTCCTACGGACCTAAGCATTTAGTAATACGCCGTAGAAAGGATCTTTGGACTACATGCGATCTTCGGCCTAAGGAAAGTGAGCCAAAGCTGCCACCCATTCCAATGCTCTCTGCCGTACTTTCATACCTCTCATCAAACTGACCCGATGGAAGTGAACTTTGATATACTTTATTTATTTTATAACCGTTATATATATAATTTCCCAGGGGTCAATTACCCCATAATAAAATAGACAGAAGTATCAAACAAATAATAGTCGGCAAGCTTAAGGGGGTTGGAAGTCTAAAGCACGTTGCCCGAATCATCTCTAGTCCCGTCGTTGAACCATTAAATCCGCACCGCTCGACGGTATCTATTGAACGCCATGTAATTGAAGTCACATCTTACTAAAGTAGTCGCCGATTATATTCTTCCTGCGTAACCGGGCTTGCCGTCTCTCGCCTTCCTGCTCCTGTACATGTCTCGGTAGTTGTATCGTTCGTACGTGCCGAATGCGTAGAACGCAACACCAACTACCAGCCAGATGCTGGTGAGAATCAGACCGACTGGGAAAATTAAGATGTTGACTCCAGGCAGGACAAAAGCGACGGTGCCGTTATGCAGTCCCGCGACCTCGTCGTCAACGGCTAATGAGGCGAGTGAAACATCCGACATGACGACCGTGTTCGCGAAGACACCATTGACGAAAGCGGCCTCGTTGGAAGAGACATTTGTGCTGACTTGCTGACCCGTCGGACTCTTGCCAGTCAGTGTGACGGTGGGCATCACCAAGGCTTCTAACACTCCCCTATCGAGTTGTAAGCATCTACGGCGCAAGAATCAACATGTGGCGTGGAAGTTCTACTTACATCGTCATGGGTTCGGTCATTTGGGATTTGTCTATTTGGCCTATAAACATGTAGGTCTGCAGAGCTGTAGGTCCCGAACTTTGTCGTTTACCCACAGTTGATGCCGTCTGGTTGGTCGAATTGACTGGCGAGACGGAAGCTCCGCTGTACTGAAGCCCAACCGAGATCTCCTGAGGAGGGATGCTCTGGAAGTCGCCGGAAGGCGTTGATACTTGGAAGAGGCGCAGATCGGCCATGAACGTGCCGGCATTGGTGTCGAGACTGAAAAGATTGTAGCAGACTGCTGTTCCCGAGGGGTTGGTGGCCGCATTGAGTGAGGAAAGCGCCGACTCGCAAGCTGCTGAAGTATCCGTGTTCCATTGTGTCAGATTCATGTCCGCTGCCGTCGTTTGCCGTCTCCGTAAAGAATCGTCTACCTCGTCTTCGAACCTCGTCTCCAACACTGTCGCCCTCGGAGCCATCATGCCACCCATTGCATAGTGCACACCGCTAGCAAGTGCCGATGAGGCAAACGCCAACGACGCTAGAGCAACACCTTTGCAAACCATTTTGACGATAGTTCTTCACTCTATCGTAGATTATATATTCGAATAATATTTATCTTGTGAACGTGAATTAGCCGGCCGGCGGTCGAGGGATATGTCGTATGTATAAGGAACGTATGGAACCTGTCCGTCTCGTAGCTGTTCAACTTCACCGCGAGCGGAGGACTCGAATAGCGGCGATCAGATTAGAGATCTGGCGAAAGAAGAAAAAGAAAAGAGGGACCTGCCCGATGGGAAGGGGAAGCGGCTATGTTTTGTTTTGTTTGGCTCGACCCAAGCTTGCGTAAGTAATGGGGGAAAGGAGAAGAGGGTAAGGAAGATGACGGGGTATCAACTCGATATCTTAGAATGGATACTATGAGACATGGGGTCCACGAATGCACCCAGACACTTCTCAAAACCGATCAATAGCATGACTGTGGGTCGTCCAACGATCTCGCTCTGGCGGCTTAGACAGATCAAGATGTTAGGCTTGGTGTGGTTGACCCTCAATGCAACCCATGAGAGATTAGCACCTAGAACACGAGGCGTCGTAGCCCTTGTTCATTATCATGCTTTCATACTACCTATGGTACATCCTGCGACAACGAGTCTCATGGTTGTGATACAGGTGCTGGAACGAGGAGCTGAGGACTCGTAGACTCGGGAGTAGCTGGTGGCACCATCAAACGAAGAGATTCGAAAAGAAAAGCCAAGCCGTTGAAAGTACTTAGTAGCAAAACGGATAGCTAGTGGATATTTTGCTGAAGAAGTTGCATTTGCCGTACATACGACGGCGCGAAGACAGCCAATAGGAAGCGGAGAATAGCTTAGGCCTTCCTATTGGAGATACAACGGTAGGCCATTCCCGAGACTTTCGTCATAGAGGATAGCTGCAGAACTGACTGCGCCCGGCGAAGGAACCGAGACTATTTCCCAACAGCGCGTAACTTCTTCGCCAAAACACCAAGTAAGAACTTTCGGCCAACGACCTAGAAGACAATAGGATTGGGCCATTTTGAGACCTGGTCGTTTTGACTCTGACGCTCGGATAATTCTAACATTTTCGTGTCGGATCGCCTGACGATGCGACGATGCGACGATACTGAAAAAGGAGAAGGTTTCGAAAAACGGGACGCCAATGAGACAAAATAAGTGGCACTACGATTAAGTCAGCCAATCATCGATCGGCTCTCACGGTTCACTACCTACACTGGGGCTGGTGCAGGTCCGTGAAGACCCCTAATATGACCCCCTGGCCCCCCTGTCGACTCATCTTAGACCGCATCTTGAGCCTCGAAACCTAAAGTTCCCCTGTTCTCCATGTTACAGCCAAGCATCAGACTTCAACTTTTATCCCAGTATTGGTTCAGCAAGCGACCTATCAAACATCAGCACTTGTCAGTCTTTACGTGTAGCTTAATGCAAGACCTTAATGCTTCTATGATACCAAGGAAAATATGAAAGAAAACCCAAGCGATCAGGTTCATCGCAGTCTACATTTAGTTATATCATGAAGGGCTATTGAAATCGTCAGTGGTGTATTTACCTGTAAGTACCTGCAGTCTACAGGCATAGGAGAAACAAAATAAAATATCCATCACGCTTCTTCGGAAATTTTGAAGCTCAATCCTCAATTCCTCAAAATCAGAACTCCGAAATTGACTGTTGACTCTTGAGTATTCTTTGAGAGATGATGGGAGCTACTCGGCCGCGACGCGCTCGTCCTTTGATCCTCCTACGCGAAAAGGGCGATGCTCTTCGTATCGTACGCCAATTCCAATCCTCTGAGAATACGCGGTCGAATTCAGCTTCACTGGATCGAAGGAGTTGGTAATTTCTTTCAATTACTATTACTGGTAGCTCGATAACGCCATGCCAAGAAGGTACAGTAATTGTCAACATCAAAAACTGAATTGGGATGCATGATGGGAGGGAGATTTAACTTCATCCCCTGAACCTGCAAAATGGAACTGTATCCGCGATTTGCAGCGTTCTAGTTAGGATCCCGAATAGCTTCCTAGACGCTATTCCCGTGCCGAAGCCGGGTTTACGGCCTTTGCTCTAAGGGCGCACTTCTCCCGTCTATTGATGAGAAAATGATAATGAACAAGTCAGGTCAAGTATTTTATGACTAATAGCGATGGCGCCATCTGCTCTTAGTTCGATATGTCACAATAAAGGCGTTGGTAAGAGCTAGTATAAAGAGAGTGGACGATACAACTAATCCTCTGAGATGAGTAAATTATGCATTTACCCGCGCCAAGGTAATCAATAAACCCAGCCACGTCGCGAAAATGAAGTCTGTAAACACTGCGAAGACAGCACTGATCATCATCGATGTTCAGGATGGCTTTTTCCACCCGACACATTGGGGTCCCAGCCGCAGCACGCCAGATTTCGAGAAGAATGTCACGCTTCTGTTAAAGGCGGCCCGGGAACACAACGAGAAGCAGGGCGAAGGCACAGAGGAAGCATCAAACACGGTGGCCATCTGCCACGTTCACCACCACAGCACCGAACAAAACTCACCGCTTCGCCCCGGCGCCAAGGTCGAAATAAACGGCAAGCTTATCGAAGGATCGCAGCCTCAGTCATTCGCGCAACCGCAACAGGGAGAGCCGCTCTTCATCAAGCACGTCCACTCGTCTTTCGTCGGTACCGGGCTAGAAACTTATCTCAAAGACCGAGGAGTCAGACAACTCGTCCTTATCGGCTTGACGACGGATCACTGCGTTAATACGACTACGCGCTTTGCGAACAACCTTGGAGTTGTTTCCGCAACTAGCCTAAATGGCGAACTAGATGAAGGCGATATCGTCGTCGCTAGCGATGCATGCGCTGCTTGGTCAAAGGGAGGCTTTGATGCGGAGACTGTGCATAAGGTGCATCTTGCAAGTTTGAAAGGGGAGTTTGCACAGGTTGAGAAGACACAAGATATCCTGCGCATCGTATTTGGATGATCCCATCTACGGTTGAAATTCCTAGTTCTTTCGTTGATTACTCTAGATATCTAGGCCCGTATGCACTCGAGAATCAACGCGATAACCTATTCAAACTGTTGGCCCAGCATGACTTGATATTCCGACGATGTATAGCTTGGTAATGTGTTGTGTCACATGTAAAAGCCGGTACACCTCATGCGTAACTAATAATGATGCAATATGCGCCTTGAGACGCACTTCGTGCGATGGGTATAACGAGATAGATAAGGAGAGACGCCAATAAGCGGGAATCTGCTGGTCGTGATACCCGGCACTCTATCCCCGAGTTATGAACTTCAGCCAAGATGAGGCCCGCGGCAAGTAAGTCTTCACCAAGTGTCCGGCATCCGCAAAGACAAGATAACTACCAACAACCGCCCAGAACGAGAAAATGATAGATAACGCCCAAGCCAGCTTCGCCCTGATAATCTGCGGGAGGAGGAACTGTCGTACGGGGCCGCTTAGAAGTAGCCATCCGATGATAGGATACGTCGTCGTCGAGGACTCGCTCTTCTGGTTCCGTTCGAACTGCTCGATCGTATCTAGCATCTGCCAGGCCGCCTTGTTGCTTACCCTTTCCCAAGTGGCCTCGCAAGCAAAAGTGCGAGCCGCCAATGCAAACTGTTCTCGGGTCACCGTGTCATGACCAAGCTTCAGCACCTTCTGCACGAAGTCGTCTAGGTCGTCAGGTCGGACGAGATATCCGGTTTTCCCATGTTCGACGATATCGCTTGGTCCGCCCTCGTCTCGCGCGATCACCGGAACGCCACTCGCCATGGCCTCTAGCACCACGAGCCCGAATGTCTCGGTGATAGAGCAGTGAAGGAAGATATCGGCCGAAGCATAATGCGTCATCAGCTCCTCGCCAACCTTGAACCCGGGAAAAACCACTTTATTCTTCTTCTGGAGCGGCGCGAACATGTCTTTGACTTCTTGCTCGACGACCGGGTTACGATTCCCGCCGACGACGACGAGTTTGAATTCCATCCCCCTGTTATCCAACTCCTTCGCCACCTCTGCGAGGAACGCGAACCCCTTTTCGCCCGCCAATCGCGAGCAGGTGAATAAGATGGGCTCTCCGTTCGGCGCCCATTCTTTCCTTAGCTGCTCGCTTCTCTTAGCCGGGCTGAAACCCTGGGTCTCGACTCCTCGCCTCAGCACTTCCATCTTATCCGATGGTACGTTGACGGACGTCAGATACGTCTTGACGAATGTGCTCGGGTAGAAGATGGTCTTGACCGAGGTATGACGGAAGAGATAGCCCTGTACGAAGCCGAAGACTTGGTTTGCGATCTCGCCCAGCGGCCAGGGGAACAAGAGAGAGCAATACCCAGCCAGATCGGTCTGGAAGTTGCATATGATAGGCACTTGCAACTCCTTCGTATATTGCCGCAACTGTAGCATCACTTGAAAGCCCAAAGATGCGGGACTGGCTAAGTAGATGAGATCTGGTGGCCCTCCAAACGTGCGCCTGTACAACTCGGAAAGCCGTACGGGGTACGCCACCGAGAGCTCGGGGTTGAAGGGCAACGGATACCCTGTCAAGCGCACTTCCTCGTAATAAAATGGGCTGCCGACGGGAGAACTGATCGGATTGAAGGTGTTTACCTTGGTATGGTTGTATGGCGCAACCACCGACACGAGAGCCCCGTTAGATCGCAACTGGTCTACTAACATCTTGGTTGTGCGCGATACACCGTTGACTGGACCAAGGCTCTCCGTGCACAGCAGAATGCGCTTCCCGCGCAGGCCAGAGGGGAAGACATCTAAGTCGTGAGATCTCTCTGCCATTGTTATGTCTTGAGCTCTCTGAGATTTAATTCCAAAGACTAAAGCTCTGGTATCCTTTGATTCGTATTGGATGGATATATATGACCTTTTATGAAGCTTGGGGTTGGGTGGCTAGGTCTATCAGTATTCGATGTAGCAGTTTATAGCGAGAAACATACATGATTAGGTATTCTGGCATCTAGAAGAGATATAGAGAAATAATCCTTTTGGGCAGCGCAGTAGCTTGAAAACGTAGTTGAGAGATAGGAAGGTGTATCGGGGGAAATGCTAGTAGCCGAGAGAATATGTAGAATAGTTGGTGCAGGATGTAAGAACTGCATACGTAGGTAGGTAAGGGGAAAATGTACATTGATAACCAGGGTCAACGACAGCGAACTAGAGACAGGAGGGCAACGTGAAATATCCTCATGATACTGATAACAAGAGCGGTTTGTGGCGTGTGTTAAAGTTAGGCAGAGTTTCTTTAATCAGCCACAGATGCGTATAACTTCGTCGTGACTAGGAGCCGCGAATACAGTCACTAGCAGTCTAATACAGCACTCACGAGGCTGATGTGATGGTACGTTAAGATCGAGTCATCTTCACCCTTTTTCCCTTTCAGTACTGCCCTAAAAAAGGCCACAAGACCAACAGTGCTATCTAGTCACACACCTTAAACTACGTATTTCTTAGTTCCATAGATATAATAAAATACGGTGCTGATTTATTAGTAAGGCCTATGATAATTTTTTAGTTAAACCATCATATGTGATGTAGTACGTTGGAGTTTTGTCGGAACATTTGAGGCGAATAAGTTGAAGCCCAAGTCCGTAAGGTCCGTAACCGCAACTCAACAGCTGTAGCATTGGACTATCAATAACTCTAGTGAAAAGATCTCCTTGGCAATCCGGATCATGGATCTATTTTCTTATTTTAATTGCCTTTTTTGGCTTCCCGTCTCTTCTTCGAATGAACTGGTCCAATGACAAGCTCAGGTGGCCGCACACGCGAAGGGGTCTGCGCACCAATCAGCTTCTTCGTCAGCGGCACATTTTCTTGACGGGATCGCTCTAGGAACAATCCAGATCCACATCGTACATGGACAAGCTGCAAGAGAAATCCGGGGTCCTACGAACCTTACAGCCTAGCAGCATAGATCCGCAGGTATAACCAGTATCGCGCTTAAATGATTGGGTTCGTCCAAGATATGTTCCCTCTGGGGGGCCAAAGTGTCACATGCACAGCTTCTGGATGGACCATTATCTGAGGTTATCCAGATTGGCGATTGGCGCAACTCTTTGTCATGTACGAATTAGCATCCTTGATTACCCCCTCGTGTGTCTAGCATGCTTATCTGTTGGCTATCTATTCGTGAAAAGCATTTTGCACTACCATCGTCATCAGAGTATGCTTTTTTTCCTACTTCTCTGTTTTCTTCTTGTTATCTCCAGCTGAGCAGAGAGATCATCACTTCGTCGTACGGCTAATATATTTGGGCTTACGTTAGTAATTAAAAGTACCTGTCTAAGTGAAGTATCTATGACACTGTACGCATACGGTGATAATCCGATATAAGCTTCATTATATTGCGGTTGCGCCAAGCCGTGACATTAAGTAAGCGATCAGATAGACTTACAGAACTCAGAATTGTCTACTAACTCATCGATAGGTTCTCTCAGATGTAGCGTCTAAGCTCTTATTATTCTCTAATATAAAGATAAATAACCTTTAAGAAACTTTTCGTCCCGCCAGCTTAAGTGCGAGCGACGTTATAGCTAGATATTCACCTATCAGCATAGTTTATACCTGCATGAAACTATGGCAAGCTACGATATCCTTAGCCGCGAAGTTGTGGGAAGTCTCCCACATCGATTCTCATTCCCACTCCCACCTCCCATCCTTTCCTCCGCAGTGGATAGGGAGACAGGTACCTTACATATGTATGTGTGAAGGTTATTGTCTGGGCTGCGACCCATCCCTCGGTGGACCTTGCGCAAACCTGTCTGGGTCCTAGTAGGACATGCAAGTTTGCTCCCGCGCTGCCCAAGTACGACCATTATCGCAACTATCACCATATAAGCAATATGGATACCCATCTGAGCTGTATACCCGAGCATCATTTATACTGCTCAACATGGACTAGGTAACAAACACAGTACGCGTGGCATCCGTACCGTTCGCCAAACATTATGTACGTGGAATAGGATGCCACTTGACGTCCCCATTGCCGACTGAGACCTGTTGTTCCCTGGATGTCCTATCTTTCTTCCCCCCCTCCCATCCACCCTGATCCGACACAAGATCAGCCCGTGGCACGAATTTTAACAGAACACTGGCTCCGCGTCTAGGTCTGCCGCTTGCGCATGTAGCAAGGGTTCCGGCAGAAGTTCGACGCGATCGCACATCTATTACTAGGCTGGGTGATATATGTACCTTGTCGTTCTCTTGAGAACTCAGCTAGCCGCATAACGCCGCATGCGTCTTTATGATCAAGTGGCTTTCTAGTCGTACCCAAGTCTCGATGCTGTCGTGCTTGACCTACTAGTTCATTCTTATCTGGAGGAGTCCCTTCTCTTAGATTCATCTTTCCTGCTCATCTAGACAAGTCGTGGTAGTCGCACCTCTTTCTATCTTTTCAGCTGCTTACAACCCTTAATACTTCCCGAGTAAGCAGTCACGCTCCCCTTATTACTACCTAGCTAGCCACCTCTACCTTCATACTATTATCTTACGCAGCAAGATAACTACGAGCTACGACCTTCCTAGTCTGACGCACGACTTCCTCGCATGTCTATTCTTAAGGGGAGCTTCAGAGACGCCGTGGCCATAGACTTCTTGAGTTCTCACCATCATAGAACACAAGTGTCAAAGACACGAAAAAGCCGTCTTATATCTCCCATAATCGAATTTAGATCCAAAATTTGCGGACTATCGCTATCTAGAGGACACCCTCAACCCGTTGTCCCAAGCGCCCAAGGCTACTTAACTACCATGGGTTCCGCCCCAGCATCAGCTGGCGAAGCTGAAGAGGTTGTCGCTTACGTTGATGGTGCTTCGACGGCCCCAACTACGCCCGACGAGGGCTCATCTTCTAGCCCTTTGCTTGCCGCAGAACTAACGGCAGACCTTGAGCGCGCCGGCCTACCCAGAATATTGAATTCCACCATGGCCGACTTAACACGTCCTATTTTGAACATATGCTGTGTGGGTGCTGGCTATGTTGGTTAGTTGTCCCCTACGTTCTTAGCACCGCAGTCTGTTTAAACGCAGGCGCGTCCTTATTGCTGCATATTATTCTGTGCTTTAAAACTGAATCAAAACGTAGGCGGCCCGACTGCCGCGGTCATTGCCTTGCAAAACCCGCAGCTTCGTGTCACAGTTGTGGATAAGAATGCGCGGCGAATCCGGAGATGGAACTCGGCGCACTTGCCCATTTACGAGCCAGGCCTAGGAGAGGTCGTACGCATCGCCCGTGACGGATCCAGGAAATGTTACTTTTTCAACCACCCAGAAAGCGAGCAAGCCCTGAGCTGCGACAAACTGCATCATAGCAACTGGGCTGTCCTGCCAGAGAGACAACCGAACTTATTCTTCTCCACCCAGGTAGCGCGGACCATTGCCGAGGCAGACATCGTCCTCATCGCGGTCAATACGCCAACTAAGACAAAAGGTGCTGGAGCGGGTAGCGCTACCGACATGACGGCTTTCGAGGCCGTTACTAGTGAGGTCGCCCAACATGCTCGACCAGGGACTATCATCGTAGAGAAATCAACTGTTCCCTGCAGAACAGCCGACCTTGTTCGAAAAACTGTAAGATAGAATTTTCTATTTGCTGAGTTAATGGCATGTGAAATCGGTTGGCTAATCGTCCGAATAGATGGCCGTTCACCGTCCAAACATCCACTTCGAAATCCTGTCGAACCCGGAATTCTTAGCTGCGGGTACAGCGATGAAAGATCTCATGTTTCCCGATCGCGTACTTATTGGCTCTTCGATGACGGCGTCCGGCCGCTGGGCCGCCGAAGCGTTGGCAGATGTTTATGCGGCATGGGTTCCGCGAGAACGTATCATTACCACTAATGTCTACTCGTCGGAGCTGTCTAAGCTTGTGGCCAACTCCATGTTAGCACAACGCATCAGTAGCATCAACTCGATATCCGCGATCTGCGAGAAGACGGGAGCGAACGTTGATGAAATAGCAGCGTCTATCGGCTGCGACCCCCGAATAGGGGACAAATTCCTAAAGGCGGGTATCGGATTTGGTGGAAGCTGTTTCAAGAAAGACATCCTCAGTCTAGTCTACTTGGCCGAGTCTCTCGGCCTCGAAGAAGTAGGCGAATATTGGCGACAAGTTGTCAAGATGAACGAATACCAACGCGATCGATTTTCTAAACGAGTGATCAGTTGTTTAAATAACACATTAGCGGGAAAGAAGATCACGGTCCTCGGGTACGCATTCAAGGCCAACACTTCCGATACGAGAGAATCGCCCGCACTCGAGGTCATAAAGACCCTCCTCGAAGAGGGCCCCAGGGAGATTGCTATATTTGATCCTTGCTGCAACCCTGTGGTTGTCAGAACCGAGATCAAGGAACTTCTTAGCAGCAAAGCCGCGCTTGGAGATGACGGCGGGCCGATCGAGATTTATTCGAGTCCTTACACTGCTTGCGATGGTAGCCACGCCATCCTCATAACGACCGAGTTCGACGAATTTCGAACCACGCCATCTAAACATTTAGGCAAGAGGTCCTCCGTGAAGGCCAAGCCTGCTGTCAAGATAGAAAAGAAGAAAGACGCGGATCCTCGACCTATTAAAGACCTCTTAAAAGGGCCAACAGAGACAGAGATCCTAGCTCTTCATAAATACCTCCTGGGTAATTCATCTCCGGTACCCGATAACGATCCTTTACATCGATATAAGCCAGAACCAAATTGCGAGAACGATTGTCCAGATTGCGGTCTTATAAAGACCAGCGGCTACTCCACTGCAGGAAACTCTGGCGAGGATCGACCTAAGGAAAGACTCGATTGGAGCAAGATCGCGTTCAATATGAACAAGCCCAAGTGGCTATTCGACGGCAAGGGCATCGTCGACGCGGACCAGTTGACCACCTTATACGGCATTAACGTAGAGAGCATCGGGCGTTAGATAGGTAGACGGCGGGCGGTACCGATACCATGTGCATTTATACTAACCTTTTAATGGGGGCTTCATTTCTGCATCGCATACCATCGGGGGCGGTAGGCCGCCTCAATTAGATTGTCGGAGCACGACTTACATGAACTGGATATGACTCCATAGACTCTTACCGTCCTTTCCCTCTTGTTTTACCCCTCAACCCCTTTTCCTTTGGATGGAATAACAAGATTATACGCTTGCGTTTAAAACGGCGGACCATTTTCATAAAGAAGGGTCCTACGAAGATGATTTTACGAGAAAAGTCGCGGTTATCAAATTTACCTCTTCGGAATTTTAGGTATTATTGTGCATGTGAAACAGTCGTAACTCCGTAACTCCTTCTGACGTAGACCCATGTACTGGATCTAGATACTTATTCGAGCTAGGACGTATTAGATCATCACGTCCAGTCTTTGTCCGCCCTGGCGGCAGGTACTCTCCCGACAGCCCGGAAAAGCGGGAAGCGGAAGAGGGCGCGCGACGATCGCGACGGGCATAAATCAAGAGCCGACGAAAGCTCCCGCGCAGTTAGCCAGAGAACACCGAAAGCGAACCTCGGCGAAAGCCCATTTCGTCATAATAATAAAATAAAAAGCAATTGTTCGTTCGTTCGTTCGGTCAATTACTTCGTAGTTAGATAGCTCCGTAAACGGACCTAGAAAAAGAAGTTATACGCAACTTTATACTTACACGATTTTACACGGACGAGCGCGGATGATCCCTTTCGATTTTGGTCCTTGATCCATTCCGCTTAGCTACCCCCCTCTGCCCCTCTCTCTAAGATGGCGCGCCCACGGAGTCTGGCGTTACGGACAACCGTCCAGCTTTCACATCGGTGGGCGGTACCTGGTGTGCGACGGCAATATAGCGCTGCCAGCGCCGCGATCGCCACCAGCTCTAGGTTCAAGCCATGTCTCGTGCGATCGCATCGGTATTATTCAACCGAAGCGCCGACAAAAGCGCCACGGGGCGGTTCGAAGCTCTTCAAGTCCGCGGACGAGGCTGTCGCAGACTTGAAGGACGGCGATGTTATCCTAAGCGCTGGTTTTGGGTTATGTGGTGTCGCTGGTACGTACGAAACGAAACAGCTTATAACGAGCTTCGCAATCCAATGTTCGTATAAGTGGCTAATGGCGAACCCGCGCAGAAACTCTCATCCAAGCGATCCACAAGAAAGGACTCAAGAACTTAACGGCCGTTTCGAATAATGCCGGCTCCGGCGACCACGGCCTAGCCCTTCTCACGCAAGACGGACGGTTAAACCGCATCATTCTCTCATACCTAGGGTCGAATAAGGAGCTCGAGAAGCAATACCTCACAGGGAAGATCGCCGTCGAGTTATGCCCGCAAGGCACACTGGCGGAGAAGTTAAGGGCAGCTGGTGCCGGTATCCCAGCGTTCTACACGGCAACGGGCGGGAAGACGTTCATCGAAACGGGCGAAATACCCGTGAGGTTCACCCCCGAAGCCGTCCTGGAGAAGGGCAAGCCGAAGGAGACGAGGGTTTTCAATGGAAAATCTTACATCATGGAAACCGCGCTTCCTGGAGATGTGGCGATCCTGAGGGCGTGGAAGGTTGATGAAGCTGGAAACTGCGTATTCAAGTAGGTCTTATTTCGTTCTAGTTCTCAGTTTCGTATGGCAAGAGATATTAACACACGCGCGCTCGTAGATACACGACAAAGACATACGCAGGCCTCATGGCCAAAGCCGCGCGCATCGCCATAGTCGAGGCCGAGAACATCGTCCCGATCGGGTCCATCGACCCAGACGTCGTCGACCTCCCCGGCATCTTCATCGACCGCATCGTGCCAGCAACCGCACCGAAGAACTTCGAAGTCCTAAAAACCGCCCCGCCTAAACCGGACGCGTCCGCCTCAGGCCAACCCGCCACGCTCGACTCGCGAAACCGCATCGCCCGCCGCGCGGCCAAGGAGCTGCACGACGGGTACTACGTCAACCTCGGCGTCGGCATCCCGACGCTAGCCGCCTCGTATCTGCCCGAGGACACCAAGGTGTGGCTGCAGTCCGAGAACGGCATCCTGGGCATGGGCCCGTACCCGGCGACGGAAGCGGACGCGGACGCGGACCTGATCAACGCGGGCAAGGAGACGACGACGCTGTTGCCGGGCGCGTCGACGTTCGACTCGGCCGAGTCGTTCGGCATGATTCGCGGCGGGCACGTCGACGTGTCGATCCTAGGCGCGTTCCAGGTCTCGGCTTCGGGAGACTTGGCTAATTACATGATTCCCGGGCGCGTGTTCAAGGGTATGGGCGGCGCTATGGATCTCGTGTCGAACCCCGACCACACTAAGATCGTGGTGGCGACCGAACATGTCGATAAGAAGGGCCGTAGCAAGATCGTTCAGGACTGTCTACTACCTCTTACAGGCAAGGGTGTTGTTAGTACTATTATCACGGATCTTGCCGTCTTCCAGGTTGACCGCGTCAAGGGTGGTTTGACGCTCACTGAGATTGCGGAGGGGGTTGATTTGGAAACTGTCAAGGCGAAGACTGATGCTGAGTTTGCGGTCGCAGACGATTTAAAGACGTTCTAGACTTAAAGAGATAAGATGAGATGGGATGAGTAAAGATGGTGTAATATGGAGCATATGTCGGGAGGTTATGTTTATTGTATATAGAATCATGCACACTGCTTATAGGAATAGGGACAATTAGCATTTTTCATGTATAAACAAGCGTCTTTGTCCATCCAAGGTGGTTAATCCTCGGCGAGTGTGTATCCAAATTTGGTCATATTTCTCATCTATCAATATGAGACGGTAGACAATACATCATCTCGTGGTCAAGGTCTTTATGTACATAAGATATATGTGCATTTCCATCCATCATCCATCGTCAGTGCATGGATCATCACTTCATCCCTCTCACACCTCGTAACCCCCATCATAACTTCGGCCTTAGTCCAGGAGCAAACGTAGTCCCCTCACCACTAGTAATCACACCCACCAACTTATCAACATTCTCCAGTAACCAAATATTCCCATCCTCAGACGCCAGCCACGGCCCGCCCTCGACCGGCTCCTCGCCCTCCGCCCGCGCATCCCCATTCTCATACGCCTTCCTCAGCCCGAAGACATGCGACACGACCTGCGGCCCGACCCCCGTCTGCGCGCGCAAGCACGCGATCGCCACGAGCGAAGTGAGCACGCGGCCCACCTTGGCCGGCGCATCCGCGCCCCGCGGGTTCGACAGCAGGTTCGAGTAATGGCCATTCAGAATATGGACGGGCAGGTCCGGATGCGACTGCGCCAGCTTGTCGAGCAGCTTGCGCTCGAAGCCCAGGTACACGCTGTCCCAGAGGGCGAGGCCGTCCCTCTTTCTGACCTCGAGGTTTTCCGGCGTCAGCTCGCGCGTCGGCTTCGTGCTGAGCGAGGCCGCGACGTCTTTAGGTAGGCTGCTGTGGAAAGCGCCCAAAGTGTTGATGCTCCGCGGGATGCCGTTGAAGGATATGCACTTGAGCCCGACTTCGCGGATCAGCTCGGCGTTCTGGGCCGGCGTGCGCGGCGAGTTGGGCGTCGGGGTCGCGTTGGCGAGGTGGAAGATTTGGGTCATGGCCTCGGGGCAGTTTAGTGTTGCCGAGACGGCTGTCTGGTGGTCTGTTTAGTCGTTTGTTTTTTTTACCATTCACCTATCCGTTCCTTGTTTGCCTGTCCAATTTCATACGGGCCAAGGAATAATGAGCGGAACATGTTGAATTTCACCTACCGACAGCGTTACCCAGGCGGGTAATCCAACTTTCTTCTCGGCCGCATCGCTCGCGAACTTTGTCAACGCCGTTTGCACGCCTGCCGACGAGGGGGTGTATCCCGGGCTCGCGTGGCTGGCGTTGATGAGCGCCTTGACGGTGTTTGAAAGTTTCGACATTTTCCCCCTAGTTGTCGAAAAGTGAGGTCGAAGAGTAAGATGTGAGATGGTGGAGGAAGAGAGTAGGGGTAAACTAGTCTGTCTGTAGCTGAAAATCTTAAGTTTCTCTAATCTGATAATATTCGTTCGTCAACATGTCTCAGATCTTATTTTGCTCCGTATGTCGCAATCGTCTTCTAAACGGCTTGCAGCGAAACGTGGATGAACCCGACGTCATCAGCTTATGAGTTAAATATTATACTTGTTTCCTAGGCGACCTTAGGCGGATATTTCATGTACCTAAGGTGTTCGTTACAAGGAAGTTATCATCACCTTGTTGATTCCGAGAGTATGCCGCGGCAAAGATCCCTAGAAGAAAGAATTCGGTGATTCAAGAATCCCCGAAATCGCAGCTAGAATAACCCTATGGGTCTTAGCCTTAGCGGCTGCAGCCCACTATATCGAAGCGCTAATTCAGGAACAACCGGCCCTAGAATTCTCCAATTAGCTGCTGAGATTCCATCCATTGGTCCTAGTCTTCGATTTTCGGGTAATTTTTGTGAGACCGGTAACGCATGCTCACGAGAGTATCGTGTGTTTTTATATAAAACCTCATAAGACATAGAAATGCATACATATACACAGGTAAGTAAACCAACTAGGTCAGTTAATATGGTACCATGTGTGGATGAAAACGAATTCTCGACAAATGGGTATTCCTGAATTGGCCAAGAAGGCCAAGAGAGCCAAGCTAACGCTTCAGCACCGAAGGACAACACGACTATAAAGATATTATATTTCCCAGTCGTTACTTAAGTGTTTAAAACTCCTAAAAGCCCCTTGATCCCAATTCTATGCCCATACCCTTATCGTTAGCCTATACCTTTCAGTATCTCATAACCTAGATATCTCAGCATATCATAGAGCTTAGTGAAACCCCGTGGGTATTTGGTGATATACCTCAGTGAGGGCCAAGAGAGGACAACCTTCTCTTGGGACGCACGCCAAGGTAAGGTGGACCGGTTTCCTGTTCATAAGATAATTCCCTCGCGGATATATCATTGCCGGTTCCCGCAAAACACGAACTCCCTTACTTTCCTCCCTCCTTCCCTCAAATCGTCGATAACTTATAGAACCAATCTGAATGCAGGGTCACGGTCGTCACCGAAACCACGGTACTTATCGTACTTGCCGTTCGCCTTGTCTCGGTTGATCTTCCAGCAGTATAGCACATTGCAAGCAACACTAACAGTTTGTTAGACGATTGGGAGACCCACGACTGCTGAACAAGATTAAATCACTCACAAGAACCATCCACCACACAGCAATCCCATGATAATGGTATGACCTTCATAATATGCTGGTCCTTGCGTCTTGGGGTAGATGAAGACGGCGACGAATCCACCGCAGTTCGCGATGGCAAGCTGCAGGGCACTCGTGGTAGCGCGCTTGTAGTGGCCAGCAGAGTTCTACGCCGTTCATTGTCAGCATGGGAATAGCACTATGTGCGAATATGGATCGGGCTTGAAAGGGTACTAAGAGTACGACTTACGTTCGAGAGCCAACCCAGAACAGGTGGCACGCTACTGTAAAGACCGGTAGCCATGAGGAAGGTCATGCCGTATTTAACTTTGTCGTTCTTCGTGTTGGCGATCACACCGTATCCAATAATCGCCAACGGTAGTGAGCAGAGCATGACAGGTCCTCTGACGCGGCATCGATCAGAGATATATGCGGTGACGACTGGTTCTCATAAGCCTCAAATTCACGACAGAAGGTCACGAGTGGTATACATACCTGTGATTACCGAAGCCACCGCGTAGGGAATGACGGACCACAGCTGAGCTTCATCTGCCGTGTATCCTAATCCCGCAATGATTGTCGGGAGCTAATGATTATTGATTATCAGGACAACGAACTCGAGGAGAGGGGATTGAGTGATACTACTTACAAAGAGACCAAAGCTGTACAGGCCGCTAAGGATACCGAAGTATGCGCAGGCTGTGAACCAAGTTTGCAGACTGAAGACGCCACGAGCCACCTCAGACCAGGCGAATCTCTCAGAAGCCTCCCTGGGAATTCGTCAGTATAATGTCACATTGCACGCAACGTGACAGGATGGAACATACTTTTCGCGGTGGTTGCCGTCACCGCTACCGCTTGAGGCATGAAGTCGGCTCACAGCGAATTGGCGCTCTTCAGGAGTAAGGAACTTAGCCGAACCAACACCATTCGGGAGTAGGAAGTATGAAGCAATTCCGACAAGAGCCGTCTTTGAAATTGTTAGCATTTATACGCCGGCTGCACTTCACAAGACTGGTAGCGACTTACGAAGAGGCCCTCAAGGACGAAGATCCATCTCCACTTGCTAAGACCACCTCGAGTGCCTATCTCAGCTATCCCACGAGCTAACAAGCCTACCGAGTGTTAGATGTGACATTATAGGATGTGTTTCTCATAATGCTGCATGGAACAGTTACCTCCGAATGCGCCAGACAGAGACGCAGCTGTGTAAAAGATACCAATTCGCAGAGCGAGTTCACTTCTCGTGTAAATGGTCGACAAGTAAAGAACCTGCATCATCCGTGAGCTACAATATATCGATATTATGTCGATATTAAAAACTTGTCACTTACGATTCCTGGTAACAGACCACCTTCGGTAAGTCTACACCATTAGAGTCAGCAATTGGTCTTGATAAGCGAGAGGCCATCCTCGATATACTGGGGACGAATCTGATTGGAAAACGAAGAAGCGCAAAGGAAATGCGGTGAAACGGTCTCGGAAGCAGGAATAATTAACTGACCCAAGAAGCGCACGAACGCCAGCGAAGCCCGCGAAATTCTGGACGAATCCGAGACACATAGCCGACACGCCCCAGAAGAAAGTCAGGCACGGTAGCCAAACCTGAGGCGTGAGCTTCTTGAGGATCAGGTTACTTGGAATCTCGCTGAGGATGTACGTCGCGTAGAAGACGGCGAGACCTTGGTCGTACTGGTGGTCCGTGATGCCGATGTCTCCCTCGAGATTGTATAGCCGCGCATTTCCCACATTGGTCCTGTCCAGGAACGAGCAGAGGAACAGGACGGCGAGGACGGGAAGGATTCTAATATTCTCACGGTTAGACCCCATCGCGTGTCATTGGTTTTCATTTTTCATTTTTCTATTCTTCGGTTACCGAAGAGAAAAATAAATAAAGGCGGAGGAAATGGCTGGACGGAACCTCGTGTCTAGCTTCCACAGGACCTTACGCGTCAGGTGCTTGTCGGTAGAGCTGACCTGGATCGCGCTCCCCTTCTCGAGCTCCTCCACCGCCGCCTTGTTAGACGACATCTCGGCGGATTCTGAAGACGGCATCGTTATAGGCTTTTTTTCCTCTTTTCCTTTCCTTGTCGCGAGCCGGAGACGAAGAAAAAGGGCGGGACGAAAAGAGGAAGGTTGGGTGGGTTATTCTATTGTTCGGAACACCGTCTGGCCAACCTTTAAAGCTTCGCAAAAATCAGTTGCACCAACAGCTAAATAACGAACCAGGGCATTGGACATTTGAGTAGGCGATACAACAGGTCAGAGCATCGACGAACTCCAGTCACGTTGCGGGGAATTAGATTACTACATTAGTGGTTACCTTTTACGATAGTTGGGGGGACCAGGGGGGACGGCAGGCCGTTGAATCCATCGAAATTGGCGTGTGGGGTAAGTAAGGTCTTTGTCTTAAGCTGTCTTGGTATGGCGGACAGTAAGCTGTTGGTGATCTTCCCAGCTAATCGAGATACAAGCATTAGCAGCGCGGAGTCGCTGTGGGGGACAAGTATCTATTTCCGGAATTTGATATACCCCCGACGGCTTACGGCTCTTTGACCTAATCTAAGCGACAGGGAACCCGAGCTCATTACTAGACAAAGCAAAGGGTGGCGGACGGCAGAGAGAGGCTGACTGGTCAAGGGTGTGATTTGTCAGTTTCGTCAGTGTCACCACATGATAAGCTCCGGATGGTGTGTGTGATCGAAGATGCAAGGGAAGGGTAAGAATGCTGCCGCTTAATGCGCCTGGCCAATAGCTATGCTCGACAGAATATCTCACAATTTCAGGGTCCTTAGGCGTAGATATTGCATAGTGGCTTGGCCTCAACGAATACGCCCCTGTCGACTTTGCGATAGGGAAAGCCCGTTACATCGGGCGTACACAATGCCGCGCTACGGACGATATCATACATCTAGGCTGCATCGTGGAATTCTTCGAGCTCTGTTCTAGAAGCTTACGTCGAGTGGGACGCCACTTTGGATTCTTTAGTAAACCTCTTGGGTTTTATGGTTGGGATGTTTTGGATGTCCATCGAGATATACAAAACGTGTCTGCAACCCATCGTAGCATCACCTGCGGGAAGGGTCCTACCAGAGTGTAACCTTTTACATTTCTGGTCTCTGCTTGAGAGACGTTGGAAATGCTAGAGCTGGCATATAGGCTGGCATATAGTAAACAATGCATTGAACCGGAATTATCCAGAAATCATTCCAACCTGTTTTCCTGTTTCTTATTTCCAACGCCATGCGATGCTCCCCCAGTGACCCCTCGCGAACGCCCAAGTGCCGTGTATTCATGTCATAGATGCAGAACTTTTATATTTACGTTCCGAACGTCGACCAGTCCATCCAGTCCAAGTCAGCACTTTGAAACTGAAAATCTTCCCAGAATGCGTTAAGACCAATGTCGGTACTGTGTATGGCTTCATCTAACTGGTTTTCGTTAGACATGGTAGAGAATAATAAGTAGTCCGGTGGAAGGTTTGTTGCCGGGACAGGCATCTGCATCGCTCCGGGGTGGTTGGCCATGTGAGCAGCGGCCATGTCAGCATAAATAGGGGCGTTCTTAGCTATCTCCCCATTCGGTTCCGGTAGGGGTTGCGTATTTTCTGATGCTCGTGATGCATATTTTAGTATCTGCCTTAGTTGGCCGGCAAATAAGCAAGAAAGTCCCTTCCGTTGGATTGGGGTTGATCCTATTCTTTCCAGCACATCCGTAGTCTCTGCTATTAAAGCCCTGATACTAGGGGCTAGACTAGAGCCTCGACCATCGGCAACAGTGCTGACCCTCAGTGCGAAACACGCGGCAAATGATATCATAATAGCTGTATTGTTAGGCATTGATCTTAGCTGCCCTTCGCCTTGAACTGCCACTCGCAAGACGTTCAAGGCTGAAGAGAGGCCAGCAGCGCGGAAGAAATGCCGCGCTCCCACAGGCGCAGTGCCATGGTTGATCACAGAGCTGTATAAAGATAGTCGAGTATGAGAGGCAAGAATATCGACGTATGGAGGTAACGAGAGTTCTACATTGGTTAGTCATACAATTACGTGTATTACGCACACAAAACTCACTTTCGCGATCTCCCAATTGTACGGGCCAAGTTTGGTACCATCTATCGAAGAAAATAGTGATTTCACTTTTGACTCTATTGTTTTACGTGAGTGAGCACACCTCTCGGCTGAGAACGTGGGAAACGTACCTATCAACAACAGACGACTCGCTGTTTCCATTAACATAGCTGTCGCATATTGCTTTTACTTTTGTGATTATGTTCGTCTATAATAGGTATCAAGTTAGCCTATTGCTGGTTTTTCATACTGGAAGGGGGCAAAATACCAGATCTCGCCTTAATACGGCGACGGAAACGATTGAGCCATCCCATCTGTCTGCTAATTCATTAAGATGCCACTGATCGCAACTCTCAATGAGCGGCGACATTGGCAAAACATAGTTCCTTCCTCTAGCGAGACATACACTATGAACCAAATTAGTCGAGTACCTGCGAATAGAGCTTCGGTATCTTGTTACCCTCTTTCAAGGACGAATAAAGACAGCCAAGTGCGTTCTCTCCTTCTTAATAGTCTTCGGCCCTTCGGGGAATCCGGATCAACGTCGCTAAATCCGTCTATATTAAGCGCTTTTCGGCTAGAGATGCAATCGGACGTAGCAATGCTGTCTCTTGGGCTCCGTGGCTCTGTGGATAAAGGCAGAATGATCTTATTGAGAGATAGGTCCAAGGCGATTGTTAAGGCCATGGAAATGTAGGTTGAAGTCTCGTCGTCGGCCCAATGTTCACCGGCTGATATCCATGGTATATTGACCATGAAAGCCAGGACGATCTCTACAGATTTATAGCGCTTTGCCATTACAAGACTTGCGAGTTTCTGTCGATGGTTCGAAAGTCTTTTATATAATGATTCCATAGAGGGTGAGAATAGCGCTGACGCGGCAGCTATCGAGGTCAACAGAAAAGCTGAGCGACTTCGAACAAATTCTACCGTATGTATCACGGGATCAATACCCCAGCGCGTATGTGAAAGTTTTTCGTAGAAACTAGAATGGCGTTGGTTAGTACTGAAGTTCTACAAACGTAAAGCGGTGAAGTCATACTAGGCGAATAGTGCTTCAGCCTCCGCAAGTGTAATGAGACCTAATTCAATGGGATCGAGGTCTTCGCCGACATCTAGTCGGGCTTGAAAACGCCCAAAGAATTTTTGTAAATCATCGCCTTCTCCAGAAGACACCCGATTAGGAGCAGATTTAGGAATTCGTCCTGTTCCATTTCCTTGCACCTGTGGTGTTATAGATGATAGTAATTCGGATGTGCGGGCGAGCAATTGCAACGGATTCTCGGCATCATCCAAGCTGAGCTGGTCTTCTTCCACTTTGGGATGCACTGCCGGATCATCACGCGAACAGGTTTGTGAAGGCGATGTTTCTATCGAGGGAGATGTCTGCTGTGGAGACAAAGACGCTTGGTCAAGTTCCATCCCATTTTGCGATATGCGCCGCGGGAGTCCATCTTGGCCACTTAAAAGATCTCTACTCCTTTCGAGTAGGAATCTTAACTCGGTGGCTTGCTCGGCTGTCTGTACCTGATCGATGGCGCCTGCATGCGACCTTCTCAAAGCCTGCTCTATTTGGTAGACGGCTTTCTCCAACCCCGAATGTTTGCTAGGGAAAACAGTCAGTCAATTAGTTCTTGCGAAGCTTCAGAGATACTCAAATACGAGATGGAAATATTAAAGGACTATTAAATATCAAACGTCATATCTTACTTCTTGACACCCTTATGTCGTCCCACGTGAAAAAGCGGTGCAGAACACTGAATGGAGCGCTGAGTGCATCTAGTACAGGTGGAGGACCCGCTAGGACGAACGCACTTCAGCTTGGATTTCTTACAGTTGAAGCAGGCGGCAAGGCGCTCCTCATCTCTTGAATCAGTGTTTGACTTCGGCGCCATTCGATCCGATATGGAAAAGCGGCAGACAAGAGGAGGCCATACGATTTAATGGATTGTGAGCATACAGCGGAAGATTACCAAGTTATTCTTAATCAAGGAGAGTAATTCGCGAAGTTCCCGGGAGACTTTGGGGAAGCTTTGGAGCTTTGGAGAAGATTCAAAGGTTGTTGGGTCGGTAGAACCGTCTTGGCCCCGCACTTTCTTCTCCCTTTTGTTTAAAGCTTGTCAGGGGCAGGGGTACCAATGTAGGTTTTGAATGGGGTAAATGTACGTAAATGCACGCAGATTCGAGGCAACTGCAAGGCAACTGCGAGTGAGTTATTTCAAGATGTAATGGGATGTAATGTGAATGCTATTCAATGGAGATCGGTTGGAGAATATATCACGTGATGGCCGTCGTATTGGCTCGATGGATGTTTTATCAATTTCTCAATGAAACATCGAAACTGTCGAATTCCTCAAAAGCTTCTTTACCGTCCCCTTCATATCCCGCGATCGGGGATCGTTGGAAGGAAAACCACGCTTTATGGGAACAAACCGGAACGTGCCAACCACTACCATGAGGTCCATCACCACCATTGCTACCACCATGACAACCGTAGCCTCCAACCAACGCTACATCCCTATTCGATCAGGTAGTAAGTGTGACACGGGGCCCAGGATTCACCTACATCACACTGTCCCGTCCAGAGCATTTCTAGAATTACTAAGTTCTGCAATATCTGTCCGACTTTTCTAGGCAATGCTACTGTTTTACCAACTCACGCGGATCCATTGGCCTTACCTTCGATACACCTACCTAGCGCAATTAATCAGGGACCCGTAATCGAGCCTCGCTTGGTTGCTTACTTGACACATTCCTGATCCGGTCTTAACATTTGATAGTTGGGAGAAGAAAAACATTCCAATCCACTCACCAACGGCGCTTAACACTCTCATACATAGCTCATCGAACCAACTCGTCTTTCGCCAACTCAGGATGTCGCAGACGTCGAAGCTCATTTAAGTACATACATCTCGGTTAAACTAACTAGGCACCTGGATATGAGAGAAACTCGCAATGCTGCTAATGAGAGGGGTATCAAAGCCCATGGAGCTGTTAGTCTCGTGCTCATATAGAGCTACCTAGGTAGGTTCCTGCAACACAACTATACATTCGGAGCTGAACCGGCCACGCAGAGACGACAAAGCTGGCGATTGGATATTCTAACTGCAGGATCTTCGCATATTCACCGCTGAAAACTCACACCAACTATTTTTGATAAGGATATACCGTTTTCTGTGTCACGCAATACAAGTTTCAGATCAGTCGCGCGAAGTTGGTGTTTAGGGCTGTAGTAAGACAACCAACTCTTACACGCACTAAGAAGCGGATTAGCGGCTATCGATGCAATTCTGCATACCTTTTCCCTCTCGCATTACTAGACAAGCGCCACGCATCCTCTGTGGGCACTGAAGCATGGACGAGAGTCACTGTTGACCTGCGTTAGCAAGTGCATTAACGAAGCTTACTTGTTACCAGCTACCTATCGCGGTAACCAAGTCCGTGGCTGCCATCCTGTGTTTTATCTTAGGGCCGAAGCATTGAAAATCGTTGAGGTTTGGGGCTGAAGCCAGAAAGCAATGTCTCGTCATGATTTCCTCGTTACCTACCATTGCTCTTCCTTGCTAGCCGGCTAAGTAGCAAGATCTAGACGATCGACACACCCAAGATGGAGCCTCAAGCTACCAATTCCGCTGCTAAATTTGGCTTCTAGTATCGAATGGAGAAATTCTTTAGAGTATCGCCGGACGTAAGTCAAGATGGCATTTTTTTCGTTTACTATATTTATTGTTACGGCATCGTTGCAACCTTTGATTGATTGATTGCTACTACTTGCACAAGAGAAGAAAATCGAAATATCTACGCGCACTACGAAGCGACTCTCTGTCTTGGCATATCAATGCTTAGTACACGGGAATAAGATCACTGACGAGAAATGGAAGGGTTCCTGAAAGCATCTATCATCCAGTTGTCCACCCTTGATTCCAGACGACGCTAAGCCAACATTTACCCGGTGTCCAATTAGGCCATTTCTACTGATTCCTATCACCTCCATGAACGGCGGTACAACATTCATGCATCTTACCAGCCATTGACGCTTTTCATGACGGGAGCCATGCGAACCGCATCTTTAAATACGTAGCACTCCAGGATGCGGCATTTTCAATTATCATCAACCAGTTGTACTACTGCGAATTGCGCATGACTTCGTCAACACTCGAACATCGCGGGTTCAGTATGGAAGCGACACTACAGATGAGACCTTTAAACGTGGCACTGCATTTCGTGGTCATAGGAGTTGTCCATATATCTGATCGCCTCACGTCTGTGTTCCAAACATTATCGACATTTGTGACACTGCCACAATATACCGGGCTGAATTTGGGTCATCCGCGTCACTCGCGTTCAATATTGGAATATGGTTCCAAAGCTGTTCTATAAGAACAAGCAGTCGGACAAGAAATTGGCCCACGCCCGTTCATTAGCTCACTACATTCCCCCGAAAGCGTAGACGGTTCAAATGTTTCGGCGGAATTTATGCATTGCTAGTGCTGGTTCGCCCTAAATCCGCTTACAACCGGTGCTAACCATTCATAGATGCATACGACGGCCCTTAGCAGCCTGGTGAGGCAATGATCTTGCAGTATGCTAGCGTCAGCTCGTATGAAACTAATTTTATAGGGCTGAAAATCACGACAATGAGCTGACTCAAGTAAGTTCGATGATAATTACCTAAGTATACATAAAGCCGTGACCTTCGTAGACTTCCATCCCTCATCATAGCCTTCTAGCCATAGGTGACCTTTCGTAGCATCTGAGAGTGATCAGGTCTTTACATCCTGAACCCAAAAGGACACATACCAGTACAGGATACAGAATCCAATATCCTCAGTCTTGAGTCCTACTCATTCTTCGTATCAACATTCTTTCATCAATTCCAAGAAACAACCCTCATCTCAACAAAATGCATCTCATACTCACTGGAGCGACTGGTCTCATAGGCTCGGGCGTCCTTGACGCCATGATCAAGATGAAAGACATCAGCAAGATTTCCATCCTTAGCCGACGACCAGTTCAGATGGCCGAGGACGTCAAAGATCCCCGTGTCAATGTCATAATTCACAAGGACTTTGAGAGCTACGATTCTGAACTACTCTCTAAGCTTCAGGGGGCCACGGGATGTGTATGGGCCTTAGGTATCAGTCAGACTCAAGTTGGTACAGAGTGAGTAAACTGCACATCGGCACAAAAACTCGGACCACTAACCCTTTCGTTTAGGGAGTATGTAAAGATCACCAAAGACTATGCATTGGCGGCATCGAAGGCTTTCCAGACGCTGGCATCCGAGCAGGAGCCTTTCAACTTTGTATACGTCTCCGGCGCAGGCGCCACAACACAACCCGGAAGGTTCTCGGCCATATTTGCCAGGGTAAAGGGGGAAACCGAGCTGGCGCTAGCTGAGATGCGTAAAGCAAATCCGTTCTACCATGCAAGCTCAGTTCGTCCGGCGTTTGTCGACGCTGCAAAGCATGATGCTATCAAGCCTTATATCCCAGCTCAACCGTTTGCGATCAGGGCTACTGGCGTTACCTTGGGACCCGCTATCCGATGCGGAATGCCGTCATATTGGAGCCCTACGGCGGATCTGGGACGGTTTTTGACAGAGATAGCAATGGGACGGTATAAGGGTCAATTCAAAGCTAATGATATCCAAATGGAGGGCGAGTTCCCCATACTAGAGAACTCTGCATTCAGACGATTGGCGGGTCTTGACCGCAAATGAAGAAAGACAAGGAAGATGTACGGATTTCTTATGTTTGGTTCCCGGCAAAGGGGCGTCCAATGGTTTGTGCATAGAACTTCCACTGTATATTAGGTAGCAGGTAGATCAGCTTTCTTTGCCCCTTTCTAATTTGCACCCCTCATCATCTCCAATTATCCCCTTGGGCTTTACTAGTATTCAAAGCGCCACCTCGGGTCAGAATCTCCTCGCCAATCCGCAACTTCTCCAACGTGTTTTATCTCTTCCGCTATGGCCTCCCGCCTCTTATTTTCTCTCTTCAACTTGATCCCCAAGATCGTCACAACCACCGCATTAGCGACAAGATATGCGAGAGCCAACGAATGGCCTACGATAAATCTCGGTCCGTCGGTAGCACGATACAATTGAGTCCCCAACACGGCACCTAGGTTCCCGATGCTGATCTGCATAGCGTTAGCGATGGCTCGCTTGGTCTGGCCAGACACGTTGATGGCAGGCCACGACAGCACCAAAGCCGTAGCCGGAAAGATGCCTCCTGCTGCGAAGAAAACGCCGACGTAGCTGACCCCCGGCCTGCCGATCGGATCGGTGTTGCCGAGTAGGATGGCATAACCGATGGAAGCGAAGATAGCAGATCCGCCGATAAAAATGGCTCTTTGACTGAGCCGCTCGGAAAGAATAGCTACCGTAACGGTGGTCAGGAACGCGAAGGCGTAAGGGGGCACAGTAAGCAACTGTGCTGTCGCGGCTGTGTAACCTAGATTGGATATGATGGTAGGCTACCGAAGAAGACAATTAGCTATTGCGTATAGACCTAGGTATTGAAGTTGCCAGGACGTCACATACGAGAAACAGGGACAGTGTGTAGAGAGGCAAGCTCATGGTATGAAAGCCTAGGCCATACAACCAACAATTCGAATCTTTCAGTGCTTCTACTACGGCACCCCAAGTAAACCGCTCGTCGTGTGTTGCGTCACTATCGGCTGCTAAGCGCTGGTGGATGAATTTCCGTTCATCTTCGCTTAGGAACTTCGAAGTGTCTGGGTAGTTGTGGATGAAGCCGTATGCTGCTACGGCCACGAGAGCTGTGAGAATGCCTTCCTGTTTTAACGGATTAGAACACCTGACAAACTGTCATGTGAGTTGGTATGACGAACCAATATGAAGATCCAGCGCCATCCATTCGCCCACACGATACCTCCCATCCTCCCGATGCCCTACTCTTTAATTAGCAACGGAAGTTGTTCAAACCAGACTCGGACTATACGAACATAAGCTAAAATGCCACCAAACGCGCCAGCCAGAGATGCAGCACTGAAGAAGAGAGATATACGGTATTGCCGCTCTCGTCTCTTATACCACATAGAGAAGTAAAATACCACTCCTGGGAAGAGTCCGCTTTCGGCCTGATTCAAGTTAATATGGCACGCGGAAGTTCGAGTTCATGGCCCAGCGAGCTTCTGTGTTCCTGAAGTATAGGTACTGTGCGGCTTCATAGAAACATAGTGAAGGACTTGAACACATACTATGAGCTTGTTAGTTTTAGAATGTAGCAGGATAAAACCGCATAGTAAAAAATTACGGTATATTTTCACACTTACCAACACCGAGAAAGAATCTGCTCACTAGGAAGCCTGCCAGGTTCTGGACTATGCCCGTCAAAGTAGCGACGACACCCCAAACTATAGTCAACGTCGGTAGCCAAATGCGAGGCGTCGTACGTTTGAGTATGATGTTACAAGGGATCTGCCTTTAGTTAATACGGCATATCGAGGCATCATGACCACGGGTTGTGTCCTACCTCGAATAGCACGTATCCCACAAAGTATAGTGTCAGGCCTGTGAGATACTGATTTCCAGCTGTATCAATAGATCAGCCAGAAGTTAGCCCACAGCGTCTCAGACTCACCCACTCATGTGTACATCATTAAGAAGGCCTTCAATACGAGCATTACCGACTGTAAAGAATATTAGTAAATACACTTCATCCCAGGCCATTGGCCAAAGTGGATTATGTTATACCATTGCTTCGATCAAGGAAGGATAGAAGATACAAGACTCCCACCGCAGGCAAGAGTCGAAAGTCTAGCTTTCTCAATAGCGCTCTCTCATTGATACTGGGTCCTCCAGTCTCAGAGTCAGACGCGCCAGAATTTTCTCCTCCCACATCTTGTACCGCAGTCTTCTCGGCCATTGTACCAAGAGGCAACTTCAATTGATGAACGACAGAGAGACAATCGAATTATATCTTTAATATAATCCAGTGAGGTCCAATTAGGAAAACTTTACAAAACTCATAGAGGGACCGGTCGTTGGAGTAGATAGCTGAGACAGCTTGTAGATAAAACTGCAAGACATCAATAAGAGCCATGGCCCCAGTCAATGGCATCATGATAGCAATAGCTGATTTAAGATAGCTTGTAGATAGCTCATGCTAGTTTTAGTAGGATTAATCCGAAGTTGCAACGTCTTTTAGTGTCATGATTGGCGAGTTCGTTGAATCTGGCGGATCACGACATAGAGGCCCTGTCTGACGTGACAACCTTCCCGTCCGTCCGTTATATTATATCATGATTAGATCCCATATTCCACCAAAGCTCAATGTTCCAACATGATTTTGTATCGCTTCATGAGCAATGATAAGTTCGGCGCAATCGAGTTGATTCATTACCTATGTATGCGGATATCGAAACTTGCTACAGCACCTCTTGCTAGGCACGTACTCGATTTTCTTGAAAGCTAATGGACTTTTGGGTATGTACCGTGCATCTTACAACGTCGTTCACGTAATTTAACTTATAAGCTCCACGAGAAAACGAAATGGCAAAGCCGTGGTAAATTACGTCACACTTGCGACGCAATGGGCTCGTACCTACATGTAAATAAGTAAGGGGCGAGTAGGGAGATTTAAATAAATAACCAATTCTCATTCGATAGACCCTGCTGGGGATACCGGAGTTTGGATTCGGCTTCCCGAAATTCGGGGTCCGACTAGAATTTTTCTACCCCATCTGCCCCTCCAACAACGCCCTGCATATGGGCTACTTGTATGCTGCATGAAGGGCGTAGTTCAATGCCACTAGTATTTATAGACGCAGACATTGTAGTATAGCAATTCGTCGTTCCAAACCATCTAGATCGCATCAAGGAGTATTTCCTAAAGTATAACTTTCACAATGGCACCAGCACCTTGCAAAGTTCGGCACGCTCACCGAGATGGTACGGATGCTTGACTATCTTCAATGCCCCATTGCCGACAAGTGCTGACCAGACTACCTCGGATAGACGTATCAACTATTCTCGACTTGATCCGGGAGCTGGCCGACTACGAGCACGAGCTCGATGCCGTCGAAGCAACCGAGGCCACATTGCTTTCCACCATAGCCTTCGCTCCTAAGGATGTTGAATCGACCTCTACTTCCCCAATCACGGAGCCCACATCCCCGTCTAGACCGGCGCGTTGCCTCCTCCTATTCAACGAGGAAGGAAAACCAGCCGGTATGGCGCTGTACTTTTATAATTACAGCACGTGGCGAGCAAAAGCAGGCATCTATCTCGAAGACTTGTTCGTCCGACCGACAGAGCGGAAGAAGGGGTACGGGAAGAAGCTGCTCGTTGAGTTGGCAAAGGAAGTGGTCGCAACAAACGGTGGTAGACTCGAGTGGAGTGTGTTGAAGTGGAATGAGCCTAGTATCAAGTTCTACGAATCCATCGGAGCTAAGCCGATGAACGAATGGGTTGGCATGCGAGTAGATCGCGAGGGCCTAACCAAGTTGGCTGGTCTTTTAGACTGACCGAGTTTTGTTGGCAAGACATGCGCCTTAACCTTGGAGGTCTTTAGTCTTATAAAAGTTTGGACGTATCCGTACTCAAGTTGTGGTCTCTTTCCTTGTGGGCGTTGACTGTATAGGTAGGCCAGACTCGTTGACACCCTGGAAGAACTGTAGATCCTTGTTCCTGGGGCGAGATACCTTCGGCTGGTGATTGCCCCAAGTGACGTTCCAACGTCCTGTGCGGGGATTCTTGTCGACTATAGGAGATGCCTCCCATACTTTGAGATATATGCCACGCCGCATTTTTCTGTGATTCATGACTCGAACGCCGATTTTGCGGCCGTGCCCTCGAGGATCCTCATCTTCACCGCCACTAAGGCTCTTCATCTTCCGAGAATTTGGCCTCTGTATCATCCGCATCGGTCTAGTCACGAGATTCGCCCAAAACGGTAACTTGTCGTCTGGATCAGGGGAATCCTCCTGTGCCATTAGTTGTGCAACCGGTCTTCTCGTGGGTAACTTATAATGCTGAGGATCGGCTTTACCTCGTGACAACGAACCTAACCGATCCCATTCTCCCCGAGGTAAGGGTGGTAACAGCTGACGCAGAACTTGGGCCCAGTGCTTCTTTAACTTGTTCCGGGCCAACTTCTTGGCTAATGGGCGACCGAAACTATTCTCGGTTGGGATGGATTTCTTCGGGTCGATTATACGGCGCATTTGGTGTGGCAGGTCTTTCTCGCTTCGCTCGACCTGCGATTGCGCAATGGCCTTGACCTTTTCAATATCCCAGTTATCCATCCAGTCGCGGAATTGTTGTTCGTTGAGGTTAGCAAGGATGGTTTTCTCGTCTAGCTCGGCAGAGGTAGCAGCAGGTTCGCTAGATAGTTCGGATCTTCCTAAGAGACGGCGTCGTTTCCCAGCCCTTCCCGTTGCCATATAGCATAGTCGTAGCAGGCGTTTGACATTGCCATCGTTGGCGGAGCGGAAATTTCGGAGATGGTGGTGAGCATCCTTGATGTAGCGTTTGGGCTCTCTCGCATATTGACAGTCGCGATAACGAGCTTTTATGCGCGAAGTTACCCACGGTCTACAGAGAGGAGGAAGATATGTGGCTTCTCGTAGTAGGTGTCTGTAGAGATGTAGTGGGGTGTTTGGGTGGGGGATTTGCAAGGGCATCGTGGTGGTTGTTTGAATATGAGGAACAAATTGTTTTATCGTTTCATTATCAGGAATAAAATAATTGAGCTGAAGATCGATATCCACTAGTGGCTAGTAGGTACGTAGCTGCTCGTCTAGGCAGTCTCGGTGAGTCGGTGCTCACTGCCCAATGGTGCGCACGACGATCACATCAATACGTAAATGCCCCACTTGTCGACCGATAGCTTCTTACCTGATTTGGTAATCCCCCCTCACTTTAATTACAATGTGAGCCGATGCAAAATGCGGCCCGTGCGCGGCGTCTCCTGTAACATGGGGTACATTCATTTTCCTTTTTTCTTCCCTCCGGCACGAGTCACGACTTCACGATTACACGATTACACGAAACTGACACGTCCCTTATGGCTCGCCCATCTACCACCCGCGCATCGAGACTCAACGGCACTATTCCTAATTCCTACCTTTTAATTGAATTCCAGTTGTGAGAAGTGAGACCTTGCTATCTCATACCTCCGAGTTTGGAACGGGAATTTAATAAGATCGTCGCGAATCGCGAAAATTGATTGACGAGAATTGCTTAGGTGCTTTAGGTGCGCTTAGGTCTTAAGAAATACATGCGAAAAAAGCGCGTCTTCTGGTTCTCTGATCCAAGATATCCGAGATCCCTAAGATTCCGTGTTTTCCTTTGACTATCCTTGATCCTATCGTCAATCCATCTTGACATCGCATTTTAATATCATTATTTAGGTATATTCCATTATTTCTTTATTTTCTATTTTCTATTTTCGTATATCCTTATCCTTATCGTTGATTCTATTTACTTTTTTAATTTCATTTCGTCATTATTGGTCTTATGTGCGCTTAGTCTGCAAGCATTCATGGATATTGACGCCGCCAGAATTATCGTCAACCCAACCTGATTCCCTTAGTTCCTTATTTCATTGACACCTCCTCTCAAGGCACGATACTTTGAAAACTTACATTTAACATTTATCGTCGGATTGCAACTAATACCAAAAGTAGTCGGTGCACGCATGCAGCTTTTATATCTTTTCTACTACATGCGCAGTATTGTTTCCATAACGTACTAAGAAGGAGAAAAGTTCACGGCGGAATATTTTTTTCTCGTCGCAATCTTATTATTATCGAAGCCCCGGATTTCTGCACATCTCGTCGAATCCACCCCTGGTCTGCTGTCCGCTCATGGCCTCGGCCACAACCGCCATCTCGCACCATCATCACATCCAAAATCCACATACGACCACTATCATCTCCGATCAATCCAATTCTTCTCTTCAGCCACCGCCGAACTTACAGCGCCAATCCAGCTCTTCCGCATTGATATCATCCTCCCAATTCCCCCCTTCATCCCTTGATAACAATAGCGGCGGCGTAGGCGCTGCCTCCGACAGCGTCAAAATGTCGCAATCACAACCCTCGTCGCAACAGTCTTTTACTACAATGAGCCAACCAAGTCAACCTTATAGACAATTCTCCGACTCAAATATGAGGTTAGGCAATGGGCATGCGCACGATCATGAAGCGCCCCAGATCTACTCGGTTAGACACCTTGCACCCTGCCACCCAGCTAATCGAACTAGCGCACTAACATGTTATGTGTAGGCTGTCTATTCTGGCACTGATGTATACGAGATGGAGGTTAACGGGGTCGCCGTCATGCGCCGACGTGAAGATAGCTGGTTGAACGCAACGCAAATTCTCAAGGTAGCTAATATCGATAAGGGCAAGAGGACAAAAATACTTGAGAAGGAAATACAGACGGGCGAACATGAGAAGGTGCAGGGCGGCTACGGAAAATACCAAGGCACATGGATTAAGTTCGAGCGAGGTGTTGAGGTGTGCCGCCAATATGGTGTTGAACAACTACTTCACCCTCTCCTAACATACGATATGGGCCAAGACGGAGGCATTGCTGGTAGAGGTGACTTTAACACTCCTACTAAGGAGCAAGCTATGGCTGCCCAGCGCAAGAGGATGTACAGCGCAAGCCAAGAAGGGCGTGTTAATGGGCTATCTGGGACCTTCTTCAAGAATATCTCGAGCACGGCATCTAATGCGGTCGCTGCGATTAGCAAAGCTCGCTTCGATTCCCCTGGCCCAAGAGGTCGTAACGGTCCGACGAGGCCCCCTAGTTTTAGCCGCCAGTCCTCGATGCAAAATGTCGACGAATATCCTGGAAATTCACAACAGAGCTTCACCTCCGAGCATGGCCAAAATGTTGATTCAGCATATTCTACACAGAATACCCAGATCTTTAATGGCGAGGAGCCGCCGCGGAAGCGACAAAGAGTCGTTACACCGGCAGATAGTTTTGGGTACAATTCTCAGTCCATGGAGATGTATGCCAATGCCTTTCCTGGTTCGCCGACTGAACTCAACGACTCCTTCGCCTACCCCCAAGCAGGTGTCGACGTCCACGAAAACGATGTTGTTCCTCTCCCCCCTTTACCTTTTGAGATGTCTCCTGAGGCAGACCAAAAACGTAGGTTATTAATGGGGCTCTTCCTGGATCCTAACGCCAATATCTCGGATTACTCGCAGAATGAAGCTTTACAGACGCTGTCACCCTTGGATCTGGATTCTCCAATTGATGCGTCAAGCCATACTGCCCTTCACTGGGCTGCTACGTTGGCCAGGATGCCTCTCTTACGAGCGCTGATATCAGCTGGGGCGAATCCTTATCGCGTCGACGCATCGGGCGAAACGGCGTTGATGGGAGCTTCAGCGGTAACGAACAACTCCGATCAAGTGTCATTCCCCGAATTGCTCGATATCTTAGGTAACACCATCGACGTTAGAGATAACAAGGGCCGCACGGTTCTACATCACATTGCTCTCGCGAGTGCTGTAAAGGGTAGGAGCCATTCCAGCAGATACTATCTCGAGAGCCTTCTCGAGTGGGTTGTGAGACAAGGGAGCGCCCCAAGTAGTCAAAACACAGCGGCCAACGGTATCTCAAGCCAGCCGAAGATGAATATTGGGCGATTCATGAGCGAGATCGTCAATGCTCAAGACAAGTCAGGGGACACCGCTCTGAATATCGCAGCCCGAATCGGAAACAGGAGCATCATCTCACAGCTACTCGAGGTGGGCGCTGATCCTGGAATCGCGAATAAGGCAGGTTTGAGACCCGTCGATTTCGGCGTGGGTGAGGGTGTTGACGAGGATGGAACAAATGGCGATCTCATGGCAACTGATAAGACCAACCTTATGAGCAACTCCCAAAAGACCCGAGAGAGCGCTGCTGACATTATTACTTGTGAGTTTACAAATAATCCGATTTCTGCTGTGGTTAAATCTGACTGTTTTAGCTATCACTCATCTCTTGAATGAGACCTCTACTAGTTTTCAATCCGAGTTGAAAAAGAAGCAACAAGACATTGATTCTCTTCATGCCTCCTTAAGGACTACATCTACCCAGTTAGGCGATGCACGTCGTCAGCTGGAGACGTTAACGACAGCTTTCAAATCGCAATCTCTTACGCGCCAAAAGATAAACAATCTCAACCGAGGCCGCGATGAAGAACAAAAGCGCATGCAACGTCTCGAACAAAGTTACGGGCGATTAGACACGAGCAGAGCGTGGGAATCGGAGCTCAGCGCCGCATTGAATCCTGCGGAAGGAGACGGACCAAACGCGGCCTTATTACCCAGTTCCACAGTCCTTCGCGCGCGCATTCAAGCACTTCGAGGTAGGACCGATGCTATGAAGCAGAGCGTAGGCACTCTTAAGGGCCGTAGTAAGGACGTGGAGGTCAAATATCGACGAGTGGTCGCGTTATGTACCAACGTGCCGGAAAGTGAGGTTGATATTGTCATAGACGGCTTATTACGTGCCGTGGAGAGCGAGAAGGGAGAACTTGATTCTGGTCGTATACGAAGATTCCTCGGCGGCGTTGACGGTGTGCAGTAATGAGTTCGTACAGGACAATGGTTTTGGGGGCGTACTGGGGGGATTACCAGGCAGGTCTCTCACGACTTGAGGGCGGCATCGGTGGGCTTTGCATTTTGTCTATGTTAGATTTTGAGACCCAATGCGTATTCCAGGGGGGGTATCATGACTTTACGTCCAGCATCATCTACGACCGGCTGTATATAGGCAAACCCTACATTTTGCGGGAAACAGGAAGCCATGGCTTCGCAGTTGTATATGATGAACTTGTTGTGTTGCGGAACCTCTGTTACTTGGTGGTCAACTTTCTTGTTCGAGCTGCCAAGTTCAACGCATCTACCTCATGTTGCCCTACACCTAGCTAGACACTTTGTTTAACGTCGCTTTCTGGGAAGGGAACTGGCTTAAGAGATATCCGAGTATTAGTAACGGATGAATTCACTTGGAATGCCTTGAAATTGATTTCCGATTATTCATTCAAAAGGGTATCGATATCCATCCATTCCACATATCCAGCCATACCGTCGGTTGAGTAGCCCTTATTCAACCCAACGCCCATAAGCTCTTGCATTGCAATGTTTATGTTTATGGTTTACAAGCCGACTTATCTCACAACGGTCATCCACTTTCACCATTATGGCACAACCAAGCCCTTCATCACAGCACTGCTCCAACCCGACCTACCCTTAGCTCTCTGCGCGAGTCCTCTCATTAACTTCCACACGGCACTTTCTTCCTCGTCGCCGTCACGGTGCCGGCCAGGGGCAAATACTTTCAGCCTCCCGTCCGACAGCGCGAAGCCGTCGCAGGCGACCCGCTGGATGCGAACGCCCGGGTGGAACATGTCTAACCCGAGATGGTGCCACACGTACTCGGCCAGGGCTTCGGTGAAGGGCTGCTCGATGATCTCGGTTTGGACTCCCTTATCGTCATCGCCGCTGCCGCCGTTACGCGTTCGCCATGCCCATCCCTCTTCGTCTCTGCCACCCGCAAGTTTCCGCCGCCTTCTGCTCTGTTGCTCGTCTGATAGGATGGTTGCCGCGTCCGCTTTCCTCTTTCTCGCGTTGGCGCCTTGGGACTCGTCAAGTCTTTCACCTGCGCGTAGAAAGCGGTGCACGTCTGCGGCGGGGATAGTGATATCGATACTCTTCAACCCAAGCTGGCGCTGCTCGGACTTCTGGACTTGATCTCCGCCATTGCCCTCTCCTTCGCCACTGCCGCCTGATCCTAAGGCTTTTGGTTTCGGCTCGGGAGGTTCGATATGAAAGCCTAGTGTGATGAGAACGTCTTTGCTTAGTGCCTTTCGCCCATTATTAGACCCGTTGTCGGAGAGCCAGGCCTCCCAACTACTTATAAGCGACCGCGTGCCTAGCGCAAGGGGACTGATGCGGCAGTCGAAGGTGCTTGATAGGAAATCGACTAGCACGGACTTTAGAGGCGCGGGCATCCGGAATAGAAGGAGCGGAAGATGTAAGAAAGCGCCCTTCTCTGCCTCACTCGCTCGCGAGCCAGTAGTACCTTCTTCATCCATCTTCCACGTCCAAGAAAGCTGGTCCCTAGAACCCGCCGAACCGTCCTCCCCGCCTAGATCAGGCAAAAGCAAGGCGCTAAACCGCGCATTCTCATACCTCAACTCAATACACATCACGCGCGTCCCGCTCCTCCTCCTCCCCCCTTCTCCACCCTCATCTCCATCACCATCACCATTCCCCAACTCCACACTCCCCTCCCTTCCACGGCCTCTATCCCCCAAAATCCGCTCCGCATCAACCCACCGCCACTCAACCCCATACAACGCCCCCGTGCGCCCCAGCGCGGCCCCTCCGTCGCCCTCGGGCCCAAGACCGACCTGCACGCCACGCACCACGTCGCCGACGAGCGCGTCGCGCAGGCGTCGGGATAGCAGGTCCAGACGCGACGGCGGTAGACCTTGCGAGCCGAGGTACAAGGGCGAGGCGCGGTAGGTGGTGAATGTTGTGTTGAAGAAGCGCGGGGGGTCGGCGTCGGCGGCGGCGGCGGAGGAGGAGTGGTAGGAGGAGTTGGCGCTGGGGGAGGCGGATGCGGATGCGGTGGCGGAACGGTCGGGGGAGGGCGAGCGGGCGGGTGGTGGTGGTGGTGGTGATGGGGAGGCAGGGGGGTTGGGCTTGCGTTTTCGGGGTGGCATTTTTGGGGATGTGTTGTTGTTGTTAGGAGCTTTAAAGGCTGTTAAAGCCGGAGAAGAAGCTCGTAATTAGCTTGATGGCGAGCCTAACGAGAGTCGTGGTTTGGTAGCAGTCTGCGCGTTGCTGCGGATCGTTGTACAAGAACGAAGTCTTAGTTGATATTCTCGTCGCGTCTTAACTCGGCTAAATTCGACCCGATTCTTCGTATATTAACTCAATTGGGCTGTTTATGTTTACTTGCGCGTAGGACCAGGTGAATTTCACGTCATAGAGTCCCTAAGATGGGATTAGATGAGATTGAAGATGTTGATACTTTCAAGTCGAATTGAAACTACAAAGTTGAAGTGTTTATTGTACTGGACAAGTTTAGGTGGGGGCATTACGTTAGTCTAGCAGCTATAATGCGCTAATGCTGGAAGATTGTAGTGGGGTTCCCGCGTCGTGGGGTCACTATTGCTCCAGCTATCGAGGGAAGCTACTATGGATAAGGAGGCTGAGTGTGGGGAGTAGCCGCCTGGATGGTTTGCTTTTAAGTCTGTCGTCATTGGTTCAGCTTAAAGCCATCTACTCTCATCACTTTCATCTCTGTCTTATCTTTCGCCCCCCCGTGTTTATACTGCCTGTGAATGAGATATTTCTCAAGATTCGAGGACTCAACGTACTTATGTCAAATGAACTATATACGACCCTAAACTCATAATCCTTGCTAAGAGTCACTTCGGAAGCATATACACAATGGCTTCATCATCCTCATCCTCATTCTCATCACCATCCCCCTCCCCCTCCCCCTCCCCTTCCCCTTCCGCCCCGGAGCTCACATTCACAAAATTCCCAGAACTCCCGCCCGAGATCCGGCACCAGATCTGGCGCGCCGCCCTCCCGATCCCGGGCATCAACTTCTTCAACGTGCACAGCTTCCCGAACGACCACCCCGGCGCCAACCGGAGCACCTCCCCGCCGTGGCTGTACCTGGACCTGCGCCGCCTGTCCATCGAGGACGATGACGATGAGGTGAGCCGGTACGACCCCTCGGCCTGGCAGGCCCGCGAGGCCCTGCGCCGCGTGTGCCGCGAGGCGCGCTTCGTGTGCGCGCTCCCGGAGTCCGAGACCGCTACCATCACGCTGACCCGGCCTCGGCGCGGGTTATACGTAAGGGCGGGCGACAACCAACTGAGGTACCTGTCGGTGTACGCGTGGCCGGCCGGGGCTACGAGAGAGCCCGAGCCGCTGGCGAAACGCAAGATCTCGGTCCGCGCCGACGACGTCCTCTGCCTGTCCGTCGAGAACTGCAGCTTTAACCTGCCGCTGGAGGAGGCCCTGATTATAGACGGCATCGAAAATACCGAGGACGATAACGCCGCGCTGTTCGGCTGGGTATTTGACCCGCAAATGACGCCGCCGCTACCGGCCGCCATCCCTCGGTCGAGAATATGCTTTAGTATGGTTCGGGGTGACAGGAGGACGCTTAGGGCCGCTACCAACGCGCTGCGGAGCATATTCACGTACGGCCAAGGCTCGTCCGCCGAATCGTCCGCAGAAGAGATGGCCGAATCGCTGTCTCTGCTCATGCTGGACGCGTATAAGCAGGATATAACCGACCGTCTCATTAAGCAGCTGGCGCGGAGGGACAAGGTGTTTTGGGATCGCTTCGGCGACCGGTATATCACCCGCTTGTGGAATTCGAGCGTTTTATCTGCCAAGTACCGGCTTGTCAAGGTGTGTCCCGAAAACAGCAATATTAGGAAGAGGTACTTGCAGTCTGCGGTGCTACCGTCGCCTAAGAGACCTTTTAGCTCCTCGGCCTGAGAATATCCATACCCACAGACGAATGTTGCCACGTCGTCTACCGTAGCCACGTAAATATATCAATCGGTAATGAAGGCGTTAAGTCGTTTTTGCATCCATATTATTGGCTAAATTGTACATGGACTACGAATATTAGAATAGACAGTTGGGGATTCTAAAGGAGACCTAATTTCCAAACCCCTTTTACAAATGACGGCGCCTGCGTAAGTAGATTCAAGGTAGCCAATACCCAACCAACAACGCCAGTGCCGATGCAGTAATCTGAAGTCTGTACAGTAAGCATGAGCTCTCACATTCGCTTCCGCGCCAAGCCTCTCCTCTATCCCCTTTATTCACTAGTTGCTTGTTTTGATGTTTTCCGCCTCTTCCTCGTAAGGCGATTTATCACGAGATCAGTCCAGGCCCTCCATTCGCATATAGGCCCTGCCACCTGTCCTCGACGGCCGTGACCTTACCTCTAATGCTCTCGATCTCTGTATTAAGCTCCTCGACGTTCCGCGTCAGGGCGCTGACTTCTTCAAACCGCCGGGCTCCATGCGCACTATCGATCATCTTTTGTACCATGTACTTCTGCTCCTCTAGCACGATCAGGCGCTCGCGTAGCTCCTTTTCCTCCGTCTCGAGCGCCGACACGACAGTGCTAGTTTCGCTCGTCTGACTTGCCGTTTCTAATGTGTCACTGCCGTTACGCAGCGGGCTCGCCACGTGACCATTCGTGAGAAGCCGATTCCTAGACGAAGTAGAGCTGGAACTATGATGTTTCAGCATACGGGGCAAGTTTTTCAGCGGTAGCATATGCATGTGCAAGAAAGAAGATGCTGCTTGGTGGATAGCTTTCTGAAGCTGTCGTTGAGCCGGGTTATCCGTCTTCATATCGCGTATTCGCCGAGCAGCGACGTCGTATTTAGTGAAACTATCAGTGAGACGTTTCCTGATCTTGGAAGCTTCTTGGATCTGCGCGTGACTGGGCGGGTGGTTCTCATCCTGCAATGGCAGGAGAGCTCTTTGAAAGGTAGGTATCAAAAGCTGTATACCGCGTTCAAATTGTTTAAGCGTCTCGTAGGCCCGTTGATCGGGCGGTTTGTGCACGATAGATTCCATGAAATCCCTTTTAGAGAAGATAGTAAACTTGCAATCCCGACACATGCGAATATCGACACTTATGGGGCTGCTTCCTGCCGATTTCTCAGACGTAAGAGCAGATGAATTTGCGACGTTCAAGCCAACGTCGGATGAGCACCCCGTTTGCGGATCGGAACACACAACACGCCCGCATATCCTACAATGATGCCTCCTGAACGTCCAGGAGAATTCTTGCTGACAAAATGGACATTTTGCAACCTTCGCGTCGTCTTCCCATGTTACTATCGTCTGCTCGATAGCCTTCCGCTGATTCCTCTGAGCAGCCAGAGGGGAGAGCAGACTTGTTCCACCGCTTGCTCCTGCTTCCTCAGGTAAATGCGCGAGCAGTTGGGTCAACTTAGTGAGCCTCTTTTCCAGCCGTGATATTTCGAGTGTCTGCCTATCAACTCTCTTTCTCCGTACAGCCGCGAATTCTTTCGTATGGTCTCTTGTGAGCCCATTATGATCGTTATATCCCTCTCTTGATTTGTAGCATGTTTCACAGACCCTATACCAATAGCCCCTCACAGGCTCGTGCGACGCTGACCTCGACAGCTTCATCTGGTACATGGTATGCTCCTCGCAGAATAACCTCCCGCACTGCCTGCAGTTGATACTGCCGTTGACAGCACCCAACCTCTTTCCACACGCCGGATCCGTGCATAAGTCGCTCGGACCCGGCCGTTGCCAGTGAGATTTGGTAATTATATCATCGGGATCTAGGGGTAAATCGGGAACGGGAGCTCTATTCGCCCTCACAGGGACCGGCGCGGGAAGCGGTTGCGATTCGTTGGATTCGAAGACTTCGAGGCCACGAAGCTTTTGGTTAATAAGAGAGAGCGGTTGAAACTTCTTAGCCTTGAGGACCTGCTTATCTATCCAAGACTTGACCTCGTCCTGTTCGATTTCGGGCAGTTCCTGGTGCGTATCATCGATATGGCGGTTCAATTGCAGCAGAGTCAACATCTCCTCCTCACATATGGGACACACAAGCTTGGATCCCGACTGACTGCCATTACTTGGTCCTCCCAAGCTGATGTTGGAAGCAAGATCTTGGGCAAAGTCGGGTAACGGACTGGTTCCGGGGGAGAGGGAGGCGGCGGGGGAGCCGATAGACAAGGTACTATCGGACGGAGCAGACTGGCCGGACGGGCTCGTAGCTCTCTCCCTCCGGATGGCTGGAGGAGCCGGAGGCGCGAGGCCCTTTCCGTTACCCAATATTCTCCCCCCGCCAAGCTTGCGACCGGACATATTTAACTTCTAGACTCGTAGTATTTGCAAAGCCATAAGGACTAGTAATTTCCGCCGCCGCTCCCGTTGCTACTGTTTCTATTTTCGTTTTTCGTCGCTATTGCCGTTGCTAAGACCGAATTCCCTGGAAAGGGTCTCGAATTGTAGGAATTGGAATCTAGAGGGACTAGCGGACTCGGTCTGCATATCAGATGGTCTTCGGCGATTTGTCATTTGTAGTACACATCTGGAAATTGGACATCGGGATCGAATCGGGTATGTGAGTTTGCTGGCTTCAGTGTTGTAGTTGGGGAGTTTCCAAGGTTGCGTCGCAAGGCAGTTAGAATTTAATTTACGAGGGGCGCAAGGCTGCTAATTACATATCCAGACGCCGGCACCTTCCTAGTCCTGGAACTCGGTACGTCAAGATTGATAAATGTGATGTGAAATTTGTTAGTCAGCGCTATCACCACACATGTACATGCACATGTACATACGGGGCTAATTCAACATGGGAAGCTTCAGCTCAGCTTCTAGTGCAGGTTAACCTTGGGAGCTACAGCACTTGCCTGCTCGCGCTGGATTCCTTGGAACGCTGCTTCCAGGGCAGCCAAAGTTCAATTATTCTCAGGTAACAATTGGACGCATTCGAACCTTCTAAGCTGGAGCCTCCCCACTATGGCCTCTACGGCTAAGCTTGTTTAGGCTTGTCGCGTGCCACTAATTGGCCTAACTGAAGGAAGAACCACAAGAACCATCAATTCTATATCCTGGCTCTTTTCGTCATCACATCTTTTTTCTCTCTTCAAATCACACCGTATCAAATCCCTTGAGGCTCATTATTCGCTGCTTCTCCGATGCCAGCGTCTCCGGAGAAATACGTGTAGGTAATCAAAACAAAAACAAGCTAAACATGCTTTAATTCATAGCAAACTCCTTTTCTTCTTTCGTCTCTCTATACATCCCTCTGTCCTATTCTATCTAAGCCTCAAGCACTAAACCCCCAAGCTTCGATGTGTATATCTTCGACGATCATGCAGTAAAACTGTTTTACTTAGAGCTCGGAGCTTGCTGAATGATAGGATGTCCAGTAATAGCAACGACCAGTTCCCTCAAGTCCAAGGCGGAGGAAGCTTGATTCTCGCCTGGCAGGTCAAGAATAAGCATGTCTTGGTAGTAGGAGGCGGCGAGGTGAGTATCTACGCATTGCCTGCTGTGTAGCCCTTAGATTATAACCATATCCCGCGTAGGTTGCGGCTGGCCGCATCCTCAACGTCCTGAACGCCGACGCCCATGTAACCGTCGTGTGCCCGTCTTCCGGCCTTAACCCCGAAGTGCGCTATCGTATCGCCAACGACGAGGTCACCCACGTCAACCGCGTGTTTAGTCCTTCCGACCTCGAAACATTGCCCCCAAGCAATGGCCCCCCTGACATGGTCCTGGTCGCTGTCGACGATCCCGCCGCCTCCACCCAGATTTGGAAGCTGTGCAAGCAGCACCGCATACCGGCTAACATCGCCGACGTGCCACCCGAATGCGATTTTTACTTTGGGAGCGTGCACCGCGATGGACCCCTGCAGATCATGGTTAGCACCAATGGCAAGGGCCCCAGGTTAGCCGCCAGTATCAGAAAATGGATCGGTAACCAGCTACCAAAGGGCGTCGGCGACGCAATTGAACGAATCGGGGAGTTGCGTGCTAAGCTGCGCCAGATATCCCCAACCCCCGAGGAGGGTCCGAAGAGGATGCGCTGGATGACGAGAGTCAGCGACGCCTACAGCTGGGATGAGATGTGTGGCTTTACTGAGGAAGATATGGATAATCTCTTGACCTTTTACCCTAGCAACCAGGTGCCCCATCTGGATTTACTAAAGGGCATGCGAGGCGGAATGAGCCCGGAGGATATCGATGTGTTTGACGGCTCTTTCGGTTTCAGTGTTGTCGCATGAGGCTAGCTATCTACCTCATAGTATATAGTAGCTGGGTAGGCGTTAATTTGGCTGGCTGTATGGGTCTCGGGCAGACAGCCACTGACGAACTTAATAAGAGACTTCAGGGATGGCCAAAAACAATTAACCATAATCAAACGGTTTAGATCACGATCTACTTGGCTTATCAACTTGTATCATGGGCATTGTGGGAACCATGTTGGAAATACATACTACTTTGAGCGAGAAAAAGGACTGGGCCATTTTTATGCGTTATATTATCCAGATTATAATCCTCACTAGGCTTCGTCATACATACTGAATAGGTTCAATGGATAATAGGTTTCGTGCTGTTCAAACGAACCTCATCACAAGCATGATCGATGTTGGATTCCAAGGTAAGGACTCCGTTAGGCCTGTTGGCGTGCTCTTTCCTTTTCAACACCCAAAGGCCATTTCCTAGAAAGATGGTATATTTCAAGGTTCGTATACTCCCGTATATGGTGTTTACAATACCTAACGAGGTTTCCACGGCCTTCATCAGTTAGACAAAAACGATCGTTCTTGTTTAAATGAGTGCCTTTCTTGGGACGCTTGACTAGGTAAGTGCTCGTAGCATAATCCCTCAAGACTTCTTCAAGTTATTAGGCTATCGGGAAATTTCCCGAGAAATCCCCTGAATGTGTTTAAGTAGGTAGTTGAGTGTCACCAAGCTTACATGGTCGACAATGTCGTTCGAGAATAGGCCCATCATCTTAGTACTTACCTCGGCGTCCCCTAAACCAATACTTCAGTGAGATTATAAGAGTACCTACATGATCTCCTCTTCATCATTCCAGATCGAGAACTAGATACGCCCTAAAAGGAGATATCTATAAGAGCATGAAGTCCTGCCATGTACTTATTCCTAGCATTCGAGTTGACTAACCTGATAGAGGCTAAATCACCTATACGCTCGGCCGTTTACGTTGTTGTTGGCCTCAAGATCGAGCTTTAGATGAGTGGGTGTCATAGATGAACTCTCAACAAATTAACATACAAGCATCCCTAGAATTAGTAGTATTCCTTGATAATTACTGATCATCGAGGTTTTTACGGAGAGCGTCAAGGAAAGTTATATGTAGCTACGACAGCTATGAGCCCCCGTACTAAGATATAGGCGTAGTTTATTACCTAGACAACTACGAGAAATACAACAGTTACTATGTACCTTCCTATGTAGGGAAATACTCAACTGCACACAAACGAGACGTGTGCTAGTAATGCGTACGTAGGTATATAGCCGTTTAATAGTCGATAGTTTCTATAGGGTTACTGCCATGCCCACTATAGCAGAATCATTGACACTTACTAGCCTTGTTGGCCATGGTGAGATTGCGGAATACGAGAACGTTTCCTTCGCATATCCAATGAACGCATCGTCAGGATCGAATGGCATTCTGATTACTATGTCAGTGACGCAAGCCCCTCGTTGGATTTAGTATATCTGGTTGCATAGGAAGTAACTTGCGCATGGTATACCCGACACCTACCTACCTACCTACCTACCTACCTACTTATTCACCGTATGATCAGATAAGAGGCCATCAGCAGAGAGGCCAAGACACGCACATAACCATACGCATGAGCACACCGGGTTTTGAGCTCATCATGCTATCACAAGAAGCTTATGGCTCATGATGGGTTGATCTTACCTGCCTAGAGTAGGTGCTTAAGGACTCGTACTTAAGAGATCGCACGTAAGGAATCATATCTACCTACCTAAGCTATTAGTCACGTAATAGAAACTCGTGAATAACAGTTAAATGGCGCTTAGGTAGGTACCTCTGTCGGGGATGCCGCAATTCAGGTACCTTCAACATCCTTGCTGTCAATCCCTGGGATTAGATCTTAGACCAACCATCTAGTTACACATCGCCGAGCTATAGCGAGCAGTACATACGCCTACATCTCCATAAGCAGTCCCGGATATACGTGGCGCCTCGCTAATCTATAGATCAGGATTCCAAGACCTCGGCGCATGTAAAGGTCCCAGAATGGTGGGCTTGCAAACGACACGTGGGAATGCTCTTAGACTCGTATGTATTCTCACATTATAGATACCTAGACATTTTCAGATCTTCGGTATATAAAGTATATGATAGAATAGGTATATACCTATGTAATGAATCATTCAGAACTTATAGCTAATAATCAAATCGCTCTGTGTGCTCCTAACCTGGTCGCGATGATAGGGATCACGATCATGGGTACATAGTACCTATCAGTATTCCCATCATGTAGAACATTACATACCTACGTACCTAGGTAGGTAGATAAGATTTGAAGGGCCAGACTTACTCTCAATATGAGAGGATAATATATATTCTAGTATGCTATTCCCCTCCTCCATTAGGCATTCGTTCCGGTTTCCCATGGGTCCTACGGTTAGAAATCCAAGTGTTTAAAGGTAAGCTAATAGGAACTCGTAGTAGACAAAATTTTTATCCAGCCTAGCATAAGGATCCAGGGTCTGGAGCTTTGCTGCGCTCCAATCCGCTGCACAGTGGGCAAATAGGCGGTCAATCCTATGTGGTGGTGGATGGCGTTCCGGACGGCATGACGATCAAAGCCACCAGCATAGATGTGCAGCCAATACTTGCCTGAGGATTCGCTCGCTTGTACGGAGAATTGCGGTTATTAGATTCTAATGGGCGAAATTCATCTCCGACTAAATTTGGGAGAGCCCTAGGGTAGAAGGAGACTACTCCGGCAAGAACGGACAGAAGAAGCAAAGAGTCGTTCACCGATGTCCATTTAGCGAAGCATCTTTGGGCTTACTCGGGGTTCCCCTGTAAGATAATTGCTATATTGGAGCTGGCAGAAGCTACTTCGCTTAAAGCCGTAAGCAGTACAGCCGTAGAAGAGTACCTAAGTACTAGTAGTTGTAACCAAAGGGGTGAAGCTAGCGTTGCTCTGAACCGACCCTCTGTCGCTCGCTCGCTATCTCTTCCCTCGGCTGCCTGGGGAGCTCTCATCCTCATCTAAGCAGGGAGTGACGTCCAAGGTTAACATACCGTGTCACAGAGAGGTACAGTCAGTTCGATACGGGTGCCGGCGAGTATGACTTGTGTGCTCGAAATCAATAAAATTTCATGCTCGTCACTCAAGATCAGGCAGTACCATACCTACTTAGTCCCCAGATCCAGTGACTCCTTGCCCAGTATCCAAGCGACGGGTTCTTGCAGGAATCGGAAACGTGCGGTTGAGGAACTTTCTCGTGGTTTATTAATCTATACCCATTCATTCTGCCTTTACGCGCGAGCCCCGGAAATGCTTGACCGGTGGCTGAGCGGGCTAATGTGACCCTGAGTCCGGACGTAGTCGAGAGCCCGAATGGGGTACTAGTCACCCTCGTCGAAAGAGCAAGTAAGGCTATCATATGTCGCCGATAATATCTAGTCGGCGCCAAAGATGTCGATGGTGAGCACAAAACCCACGTGCGGCTCGTTCACGGAAAACTGAGACAGTGGCTTATTGCGTATCCTAACGATATAGAATGATACAGAACAGGCCCGCCACAAGACGTGACGACAGAAGGCTTTCCGAACCAGATCCGTCGGTACGGTAACTCTCTGTAGTCATCGAACACAAGGAGTCCCTATCTCAATTGACCCCCCGGCTCCCCTTTTCCTCGAACCACATGACGAAACGAGTATTACCGCTGCAGAAATCGGTCGTGTTTGTAAATTACTGGGCACCAACCGACCAGCTTGCTGGGATGTCCCACATCACCAGGCCCATGGGGCGACGGGAAGACGCATGCCCATTATAATCGCCAACATGTTACAGGTTGTCGAGTCCCAGGAGTCCGGTAACAGTTTCACGGCAAAGCAACATCTGGTCACCTCATCTTTTCCCGAATTCTCTAGTAAAAGCCGGTCAGGCAGCCCGCTGAAAAAATGGGGAGATCCAGCCTGCTTCTTAGTAGCCGGCATCTCGGTGCCCTTGGAAAGACCATCGAGTGTAACAACCTTCTATACGGGGTTATTTAGATCATGTCATGCAATTTCTAGAAAGCGAGCCTCCAAGGTAACTCGGAACGACTTTTCATCATAACTGGTTCCTTAGTCGGCTGAGCGCATCATCCCACGGCGACATACTGTGATGTTATACGTTATTGTCGTTAACGAAAGCATCCCAATTTACTTCATGTAGGATTCAAGTCTCAGTCCGAAGCGAGGGACGTGGAAATGTTCGTATAGACACGATGATAATGGACGTTTCAATTTAGTCGATAGCTGGGCCCTGCGGCATTCAACAAACCGTCAATCTACTTGATATAGATTATTAATAAAGAAAACTATGATACATGAATGCGCCATCGCAGATGAAGAGCGGCCGTCCGTGAGTATTTCTTATACATTGAGGTTCTACGAACTTGCTCTAAATAGGACTCCCATAAAATCACATACCACCTAGTTGACACAAGCCTACATTGGTGTTTGTCGCACAGCAGGGCACGCACGTCTGTTTTACGGACGTAAACTTGCTGAGGTCGGAGTACACGCATCGCTGCAGGATCGAGGGACACACGGAGATGAGGTACCCAGGAACGGATAGCTGCTTACATCGCAAGCGCCCTAAATTCTCAGACTATCTTATATGTCATCGAACATTTGATTGTATCATTTAACATGAGAACCAATCTGCGAAGTCCGGGTCATCCGCTTTTTCGTCACGTAGTGACATGGACGGTGGTGAGAAAGGGGTAATAATAAAAGGATTTGGTTATTGCTCAGTGGATCTAGGTACGTAGGTAGTTGATATTAGCGTGAAGCTGCAGCAATTTTATCGGCGTGACCCAACAGTGTACAACGTCTGATGTTAAGTCCTATATATGAAAGCTCTTCGAGACGCAGTTGAAGGTACCTGAAAATTAGACTGATTGCCAGAGCTTTACCAAAGCCGTTTAGTGAGGCGGTTCATAATATACCTTGTTTGTTATCCCGATAGACTTATTACATGTAATTTTCCCTTATAGGGTCGCTAGAGGAATAAATACCTACATTGTCAAAAAAACTGGCGACCTTGGCTGGTAACCTAGGTAGATGGGAGGTGGGTAACCACCATGACGAGGGAAGAAACTAGGACTTGAAGAGACAATAGTAGTGCTACCTAACAATGGCATTAAAGAAACTAACTACCTAGACATAAAAATAAATGACAAATGATAAATCAACCTATCAACACTATAACTTGAGTCAAAATAGTTCTCGGGGCAGGAGAAGAACGTTTATACGTCGACTGTCAGGTTTACATGAACTCAGCTATCTGGTGGCTTGGAACACCACGTTTCTGTAAGGATGTCGATAACGTG